AATACATAGAAGACAAAAAAAAAAAAAAAAAAAAAAAAAAAATTACGGAAAAAAAATAGGGAAAAGGAAAAAACAAAAAAAGAAATGAAAAAAAAAAAATACAAAAATCTTGGAATTATTTGCTTGTTTCATGAAAAAAAAATCAATTGCGGCATTGGGGCATTCATGTAAAATTTGTTTTAAAAAATAAAAAAACAAAATTAAAGGGAATGTATTTCATCCTTAAAAATTATCGTTTCCCTTTTTTTTTTTTTTTTTTTTTCATGGTTTTAACTTGTTTAAAAATGAAAAAAATAAAAAATTAAGTTTTTTTTTTTTATTATTTTTATTATTTTTTTTTTTCTTTTTTTTTTTTTTTTTTTTTTTTTTTTTTTTTTTTTTTTTTTTTTTTTTTTTTTTTTTTTCTCCCCTTCCCACTTTTCGTACACGTTTATTTCGATTTGTGGTTGCGAAAGATTTGTCACAATCCTCTAGCATGTGAAGGCACTTATATTCTTCCTTTAAAAAGTGAGATATAATATCATGTGCGTATACTACACTTCCATATGCATATGTGTGTATATGTAAGTGTACATGTTTGTAGATGAGTTCTTCAGGTTAGCAATTGTTGGACCCCTTCGGCATACCTCTATGTGCTGAGGTTAGGAGGAACTAACTACCTAGGCATTTACATATATATACATGTACATGTGTATGTATGCACTAGCGTATGCATATATACACACGTGTCCATAAACACCATCATGTGTATGTGAAAAAAAAAAAAAATAAAAAATAAAATAATAAAATATCTATAGAAGCCCTCCAATTGTTGTTACGCATCTAAAAATTTGGCTACACTGTTAAATATGTATATATATATATATATATATATATATATATATATATATATATATATATATATATATTTAAGTTCTTAAATTTTTCAAAAATTCCGTTAGTCCTACACAAAAAATGGGGGTATTAACCATACAATACATGCATATATGCAAATGTATGTTTTTAACGATTATATGTTTAGCTTCTACTTTATGAAGTTGGGCAAAATATCAAAAATTAAAGGCGTTAGGTTTTATGCAAGATTTTTTTACCCAAAAAATTGAAATATTTTCCTAGTTTAATAATGCTATGTGCGTGTACAATTTGCTGCAAACTGGGTATGTTACCAAACTAGAAACACACTAAACACTGGTTAGCGTGGTTTTAACGCGCTATACTAAATATTTATATTCGTACGTACTTTACGTACGAACTTATAGTACATGTAAAAGTTCTGCTTGCAATTTCGCAATGTACTGAATTTACACAAGTACAAAATAGTGGATTTATTTCTTCATTTTCCTTTTTTTTTTTTCACTCAGTGTTTTTTTTTTTTTTTTTTTTTTTTTTTTTTTAAAAAAAGGTAACTTTTCCTCTATTTCTGAAATTGTAAAAAAATTGATATGTCAAAAAGTGCTGAATTTTTTTTTTTTTTTTTTCTTTTGCAAATTTATTGCACACATCTAACAGTTTTATAAAATGCATTAATGGAATTAATGATGTTTTGCAAAATTTTCATAAAAGGAAAAAATGACATTTGAAAGAGCACAAAAAATGAACATGTGAGGAAGGTAAAAAGGAAAAAAAAATTTCAAAAAGTAAGGTATATATATATATATATATATATTAGCAGAACGTGATGGGAATGTATAAGAAAAAACAGCAAGAGTTGCACAATTATAATAAAAATAACATCGACATAATGAATATGGAAATAAGGATAAAGTAGGTATTGCCTATAAATGTAGTCAGATTTATGTGTATATATGTGGATGAATTTTTCTGTATCCCCGTGTGTGTATATCGGGAAAATTCGGAATTTCTAATGCATATTCAAAAATATATAAGGTTGATTATTAAGTTCTTGAACATCTAAACGAACTATACTAAGCATTTAAGAGGAAAAAAAAAAAAGAACAAATGTGGGTTCGCAAATAAAAAAGGACAAGGTTTGTGCATCCAGAACTTAGCCTACTTTCGTCGCGTGGATCTGAGAATTTAAGAATATATCACATCATAACTGCTTAGCCTCATAACTGCTTAGCCTCATAACTGCTTAGCCTCACAACTGCTTAACCGCACAACTGCTTAACCGCACAACTGCTTAACCGCACAACTGCTTAACCAAATAAATGATAATTTCATAGTGGTAACATGCCTGGACTGGTGCTTTGTCAAGGACCCACACACTTGCTCTTATTTTCGTCGCCCACCAATTTATTTCACACCAGGTGTGACCCCATATGATAGGTAACGAAATACTTTTTTTGTTGCTAGGAAGGAAAAAAAATGTCATTCCCATAATTCAAGAATTTGACCTTCTGTTTTCATCATACGATATGTACATTTGAAACAAAAAAAAAAAAAAAAAAAAAAAAAATTGTGTGTATTTGTGGCTTCACGCAGGATGTTAATACACATATGTATGTACGTATACAAGTGTGGAACTATGTAAAAACTTGTCTATTTTTTTGAAAGAATTAAAAATGAACCCTCGTTGAGACTCACCCCTCAGAAAATTATATGAGCAGGAGACAAATATATTATATGATGTTATTACTATTGCTCATTCTGGCTTTTGCTATTGGTAACTACTCAAATTTCGGTTTAATTTTGAAAAGCAGAAATCCGGCATTTTTGCCTATGCATGCGGGACACTCTAAATGTAAGACGCGAAAGAAAACTCCTGTGTATTTGAACCTTTTGCATGCACAGAAAATTATCAGCACATGTGTTTACTTGTTTTTATATAGTGTTCTCCCACCTGAATGTGTATATGTGTGCAGACAAGACTGAACAAGTACACATACAGATGCCTATTTTTTTATAATCATTCCACGTGCTCATTTTAGACAAGAAAGTTGGAAACAGAAGAAGAAACTTTAAGCGATATTATACGAATGAAAAGATAGACGAGACAAGATTTCGAAATAGAGACATTTTTCCATTTGGCTTATTTGAGAATGAGCAATCATCTAATGAAGACAACCCAAATGAATATGATGAATTGAATGAAGAAGACTATGATAACATATACGATGATCAGTTAAATACAGACGAGTTAAGTTTTCAGCAATCGGACAATCATCTAAGTAGCGATCGTGAACTTGTCCGATTTGATGTTTTGAATGAAGAAGGGAAAGAAAAGAAAGAAGGGGAACATGTCAATAGTGCAGATGAGAAAATTCCCGATGAGAACATTGAAGATGAATTAAAAGATGATGAAGAAGAAAATTCAAAGGAAGAAGAGTCAATGTGGATGAAGTCAAAGAGCAATGTTGCGGGAAATCATAGATATAATGTATACAATGATGAAATAATGAAAAAAGATGATTGTAAAAAAGATTTGCAAAAAGCTGATAAAATTGATAGAGAACAAAGCAAATTACCACCATATATATACGAAGGAGGAAAGACATATGAAGGGAAATCTATGAATTATGAACCAGAAGTATACGATTTTCATACGTATAATAAATATTTTGATGAATTATGTAAAAAGGAAAAACCTACCATAGATTCATACCAGTTGGATAAATCGCAGTTAGATGAGTCATATTTTGATGCTAAAAAAGGTGGACCCAAAACATTTGGTTTTAAATTTAAACAAATTCAACCAGTAAAATACCATCAAGGTAGGGCATATACATATTTTTTTATGCATTCCCATGATGTGGAATTATCTCCAATTTTTTTAAATGCCTTTAGAAGAGTAGCTATAAAACATTTAAAAGGAGGTAGAGTTACAGCTTTAAGAATACCAAATATGAAACATGAGTTTTATTGTATAGTTGGAGTAAGAGAAAATTTCTTTGATTTAGCTCAAAATTTAAGATACATAACTTTTAAAAATGTACCAGAAGATGCAGATATGGATAATTACATAACTGGTAAATTTAGAATAAAGGGTCCTATGATAGTTGTAGCTGGACATATGCAATTACCAAACGGTATAGAAATTATTAACAAAAATCAATATATATGTTCAGTTGCAGCTGGTAGCTATTTAGAAATGGATGTAAAAATTGAAAGTATTGAAGAGTATGTTATGCCTGAATATGGAAGTCAATCAAGAAATAGAGATATTTGTAAAGATAATTTTATTCATTTTAGTAGTAGTTGTACACCTGTAGAATATTTTGGATTTATGGGACAAAGAAGAGGTATTAATTTAGATACACTTGGTGAAATTAACATTGTCGAAATGCATACAGATGGTTCTATTACTCCCAAAAGTGCTCTCTTAAAAACTATTGATTATATATCCGAAAATTTTCAATATATGGAAAATGCACTATATAACAATTGTCACACATGTGATGATGGTACTGTTCAAGAAGAATTTAGAAACCCTGAATTTTATATGGACAAAGATAGATATACTGATGTGCCATGGAATAAATATAAAAGTACCGCAGAAGAATTAGAGGATGCAAAAAAATGGCTATATAGGAAAGATGTACATAGGCAATATAACGTAGACCCAGAAAGTGTGCAATCAAAACAGGAAAGAGAAATGTTATGGGAAAAAAAGAAAAAATTTGAAAAAGAACTTGAAAAAAGACGAGAGCAAATTAAAAAAGGACCATCTGTATCTGAGGGGGAGTATATACCATCTGAAGAAAGACATGACTGTTTGATTGATTGGCCCGTGGATAAATCTGAAAGAAACATGGACCCTCCAAGGTGGGTCATTGAAAGACCCTTGGATAAGAATCCTCACGTAGGTCATGAGGAAATTTACGACGAGGGTATCTAACTCGAAATCGTATTTTGACAAATGAATTTGAAGCTAGAAGCGTGTACAAAAAAGGGAAAAAAATTACATGCATGAATATGTATATATCAGATCAAGTGAAAAAAAAAAAAAAAAAAAAAAAAAAAAAATTTTTAATTGAGGTAAAATCCTTTTGGGATGCCCATATAGAAGGTAAATAAATTGTGCATTGACAAGTCTTTTATTGGTTTGCCTTATTGGTTCGCATTATTGGTTAGCATTATTTGTTTACTTTATTCGTCCGTATTGTTTGCTAGTTTTTCATTTTTGACATTTTTTTTTTTTTTATCTTTCAAATTATATACATGAATAGTCGCAAAGTGAGGAAGTATGACTTGCATCAGTACTATCCTTGTGGAAATGTCTTTTGGGACAAAGCAACACATGAGCCAATTTACACTGGCAAAATCAAGCGCTTGTGTCTTGCAACGAAAATATGGTTGCTATTCTCTCAAAATGAAAAAGGCGTGAATCGAAAAAAAAAAAAAAAAAATTGCGTACACATAAAATGGAACTTTTTTTTTTTTTTTTTTTTTTTTCTGTCGACGATTTCTTCGATTGTTATCGAATAAGAAAAAACCATGATAAAAGCGAAGAGAAATATATGCATAAATGTATGTATACAATAACATTTTTGTATAAACATTTTTTAGCTAAAACTACATTTTTAAAAAAATTTTGTTACAAGTTTTTGCAAAAATGTAATAAAATGTTTTCTTTTCGTTAATTTTGAGGGTATAGTCCACACAATTTGGAATTTTTTTTTTTTTCTGTCATTTTTACACTTTGAATCAAAGACAGCAGAACAATGAGAAAAATTAAGAACGACAGCTGAAAGATATTATTTATTTTTCGTTTTGTGTAATATTACATGGTGAAAACAAAATTTTTCAGTTATAAAATGTAATTAAAAAAAAAAACAAAAAAAGCAAAATAAAAACAAACATTTGACCGACTCAATCTTTTTTGGTGAATCAGATTTGCTAGGGTTACTTATTTTCTTTTTTAAGGAAATTTCCCGAAGAGTTGGTATCTTTTTTTGTTTCTTTTAATTTATATAATATTTTTTTGGCATTCAAAAGGTATATGCATGTGTATGTATATTCATGTGTGTGTATATATGTGTGTATGTATAAGCGTGTGTATGAATATGCGTGTGTGTGTGTATATATATAAGCATTAGTATGTACATATGTGTGTTCATTTTTTCCCTTCTTCAGCATTCAGTATTATCATTTTGCATAAAGCAGCTTGATCTCACATTACGTGGATAACGCATTTTATCCTTCCCCACCAATAGATCTCATTTTCGTGCACAAATGGGTAACGCAGAAGAATTTCTTCAAAACATTTCCATGTAGGAATAGGGCACTTAATCACATTTAAGAGAAACGTAAAAGATAGCCACATAACCACACAAAATCACAACCGTACAACTACACGAATGAATAAAAGAGAAATAAGATATAAAGGACGGAAAAAAACTTTCTATTGGATGGCACATTCATGATTGCTACACTTTTAGTTTACATACATATGGTAGAAATACAGACTGTTACAGATATGAGTATGATCTAATATATATATATATTCACACGCTTAGTGAGATACATATTTCCCAGACTCAAAATGCTAACACTAATTTCAGTTTGTTCGTATTTGTACTACGTGCACAAAGATTCCATATTAAGTTTTGTGGGATTAAGTAGCGGGGAAGATCAAAACATGAATCAACAAAATAAGGAAAGAGCTATAATTGATAAAAAAAAAGTTAAAGTAAAAAAATCTATAAAAGGAGAACGAACGTGTTTGTCCGATTCTGACATGCGTAGGAAAAAGTATATCTTAAGGACATACAGCGACGTTGATTTTCATATAAAATTACATAGAAAAAAAAAATAATATTACTTGATCTAATTAAGGAAAATTTTAAAATAATATTTCAAAATTTTTTTGTTTTTTTTCTTTTTGCGCCCATTTTTTATTTTTACTTTTTATATGGAAAGATAAATTAGTTAATATTTGGAATGTGTATAAATGTGTAGGCGATAAATTTTTTACACTCTCCCTAGATGTGCATCTTTTGGTATATACATTATACTGAGACCTTCACACATTTTTTTCAGTTGTCATATAAATTTTTAGTACTTTTTAATCCCTCCATATACGTATATATATATATATATATATATTCTGAATCATCACAAAATGCAAACATTCTAAATAGATTGATATCATCCGAAAATTAACAATACACCTTAACATGAGTGCAAATGTATATAAACCTAATGAATATTGTAGGAATATCCTTTGGACCCTATTAATTAAATTTTTCTATCATTTTTTTTTTTTTCTTGCCTTGTGTTAGAACCCCATAGTGATGTGTTAACACATGTATATGAATAAAAAATGTGTACATGTAAGAGTATCTACATGTAGGTATATTATTTCCCTGCATAGAGTATAGAGATTAAAAGTAAATGAACGAAAAGACATTGACTAAAAAGAAGCAATGGCTAAGATGCTTGAAGGTTTCGTTATTACGTTATGTTAATTTTTATGTTCTTATCCCACCTAAATTGTTCATTTGGGATGTCAATATATTAGTGTAATAAATACAAACATTAAATAAAAAATGTGTGAAGCACTATAGTATAAGCAAAAAGAGGGGAAATCTTTTTATTAGATACATGGTAAAACGTTAATGTGAAAATAGGGACATGTTTAGAAAGACATTTTTGCACCTATTTGTTTATATCTAATATTCATGCACATGTTAGTACGCTTATTTATGTAATTATCCATTCATTTATTTATTTGATTTATTTTTTTATTATATACTAATTTATTACATTTTTTTTTTTTTTTTTTGATAAACCTTATGTACACACAGGTACTAAGAGGTGATGTACTTAGTTATGATAAAAAAATATGTGTGTGCTAAATAATGAACTGATAAATTTTATAAGTTTTTCTTTAAATGGAATAATTACATACGTAATGACAAGTAGAATAAACAAAATAATAAAAGCAAGAGGGGTATGACAGAAGAAAACAATATTTATCACGAAAAAAAAAAAAAAAAAAAAAAAAAATGGACACTTGTGATAACAAATTGAATGTTAATTACCTACTTAATAAAGACAAATCGAAGAAAAAAAAAAGAAAAGAAGAAAAATATATTGAAATTTTTTGCGAAAATGACTCTGATTTATATTCCCCTTGTATAGATATGGAGGGTGCGTTGTGTGTCATTTCGGAAAAGGGAGAAATATTTAGGTATAAATTAGAAAACTCAAAAGGGGATAGGAAAGGTATGAACATATCAACAGCAGCGTCGTCTTCGGACGATTCAGAAGATGGAGAAGATTCTAATGATGAGGATGATATAGACAGTAAAGAAAATGATCAAAGTGATGAACATGATGAAAAGTTTTTTGATTTTATTCATGGGGAGCAAGGTGTAATAAACATAAGAAAAAAATCGAACATTCAGAAAGTGCAGCAAGAGTTATACATGAACACTGATATTGCAACAGAATGTTTGTGTGCGGATAACGATTATAACTTCTATGTTTTTGATCCTAGTAATAAAAAAATAGCTTAAAAAAATTAGTGTACAATAGAACACTACATATACATATATATATATATAGATCAATGTAGAATATCATAAAATGATTACCACAAATCGCTATTTAGAAGTGGTTAAAATAATATGTACTTGCAAAAAAAAAAAAAAAAAAAAATCATCTAATATGCTTTGGTATGATATACTCATTATGAATCTTATGTTGTCATTAACATTCTGATACATTTGAATAGTCATTCGAATGTTATGTTTATATTGATTTTTTTCCCATACTTGTTATATTTTTCTCTATTTATTTTGTTACCTTTTTTTTTTTTTTTTTTTTTCCCATATTTCCATTGGTAAAATTTTAAATAATCATACCAAAGTGACCGGTGGGTTGATGGTAATAAACAAGAAAAAAGAAATCGAGCTCTATACAGACGAATATGAAGATCAGTCTTTCAAAGGAGTAAACAATTTAATTTACGACAAAAAAAAGAATCTCTTATATGTAGTCGATTCTGGAAATATCAATGAAGAAAATAAATGCAATTTGTTTTATATAAATAAAGACATAGAAACCATGATATCTATAGATATACCAAATATACCTTACGTTCATAATATATGTGTATATCAGAAGGATAATATAAATGATATATACGTTTGTCTAACGAAGGAAAATAAAATTGTGAGGTTAATAAAAAAAGGAAATTCTTACATTAAATGTCACTTTCTACACCTAAATGGGTGTTATTCACCTTTGTTTATTTGCACGAATAATAAAAATTTTGTTGTACTACTTAAAGATTTAAGCGATTGTGAAAAGAAGGGGAAACTTCTTGAAATAAATTCAAATGCTCAAGTAATTAACTCCTTCTTTATGAATGGAAATCAATTTAATGGTATATGTTACGATGAAAACGTAAAGAAATATTTCTTCATTGAAAAGAATATTATTTATATGTATTAGAGGAACAAATAGGTTCTAAAGATTCAAACATCACTGGTGGGTTTGGTAAAAAAAAAAAAAAAAAAGGGGGAAATAAACAAAAAAAAAAAAAAAAAAAAAAAAAAAAAAAAAAAAAAAAAAAAAAAAAAAAAAAAAAAAAAAAAAAAACTGACCCGTTCTATGGGAAAAAAAAAGAAAAAAAAAATTCAAAAAGAAAACTTTTGTTTGCAATTTTTTTTTTTTTTTTTTTTTTTTTTCTAAAAACAGATGAAATTTTAAACACTATAGAGATAGCTAAAAATTCATTTAAAAACTTTTATCCAAGCAGGCGTACATGTGGGACGTGTACGTAAAATATACATGCATCACTTTTTAATCATTTTCATTTTTTGCTTTTCTGAATTTTTTTTTTTTTTAAATTCGACATACCAGGGAATTACTGACCAGATCGCGACTATCCCATTTAAATACTTTGGCATGTCGAAACATGTAGATATCAGCACGTTCTCACGATTTCATCACAAAAAATGGTGAAATTCACCTTTTAATTCCTTTTTTTTTTTTTTTTTTTTAATCAGTCCTTTGATATTTACATCTGCATTTTGATTTTCCTCTTAATGTGTTAATTTCCCTTTAGTGTGTAAAATCTAAATCATACTCTACAATAACAAATCACTTATGTCTTTCCTAATTTTGAGTTTGGTGTTATTTTGCATATTTAAAGTTATGGCCAATTCACTTGAAATGTAAGGTTGTTCAACTAGTCCTGTTGAAAGTAAAGCGTTATTAACGGCATCAATGATTTCATCATCCGTTAACTTTAGAGTAAGATATTTGGTTTTGTAAAATCTTAAAAGAGAAGAATAATAAGCATATGCTAAATATAACAACTGAGTATTGGACATCCACGTACTTAAATAATTGGAGATATTTGTATTTTTTAATATATAATCATTTGGATTTAACTTTTCTATATTTAGATCTTTTATTTGCTGATAAAATAAATGATCAGCTTCATTGAGTAGTAATATGCTGGTTCCTTCTTTATTACTTCTAGCGGTTCTGCCAACTCGATGTATATATTGCTCTCTTGAAATAGCACAATTGACTTGAATAATTAAAGTTACATCTGGGTAGTTTATTCCTCTTGAACTTATATCCGAAGTGAATAATATTCCAACAGATTCTACTGAAAATCGGTTAGCTGTTATTTGTCTATGAACGGGTTCTTTTTTTCTATGAATTTCATAGACTGAAATTTTTAACTGATTTTTAAAAAAATTTGCATAAAAAGATGTAGCTCTAGCTGTTGGGAAAAAAACTAATATCTTGTAAGTAAACTGATTTAATCTCATGTGTTCAATTAGTAAATTATACAACAAAACAGTTGTGTCAATCGCTTTGTGGAATATAACATACTGTTTTAGTTGTTCATTGGTGTGTTTTGAAGTGTCCTTTACACAGTTTAGAAATATGTAATCAGATTTACACATTTGCTTTCTTATGTCATCTATATTATGACATAAAGTTGCTGAGAAGAGTAAATTTCTTCTATTTTTTGGTAAATAAGTTAATATTCTACTAATATCATTTTGATAGCCTAAGCTTAATAACTGATCTGCTTCATCAATTATTAGCATTTTTAAATTATCAAATAATGTATTAAATAAATATGTACATTCAAAATGATCTAATAATCTACCAACTGTGCATATAATTATATCTGGTTTAATTCTTCTTAGATTAATTTGATCTTCTCTTCTTTTTACTCCTCCAATAAGGGTTAAGACATTAATATTATTTTTAAACGTTAGTAATAATTTGGCTTCATTATAAATCTGATTTGCCAATTCTCTTGTCGGGACTATTATAAGTGTGTGAACACTCAGAATTTTATTTTTTTGGATATCATTTAATGCTAAAAGTAAGTAGGCAATCGTTTTTCCTGTGCCTGTTTTGGCCTGAACGAGTAAATCATTTTTCTTTTTTTCTTTTATAATATTTTCATATATTATTCTCTGTACATCTGTGAATTGCTTGTATTTGAATAGTTCCAGTAGACTTCTCTTAGCCCCTATGTCAATTTCGACCGCCTCTTCTATGCTACCCTCCTTTTCCCATTCTTCTGTTCGGTTCACTTCATGTATATTCCTAGTTTGCACCCTTTCTGTCTCGTGTTTGGACACGTTCCCGTTTGCTTGGTCAGTTTGATTAGTCTCTCTTTCAAATGGAATTTCTTCATATGGTGCTTCTTCAGACAGGGTTCCCTTAGATTGTTTATCTGAGCTCACTTTTCCATCCTTGGGACCTTCATACGAAGTATCACCCTTGATATTTTTATTTCTGGTCGAATTGTAAGAAGCATTTTTAATTTCGTACACAAAAAATTCTCTTTCCTTTTGAGCTTCACAATGTTTAGTTAAAATCCTTTTCTGAAAAAAAAAATATTTACCTCTTTTGCTAGTTAGTGTTGAATGGTTATTATTTCCTTGGTAGAATAAGAACGTTTTCGTGAATCTGTTACAGCAGTATTTCAGTTTGGGGACAACTGAGTTTAGCATTTTTTTTTAAATTATAATATTTTATGAAAAGGCGAAAAAGTTACTAGTGGTTTGGAATTTCATACATTCCATGGGATCATTTTAAACAGATAGTGTTAGTCACTTTATTAGTCACGAATGTATAAATGTTACATGAACACATGTACTTTTTACTCTCATTTGGTGCTTGTCAGCCTAAGGCATTCAGAAGGTTTCCATATGTCCTTTTCCTTGCCAATCAGTAGAATGTCCCAAAGAAGTAAAAAAAAAAAAAAAAAAAAAAAATAAGTAAAATGTATAAAACGCAAAATTTATTTTTTCCCCCCTTTTGTTACTACTTTGCCCAACCTTTAGGCGTAGGGGAGGATAACAAAGATCGACAAATATGTATGCACATATATATTTTTATGCAAAAAAAGGAGCACAGTTTTTATATTTAAAATTTTTTTTCCTCACTTTTTCGCTTTTTTTTCGGCACTTCTTCGCTATTTTGTCATTATAACATACTATGTAAACATATAGAGCTTATCACAGCACACATAACATTATTGCAAGTGTTTGGGGAGGGGAAAGGGTATTTAATAAAAATCTAGTTTCCTTAACCAATAAAACAAACACATTTTTGAATGCTAATTATATTAGTAAGTATAGCATATATATAAGTTTCTTCTTTTTTCATGTAAGGTGGGAGTAAATATTTTGTTGAAGTATCCACTATTTTGTTATTTTCAGCTGATGCTGTATCTGTAGCTAATATTCTGTACTAGATGGGCAGACTGAGTAGAACAGAAAAATGAGGGAACCCACAAGTAGAGAAAAAAAAGAAAAGGATGTATCGGAATATTTGTCCAATATGGGCTCCAATATGGAGGCCAATGTCGATGCTGATGTTGATATAGAAACCGATGCAGGTGCTTGTGAGAAGGGGCTGACAGGAGAAGGTGACATTCAGAAGGATGAGGAAAAGTGCAAGGATTTCAGGAACGAAGAGAATATCGGGAAAATGAACAAGACGTCGAACGGTAGGAGTGGTAGCAATGGTGTGCATGGTAAAGATGTTAATGATGATGACACACATGGTGAGAAATGTATGGCACCAAATGTGGATACAAGTGAAAATGTATCTTTGAACGAATTGAAAAATATGGATATGGGGAGGAGAGAAAAAGAAGAAATTAATGAATTGTGTGAAGATGAACTAAATGAAATGTTTGACGATTTTTTAAAAGATATAGAGAACATTTCTTCGAATAAGGACAACGAACAAGAGCGTAAAAAAATAAACAAAGGTGATGCACAAAGTGAAATAACTAGATTATTAGCAAATAAAAATAGTTCTCCCTTTGAAATATTTGATATACATGAAGACATAAATATGGAAGAGATTAAAAGTAAGTATAGGAGATTGTCCGTTTTAATTCATCCGGATAAATGCAAAATTGAGAAAGCTAATGAAGCCTTTCATATTTTAAACAAAGCATATGAAGAGTTAAAAAGAGATGATATAAAAGAACAATATAAAAGTGTTTACGAGACAGCAAAAAAGAATATTATAAAAAAATTAAATTTAAAGAAGAAAAAAAATGAATTAAACGAATATCTAAACAAAAAGGAAGAGGAGTATGAAATTACAAAAGAAATACAACTATTGATTAATGAAGAATGTGAAATTCTTTTAAAGGTGCAAAAGGAAAAACTAGAATATGCAGAGAAATGTAAACAAGCCAATTTGCAATATGCTAGGGATAAGGAAGAAGAAAAATTGAAGGAAGAGCTAAAAAAGGAAGAGGAAAGAAAATTATGGATGCAGGGGAGAGACGAAAGAGTAAATAGTTGGAAAAATTATAAGAAAGACAATTTAAAAACGGAGAAAGAATTTCTTATTTATAAAAATGTTGGAAAAAAGAAAGAAGAACGAACAGAAGAGGAAAAGGAGCAATTGAAAAAACTTCCCGCCACAAGTCGTATAGAAAGCGATGTACAAAAAAAGAGGAGAAAAAACTGATTGTAATAATTTTTCATGAGTACTAACCGTGTGAAATCTTTTCATTAAGGCCTTTCTCTTTCTACTGTTCCTTAATCTTATGAACCAAGTTTATCTGTCTACGTCTGTACATTTACATATACATATGTGCTTTGTGTATGTACTTATGTTTGTTCTTACGTGTGCGTGGGTACAGACCAAATGTTGTACACCTAGAACAAAATTTGGCGTATTTTTTTTTTTTTTTTTTTTCTGTAAACTATGGTATATACCCTGAACCCCCTAATAACAATATTCATAGAATAACCTTTACATTTTTTTTATTTTTCTTTTGAAGAATTGGAATAGTACATGAAAAACCTTTTTAGTTATGAGACTTGCTCAGAACAGTTTACATTTTTTAATTCGTTTTCTTCATAAGAACCGAACCAAGTACAATTTTGGTAACACATTTTAAAGGTACCTTATTTTATTTTTTTTGTATGTGTGTGTTTTTTTTTTTTCAAGCATTCACAATCCGCACAACGGGTGTGATGGTAAAGGAGAGAATAAATAAATATATGTACATATACATGTGCTACGCACTTTCAAATGAGAACGAGATTATCAAGAAGTGTTTTGCTTCTTCGGTGACATAAAAAAGTAGAGACAAATAACAAAACAAATTTTATGTGCTCAATTCTGGCTTGATAATTGCACATTTAAAAAGGAGAGAAAAAAAAAATAAGAAATAAAATGAGAAGTAAAATGAGACGTAAAATGAGAAGTAAAATGAGACGTAAAATGAGAAGTAAAATGAGACGTAAAATGAGAAGTAAAATGAGAAATAAAATGAAAAGTAAAATGAGAAGTAAAATGAGAAGTAAAATAAGAAATAAAATGAGAAGTAAAATGAGAAATAAAATGAAAAGTAAAATGAGAAATAAAATGAGAAGTAAAATGTGTGCAAAACTTGTTTTAAAAGATTGCTATTCCGTGACAGAGTCATCAGTGTACACTTTGTTATGCAAATATGCCAAATTGTTTAGTTCCGTTTTAACAAAGTTTTTTTTTTGTGAACTTTCTCTTACTTTACTATACTCCTCTGAGATAGTACTTCTAAAATGGCGCTTTATTTTGTTATTGTTTATGTATATAATTAATTTTAGCACACATTGTAAAATAGTTATCTTTACGAAAGTATCAATATCTTTTCTTAGCAATAAAACGAGGTTATCAATAATAAAAATTTTTTCATTACATGTTTTTTCTACGTTTGGAAAATGTGAAGCTTGCGAATTTAAGTCTTGCTTTAGATTGCTTCCCATTTTGCTTTGCTCCTTGGGTCTCCTTGCATCGTCACATGCATCGTCACGTATATCGACACGGGTTACTTCACTTCTACTACTACCACTTTCAGCATCGGTTTCACTCTCATATGCACTGCTTTCATCTTTGGCACTTTCCCTTAAACTCATGTTATCACTATCACTTTCATACATATTTTTTTTAGTATCTCTTTGTTCTTCCTTTTTAATGGGATCACGGAATGTTCTAGCGATGTGTCTGTTTTTCCCACTGAGGGAAGGGTTGTCTCTCTTCCTCTTTTTACTTAGACCATTTTCAAGTATATTCACTTGATCAGGTTGCACAAAATGGTGTTTCTTTTTCACCTGATCATCCTTTTCTATATTTCTTTTATCAAATAAAAAGAAGTAGAGTATGGAAGAAAGGATGTCACTGTTTTTATTGGTTTGCTCAAAATCGTATATGAAATTATTTTTACTTATTGTTGAATGTCTATTTTCAAAAAGACAAACGTAAGCCATAAAATTCAGTTTCTGTAAAAAATGGTGAGTACTTTTATCTCTTTCTTTGAGATATTCTTCATTAATTTTTCGAAATTTGTAGGTGTCGCATAAAAAAATTTCATCCTTTAAAAATTGGAAAATTTGTAAATCTTCATGGCTTGTTAAAGTGGGTTTGTGCATGTAAAAAAGGATATTTTTCTTATCTCCATCAGTGCTTTTATATTGATCTCCTCTGTGTATGTTTATCTTTGTTGGGACATCTGATTCGTTTATTCCATTCTGTGAGTCTTTAAAGAGGGAATCTTCATATTCCACTGAATGTGACAATTCCGTTTGTTCATAGTTCTGAATGGTGAATACATCACCTATGTTATTATATTCGATAAACATATCGAATAAGTTAATAAGTAAGATACAAAAGAAATAAATCATAAGATCATTGTGAAAGGAGCTGAAAAGTTCATGTAACAGGTTGTTTACTTCTTCCAAATTGAAATATTTTTGCAGGATCTGTTCTTCTTGATCATTTTGGTAATAATAAGAATTTTTTAAAAGCAAGAAATCTTTATCTTCGGAAAAATCAAAATGTGAAAAGGTTACACATTTAGTTACAAACAAATAGTAGTAAAAGCAAGGCTGGTCGAATTTATACGTTTGAATGGAATTAAAAATTAACTTTTTAAAATTATCAAATTGAAGAACATAATTTTTTATCCATTCACTTTTTTCCATTTTTAAATAAATATTTAAAAGTGAAAAAATGAAAATATGCAAACTGTTTTTATCATTTTGATAAGTTTTAATAAATTTATTTCCTAAGAAGATGATTGCGTCTAGACCATACTTATCATCGTCCTCAATAATTGTATTATCCCTTTCACTTTGACTATTTTGGTCGATATTCAATTTGAGTATGTCATCATCCGTTTGGTCAGTGTGGATAATCGATATGTCATTTTTTGTTTCCTGTTCCTTTTTGTCATTTTTGCAAAAGTTACTGAATTTGTCAAAATGCTCATTAGAGTTGTCTACTTTTTGTTTAACATTTGTTAATAATTTATAGAATATGTCAAATTCTATGTTGAAGTATAAAATATTTAGACATAAACTTTTTGGAACAAAAAGAATAGCCCTAATATATAACTTTCTTGTGTAGTGTATATTTTTTCTTATATTATAAAAATAATAAAGGTAAAAGATCCATATTAATTCATTTTTTATATGATATTTTAAACAGTTCAATATGGCATTTTCTAACTCTTCTTTTTTTTGCTTCATGTAACAAAAATTGAAATATTGTAACCATACCTCTACATTATTATGATGCTTTCTTAAGCATGTTTGAAATATTTGAATTATTCTTTTTACTAGAGAGGTGTCTGATAAACTGTATCGTAATAATATTTCTAATTTTTTTTCTATTTTTAAAATATTATTTTTATAACACTTAATATGGTTTTCATTTTTATTAAGTAACTTTTTCAATGCTTTGCATTTTTTTGGACAATTTTCATTTTTCATTTCTTCTTTCAATTTCGTAAATTCAGAATAATGATTTTTTAACAATTTCTTATATTCATTAATTTCGTTTAGTAAATTATTTTTCTTTTCTGATTTTCTTTTTTCTCTTAAATTTTCTAAATTAATTTCAAATTCGATATATAATATAAAATTCAGCAGTATACATGTCGAGCTGTTAATTGTATATTCATGATTCCTTCTTTTATTTGCAATTATTCTAATTTCTTTATCTGTGAAGAGTTCTTTTCTCTTAAGGTCATTCAGCTCATATACCATATTTTCCACTAATCGACATACTTTATCAATCATTTTCTCTTCACTCTTAATTGTTTATACATGTGCCTAGGGTATAAAAATTCAGCAACTCCTATTTGCTTCTGGATTCGCTTCAAATGATGAATAAGAAGGATATCACACCAATGTTGTAACTACAGTCCCATAGGTTATCCAGCATGTTGAGCATTATATTTTTATGACACTTCTTGCTATGCCCTATGTACAGTTTCTATATTATAACTAAATGGGAAAGATAAAAATAATAAATTAAGTCATTCTATATACGAGAATATGATGGGGGGGAGCGGTGTGGTGCCACAGAAAGAAGCTCTCTTTTTCCGCTTGGACTGAGTATCTACGTATATTATTATTTTCACTATATACACAAAAGAGAGAATTGTTTTATTTCAATTCAGCTTCTTGGACAAATTTTCTTTTGTTTTGTATAATAAAAATTTTTCTTTTTTTTTTTTCTTTATCTTCAACAAGTACTAATAAACAAACTCTTGAGGAACAATGAATCGGCAGGGCACAAAAATTCGGGAAAAATTATGTAACTACTCGCTGATACTTTTTTTTTTTTTTTTTTTTTTTTTTTATCTTAAGAGATGAATTAGAATTTTAAAAATTATTTTCCATGCAACGCCTTGATGATGAATTTTTTTTTTTTGGTATTGTAAGAATAAAAAAAAAAAGTACCCGAACCGATATGTCAAAAGTGATAAGAGAAAAGGAGATTTATTATTGTACAATACTAAAAGTAACAACGGAGGAGGGGATATTTTTTGACTGCATCATATCAGTACTATCACAATGCAGAATTAATGAATAAAAAATAACTACACGGCTTTTTTCAAAATTATACCCCCATTATTCTTATTGTGATTTGGGGGAAATATGTTGTATATCGTTCGTTTTTACAGTGATGATTTTTAGTTTTCAATTTTGATTAATTTTTTTTTTTTTAAAAAAGTTCACAACTTCTTGTTGATGAGCATTTTTGAGCTAGTCACGTTAGCCACATTTTTTTTTTTCTCGTTTTTCTCGTTTTTCTTGTTTTTTTCGTTTTTTTCGTTTTCTTCGTTTTTTTCGTTTTTTTCGTTTTTCTCGTTTTTCTCGTTTTTCTCGTTTTTCTCGTTTTTCTCGTTTTTCTCGTTTTTCTCGTTTTCCCCTTTATATCCCGTTTTTTGTCCACAAAACTTCACATCTCGCTCAAAATAAGTGCATAATAAAAAAGTTGCACATGTATTATGGCACGTTACATAGATACTAAGAAACTAACCGATAGGTTCTATTTTTAAAATTCTCATTTTAAAACAAGGAGGAGAGAAGGTGCAATGGAGGATGGAGTTGTCATAAGTGGGGATTATATTAAAATTGAAAAAGACAAAATTAAAAATATAAATGAACATAATTTCGAACAAGTATATGATTGCGAATATGAGAATTTGTACAGAAGTAAATGTTCAGGTATTCTATTAAAGACCCCATATTATCCATACAAATATGATGTTATGAACACAAGTCATAAGTATATACCCAGAATAGGGGATCTAGTGATAGGTATTGTAAAGTCCAAAAAGTTAGATTATTATCAAATGGATATTAATTGTAATTGTGAATGTATTATACACAAAATTGAAAGTTTTAAGTATGCTACTAAAAGTAGTTACCCAAATTTGACTAATGGCACATTGTTATATATGATAGTGGAGAAAATTAACCTAGAAAATAATAGTGTTGTGGCTAGTTGTATTAATTCATCAGATGTGAAATCATGGATAAATTATGAAAATTACTTGGGAGAACTAGTAGATGGATTCATGTTCCGAGTTAGCATTTCTTACGCAAAAAGTTTAATTGGAGATAAGTGCTACATTTTGGATTTTATTGGAAAGGACATTAATTATGAAATTGCCATAGGACACAACGGACGGTAAGCAGGGAGATACATGGAGCAGGGAAAAGTCTATGTGATTAAGCTTCCTTAAAGACGCAACACGTTCGGTTGAACAAATGCTCCTGCACAAAATTGTACATATAGAAATGAGCACCTGTACAATATTGTACATACAGAAATGAGCAGATACACAAAATTGTACATACAAAAATGAGCAGCTACAAAAAAATGTACATATAGAAATAAACACCTATTTACAATTCCCACGCTACATACATACCCCTCTGATCGACTTTTTCCTGTTAGCGTATGGGTGAAAACGGATGACCCACGGGAAACCAATATGATATATAGTGCATTGAGATATTCATTCGGAAAAACTAAAGCACAGGTAAATTCTTTTCGCGCCGTATATTCCATTGTGATAAAAATGAATTTTCCATTTTTTGTAGAACAATCTTTACATATTTTCTGTATTTTATTTTTTTCAAAAATTGAATATTTGTATATTATTGTAAATTATTTTAACATTATAAATAATTTTATAAATTATTTTATTTTTTAGATGGAAGTATTGTGGAAATCTATTTACAACTTAGGCAAAAGGGGCACTTAAAAAATAATAAAGTAGCATGACATAAAGTAACATAATTATGCAAAAACATCATCAGGATATATCTTCCCACTTGCTTTGGAGTACACTCTCGCTTATGTTCCCTATCTTTTTGCATATGATATTTTTAACTTTGATCCCTGGAGTTCATAATTTTGTAAAGCTACAAGTAAAATGTGGAAAAATGCAAATGATGAGATATTTTCAAAGTGAAAGCGGAAAATAAACATTCATTTAGAATGCGTTTGCAATATGTGCTAAAATTTTCCTTATTTCTCAAATTGTTATTTATGTGTACATGTTGTTTTATTCTTTTTTTTTTTTTTTTTTTTTTTTTTTTTTTCTCTTTTTCATATGTGTAAAAATGTTGACACCAGTTCAACATGGAATAATGTACACAAATATGAATATACACTTAAATGAGGAAAACATAAGACAAGACGCATATTTTTTTTTATCTGAACTGTACCTTTCATTGCATAAGTTGCTGCGGCTTCATCAGAATAATCCACAAAGGCAACGTTTCTCTGTGGAATAATTCTTGCCTCAATAAATCCCGAAAATTTTTTAAAGAGATCGTTAAAAGCTTGTGTGTTAACATTTTCAACAACATTTTCAACAAACAAGATTTTGCATGCCACAACGACATTATTTTGCATTGGAGAAAACATATTCATGGGGTAATAAGGTGGGTGTTGGTACATGTTATTATTTTTTGTAATATCTTCATTTTTTTTTTTATTTTTTTCTTCATAAGCTTTCGCTTGAGCTTTTGCAATTAATGCTTGTTTATCCATTCGACTTATATCAATTTTTTGTTTTTTTTCTAATTCATTATTTTGCATAATTCTAAAATGATTCATTTGCATTTCTATAAAATTTCTTTGCATCCTTTCGAAGATTTCTTTTTGTTTCCGTTCTCTTTCTAGAATCTGTTTAGGTTTCTTTGGTTCTTTTGATCTTTCAACAAACGTTCCATCTCTCTTTGTATGTACATCACTTTTGTTATGTGAATAATTTATTTGCATTATTTTTCCATATAGTACATATCCTTGTAATGCATTCAGAGCTTTTGTTGAACTCTCAATGGTATCATAAACAATCCATGCTTGTCCTTTTCTCCAAAAAGATTTCATAACTATTAGGTCTTCAATTACCCCATATTGTTTAAATAAATCTTTTAAAATTTTTTTCATTTCTTCTACTTTAATTCTATCATTCAAATTTTTTACATACAATGTCTCATTTGGTGGTATACTCGGGTCAGCTATAATGACTTTATTATATTTCAAATGTTTTAAATAAGCTTTATTATTCATACAATGCATAGGATTGCTATATAGCATATTATTTGGTTGCCCTGGAAACATAGGCATACGTAAAGGATTTGTCATTATATCATTATTACATCCTAACATATTCATTGGTGCGTTCATATTTACTGGGAATTTATTGTAAGTGCTCTTGGGGGTTTTCATAGTGTAATTGTGGTTATTCATAATTGTTGCATCATTATTTATGTTTCCTTCATTATTTACATTTGAAGAATTTATTTTATTAATATTATTAATTGACACATTTTCAGAATTGGCAGGAAACTCACTAAAATTATCATTTCGTGGATTATTATTTGTGCTATTGTTTTTATCATTTATTTGGTCTATTTGAGAAGAGGCATCATTTTTTTCATAGGTGGGCTCATCCGGATTGTTGTTAGTCCCTTCATTATCTCCTTGATCATTCGATGTATTGCTATTTGTCATATTGGTTATGATGTCATTTCATAAAGTTTTTTTTTTTTTTATTTTTTTTTTCTTAACTGATTCCTACGAGTCCTCTTTAAGAATGTTATTTTGGAGGTCTTTTATCAGAGCTGCTTCTTAATAGTATGTCCAGATCATATTAAGCGCGCCTTTATTTTTTAAAAAATTTTTTGTTACAAAATGGATTACCTAGGTATAAATGGATGCACAAATGAGTGTATAGAAACGTATACCACATGGGAGTGTATACTTTTATGAAAAAATTTATGCATAAGGGGTCAGTACATGCATCTAACGTGGGTTAACATCTCTTTATGGTCTTCAATTGCTGGTCATAATAAATACAAAATTTCTAGTGTATAATAAAAGTACGCTACTTGGAAAAGATAGTTGTAAGATAGTCGTCCAGTCATTAAGTATAAAGATTTATAAATTGAAAAGGGAGAGAATGGAAACTATATTCGGGATGGAAAAGAATATAATTTTATTTTTATTCCACATAAAAAAAAAAAAAAAAAAAAAAAACATCTCAATCAAATACTATATAACAAATGAATCGCTTATATTGAAATGGGAGCAAAAGGTTAAAGCATAATTCCTTTTCGTGGAAAAATAAAATATTTCCCGGAGTGTGATTCCTTGTAGGAAAAAAAAAAAAAAAAAAATAACAAGCAAAATAAAATAATAAAAAAAAAAAAAAATCTTTCATCGGACAAATAATTCGCATCTATTACATGATAAAGGATGTACAAACATATGTATGAATACATGTACATTTTTAAAGTGATAATTCGCAAAGGTATGCAATACCCCCTTTATTTATTTACGTATTTATTTACATACGTATTCATTTATTTGCGTATTCATTTATTTACTTATCCATTTTATCAAATTTTTTTTGTTGTCACTCCTATTTATGTGAAATTCTTTTACTTTTTTATGAGATGAGTTAAAATACATCAAATATGTTTTCTTCACTGTTTGCAGACTTCTGACATAAAAGGTGTTTGATCCATTTTCGAGTTCACATCTTTTTAACTTGTGCAATTTTTGCTCACGTTTTTGCGTTACATGAGAAGGTGTATATAATACGGCCTGTTTGTGAAGTTCTAGTAAAATTTCGAAACATTATGTACCATATTGCATTCCCCTAGCTCTACCACACTTGTCCATATAATTGATCATTTATATGTAGATATTTTATGCACACATATGCGCATTCTTTGTTGAACGAATAATTGGGAGACAAAGGAACCCTTTTGGGGAATCCGAAACATATATATAGATACAGACCCTTCACATATACATATATTATGAATATAGATACTTCCTTTTGAAAAAGAAATAAAGCATACATGCAACAATTCTTACGTATCAGTACTGTTGGAATACCATATACAAATATCTCCACTTTTGGGAAACATACCATCAGTGGAGTTGTGTATATACTTTTGTAAACTTGAAGGGTTGGACATTATCAGTCATATTCAAGGGATTTTTTTTAATTAAAACATATATGTGCAATTCTTCTTCTACTGACAATTTGTGCAAAGTAGTGTTATTCGTTACTATATTTTTTTGTAAAGTGTATTTACATTCATTTGAGGAAGGAAAATTTCTGATACTTTTTAATAGGTTAACACAATTTGGTTTTACATCCCCAAATTGTATAATTCCGTATCCTCATTTTTTCAATACAAAGCTCGTTTTTAGCTTGGGTTATGAAACAGGAAAATATTTCACGTGACGAACTGCGTCCTTTTTTTTTTTTTTTTTTTTTCCCCATACACTCCTCCATGTTTTAACTGCTTACCAATTTTATGGATGTGAATCAGAATGTCAGGTGAATTAACGAATAGCGACTTTCGCCTGATTTTTGACAACTACGAAAAGGAAAAGAAGGAAAAGGAAAACAAATTATTGCAGAAGGAACAAAAGAAGTTAGAAAGAAAACAAAAATATATAACAAAAAAAAAAAAAAATGAAGAAAAAGAAGAACAGAAATATCGAGACAGAGCAGAAGAAAGAAGAAAGGGCATCGTAAAGGATGTTAAGGATGCAAGTGTATTATATAACAATGTGAATAACACAATTGATGAATCTAAATTTATGGGAGGTGATGTTGAGCATACACATTTAGTAAAAGGTCTTGACTACGTACTTTTAAATAAAGTTCGAAATAAATTAATTGATAAAATAAGTTTAGAGAAGGAAAAATTAAAAGGAAATAAAACAAATGATATTAGTTTATCGAATAGAATACCGAAATTTTCAAATGATGAATCGAGACATATTTTTAAATATTTTTTTTTGTATGAACACCCGCATCATATACATTTTAAAAAAAAAATAGAGAACATTTATGATAATATAACAAATAATATGAAATTTAAAAATTACAACAAAAATATCCATTCGGTTAATTATAAGTACAATATAAACATGGAAGTTGAGAAAAACGATATACCTATTAAGTATATATATAACGTAGACGATATAAAGATGAATTATACTTATCATTTAAAACCACCAGTTTTAAATGAAATAGACTTATGTTTTAAATGGCATAAGGAAAATAAAAGAAAAAAAAAAAATGAAAGATTGCCAAAAAGACCACTAACAGCTAGCCTTTTTAAGCAGGAACAAACTTATGAGAATATAGATGATGCCAATGACGACATCGATATTTTTAAGAACGATGTCGATGTGGTTAGTAGTGATATGAAGCGGTCCAAGGACACTACTACAATTAATGTTGCTTCCAACAGTAGTACTAATTTGGGAAACGTTCACAACTTCAACAGCAATGTAAATGAAAATAATGACTCAGGTACCAATCCAGATGTTAGTTCTTTGGAATCACAAAAGAAAAGTAATAAGGACAAATTCGAAAAAGATGAAAATAAAGAGAAACAAACGTATAAAGATGATAACATAAATTTGTTTTATTCTGGAAATTTACCCGATAAATCAAAGAACAGAACTGTAAATGAAAGTAATAAGAATAGCTTAACTGAAAATGTGTTTGCAGACACATATGATGAATGTTATCCAGATTATGGTAATGGAGGCTTTTTTTAGCTTCCCTGCCATTAACTCAATTTCTTTTCTTTTTTTTGTAATTTTTTTTGTGATTTTTTTGCTCTTAATACTAGAAGTAACTGAATTATATATTATTACTTTTTATATAAAATGAACACATTATTAAGGAAAAAATAAAATTATAATAAAATAATAAATGACAAGAATTATGGCTTAAATGTTATTATGAAAAAATAATGCATGGAAGAGGAGAAACGTTTACATTCATCTATATACATGCATAAGCAGCTGATTAAAATGTACAACAATAATTAATAATATTTTAAGTGAAAGAGGTTCAAGTATTGTTGTAGTAAAAAAAAAAAAAAAAAAAAAAAAAAAAAAAACTGTATTATCATTATTCTGCCCCCTTTTACTACACATTTTGCTAGAAAATGCATTGTGACACGTTAGCACTTTTCATTATAAAGAATAATATTCGCAAATCATTAGCACAGAGATAATTTCTCGTAGTCCTTTTAAATGCTGAAGAATATGTGGAATTCTCTTCTAAAATGGGAAACATTTGAAGGTCGTACTTTCCAAGATTTTGCATGGCCACACGACTGTGAAGATATTATGCATGTATACATATACACATATCTGTACATTAACATTAATGGATAATTCAAACACAGTCATTTGTGTATACACCATGTGTTAATTCTTTTTCTCTAACATTTGTTTTTTTTTTATGCTAAATTAAAAATATATATATATATATATATATATTTTTGTTTTCATTGTTTTTATTCTTTTTAACATATTTTAAGACTCATTAACATCAGCAAAAAAAAAAAAAAAAAAGATTAAATGGAGTAAATTTTATAGTTTTATGGAAGTACTGTTTCTTCGCCTACGCAACAAATACTCCGTTTATTTAAGGTTTCTCAATGTCATTATTTTATGCTTGTTGAAAGAGATTGTTTACATAAGTCCATTCAATTCAACGATTATATGTAAATACACAAACACGTGATATTTAGATTAATCAAAAAAGAACTTGCATATCCTATCTAAGTTATAATAAAAATATAATACATATGTTCTTCTTTCTTTTTATGCGGAATGCTAGACAATAGGTCCCTACACAAATTTATTATGTACCAAATTGTAGATTGCAGGGTTGGGGGAAAATAATGGTTCTAAACAGGGGGTTGTAATAAATAACTATTTACCTTTATCACACGTGTGTGTTCGTTTTAAAAAGGGTAAATATTTGTTAAAAGATTGAAAAAACATGAGGAAGAAAAAAAACAAAAAAAAAAAAACTGAAGAGGAGAAAAGAAAAAGTATCCATAACACGTAAAATGTATTTAAGTGCAACAAAATGGCAAGCTCGAATTTCATATTATTTTCAAGCAATAAGTATTGCTTACATTGTTTTAACGCACTATATAAATATATATATATAATGCTTGATATATAATATAATGTTTTTTTTTCAGATTTTTTATAAAAGTACTTTGGGTCACCATAATGGTGAAAGTGAAAAGGGGAATATTAAAAACAAAATGCACGCTTGAAAAAAAGATGCATTTTTTTTTTTTAAATTGTCAAAGGGACAATGAGGCCAATTAATGCATTTTTTTTAACGCAATGTTTTATATGTATTTTATATATATATATATATATCCATACTTATTTTAAATAATTGGGTTTAATTTCCTACCAACAGCACAATATTTATTCATCATTAACAAAACATCTTCGTTTATAATTTTTTATTGTAACATTTCAAATATGTCATTTTGTATTTTATTTTCTGTGATTACTTAAAGAGAAAAAATATGAAAAAAGTATAGGAAGTATACAGGATATGTAAAATACTTAAAGTAACATACGCAAGATAAGCAAAATATACTAAAACTTGTTGAAACACACGGAATATACAAAGAAAAAAAAAAAAAAAAAAAAAGAAACAGAATAATTAATGTAATTGTTCCATAATTATCCGTTTTTAAATTGACAAGTTTACATTAATAAACCATTTTTAAGATAATAAACAGGGAGATAATGTTAGTTATATGACCAAATCCATAAAGAAGTTATAAAAAAAATATTATATGCTATGTGTATCGAGCAAAAGTAGCTAAATATATGTATATCACACTCCATTCCATTAGAAATTAAAAAAAAGATTAAGCTTGTGCTTTATTTCGCCTACTTTTTTTTTTTTTTTTTTTTTTTTTTTTTATACCTATGCATAATTCAGTGTGTTAGCCTATTTTTCAAAAGTAGTTGTAGGTGGTTACTTCTTTCAATAAATTCGTAACATTAATTGCAGATTATCATTTTTGTAAGAAACTATGAATTAGTTTACGTTTGTTATTGTATATGCAAATGAATCTGTATTTGCATACTTACATGTATACACCGTTCTGTTCATGTGTGCCTCGTACATAATAAGTAAACATACCATCAACAATATATACCTATACACATGCATGACAATGTTTTGAATAAACAAATTAGAAAATGCTAGGAAAAAGGAAAATTGGTGAAGCCCAACAACAAAAAAAGAAAAAAAAATGGATCGAGGAATTAGATGACGATTCAGAAGAAATTGATTTAGACTGTTTGAATAATTTGAAGGATGATGAAAAGGATAATTTGGAAAAAGGGGAGGATGATGCATTGAGTGATGAGTTGCATGAAGAGGACGGAGGAAATGAGATACCAAATATAGCAGCAAAAGATGATGATAAAGATATTACACAAAATGGAAATAATAAAAAGAAAAAGAGATACGATTGGATGAGTAGTGAAGATGAAGATATATCAAGCGAGGAAGAAGAAGAAGAGGTGATGGAAGAAGATGAGAAGGGGCAAGGAAGTGATCAATCAGTGGGGGGAGAAAATGTAAAATGTAAAAGTGAAACTTCCCTGCTGGAACCACATAATACAACTGAACAAGATAAATTCTTTGAAAACTATAGCAAAACGAAAGACCGAATAGAAAACGGAAATGTGGGAGACGAAAGTGGTAATGAGAGTAATGCAGAAAACAATTATGCTAAAAATGAAAATAAGCATAAAAGCAACGTTAATGAAAAAAATAGTATTGATGACTGTGGCCACATTGAAATTATTGATAATATAAATAAATACTCAATTAACCCATTAGACATAAAACTAGAAGAAATTGAACATTTAGTAACTTATGTATACTTTAACAACATTCATTTCAATTGTGTTACGGAACACCTGGTTGAGTTTTTAGAAAATTTTACTAAGGACAAAATTATGCAAATTAATTCAGACAAATCAACAAATTATACCATAATATACAAAAATGACGAAAAAAATAATGACAAAGTTTTGATAAATAAGTTTCCTCATTATGGAAAATTATTTGTTCATGTTAAAAATTATCAAGTAATTTTTACGCAAATATGTAGTTTTTATAAAGAAGCTTTACAAAAGTTCCATTATTTCGAAATAAATGAAATTTAAATTCAAAGATATACATACACGTATATATATATGCATGTTCGTATATGCATATATTTTTTTTCCTCCATTATGAGAAAAATAAAATATTTTTTTTTTTTTTTTTTTTTTTTTTGTATTTTTTTTTGTGTTTTAACTAAAAAGGATGTTCTGAGGCTTCTTAAGCTAAATGAAACCCAATTCATGGGAAGAATCATAAAGTAGTTTGCTCTTTTATGAATTTCCATTTTGCTTATATTTTTTTAGTAGCAACTTTACATGCTGTTTATGTTAATCTGTAGAACGTTGGATTTAGTTTGATTATTGTACATGTTATTACAATTTCTCATTAAAAATTTTTCCTTTTTTTCTTCTTTTTTTCTCGTCCAAGATCCACACAAGCGTATAAAAAGAAAAACAGTTTCTTTATTTTACAAGCACCCGTCCACTACAAGTAAGGAAAGCGAATTGCATTTTTGCATATTCTTTTTTTTTTTTTTTTTTTTTGTTCACATATTTGTGATCTGATGTTAATATATATGTACCTGTGTGTATATTTTTCATTTTTTTTCAATCGACATTTATTTCCACTTTTTAAGGCACATGCTTTTTCTTTTACATATTGTATATGTGTCTATATGTCTAAAAATTTTGAACATTATTTTATAGTATCAGTTTTTTATACTTGGGTGCACACACCTTTAATGTTTTATATATAACACACGTTTTCTATTTAAACAATTGATATATTTTTTTTTCCCTTCTAAAATTCGCCCTTCCACACATTTATAGGTATTTTATCCAAGTTGTAGCTAGTGAAAAAAGCAAGAATAGTTTGAACTATGTGTGGATCAGATAACACAAAAGTATATACATGTACATATATGTATATATATAAATATATACATTATAGTACACAGCATTTCATTTGACCAAATTAGACCCCCATACCTTTCATCTAAAGGATGGTTCTTTTGAGAACTTTTTGATTTTTGTCTACCACAGTATTGATTGTATACGCAAGAATGAGTGTATATATATATATATATAAATTTGTACCTCCTTTTTTTTTTTTTTTTTTTTTTCGTTCACTTTAAATAAAAAAAGAAATGAGGGGAATATATTAAATTAACCCGTTTTTTAACTTTTCATTTGTTTTTACCTAACTGCCACCTACCTATTTATTTATATATTTTATTTTTATTTTCTGCTAACATAATATATAATATGTGTATTTTATTTTGTTTAAAATTTTTTTCGCAAAAAAGCTTCACATGAAGTAAATCATGGTCCTTTTTTTTATTTTATGTTATTTTTTTACCTTTTTAATGTTGCAAACAAAAAAGAATTTTTTAATTAAAAAGAATAAAAATTTTGATACAAGAATTATTTTTTACGAATATAATTTTTGTTTTATGCTTTTAGCAATTCTTACTTTTTTAGCATTCTGTTTTTCTTTATTTATTATGCGACGTTTACGTTCATTGCTTGAAATTTAGAGGGTAATGTTATACACTTGATTTTCCAAAAGCAATGCCTTAGGGAAAAAATTCGACAATTAAATGTTTAAAATGTTTTGTTTGGTTCGGCAAACACTCCTCGACTGTAAGCATATAATGCATACGTATGTGTGCATGGCCGATTCTATTCCACGTTGGGTTATTTTTACGCGTTTTCATCAGATTTTTTTTAAGCTTTTCTTTTTTTGGTACGGGCACACGATATTTGTTCACATATAAAATGAGTTGAATTATTATATCAGCGGCTCGTTTATTATTTAAAGTTCCGTGGTTAAGGTCATAAATAAATGTGCTCATGTTTCAGACAGAATTTGTATAAAATTACTGCACTGTGTCGCTATATGTCAGATATGAGTTGCTAATGGAAAATGGCGAAATGGTGAAAGAGATGAAAATAATTTAATAGTCAAGTATGTTTTTTTAAGACGACATATTCGTTTCCATTCGAAAGATATTAACATGCTTTAAAAAACTGTTAAAATTGAGGTTGATAGTTTTCATTAATATTATTTTATGGTTTCATAATAACACATATTTAACACATGCGTAAATTTTCTTATTATGTAAATACATAAAGGCAATTCACACAAAGAAGAAAACACACTATATATCTTTTGCTGCACGGCATTTAAATCGTCCTATACCTGATTGACATTCCAGTGAACATATCATTTTGTTTACAAGGTTAATTAACATATATTCGCATGTATACTTTCGCGCCTAGGTACGCCTATTTACGCATTTTTACATTTGTTCACAAATTTACACTGTTTCCACATTTACATATTCTTTATAACATTAAAATATTTACACATATTTTAATAAGAATATACTTATTCCCATATGCTTGTATGCATAGCCATATGTGCTTATGCATCCGAGTATATCAACAAAACACATATGTGCTTAAGCCTCATGCGAATATGGGCAGGTGACACTACACTAAAGCACACTTCTTTTTTTTTTTTTTTTTTTTCTTTTTTTCCAAAGCAGGTAGTTAATTATGCTTTGATTTTAAAAATGTAAAATTTAGCAATTCATATAAAATTATGCGGATAGGGGTTATATATACATACATAATGCTTACATGTATACATGATACTTACATATATACATCATACATACATATATACATAATACTTTCATATATATACTTACATATTTGACTCGTTTATGCAATATTAAATATGAATTTTTTTGCTAATTTATGGAATTTAATTTTTCCTTTTGTTTTAAATTTCAGAAATAGCACATGTGAAGTTTGACATTTTTGAAAAATTATAATTTGATCATTCTCTTTTGAGTCTTAGGATTTTGTTTCGTTTTTTTTTTTTTTTTTTTTTTTGTGATTTTTTTAAAGATAAAAGTAATGGCAAATGATAGTGGAATAAGTGTCATTTCGAAAATTGTGGAATCCGAGCAGAAGAGTCAAGTAAGAATCAGAGCCATAAGCATGTGACTATAGCGTGGGTATATATACATTGTCCCCTGTGGATATGCATCCATTTGTGTGCTTGTGGTTTGTACAAATGTGAACATAAATACATATATATTTTTATCACATCTGTGAATGAGACTATATATTGTTGAGTTAACATACATGGACTACAACCAATGTGTAAGTGAAGCTACCATCAACCACGCATAAGAACAAAGGCAAATACTATATTGTCATAAATAGAAAGAATCCCTTGAAAATTCGATTACATTATGTGCAAGTTAAGATGTCCAACCATATATACACTTACATGGAAAAAAATAAATAAAAGAAAAGCCACAGAAACATACATAAATCCTTGTGTCCCATCACATTCATTCCTTGTAGATACTACACGATTCCATTTTAAATAAGATGCCATGTTATGACAAATATGAAGAGATAAATATTTTATCTTCAGAAGATGTAGAGTTGTTAAAAAATTTTCATGCATTTAACAAAAAAGAAAAATTCAATTATTTTAAGGAAAATAATGCAATTGTAACAGTATTATTCAATTGTTTACAAACAGATTTTAACATTCATTTAATTCAATATGTTTTAACAATATTTTATGAAGTTATAAGAAATGATGGAAGTTCTTATAGCTACATATTAAGCACATTAAATGACAAAATATTATATTCTTACTTAATGAAATTGTGTACACATAATGATACGTATATAGCGGACAAAAGTTCATTCCTTTTGTCAGGGAGTTTTTGTTATAATAATAATAATAATTATTTTACAGATATAGAAATAAAAGATTTTATTTTAAAAATTGATTTTTTTAATGTATCGGAAGAAGGGAAAATGGATATATACATAAACATATTAAAAATAGATGATTACAGAAAAGATATATATGAGTTAGAGCAATTTCTAATAATAATTAATAAAAATTTAGACTTAAATAATAATAATTCGAATAAACAGTACAAATCTGTTTTTTGTGTTTGGTTACTTACATTTAAGGATTATTTTATTAAAAAGTTATATAAAAACAATATAATTTCTGTTGTAATTAATTTATTTAAAAAATGTAGAGTAGAAAAAATATTGCGAGTTTCACTCAACATAATTAAAAATATAATGCACATGGACGATTGTTTTGAAATTATTGTTGATAACAACATAATTCAAACAATGACCGTTCTACAGTATGATAAATGGAGGGACAACGATATTTATGACACCATTGTGCAGCTTTTGCACAAATTGGATCAGAGAGTTAAAAATTACAGGTTCGTAATTGCCCCTGTTTCTGGATCATACCAGAGATATATATGTATGGGGATATGAAAATGTCTATTTGGACATTCCTTTCAAAAATATTCAAAACAATGCTATAATCACACATATTTTTTATTCAATTCAGTGTGCTTGGTTTTATGAAAAACTCATATTGCCTTGATATTATGAAATTAGCACAGAGTTACGTAAAATCATTTGATTTTTGTACCCCCAAATGGTTGTAGTTATGATTTTTTTTTTTTTTTTTTTTTTTTTTTTTTTTTTATAGCAATTTTGAGAGATATTGTCACGAACTTTCAAAAGGGAAATTAAAGTGGTCTATTTTGCATACAGAAAAATTTTGGCTAGAAAATGTTATGCAATTCGAGAAAGATGAATTTAAAGCTATACAACAATTAGCAGATATAATAAAAAGTTATGCTCATACAATTGTACAGAAAAATGAGTCAACAGAACTGAAAGAGGAAGTAGATGGGGTTACTGTGGCAGTGGCTTGTTTTGACATTGGTGAATTTGCTAGACTCTATCCAAATGGGAAAAAAATTTGTCAAAAGTTTAAAATAAAAGAAAATGTTATGATTTTAATTGCCACCAAAGACAGAGATATTGTAAGAGAAGCTCTTCTCTGTGCACAAAAAATTATGTTGAACAACTGGCAGAGTATATCGAACACGAAATGAAGAATGATAAATTGGAGGGAGTACTGATGCGCACATGTTGGTGCATAAGATTGGGAATATATAAATTGTGTGTAAATATATACAGATAACATTAAATAGGCACAATTATGTATACTTATGTAGAGTTATCCATATTCTCGATCACTTTACATGCAAATACGCAGTTATAAAAACTGCAAAATTAAGGAATTTGTAAATATAGATGTATGAATAGTTAGCCACTCTTGAAGGGGTTATCCCTTTTTTTTTTTTTTTTTTTTTTTTTTTTTTTTTTTAATATATATATTTTCCTCCTTTTTTTTATGTATTTTATTTTTTTTAATTGTAGCATGTTATGCTTATATTTTCCCTTCAATTTAAAATGCGAATTAGGTGTTTGAAAAAGGATTAAGAGAAGGGCATGAAATGCACGCGGAAAATGTTACCAAATTGCTTATTCCCATTTTGCGTATTCTGATTTTATGTATTCCTATTTTCCTTGTCTTTTTCGCATGTGCTTTTATTTTACCTTTTTTCACTTTTTGAGTAAACCATTTTTGGAATGCCCCTTTTGAGCTGCATCTCCATTTTTACCATAGCTCATATTTGCTTCATTTCATTTTTGTCATCTCCCACACTATTCCATTTTTAATTTCCCTTGTTGGTTACCATTTTTTTCAAATATGTTATTTTATTTTAAGAATAAAAAAAATGAATTAAAATACTTGCCTACCTAATTGTTTACTTTATGTATGTGTGTGCTTATTTAAAAAAAAAAGCCTAAATGAGGGTTTTTTTTTCTTTTTTTATGTGATGTGGTAATACCTGATTGAAGTAATGGAAACAACAAAAAGAGAAGTTGTATGTGCTTAAATAGAAATTAAGAAATTCTTTAATAAAAAAAAAAAAAAAAAAAAAAAAAATTGTGAATTCTTCTTATTTGATGACCGTTTTGCGAACTGCCAATGTGAGAAATGAAGACTGAAATGATGAAATGGAAATTGCTTTCTACAAATAAGGATGAATGGTAGAAGAATACTTGCATTGTTTTGTGTTAGGAAAAAAAAAAAAAAAAAAAAAAAAAGAAAATAAAGAATAATAACAATAATTATAACGAAATTATTATATTTTAAGTAACGAATACGAAGCCATATTGATAGGTAACGAAAATATTGAGTGAGGAAGCTCTTAGGAGGTGAGACCTAACCTCCCGATATCACTTCTTGAGGAAATAATTCAAATTAAAATCAAAGGGACTATACAAGTAATTGACGAAGCTGGTGGATTTATCCCAAACCTCGTTCATAATATCTGACAGCATATCGCCAAGGGGCATAGTAATATAATAGTCTAGTTTTTGATTTATGTATAATTTGTCTGTTTTTAAGACATCATAATGGATTTTTCCTTTATTGAAACAATTATCGTAATTAGATCTTTTTCGTTTAATTTGTTCTTTTTGAAATGAATGTACTTTGAGTTTATCATATTCACTATAGTATTTTCCCATATTGTTCATTTTGTCTTTTTTAAAATATGATAAAACATATCTATTTTTATTTTTGTAAGATTTTTTATTTTTGTATATATAAATTCCGAATCCGTCTTTTTTTGACTCTTTTATGTCACCCTTATAAAAACCATTCCTCAGATTACATGACCCGAAATGAGAAAATGTGTTTGCGTCCCAATACCCAATATATATAATATGATTAGAGTCGAATGCAAATTTTAATGGGATGTCTGAGTTAATATCAATGCCATCATATGATTCTAATTTTCTAGCTAATATTTTAGCATTAGACAAACTTAAATTAAAATCATTTTCATCATTAAAATGAAGTTTTTCTTCATAATATAATTTCCCAAATCCTTTTTTCATCCCTTGTTGTAAGTTCCCACAATATATTGTATTATCCTTATGCCGTAAGATGTAACAGAATTTATCAATAACATCATTTTTATAATAACCATGATATAATATTTTATTGTTGCTATCTATGAGGATACCTATTCCATTTCTCTGGTAATTTTTTGAAAATTGTCCGTAAAAGACATAGCCATTTCTAAAGAATATTTTTATCTTTTGAAAATTTTTATTCATATTTGATAAATGTATCTTAGATATTTTTTCATCTTTAATGTATATATTAATATTGTTATGAAGCTTATCTTTCAAAAATTTTGCTTGAATGATATATTTTTTGTTTCTCAAATTAAGGCTTCCACTTCCTTCTCTATATCCATTTTTCCAAAACCCTAAGTAGGTATTCTTACTATCATTTTTATTTTTGAATATACCATATCCGTGAGGCAATAAATTTTTCATTTCCCCTTCATAAAAGAAATTATCATTATTAAAAATGGCCTTTGGAAATTCCCCGTTTGTGTTTGGTTGTCCTCTATTATTTATTGGACCAATATATTCACTCTTATCTGCATAAATTATTTTTGCTATCCCAACATGTTTACTCAACAAAGGGTAGTACAATTTCTGTTCGTTTTTTTTTTTCATGTATTCGAAAAATTTTTCATGCAAAATGTTTGTCTTGTCTCGTTTGTAAATGATGTCTTCTTTTACGTCCTGATAATCATTCAGATGTTTCTGGGAGACAAATTGTGGATTATTATTATTACACTGTGACTGTGGTTCACCATTAGATTGATTCTCCATATGGAGTTTTTTCTGATGTACAGTAGTATCTGCTTCTCCTTGAGGAAGAATGTTCTGATCTGAACCTTTTGAAGCGAAATCATTGTGCCCATTTCGAATTTCAAAGGAAGGATAACCAATCAAATTCTTATAATTGTTATCATTGGATTCAAATATTTCCTTCTTCCTTTTGATATTTTCTATATTACTAGAACAGTAAAAGGAATATATGTTCCATTTTTTTAAATAAGGGAAATAAATTTCTGTAATTTCCTTTGGCCAGAAATCCACATTATTAGTTGAACTATAATTTGCCATAACAGTTTTTTCAATTTGTTTAATCAATTTATTGCTAAGTTGTGAATAATTTTCCTTATTCTCATCTTTTCTAGTTTTCACATCCTTATGCTTGCCGAAATTTGCCTTAATGAGTAGAGGACACAATTTATTAATTTTATTTGATTGTATTCCTTTTACATATTCTTTATCGATTAATGATATTACTCCCTTACCTATAATTTCATCCCTTAAAAATTCTCCTTCATATAGGTACCAAATGTTAAAATATTTAAATAACAATTTTCCTTTTCCATGTTTTTCTGAGTTTATCCATTCCCCATCATATATTAAGCTGTTATATTTGTCATATAATTTCCCCTTCCCATTGTAAAATTTGTTTTTCATATCTCCTACATATTTACAAAATAATTCTTGATTTTTATCACAAAATATTAATTCTTTGTGTATACTTTTTGTTGAATCTTCCATAAAATTTTTGTTTATAAAAGTTGTAGTTCTCATTCTCTCTATGCCTTTTAATAAATAAGAAATATTCCTTTGTTCTTCTTTCCTTACGTCATATTCCTTTTCTGATGCATCGTTTATTTGATCATAACTCCATGACTCATTTGTTGTGTTTCTCTTTTCAGTTTTGTCTAAATTTAAATCCTGGTATGTGTGAATTTCTGTTTCGTTAGTACATTTTCCATCTGAATTATTGGATTTCATTTCGATAGAATTTTTATAATTTTTTATCAGCTCTGATATTTTATTTTTATAAAAATTGTATGTAAATAGATTTAGTTCATACCAATCGGAGTCCTCGGATTTTTTCTTATTTATGTGTGTGCCCCTGGAAAAAGTTCTTTTGCTTAATTCTACATCTGAGGTGTAGAAATATTCAAGTTTGGAACAGTTCTTCAAATTGCTATTTTTGCTTGGAATCTCCGGCCAAATGCACATCCCTTTGGGGATGCAGCAGATATTTCCTTTCGATAGCGCTGAATGTGTGTCAATCTCTTCTGGTTCTCCTTCTTTTGGTTCTACTTCTGTTGGTTCTCCTTCTTCTGGTTCGCCTTTTTCTGGTTTTCCATGTTCCCGTTCCATTCCATTGTGCTTAATTATGTTCGTTCCGTCTAAGCACACTTTCTCTATTTTTTGATGAATTAGAAGTTTATTCCTTTCTGTTAGGTTCTCACATGTACAATCATTTATAGTCAATGCACTACTGAGCTGAGGGATAATGTTCGGGTTAATTTTTACTAAAAGGTTAATGCATTCTGAATTGTTATTTTGCATGTTTTTTTCTACCTCCTCATTGCATGTAAAGAAGATGCATAAGATATTCCTGAAACCATCTCTAATGTTATTAAATAAAATTGATAAATTACTTACACATTTTACAAAACAGTTTAATTTTGATTTTATGTGATTTCTATTCATTTCCTTGTCTTCAATTTTACGTTCTAATAATGTGTAGCTTTGGGTGTATTTTTTTTTTTTTTTCTCATCACTCTGATTAAAGGAAGAAAAAGACAACTCGTCTTTTTCTTCGATACTAGTGATTGTGCATTGAACTTCTCTTTTCTCGCTATCTGATAAGTTGCAGTTTATGTGTTGCTCTTCTAAAAAATAAGTTTCTTGCTTAGAAATTTCCTCGTTTGTGTTCATTGTGCCTGTCGCCTTTATTCCCCTTATCTCATAGTTTTCATCCCTTTCACAATTTCTACCCTTCTTACTTGCCGGTTCCTTTGTCTTCAGTGAATAGTTTCCCTTCTCGATCTTCCAGCATATTTTATTATCATAGTTATCAAATAGATATAAAAACAGATGACCATTTATAATTTCTATATAGCATGGCAGTAATTTGTTCTCCTCTAGATTTGTTTCTCCTAGGAATATATTTTTTTCTGAGGTAGGTGCATTTTTTTTTTTCTTGCGCGGAATAGTGCACACTTTGTTTTTTTTGCGGTGTATTTTTTTTCTTTTTCCATGTTCGTTTTTCGTTCCCGTTGATTCTCCTCTTTCCTGTTTTCTTCCTCCCTCCACTTGGTCTTCTACTTTTACTCTCACTTCTACTTCTTGTATTCCCACTTGATATGGCTTTCTATCATTCCGTCTTAACAAATTTCCAATCTCATCATGATTACAGAGTGAAAAAATTGGTTTATGTGCTAAATATTTCATGTAAAAAAATGTGGGAGACAATAAAAATGTCTTTTGTGGGTTAATAAAGGGAAGAGAAATAATAACATGAACAAAGTTAAAATTGGTGTGATAATTGCTAGTAAAATTATTTTTATTAAATATGGCATGTTTTATGCTGTTTAATATATGTTTGTTTAATATACGAATGTTATAATAGCATATTTTAGAATTAGTTAGAGAATTAGATAAAAAGTTGGAAAAAAAAACTGTGAGACAAGAATTCCAGGCATATATTTGTTGTTCTACATTTTTTTTCATATTTATTATATCATTTTTATTAATAAAAAATGGGAAATGGAAAAGAATTTTTTTTATTTCTTCTTCCTCTTCCTTATATTTTTTTGCAATTTCGCGTATATTTTTTTTTATTTTGTAAAATTTCTTAGCAAATGATTTTTTCCCTTTAATATACCTTTCTACTATTGCATCGACGAGAGTCTTATCGTGAGTATTTCGATTTTGTGCATTCTTCAGCACGTCTTTGTTTTTCTTTATTTCGTTTGTCCTTTGATTGACTTTGTAAGCGTTGCTGATGTGTTGGTCATCATTGGAGAAGCTACTACTGCCATGGGCATTGGTATAGGCACTGCTAACACTTTTAATAATTGCATCGCTACTATAACAACCGCTAGTACACCCCACTTTGTATCCAGGCTGGCCTATCTGAACCCGAAACTTTCTTACTTCTCTCCCTATAAAGCAGAATTTGTCGTAAAACATCTGGTCAATATTTTTCTGTATCTCGCAAATCCTCTTATCATTGCTTATTTTGTCCCATAAATGGAGGCAATTCAATTTGTCTTTGTAGTATGTTATAATGTACATAAATTTATAGGCTGCTAGTTCCTCTAAATAATTAACAATTTTGCTCACGATATGTTTTTTATTTAATGAGCACTTTTCATATATGTCGTAAATGTTAAAATTGATATTATTCATATAATACTGAGTGTTATTATTTTCTTTCTTGTCTATTATATCATATTTCTGAAATACATCTAATATATATGGAATATTCAAAGATTCCATTAGTATATTCGCTAACATTTTTATGTTACCTTTATTATGCTTCACATAATTATATTTACTTTCATAAATTTTAATATTTGTAGAATACGTCTTTATGAGATTTTTATAATCTACAACATATCTGTAAAATATTTCTACCCTCCTCTTTTTATTTTGATTGAAGCATTTTTTGTATAAATTATGAAGGAGATATTTCCAGTTGTAGTTTCTTTTTCGGAGTGAATATCCACCTTTTTTAAAAATTATTTGTTCGTTTTTTTTTTTATGCTTGCTGTTGCTAATGATATTGTTTTTACTTCTCCAATTTGTGGGATAATCCTTGAAATAGTTAACACAACTGTTTGCATCACTTCTAATCGAATTATTAGATGTGATATTAAAAAGGTTTAAATTCTTTTTCTTATCTTTTGAAAGAATATAATAGGGTTTATTTCGCCATATCATGTGGGACAAGGATTTTTTTGTGAACATTTTCCTTATTGTGATTTGCCAATTTGGTTTTATTACACTCGTTTCAATCGAACCCTCAGATGTACTCAACAACTCATATGGCACATTTCCCGAAGAGTTTCCCTTGTTATCTCCTTTGCATATAATTGGACGTTCACATATACACCTGACAAAATAATTCTGTAAATATTTAACTAGAGCAACGTCGCTGTGCGTCTTTATTTTATATAACAGCTGAATGGGGACAAAATCTGTTTGATTTATTTCATCGAGAAAATCATCTATTGGTTGTTTTTGTTGCTGTTTTTGTTCTATTTGTTTTTTTTGGTAATTTTGTTTGTAGTTTTGTTTGCAGTTTTGTTTGTTATTTTCTCTACAGAAGAGACGCCTGATAGATGCAACGTCAAATTTGTTTTCACATTCTGTTCTACTATAATTTTGTGCATAGAAGGTGTTATTTTTTGTATTAACCTTAACGAAAATATATTTTCTACTTTTATAATCATTCACTTTATACATATGTACATGATCACCAAAAGGTATTGCATTTTCACAATTGAAATGCTGCTCTGTGTTGTTTATTTTTTCTGTGTCATTTTGCCTATTTTTCAAATTATCAATATTCAATACATCATTTTGTCTAAATGTGTTTAAAATAATTTCACCATTGTGTGTACTTTTCATGTATATTTCTTTGTTAATATAATTATACTGATATTTTTTATTATCCCTTAGATAGACTCTATATTCCTCATTTTTATAAAAACATGGATGTTTAATAATAATGATTTTTTTTTTTTTAATGAATGTTATACAGTTACAATGGATATTTAAGCAAAACGTTTCTCCAAATTCATTCACTACATTTATATCATCAAATGTATCTATATAGTTGATATTATGGGACACGATTATTATTCCTATATCTTCGCATGTCACGCGAAATACATGCAGGTTTTCATCTCTCTGAAATTTTCTTTTTTCTTTGTATGGAGGGCTGTGGGAACCATTGTTAAAGAGTGGAATTTTGTTTGCATTTCTACAGATATATTCCCTATTTTGGGCGGAATATAAGGAAATATGATTTTTGCTTTCATATGATAATTTTTCCGAATTTGTGGGTTCCATATATGAGTTTACATTTTTCTGGTATTTGGTAAATGGTCCATTAGTATTCCAATTAGGTTGGTGATAATTTGAAAATTCTTTAAAATTATCATGGAATAAATTTGCTGACTTAGACTTTCTAACATAGCAAGAATTCATATTATCCAGATGCTTTTTCTTAAATACTGGTTGTATTTTATATGTCCTTTGAGGCTTAATAAACAGACTGTGAATAGTAAGTGTATTTTTACTTATTACTGTGTATGAGAATTTGTCAATTTTTATGCGTTTACATTTTTGATGATGCAAATAATGTGTCTTTTTTTTCTTTCCATTATATTTAATTGTGCTATTAATCGTAGTATTATGATCCCTATTTTGTTTCTCGATATAGTTTTGTGTCCCTTCGAATGTAAATTTATCCTTTTTTGGAATCGAATAAAATAATGGTATTTTTTTCCGTACAATTTTGCTGCTACAAAGAAGGTCCCCATTTTTGCTGTAACGTAGTACTTGAATTTTGTTTTTTTTCGTACTTTTTTTTTTTATGAATAATGATAAGGATTTTGTGGAATGGACATTTTCTTCACCTATGATTTCAATGGATCCTATGTAATAATTTCTATTTTTCCTCATTTCATTATTTATAAATATGGGAACATTTGCTATTTTATCTTTTGGAAATTTCATTAAATCTATTTTTCCAATAAAGTATAAATTTTTGCGTAAATTAGGATAAAAAACATTTTTAGGTTTATCAATTAATGTTAATGTTTCATATTTGTAATTAATATCTTTTTCTTTATAATGTATTTCTATTTTGTCTACTACGACATTTTTAAAAGTCATTCCATTGGTATTGTGAAGAATTTTTGTACTAAAATACGAGAATATATTTCTGCAATCATTCATTCTTGGGTCACTTCTCTGAGTTAGGAATTCGTCAGTTTTGTTCTTACTACTAAGTGTAATTACACATTGCATGAAAAAATTGCATAAATGTTCTATAATGTAGAGGAAGTACAATGCATATATCTTGACATAAACAGAATGCCATTTTGCTTCTAAGAAATGCTTAACATGTGCTATTATTTTATAGAAACTATTTTTTAATGTCAGTAAGTTTATATACAGAGAGATAGTTAAAAGAATCAACAAGAAGCTGAACATTTCTGATTGTTCCTCTTTTTTTCCTAAAATATTTGAAAGGAATAGCAAAAGGAGTATCATACTTAGGATTAATTCTGAATATTTTACTTGATACTTTAGCATATCTTCATGAATCCATGTTCTGTCTATTTCCTTTTTGCTACAACTGAAAGATTTAAAATTTTGTCTTGTATCATCATTATCGCTATCAGCACTTAATGGAATATCCTCAGCGAAAGATTTTATATTACAAGAACGTTTCTTATATCTCCTTTTGTCATTTTTATGCATTTCCTTATTGTTTTTCCAAAATATTACATATGAATTGGGTTCCCCCAGTTTATTCTTAGAAATGGCCTTATCTATTTGGTTCACAGTTGAAGAAAAGTTGTATAAAAATATTGCAAAGAAGAAAATAGATAATGAAAAAAAGGTGGAATGGACACTTTTACAAATTAGTAGATTCGTAGTTAAAATCCACGTAACAGTCATTAATCTTAAATAAAGGAAATGTAAAATATTTTCATTAAACCAATTATTTAGGAAAAGAGAAAATATACCACATGAACCATTATAAATATGTTTATTGCTTACAAATAGCTGTAATTTTCTTTTTTGGGACAATAGAATGTATAAATGTTTCAGTTCCACAATTTTTTTGAAGTAGAACTTTTTTTTAAAAAGAGATATTTTGTCATATAGATAGCCTATTTTTATCCTTTCCTCATGTGCTAACAAATGTGTATTAGTTTTTTCCTCATGGTTACAACTATTAATACTATTACTGTTTAGAAATTTTCTATCAATCATTATACGGAGAAGCTTGTTCCTATATACATCACTTTTCACCACGTTATCAAAGGAAAATTTATTTTTGCACCGATTAATCCTTTTTTTCATGAGCAGAAATTTGCTAATGTAGTTGGTTAAGCATTTAGCGTGGAATTTCTCTGCATATATCCCAAGATTCCATTTTTTATCTTCTTCCCTGTCATGAATCATAATTTTGATTGGGCGTTCTATTTGAATGTCAAAATATTCCCTCTTATTTTCAATCCGAAGGAATTTACAAATTTGTTTATTAATTTCGAAATTGAGGATCTCATTTTCTCTCAAATAAGTAATCTCCGTCTGGAATTTTTCGTTAGTTACGTAGGACCTGTTCATATAAAATAATGGATCTACCAATTCGTTATGACGAATATGGTTGTCTATTATGTAAAATGTTTTTTTGAAAACGTTAATTAAATTGTCCTGTTCAGGTTCATTCTTGGAAGAATTCGTAAAAGTGTTATCAGTGCTACCATCGACATCATCCAAGCTGTCGCGATCAACATCATCCAAGCTATCACCATCAGCATCCCCATCACTTGATGCAGCAATACGATCTTGTGATATGTTTTTTTGGAAAAACTGATTTTTACTTGAAAGTCTTACTCCCTCCTTTTTGTGTGTGTCCATTACAGTGGATACTGCCAATGGCATGTCTTGTAATAAAAGCTGATTTTTTTGTGACAGCTGAGTTCGTATTTTTTCTCTTCTTTTTCTGTTTATGTAATTTCGTATAATTTTTTTCAAAGAAATATTGTTTTTTGAAACATGGTTCTTGATTTCATTTAGTCTATAAGGTGAAGAAGAAAATGCATATCGGTTTACTTCTCCCTGATCAACTTTTTTTGTAATATTTATGTGATGGTTTACATTTGCATCATTTGGGGAGTATTTTTCTCGTTCGTTACTTCTAAGCAGTATAGTATATGAAGGCAGGTGAATATCAAAGTATTTTTTGAAAAGAAATTGAAAAGGAAACCGTTGTATTATGATCCCATGAATTTTATTAATAGATAGAGGAATAAACCTTTGTAAATAATAACTATAAGTGGTATTCTTCTTAACATATAAGATAAAATATAATGAAAGGAAAATATAAGACAATATATAACAAACTAGTAAAATTGTGCAAACAAATTTAACAGTAGAAATATCCATAGTAAGAAAATAAACTTTCACTTGATAAATACTATCATAATGTATTATATTGGATGTAGAATAAATTATCGGAAATAAAAAAATATCAAACATAAGAGGAATAAAATTGTGAAATGACAAAAATGGAATGATAATAATTTTTGCTGTATCCCCTTTGCGTGTATATTTGGAATATACAAAATATAGCAATGTAAACAAAAAGAGCATGATAATGATATTTAAAAGCACACTAACATAAATATGTAAAAGGAAAATTTCATCTTTTTCCAATTTTCCGGAGCTCTTATAAATTGTTTCCTGATTTTTTTGATATATATATTTTTTTTTCATTTTGTTTTCTTCCTCATCTGTGTATTTTTTACTTCCCCTGAATAGAATAAATTTGTTCAAGAATCCCCTAGTTGTTATATTTTCTTTTTCCATAGAACAATTGTTATTTTGGAGATTGTCACCTTTTTTAATTCTGCATTGCATAGATTTTTCTACGTTCTTGTTTGTGTTGTGATTTTCCTTATCTGTGTTGTCGCTTTTGTTTAACTTCCCACTGTAATGATATCCATTTTCAGACTTTACGAAATTTATTTCTTCTTTTGTAACGGAATTAGAAGTGTTATGATCATAGTTTTTGCTATGTGCATGCATGAATGCGTTGCACTCCATTTTTTTCCCCTCTCCAATGTGTTGTAAGTCAGTTAAAACATGATTCGTTTTGATTTTCCTATATACATTGACATTGACAATATAGGAAATAAAAGAGAGAATTTGTAATTTTTTTAAGAAATAATGATACAATGATGGAAGAAAGGTATCATACTTTATATTTAAAAATGTTAATATTTGTATGAACTGAATGGATGGTAATAATTGGGATGATTGTAGACAGGAAAAAAGGATAATATACGCATAAGAAAAGTAAGACAGAAATTGTAAAAAAAATTTATAAAATACATTTTTTCTTATAATAACTAAATCAGTATTGTAAAGAATATTTTTATTATCATCCAAAATTTTTATATTAATGTTTTCCTCCCTCTTTCCTATTTCACTTATAGAATACTCTGTGTCGTCAGTAATTTTCTTGTTGTTTATGAATAAATTAAGGTTATCTCTTTTATCATCATAATAATGAAATCTTGAGCTTTTTTGTGTTAGTAGAAAATTTGTGTCTAAGAAACTCCATTTTTTATTTTGTTTTTTCTTAAATACAACTTGGATGTATGATGATTCTCTGCCGTTTTGCAAAGTGCAAATATTATTTTGTGAACAATTTGCATTTTTTAAAAAGGCTATAAATGTAAAACTGCTGGCTATAATATTAGCTGGGATTTTGTGTATATAAAAAAAGTAATGCGAAACATTTATTTTACATTTCAATGGATCAGTTAAACAATTAACATCTTTACATTTTTCCTCATTTGTGTATTTTAGTATGAAAACCTTTTTCGTGGGAAATATTACTTTGTCTATTTCTTGATAATTACGTAATTTTTTTTTCCTTTTCGATGAAAATAAATTTTTCCATGAAAAAGTTTCTATGTTAATAGTTTCATCAAACAGATTAGTTACATAATTTTTTTTACTTTTTGTTAAGTCCTCGTCGTGCATATTACCGAAGATCAAATAGGAGTTCCTCTTTTTCATATTGGAAATGTCTTCACAATGGTTAACAGAATTTAAACTATGCAAATATTTCCACTCATCTATGCATTCATCATAAAAATATTCATCCAAGTATTCATTCAATGTTATCAAATTGTATTCATGTACCAATTTTTTGTCATTTACTGAGAAATTATTGAGTGAAACAGAGTTATTTGGAATTTTAACACGCAGCCAAAAATTGTCACTGGGGGTAAATATATCATATCTGAATGTGTTAATAAGAAATTTTGGCATAATAAAAGTTGGGTCCATAATAGTCTTGTCCAATCCATTTGAAGGTACATGAAATGAATATCCTATAACACTTATATCGAAAATTGGATTGAAATTGTTTTTATCTCTATCGCTACATGTAATGTTAAGTCTGTAAATGATGAATTGTTCTCTTTTAATATCGCTAGTTCCAGCGAATAATTGTAAATTATCTGTACATATAAATTTGTAGAAATACGTTTCGTATTTATAATTTTCCTCTTTTAATAAATTACGCAAATTTTTATTAATGTATACAAAATTGGATGGGTGGGATGAAGTATACACATATAATGGCTGATTATCATCCTTCACATTAATGTTAATTTCATAAAATTGCCTTATCTTTTTACTATCCATAAGGATATGTTGACGGAAATACTCATTTTTATTTATAACTGTTACGTTTTCTGGGTGTAGCAAATTTAATTTTTTCCCATCCTCATTCTGGGTAAGTAAATTATTAACCAGTAGTTCTTTAAGGTCCATTACATCAAACTTAAATGAAATAATGACATAAATGATAATGCATCTTTTCGGATTTTCCATTTGGCACAATTTGTAATTTACTTTTTTGGTATTCTTAAATTTAAGTACTATATTATCCTTTGTTATTTGTTTATTCCTCTCATTGAAGAAGATGATTTCTGTTTTTCTACTCTTATTACAATTTTGCTTTGATACAACATTTTGGACATCCTTACCTCTTTTCACTTGTAATATGTTCATAAACCTTATTTCTACATTTGTAGCATGTGCCTCACACAGAACTAAATAAACATGTCTGAAATTTGTTTTCAAAGTGTCATATTTAAGGGCACATTCTTCTTTATTTTCAACATATATTGTGAATGAATCCTTTTTAAATAAGTTTTGCATTACTGTTAAATCATGCTGAAAGGAAAAATGGGTGCATATTAATATACCCGTAATAACGAATATACTGAATAACCTTTTTATCATTTTTATGATGTTGTATTATCGACGAGGAAAAGAATAGAAGGAATAAAATTCGTCAATCTTAGCTTCATATTGCTTGGTTTCGTTAAGCTATGCTTAATCAGTGAAGTATGTTTATGGTGCAATAAAAGAATTATTGTCATGCGAAATACGGTGCTAATATGTGCGTTTTTTATAGAGAAAACACACACGTATATATATATATATATATATATATATATATATATATATATATTTTCTTTTTAAGAAATGTCTATTTATATCTATTTCAATGGATTAAACATGTGACATATTTGATGAGTTCGTAACAGAAGCTCTTTCACCGAACCTTCCACATCTGTGCCTGTCTGCAACTGTCAATTTATATACATGTACGCACGAGTGGGGGAGAGGCCTCACATTTCCATATCGAAAAAGGTATCTTGCATACATACACGCACACAAATATATAAACACACGCATATATATTTGTGTGAAGTTCATATGTGAAGCGTGTATATTTTTATTTTCTTCAACCTTTTTTTCCTTCTACATAGGAGCGTTAAAATTAAAACATTTCCAATCTGTGCACCACATAGAGTGGATAAATGCACGGAATATACATCAACATTAATAATCAAAGTTTTGACAAAAAAAAAATGTATAGAATGAAAAAAAAAAAAAAAAAAAAAAAAATGGAAAATGAGAAAAGGAAGTAAATAAGAATAAATGAAATAAAATGTCAACAAACTGTACAAATAGAAGGAGGACAAATGTTCCATAATTGAAGCGTCATTTATTTATGGATCTTAATTTTATTTCCAGAAATGTAGAAAGTCCTGGTCATCAAATAAAAGAGAAAGAAATGTTAAAGATGTTGTTGAACCATGAGTAACGTTCACATAATTTGCAAAATATGTCAAAACATTTTGCTAAAGTTATGTGTAGTACACATATAAATTTTATAACGGGTACTCTATTAACATTGCATACTGTTTAAAGAGATATTTCGAAAACATTCACGAAGAAAAAAAAAAAAAAAAATATATCGAACTAGCCACCTACAAAGCATATGTCCTATCAGAAGTTAAGAAGGACAAATAGAAGGAAAATAAGGAGCAAAAAATAAAGAAGCCCAAAAAAAAAAAAAAAAAAGAAAAAAAAACGGATAAAATCGAATAGTTTCTTTAAATCCTCATTATTACACTTACTCCTAGTTAATGTAAAAACATTGGATAACATCACCTATTACAGTGACCCAACCAATTACACTTCAAAAAATAACATTATCCACACTTATTAAATATCTTTGCGAACTTGTACAAACCGAAAAGGTGTAAAATAAAAGTTTCGGAGATTTAATGAATTTACTATGCCACAATGGAAAAAAATATTTTGTTCATTAAGTATAAGGCAAGAACCCAGGTTGAGGTATTTCGATAATATTACCTTGGGTAAATGTATACTTTGAGATTATGCAAACTTTAAATTTGTGTACGTGCCTAGCATATTTAAAGAGTTTCATTTAATATTTCGACATCACTAGGAAAACGTGAGAGATGAGAATATAGGTAGGTTTGCAGGAACAATATGCTCTTGTGCTAAAATAAGTGATTGAATAAGAGTAAAAATGTGTGCATCATTAGGTGGAAAAATAAGCATATAAATGCATTTCCACTACTGGCTTATCGCGTATCTCTTAAGGCTCTAGGTTTTTATTTTTCTATGCAGGAGCTAGTTTTTAAGGTGCTCAAAATTTTCAAAATTTATTTTTTCTCCGTCTGTTGCTTTTGTATATATATTTTTTCTTTTTTCGAATTATGTGCAGTTATGGGATGCATGGAAAATAGGGTAATATTTGTAGCCAAGCTTGAATAGCAAAATTTTAAGGAAATAATAGTATTCATTAGGTTAGTTGGATAGTTAGGTAGTTAACTAATATTTAATACTTGGTTAGTTAATGATACACGTTGACTAGCTCTTACATCTTTAGCATTTAACCTTTTTTTTTTGTAGATAAATATGCATTATAATTACCCCATTTTTTTTTTTTTTTTTTTTCCCCTGTTTCTTCTAGTTATAAGTAAAAGCTTATATTAGGTAAAACAGAAAAATTCGGCGGGATGTCGGAGATATTAAAATAATGCAGCAATGCAAAAAAAAAAGAAAAAAAGGTGGTTACACCCATTATATGAAATAATTACATCTCCACAACATATTTTTTACAAAAAGTTTGGTTAGACTATGTGTTATTAAAAATATTTCAAACAATTACATACAAAAAAAATAAATAAAAATACAATATAATGCAATGCAGTATAATACAATAAACGCTTCATGGTTAAGTATATTTAAGTAAAAAAATATATATATGGGTTTTTTGCTTACGCATTAAAAATATATACGCACACAAAGGAATTAAAAAAAAAAAAAAAAAAAAAAAAATTAAAAAAGTTAACAAAGCGAGAACGTTCAATCATCACATAAATCAAAAAAGAAAAAAAATAATAACAATGCTTTTTTAATGAACTTTATGTGACTTTAAAATAATACTTAAAAAAATTTCGAGTGTATATTTTGTAGTATTCTTTTAAATGAGTCAATATTTGTCCCCCTTTTTTTTGGGCCACAAAAGTAAGATGATGATTTTTTAACACACATGTATTTGTATGCATGCATAATTATGAATTTGACCATAACTTAATCGATGAACTTTTGATTTTTTTTTGTTTACGTTTTTTTTTTTCTTTTTTCCCGAATACTCCCGTAAAATTTTGAGAAATAATAAGGTACAGAAAAAAGTGAACAAAAAAGTGAACAAACAAGTGAACAAACGAGTGAACAAAAAAAGGGGAAAAAAAAGGGGAAAAAAAAGGGGAAAAAAAAAAGGTGAACAAAAAAAGGAGAAAAAAAGAGTGAAAAAAAAAGTTGAAAAATATAAAAAACAAAAACAATAAAAAGGGGAAGGAGCTTTGGGACTACAAGAAGAAGCGAGAAAGGGAAACATAATCAAGAGAAGCATATTTGTAGTAGTAAGAAGAACATTACTACAGTACACTAAAGAAAAAAGAATTTGGAGGAATTCACCATTGTGCTTTTACACATCAAGTAGAAGCTCACAGGGGGCATAAGAAGAGAACAAACGGATGAAGTTATGAGGTTAGAGTTGAAAAATATACACATTCATATGGTCCTACATTTTGTATTAATTTAAATGTCTTGAATAAACCATTTATGTCGATTCCTTTAGGCACGTGTATATATAGAAAAAATTGCAAGTTTACATGCATGTCCATTATTTGTGTGTGTGTGTGCATATTATGTCTGATGTACCTTCTCACTTACTATCGTATTAGGTCATTCGAGGTTTTGCTATTCATCTAAACAAAGCATTACACGCCAACTGCGCACATTATGCACTTGATCCCCTCACAGTTTCTCCAACAGTCAGAATGGATAACAATGAAAGTATAAAACAGTACGTGAAGAAAGTAATAGAACACAGAGAAGTCGAAAGTAAAGTGAAAAAATTAAGATTAGATATAAAGGAGCTAAATAAAAAATATGAAAAGACTGAAGATAACTTAAAAGCATTACAAAGTGTAGGTCAAATAATAGGGCAAGTATTAAAACAGTTAGAAGATGAGAAATTTATTGTAAAGGCATCAAGTGGTCCGAGATATGTGGTAGGATGCAAATCGAAAATAAATAAAAGTAAATTAGTTATTGGCACTAGAGTATCATTAGATATGACCACCCTGACAGTTATGAAAAGATTACCATGTGAAGTAGATCCACTAGTATTTAATATGATAAGTGATATAGATAAAAGTGAAAATAGTAAAAATAAAGTTAACTACAATCAGATAGGAGGATTAAGTGAACAAATAAGACAAATGAGAGAAGTGGTAGAATTACCAATACTTAATCCATTTTTATTTAAAAGGGTAGGAATAAAAACTCCCAAAGGGGTTTTGTTATATGGTCCTCCCGGTACAGGAAAAACATTATTAGCTAGAGCAATGGCCTCTAACATTAATTGTAATTTTATGAGAATAGTTGTTTCAGCTATTGTAGATAAATATATTGGTGAAAGTGCAAGAATTATTAGAGAAATGTTCAATTATGCTAAGGAACATCAACCTTGTATTATTTTTATGGACGAAATTGATGCTATAGGTGGTAGAAGATTTTCCCAAGGTACATCCGCAGATAGAGAAATTCAAAGAACACTTATGGAGTTGTTAAATCATTTAGATGGTTTTGAAGAATTAGGAAATGTCAAAATTATTATGGCTACTAATAGACCAGATGTCCTAGATCCAGCTTTAATTAGACCTGGTAGACTAGATAGAAAAATTGAAATTCCATTACCGAATGAAACTGCAAGAATTGAAATTTTAAAAATACACGCAAATAAAATGACCAAGTTGGGAGATATAGACTATGAATCGGTGTGTAGATTGTGTGAAGGTTTCAATGGAGCAGATCTTAGAAATGTATGTACAGAGGCAGGTATGTTTGCAATCAGGGCTATGCGGGATTATGTCATTGAAGAAGATTTTTATAAGGCTGCTCGAAAGATTAATGAGGCCAAAAAGTTAGAGGGAAAAATAGAGTACGAAAAAATTTGATTGTTCATATCCGTTGAGTGCATATATGACGGAGAGCTTGGAATGGAGGAACAAAAGCATAATTTTTTATTTCTCATAGTGTGTCTTTGTCTCGCCCTGAAAGCCAGAAAACAGCGAAATTTGAAAAAAGGCTTGAACAAATTGATTAAAAGGAATTTCAGAACAAAATAACAACAACGTGGCTATAAAGTTATCATAGAAATATCATATGTTGACCATAAAGCCACAACAAATTGCAGAAAAAATCACCAAAAATTTGTCAAAATCGAATTATTACATGTACAAATTGATTACAAAAAGAAAAATAAGAAAAAAAAAAAAAAAAAAAAAAAAAAAGATAAAAGCTGTATGCACACTGTATAAAACTGTTGTGCACAATTGCTTGAACAAAAAAATGCCTGATGTGTCCTTTCTCTTTTATTGTTTCTCCCTTTTTTCTTTCTTTCCTTGTTTTTTTTTTTTTTTTTTTTTTTTTTTTTTGTTTTATAATGGTAGAAAAATATATTTATTTTATGCATCAATTAAACAATTCTTTGTTTCACCCAAACTTCAATTAATATATATGCATGCACATATATATATATATGTACAAGTTTGCGCTAAGTATATACATAATACACACAAACACATAAATAATATAAGCACAGTTTTAAAAAATTGAAAATTTTTAAACCTTTTTATTTCTTTTTTTTTTATTGGTTTTCATTTCGTTCAGTTCATATTCCATTATCTGCCTTTTTTCAAGATCTACTTTCTAAAAACAAATTTTGAAAATATGTGTTTATACATGTGATGATTAACATGTACATGCGTTGCTAGGAAAGTGCATATATTATGCATATATAAAATCGGGGGGGATATAAGTATGCTTAAGATACAAAAAACTCGGTTATTCTCTTTTTCCTTACTCTATTAAAATCGAACTCTAAAAGAACAACCGACTCGAAGTGCTGAGTGCGTGGGAATGTATCCAATGGAATAATTTCTTTTACCATATAACTGAACAGATAAAAACATAATGAGATGTGTAAATGTATATTGTTCGTACAAGTGCATATAATAATAAAAAAAAAAAAAAATAAATAAATAAAAATACTATGTGCAAAAATAGAAAATTGTATAAATTGCCTTACCCCAAATTAATTAAATGGCTCATATCCCTAAACTGACTATGCACATTACATGATATATAAATGATAAAACGACAACAAATACCTCTTAGCCACCTTCTAAATATCTGCGATGTGTAAGCGAAGATTGGTTATGTTTTCTTCTCCTTATGAAGTTCATTGAGAAAATCATTATGTTTCTTTCTCCTATATCACTTTATGCCTTTTTTTTTTTTTTTTTTTTTTTTTCCTTACCTTTTCACATCCCTTCCGAGGGGGATTAATGATTATCAAATCGGGGATTGGAATAACAAATTCTGAGTGATAATATTAAAAACGTTTCATGCATAAAAAAAAAAAAAATAGAATATATGTAGGTGCAAGGTTGTGATATTAAATTTTTCTTTACTGTAAGTATTCTAGCTGGAATCTCTTGTCTTATCTCTTTTTCTTTTACCTCCTAAAATTTTAGAAATTCTGTCCATTGAATTTGTATCGACTGTCCAAAGATTTCCATCGGGTATATTTTGCGAAATGTTATTATCAAAATCTGCGTGATCATTTTCCATCACAATGTTGCAAGCACTGTTATCAGTTCCTTTGCAATTCCAATCGTTTAAACATTCATAGATGAAATTCGGTAAACTCATATAAGGGGAATGAACCTTCTGCGAATAAAATATGGTATGTACAAATTGTGAGAGCTTTATTTTTATGACCACCTGAAATGATTATACATATGTGCGCACGATGAGGTAAACAGAACAGAAGAGCGAACAGACGTGTGTACACAACAGCTGAGATGTGTGCACTCGTGAGGTCTCAGATGAGCACACTCCCGATTCCCACTTATAACCTGCAAATTTTCTATTACTCCTGCCTCACTGTCTGATAATATGTATGAGGAATTGATCTTTTCCTTCAAGAGGGGGTATACAGAATAATTATTACTTTTTATAGAATTGACAATGTATCTTCTGATATGTATATTGATTTGCTTCAGATTATTGAGGTTAAACAAATTCAAATTAAAGCATTTAATATTTTTTATTTTATTTATTTTTATGTTTTCTTCTAAATTTTTTATATTATCTATGGAATAATCGACACAAATAACTTGCTTGAACAATTCTGCAAGAGGCAAGGAATAAAAACCGATTCCACAAAAAAGATCATAGAGATATGAATTTTTTGCATTTATTTTATAATCCTCTATTAATTTAAAAATTATTTGAATAATACATTCATTTAAATATTGGTTTGGTTGAAAAAAGGTATTAGCTCCTATTTTATAAGTATAACCATTATAAGTGTGATAAATACAATTTTGACCATATAAAATGGTTTCATTTTTCATTTGTTTTAATTTGTTCGTTTCAACATTGTATAAAATACCTTTAATTGATTTATCTTTTAAGGATAAATTGGTTGCAATTTTTTTGAGATGTTTTTTTGCCTTGTCATTTAGCGAAAATCCAATAAAGTTTACTAAAATTTGCTCCTCCGAATTATTTTTGCTCATTTTGATGTCTACACTTTTTAGGTATCCATTGTTATTTATTTTGTTAAAAATGTATATATTATTTTTTTTAAAATTATCAATTATTTCTTTTTTAATTTCTGTAAAAACATTTTGTATATGCTCATCATGAATATAGCATTTCTTTATATCACAAATTTCGTAACTATGTTTTTTGTAGTATCCTATGAATAAATTATCCGTAACTGAAAAGTTAATAGACGATTTGTTTCTGTAATGGTAGTCTTTTGAAAATAAAAAATCATAGAGTCTTGCAAAGCCCATATCGTTCACATTACCGTTTTCTTCATATTCTATAGGTTTTTCAGGATTGGTTCGGTTAGATTGAATAGGAGTACAATCGAAATTGGTACAACTGCTACGACTTATATTCATTTTCTTGAAATCCTCCTTCCTATCGAGATGTTCTTTCCCCTCTACGTCTTCCACATCATTATACATATATTCTCTCTTTACTTGAGCAATTTCCAGTAAATCTTCCTCAGGTGGTTCGATCGTTTTGCTCAAGTCGTGAACATTTTGTAAATAATCTTTTCCACTAGTTAACACACGTATATTATATTTTTCACACAAACTTATTAATAAATTTTTTTTTAATTGTCTTTCAAAATTGTAGTTAATGTGTTGAAAAATGCATCCCCCACATTTGGAAAAATATTCACATTCGGGCACTATTTCATACTTACTCTTTTTAGTTTTGCACAGGAGTTGAAAAGTTGTTTTTTTTTTCTTTTTATTTATATCCAAAACTTTTATATTTACTTGTTCATCCGGAATTAATAAATAGAATTTCAAAAAGAACAATAAATTCTGTCTAGCGGAATATAGAGCTATTTCTCCATATCCCTCTGCGTCCACCTTATGTACCTATCATATAGGGGAAAAAATTATGCACACTTTTTGTTAATCGTAAGATTAAATAATTACGTATATAAGCAAATGAATAGTCACTCGCATATCATTTCACTTTTTTAGTTACTCTTTTAACTAAGCGGGGATAAAAAAAAAAAAAAAAAAAAAAAAAAAACGTAGCATTGTATTCGGTGAGAGAAAGGTGTCCTATTTGTATAAGCGGATCATGACGTAAAAATTTTATATAATTTTTTTGAATTTATGTGAAATGAAGTCAAATGTACATATACAATTGGTACACATTTATTTATTTTACTTGTTCGTTATTGAGTACTAACTTTAACCCCTTGGAGAATTTGATTCTCGTATAGGTTATTATAAATGTTTCCTTTGTAGATTTTTAAACTGTCATATTCTTTACTTTTATTAAGTGCAATTATTTTACTTTCACATATATCGCTAATTTTTCTTTTGAAAACGTGGTTATTAATTATCACAGTTTTGAAATTCTGGCAAATGGGGAATCTAAAGCAATTTAAATAATGCATTATGTCTTATTTTGTCGTTGCATCAACGATTCTGTTAAGTCCCTATAGCAAGAGGGTCAAGTTGGTGAATGTACATTTGGGGATGCTACAAGGTGTTCATCTGTTTGATGCAAATGATGGAATGATGCAGTTATATATTTCATTTAAAAATATTGCTAGCTTAATGCCATAAAATGTGTCAACCCATTTATGAGTAAATAGGTGACACTTAATCAAACCTCAAAATGAAAATTATTGGTGGATATATCCAATTAAAAGGTTAATAACTTTTAAAAATGGTCACCATGTTGTTTCAAATTGTTAACACGGAAAAAAAAAAAAAAAAATTTATACGATATAAAGTAATACTGAACTAAGCAAGAAAAAATGCAATATATTTACAAGTTATGGGTTCAAATTAATTATGAAACATTAACAGATGCAATATATTTTTATAAGCTTTACTTAGGGCATATTTTTACTCATTAATATTCTGTAGAAAAAAAAAAAATTTTAGTGGGACGTGAAATAAAATTTATTCCTTTATAAATATTTTGAAACTGTAATTTAGTCTTTGCAAAGATATATGAACATTTTGTTTATAGTATATCCGAGGTACAAAGGAACTACATTTGTTGTAATAGAAATATTGATGTGTTGCCTTGTAAAACATTTTCTTATCTACAAGAGAGTTATAGTTACACAATAAATATGAACAAATTGCCTAAACTTGCATGTATATTAAGTTAGATGTTCTTAAATATATTTATTGATGCAAGAAAACCTGGGAAATCTTATTTATGCCTTAGATATATATTTTTTTATTTTCCTTTTGAAGTACATATTTCCATAGGAGACATGTTTTGTAGTGTAAGAAATCTATTCAATGTAAAAAAAAAAAAAAAAAAATTAAATTAAAAGGGCATTAGAAAAGTGTACATTTACAAAAATCACTGAGAATACTTGCTGTGGTAACCAGTACACACAAATGTGTGTGTTCATTTAACATGCTTCTGAATAAGTAAAGCTTTCCGTTCATATCCCCATTTGACATTGAAAAAAAAAAAAAAAAAAAAAAAAGGAAACCCTATAATTACGTTTTATGAATATTTCTTTAGGCGCATTAAATATGTTTAAGCTTTAATTTTTGTCAAATGTACGAATTAACGAAAGTGAACAGTTGCTTTTCACAGTGGGAAATAAGAATTTTCTTCCAGTGTGCAAAATAATGTTAGGTGTATACTTTTTAATGGCTTAAGTATGTGATGTCTTGTTTTATTCTTAGTTTCGTGTATTTTCATCTATTTAAACTTGATAGATTTTTGTGTGGAACATTTCCAATTTGTAAAAAAAAAAAAAAAAAAAAAAAGCTAAAAAAGGAGAATATGTTTAAAAATTACAACACACCATTAAAAAACTGATTGTTAAATCTTTTTTTTTTTTTTTTTTTTTTTTTTTTAAACCTTACATTTTTGAATTTCATTCATTTGCTTATTTGTTTATTTCGTTTTCCATTTTTTAAATTTTTCTAGTTTTACTTTTTCACCTGCTTTTTTTTTTTTTTTTTTTTTTTTTTTTTCCTTTTTTTTTTTTTTTTTTTTCTATTCTTTTTTTTTTTTTTTACTTTAATGTTTTTTTTTTTTTTTAATTGAAAATTATTCCATGAAATAAATGTAGTTATATCAATACGACATTTTCACTATTGCACAATTTTTTACATACTGTACCTTATCTTTTTATATATACATATATATGTACATGGATATGTATACTTGTATGCATATTAATGAAAGTGTATTTTCTCTTTATTTTTTCTAATATAAATGAAAAGAAGTGAATAAGCTTTTCCCAACTAGAGAAGAAAGCTAACGTGTTTGTTAAGAACATATTGTCATAATGTATATATACATATATATATATATATATATACATATAGTTCATTTTAAAAACATATTAAGATTGTAAGTCGCAATGACACATGTAAATATGTAAAACAGTGTGACTGTTTATGTGTTTGTATCATTGTGCGTGCACATGTGAGGATATATGCAATACATGTATGTATGCATTTACTAATTTATGTACACCACATGTGAGTACACATGTTTTATGTATATACATACCAGTTTGCATATGCATACGTTTGTACAAATTCAGATATATGCAACTTATAAGGCACATGCCCCCAATATTACAACTCTTTCCCACTAATATTTGTCTCTTTTTTTTTTTTTTTTTTTTTCTCTTCACCACACAACCCAGCGTCAATTTTTTATTATTATTTATGATGATAATAATAATTACAAAATTGATTAATTTCCATTTTCATGATTTTTTGTTACAAGAAAAATAATACAAGATGCCTTTTGTAAAATGAACTCTTTTCATAATTCTATTTTTTCCTCTTTTTCCAACTTTGCTTGAACAACAGAAAAGAGCACATAATATAATATTGGCCATTCGTTTTATTTTACTTTATTTATTTATTTATTTTTTTATTTTTTTTGTTTTTGGTAATATATGTGTGCACAATTATAGTTGTTTTTTTTTTTTTTTTTTGTTTGTTTTTTCTACCCCAGTTTGTTCGTAAATTTGCTTTAGAAGATGAAATTATTCGTTATATTTTTTTGTCTAGTCATATTTTTTTTTGAGGAAAACATTGGTATTAAAATACACAAAAATGATTCAGCAATATTTGATATTAATAAGGTGTTAAAAAATAAACTTTCAGTATTATACAGAAAAGGAAACAAATTAAACAACTATTTTTTTTCGTATATTGAGAAAAATGGGAAAAAGAACAAGTGTTATAAATACATACAAGATACCTTGTATGATTCCAACACACAAATTATGAAAAATGAAATATTTAAATGCTTAAACAGTACTAAGGACATATTAAACAAAACGTTTCATGATGTTATTAATAAACTATTTTTATACATTAAAAATGTATTTTTAAAAAAGTATTTTATTTTTTTCTTATTATATTTAATAAACATAAATTGTGACCATTTGGTTTCGAAAATAAATGATCCCTATGTATTAAATAATTACAATTTGGTTGAAGATGCTTCTCCTTCCATGTTCAATTTGAAATATGAAGAAATAGAAATTCCGAATTCTAACAAAATAAAAGGTTGGTTGATTAAAGCGAACAAAAAAAGCAACAAATTATTTTTATTACTACATGGATATAACAGTAATAGACAAGCATGTTTGTTTTTTTTAAATATTTTAAAAAAATTAAATGTTCATCAAGATACTAATATATTTATACCAGATATGAAAAATTTTAGTGAAAAGGGAGTAGAAGATATATATAACATTTTAGCCTACTTCAAAGATAAAATGGCATTAAATGACGTAAGTATGTATACACAATCTTCTACAAACCTTCTTGTTTTACTATTATCAAAACGTTACAAAAATAAAATTGTTAGTAAGTCAAAACAGAAATTTATAAAAAATATTATACCATATAATAATGAGAAAAAAAGTGGAGAGGATGTAATTTATATAGATAAGTATATTTTTGATTCCCCTATACTAAATTTACACAGAACAATTAACATTCATTTTAATTTAAACGATATACAAAGAAAAATAAATGAAGAAAAAATAAAAAGTAATGTTGACATGAATAGTGTATATGACAAAAAAACTGTATTAAGTTATTTTATTTCCTTTTTTATGTGGATATTAAATAACCAATTAAAGGGGCATTTATACGATTTCGACTTTAACAAATTGATACATGAAAATAACATCAACCCGTCGAATATATACATTTTGCATTCCTATAATGATAACATTTCCTTATTGAATATACTCTCGCAAGAGGTAAAGGAAAACAGATTATTACCACTGGATAATATTTACATATTTAAGAATGGGCGACACGCAAATATATACGAATCATCTAAGAAAGAGTACGATTTGATAATTAAGAGAATTATAAAGGGATTCAGCATATTGGATTTTATTTACTATATTCCCTTGAGATCCAAGATGAGTTCCATTTCCTTTTAGGAGGATGTTTTTGAGCCTCCCTTAATGTGTAAAATCGGAGATGTAGAAAAATGGAAAATGTATAGACATAGAGAAATGCAACAGTAGAGAAGCATAGGCAACGATGAAGTGGCAAAAGTTATAAATTGTAAAGTGAGCAATTATCTGTACGCCAAAAAAGAAAATAAAATTGATCGTACAAAAAAAAAAACTCTTGTTAATGAGAAAATGTGGCACCTGATTACGAATATGGTATCTATTTTATTCACATAAAATTGTCAATACAAAATTTTTATTTATGAATTAAATTTAACATATGGGGAAAAAAAAAAAAAAAAAAAAAAAAAAAAAAAAAAAAAAAAAAAAAAAATATGTGTTTTTTTTTTTTTTTTTTTTTTTTTTTTTTTTTTTTTTTAGTATCAAAAAAAAAAAAAAAAAAAAAAAAAAAAAAAAATAATAAATAAAAAAGTAAGCGGTCTATACCATGGCATTTTTATGGTTTATCAATAATATTTTAAAAATTAGTTTTATTGCTTTTATATTTACAGTTATCATATATGTGTGTTTGCACAATGATGCATGTTTCGTTTCTGTTTATTAATAATTTACTCTTGCGAAAATGTATGCACATATATATACAGAGATATATATGTGTGTATATATCTACAAAATGTATGTATTAATCATTATTTACACAAAATGACAAATATTTTAAAAATAACGTCTTATAGAAAGGTGTAAATAATGTACATATATATATGCATTTAAATAAACTTTTCTTCTTTTTTTTTTCTTTTTTTTTTTTATAGTATATAATTTATTAGCACAATGACAATTATTAAAATAAAATTTCTTTGTTTTTATACAATTCTTTGTAAAAATGTATTAGGTAATCAACAGGAAGTTCTAATGCATGTATATCTAATTTGTTTGTAACATCGATTGCATACATATATAGAAGTGTTAAAAATCGTCTTTCGATCATCCTTTATTTTGTTGGAATTTAGTTAATCAAAATATATATGCCACTTTTTCCATGTTCACATTTCTTATATTATGCTTCTCTATCCGAGTCATCTATTTTTTTGTGCATATCTTCTTCGTGACTTAGTAGAAGGTAAATTCATAACCCTTTTTTTATATGATTTTCTGGCTTTCCACTTAAAATAAAGTACTCTTCTTAAACTACCTTCTTTGTATACATTACTATTTAGTATGATTGCAGAACTGTTAAAGAGATTGTATATAGGTATTGGGTTAATGTTCTTTACTGCATTTTTTTTTTTTTGTACATTACTTAAGACATTATCGAAATGACCGATTTGAAATAATTTCAGTTGTTTCTTGTGTCTAGGTTCTATTTTCACCGTTATCGATTTTGTGTTAATTGTACACTTTAGAAAATTACATAATTTCGTTTTATTTTTTCCTTCAAGAAATGTTTTTAAAAAATTATTATTTTTTTTTAATATATTAAAAAATGGCATATACATGTTTCAGTATAAGTTGTCGTGTAAAGAAGGTTTGTGAAAATTATGCATTCCTTTTTTTTTTTTTTCCTTTGATTATCAAGTGGATAAATGTAAATGCGTAGGTCATATAATCGATATTTGTTTTATTGCAAGAATATATAAGTGTGTACATAGCACATGTGTGTGTGCATTGTGAATAGTGAGGCGGTTGACAAAAAGAGGTAACTTTGTGCCCGCACGGGGGAAAGCAGGTACACGGAAAAAAGGGGGAAAATATGAAAAATTGGAAATATGCTAAAAATAAGAAAAAAAAATGGAAAAGTGCTTGCTTATGCTTGACATGTGAAGATGAGCATATTCTTTCTCAAATGAGGAAAAACGAATATACAAATAAAAATGTATGTATATATATATATATATATATATATATATATATATATATATTTTTCAAATGCAGAAAAAAGGAGCTATAACGTCACAAGCCATAATGTGCGATATTTACATGTTTCAACAAAAAAAAAAAAAAAAAAAAAAAAAAAAAAAAAAAAAAAAAAAAAAAAAAAAAAAAAAAAAAAAAAAAATTTAAATGTTTCAAAAAAAAAAAAAAAAAAAAAAAAAAAAAAAAAAAAACTCATACGAAATTTGCTAACAAAAACAACGGATATGTGTTATTTTATAACGCTGCGCCAAAAAGGGGTGAATGTACAAAATAACTCAGTTTGTACATATGGCAAAAATACATTTACATAAAAAAAAAAAAAAAAAAAAAAAAAAAAAGAAAAGTTTAAAATATCAGCTTCGTATCAAATGAACATTTGGGTACATGTAATATATTGTGTCCTTTATGAATCCCGTTCCGTTAGCAACAATTTGAGTAAAGGATTTTTCAAATCTTCGTAAGCGGTTCGTTTAAAGGAAGCATACCTAAAATAGTTTATTTTTTGTGCTTATAGAAGGAAGTCCATTTCCCTTTTTTGTGACTCTACATTTTTGTTAAAGATCATTCAAAGCATTTGTGGAAAGGAAGAGACAAGGTAAGTAAACATATGCAGCAAATGCTTCATGTAAACGGGATAACCTTTTTTATAACAATTTCCGAAATGCATCCCTTCCAAATCTTCTTCATTTTATGTGCTGCTATAGCATTACGAAGAATGCATAAGTTTTTGTTCCCCATCTAAGGCATCCCTATCTATAAGAATTCTGCACACACTTGTTGAAGTGTGTCAAGAGAGGGAAAAAGTATTACATGGTATGAATTACTAATGGTGTAGAGCTAGATACGTAGCTAAATGATAATCCAAAAATTTAACCCTTTTGTTTAAAAATATTTTCATTTTCTGAATAAAAATTTTCTGAATTTCTGGCATTATGGAAATAAGTGCTTGAAGGAGAATGGCAAAAGACACGAAAATAAAAAAAAATAAATTTGTTTTTTCCTGAAAATGGAATGGATCTTTAATTTCCAAAAGGATGGTAATGTATATCAAAAAGGAAGCGAACAAAATTATTAACACGTTATAATATTTTCTTAATTTTAAAAAGAAAAATTTATTGGAAATTTGTTTTTTTTGTTGATTTAGTACGAAAATTGTAAGATTGATTAATTTATCATTTGTTGTAGTTTTACTTTCACATGTTTGCATTGAATTGAAGTATTTTATTTTTTCATTTTGCCTAGCTTGTTCAAATGAATATCTGTCACTCCCTTCTTGACTGATTAAATTTCTGCCATTTGAGAACACATTAAAATGTAGTGGAAGAGGGGAGTTTCCCCTTTTATTTTGCATAAGTGCTAAGTTTTCTAATGCTATAGATTCACATTTTATTGTGGTACCTTCTTCGATGCAAAATGAAGAATGCAGATGATCACTTCTTCTAACTGCTACACTGTCCGTTTTGCAAAGATCATTTTTGTGTTCGTCAAGTATTTCCTCGTCTGCAAAACGCACAATGGGTTTTTTCTTATTTGAGTAATCATTATAAGTATTAGTGAAATTTACAGCATCTATGAATGTTTCTTTTTTTTTTCCATCACATTGGTAGTTTGCTAACTCTTTGAAAAATGAACAACTCTTTTGATCTGACATGGAAAATGTTCTCTTAAAAAAGGAAGAATAATGAGGAAATAATTTACTCATGACATATATTAAATTTACCTTGTCTAAAGAAAAAATGGCTTTTTTCATATTGTTTTTAAAAAGAAAATAAAGGGCATTATTTAAGAATAATATATACAATTCTGCAATGAGGATATAAAGAATACACAATATGCCTTTTGTGTTGATAGCGTTTTCTTGTTTGTTAAGTAAATCCATATGTAGTAGAACATAAAAAATTATGAGATTTATGGAATATATAAAGATATGAAAAATAAGGAGTTTCTTTTGGGTCCTGAACAGTTTGCAAATAATATTGTTTATATCATTTGTCAAAGTGGTATATTCGTCAATATTTTTATCTGCATAGATCATACTATTTTTAATGATAAAAAGGGGTAGTAGACGAGCACGCCAAGTGGCCCATTTTGGCCCCGAATTGTGTGGAGTGTTAGGGGCAGTATTGGGTACACAATTTGGTTTGTAGTTTGGCGTACAATTTGGTTTATAATTTGGCGTATAATTTGGTTTATAATTTGGCGTATAATTTGGTTTATAATTTGGCGTATAATTTGTTTCATAATTTGGTGTACAATTTGGTGCAAATTTTGAAAAGCCACATGAGGTCCCATTTTGAACTTGTTCTGATTTTTCTATTGTATTATTAGGAGAATGGTTGGCACTAAAACGGTTATTACTACTTTGATTAACCTCGCATCTTTCTGTATATTTCCAAGACATGTCATATGGGTATCCTGTTTTATCATTACTTACATTTCTTTTTTCATAACTTGGTTTTTCACTCCTATTCACATTTTCCAGTGTTCGTTTATTCATTTCATGGGGATTATTTTCAATTTTGATGGAAATGTAATCTTTCGAATTTTCTCTGTCTATTTTTTGAATTATCACTTTGGGTGTTGTCATATTTGTTGCATTTTTAGGATAATCTCTAATTTTGTATTTTTCATAATTTGGAACATCTCCATTAGTTACGTCATCTATCGAATGGTAAATTTGCTCTTCTGTCCCATTTATATGTCCCTTTTTTAATTTTATTTTAGTGAAATTTTTATTCTTCGATTTGTCTTCATTTTTACGTTCATTTTTTCCTTCATTTTTGCCTTCATTTTTGCCTTCATGTTTTCCTTCATTTTTGTCTTCATTTTTGTCTTCATTTTTGTTACTTTTTTCTGTAGTATTTAATAGTATCTTCTTATCATTTTGCGTCAAAACTTTTTTTTTTTTAGCTTTATGTTCCACTTTCCTGTAACTTTTAGGAGTGTTTTTATTTACAACCTTCATTTTTGAATTCTTGGCAGTGGAAGCTGTATTACATTTATCACTGTGTGAAGCATCAGTTTTAGAGGAAGAAGAACTTGTAAAGAGATCCCTATCACGTTTAGCTGTACTATACTGGTTTCTTCTGTCTAGTGTGTAGTTTTCTCCTTTGTAAAATTCTCCATATTCATATTCATTTGATATATTATCTTCATCCACTTTGAAGATACTAGAATATATTTCATTTTTTAATTTTTTAATTAGCATGTTGTTAATGGCTTCGCCCTTTTTAGTGATACTCTTTCGACTTTTCTGCATCTTCTTCTGCATCTTCTTCTGCATCCTTTTCTGCATCCTTTTCTGCATCTTTTTCTGCATCTTTTTCTCTATCTTTTTCTCCCCGTTTTTGTCCCTTTTCCCCTCCTCTTTTGCATCCACTGTGTTGATTAATCGGCATGTTGGGTTTTCCTCTGCCTCCCAGATGTTTCCATTTTCTTCGGATTTTTTTTGGGGTATGCGTTTCAATTTAGATTCTCCATTTAAATATTTCGCTTCCATTAACGTTTCAATTTTATTATGACTTATTTTTTCGTTTATTTCATTTTGATGAAGGAAGCTTTGAGGCATATGTTTTGATTTGTTCTTACGAATTTTTAAATCGTTCATATTATTCCCACATTCATTTGCATAGGAGAAAATATGCTCAGTCTCTATAGAACCTGGTTGATTATCATTTGGCATATTTTCATCCTCAGATTTGTTGCTCCAGCAATTTTCGTTTGTGTTTGTTGAAGATGAATTCATGCTTTTTCCTGCAGACATAGATGTATTCTCCCTTTTGACGTAAGCATTCTCAAGTTGACACATGTTATCATCAGATATGTTTACTTTTATATTAGAATTATTAACCCCCTTTGTACCATAGGAAGTATCGCAAAAATGGATAACATCCCCTGAGGATGTGATTTCTTCTGTTAAATTCCTTCTTTGAACAGTACTTCTTGCATTTTGTTTGTCATGTCTCTTTTGTATATCCTTCCTACTAGTATAGTTGTTATTTCCACTTTCTGACCTGCTTGTATTATTGGTCTTTTCCTTGTTGTGATATTCTTCCCCATTTGAGTCACATGGAATTTGACCTTGTATATATGCTGCATTGTTTATCATCTTTAATACTTTGACTGATTGTATTTCTTTACTATTTTTAAAAATAGTGCGAAGATATCTATGTTCATATATTTGCAATAAATCATCACAGTTAATTTTTGCACTATTTTCTTCATAATAGATTTTTTTATGATTTTCATTATTACTATACATATTTTGCTCCTCTTTTTGAAAGAAATGTTTTATTCTCTCTGTTGAGTTGTCTACATTTTTGAGTCCTTTAACAAATATGTTATATTTCATGTTGGAATCTATTTTTTCCCTTATTTTACAAATGTTATATGAATCTGGAATTATTTTTTTCCTCACTGAAAGCCCTATATTATTTTTTTTTTCTGTTGAATGAGTGTAAGTATGTGTAACATCTATTTCTTTTACTTTTTTATGACTACGTGTTATTATTTTGTTCAAGATAGTAGATTTTTCTGTTCTTTTTTTTTTCCCCGGTGGTGATAGCATAGGTGTACTGTCACATTCATTTGTGTGTTCTCTATGCATATTTGGAACATCTCTTTTCTCTTTTATCCCTTTTTCACTTGTGTGGGGATAAGTCAAATTAGACTCACTGTTGTAAAGATTACCCCCTTGTTTTTTATCTAGATTAAGAGGGAAATTCCCACATTTATAATTATTTAAAATGTTTATTCCTTTCGTTTCTTTAATTCTTAATAAGAATGTATTAATTCGGGATTCATTTTTTAAATACGAAATAATTTTTCTGTTTTTTTTTTTTAAAGGGGTTGAATTGTTGCCATACTCACTACTACACCCCTTTGGTGGGGGCAACAAGTCGATTTCGAGGTTTTTCATTTTTTCATTTTATCTTTTTTATCATTGATATTTTGGAATGTCACATGATACGGGTTCATCTTTTTCGCATATCATTAGGGTGGCAAAGATGATCACGAAATGGGCGCGAAAAAAAATGGACACATATTGGTTGTACAGGAGACCGAGAAATTAATCGCAGGGTGGGTAAAATTTTCAAAAAATTATAACAAACACGAGGGGAAGATATGTCAAAAAAGTATACATACCTGAAATACTGAGTTTGTTATAAGCCAAAAGTGCTAATAAACACCCATTTTGAAAATAATTTTTTTTCGTCTTTGATATATCAGAGATATCGAGGGGGAAGGGGAAAAAAAAAAAAAAAAAAAAAAAAAAAAAAAATTCCTTAAGAGTGTTAAAGTTTACCTTTAAAAATGGTACATATCCTTTGGTGTTTTGTTTATTTCTATTATATATATACATATATATATGTGCACACCTTTACAACGAGGTATCATTGATGTAATTAGAACAAAACAGATGAACACTACAGTTATTCTAGTGTTATGTCCTGTAAACTTTATTCTCTTTCCAAAATTAGCACAAAAAATGGGAAAATTTATCAGTCCAAATTTTTCCATTTGAATGATTGGGTCGACACAAAAGAGGAAATAACTACGGAAAGAACTAGTCATAGTATGGGTGTGTGGGGGGGGTAACAAAAAAAGAAATTCTTTCAATTTTAAAGTTGCACAGTTGGGAAGTTTCAAAGATCATATTTCCCGATTTTCAAAGTTGTAAACATACGCATTTACCAATTTTTTAAGTAGCGAGTTCGGTGAAGAATAAAAAAGGAAAGACAAAAAAAAAAAAAAAAAAAAAAAAAAAAATTTCAAAAATATACACAACCCCAATTTGGTGTTAATGTTGAATTTTTGTACACGGTCAGAAGTTACATCTGTGAATTGTAAAAATAGTAAATCCTGTAGGAATATTGAAAGTATTTTCAAGTTTCAGTTTTGGAAAAATTAATTCCGGATCTCTATTATGATATCATTTTTCAGAAAAGTACTAACAAAGCAGTGCTTAAGGTTTCTTGCACCTTGCAAAGAAATGTATTTTAAGGTTATGAAACATTTCCCCTTCCCTATTTCACTACTTTGTGAGTAGTTGGGTGGCATTTTAAAAAGGACAAATATTCAATAAATATAAGGATTATGTAAATAACCACGACTAAACATAAACAATATACAAAAATTGGATGCTAATGATTATGTCCTTTCAAAACATACAACCCGCTTGTGGAACTGCATAGGTAATACCTCATCACACACACACGATGGGAATATGGGAATAGTGCAAAGGTTTTCTCCAATTTACTATTTCGTGGAAAATATATTTTTTACAAAAGTATGAAGGTTTGCGACTTTACAAAAATTGCTCATAATTATTGAAAAAAGAATTAAACGCGCTTTTTTAAGTTTTATACGGGGTGCAGTAGGAACCTATTTCAACAGTTTGTGTTTCTTCCACATGTAAAAAGAGGGATTAAAATATTGGGAAAATGCTTAAGTTCAACCAAAATGGGGGGGGGGGGGGGGGGGTGACAAAAATGGGGGGGGGGGTGGGGGGTTGCTAATTCTACCAATAAAATATATACAATATTGTGCATATTTTTCTGTGTGGGGCCGCACGAATAAAAATTTATATATGCTTATGCGCTACTGTATAGCCCGTGAGGGTTACTTAGCACATATATAAATAACGTAGAAATCTTAAGTAAAACATGTAGAATTATAAAAAATATTATTACTATATGAAAAATGCAAATAAATAAAATTTACTGTGGTATTATGTTACATTGAGGGTCGTCAGCATTCAATTTTATTTAAAAGTGTTTTTTTTTTTTTTTTTTTAAATGCTGTTAAATATATGGAAATGCATGTCGCTGTGAAAATTGAAAGGCTTTTCTCTTCTGAGGCATTTTTAGCATCATCTTTATAGGTAATAAAGAAGGCACTTCCTCCTCTAATTTCTGTATTCACAAAATTTGAAGGGCACTATTTTTTAAAAAATTTTTAGCTAACTTTTTTATCCTTTTTCCCATCTTGTTTGCTATATATTTTTTGCTACCCTTTTTTGCTATTATTTTTGCTACCCTTTTTTGCTATATTTTTCGCCATATTATATTCGTTATCTTTTTTTCCTATATCTTTGTCATATTTTTCTTCCCCCTATATTTTTTCCATATTTTTTTTGCTACATTCTTTGCTATCTCTTTTGCCATTTCCTCTGCTATAATTTTCTGTCATCTCTACTGTACCACTTTTTGGCATTTTTTTTTTTTTTTTCTTTTTCCCCCTTTACACTTCATGGTTACGTGTGAAAAAAACAAAAACTTATGGAAGTTATAAAGGTATATTTATGCATCATACCTATTTTATGACGGTAAATAGAAACGAGCGAACAAAAAAGCAAACAAAAAAGCAAACAAAAATATCAAACAAAAAAGTAAACAAAAACAAGCAAACAAGCAAACAAAGAAACACACGAAGATACAAGCTACAAACATGTAAATGAAAAATAACATTTATATTTATACATACAAAATACATGTAACTGCTTATGTTACCCTCCTACACTCCTCAAATGCTTTGTTTGTGTCAAATAATTACCTTGTTCAGTCATTACATATATAAATAAACAAACATATATTTACAAACGTATGTGCTGAAGTTACATATATATGAAAACTTAAAAAATATATATTAAATTATTTTTTTCCCTTTCTCCCCTCGAAATATATATTTATATATATATATATATATATATATATATATTATACCCATATACATATAAATATTTCTTAAGTACAAATGAAGCATTCCGATAAAGATGCGCATCAGAGCAGACCTTATTACGATGATAGGGACTATGACTCTGTAAGAAAAGAATATAGATCGAGTTATAAAAGAGTGTTATGGCCACTAAACGTTGGAATTCACGACATTGATGATAAAAATTTGAAAAGAGAGTTATGCCTAATTGTAACAAATATACCTGTTGATTGGACAAAATTTGATATAACTTGGTTTTTTAGAGAATATTTTTACAAACTAGCTATTAACAAGAATATTCAGTTTCCTCTAATTGAACATGTGTATTTAATTAAAAACGAGCCATCGGCTATTTTGGCTTGTCATGATGGGGTATCAAGGGAAATAATTCAGAATTTATCCAACTGTGTATTAAGAAATGTTAAGGATAAAAAGAAAATTATTCTAACCATACAACCTTACTACAAAAAGGATGAAGCGAGAGAAAAGGAAAAAAGAAAAGAGAAAAGCAAAGAGAAAAACAAAGAGAAGAACAAAGAAGAGGAAAATGAACTCGAGAATGAAGATAAAAAAGAAAAGCAAGATCAGAAGGAACAGGGGAAAAAAAATGCAGATGAACATATACAGGAAAAGAAAGAAGGTAATGAAAAAAGAAAACATGAAGGTGAAAATGGAATAGATGTTGAAAAGGAAAAGGAGTTTCTTAGCGAAGATGAAGTTAAAGCGATAAGTAGATTGAGAAAACGCTCCCTAACCCCACCAAGAAGTAAGCAAAAAAGAAACAATAAAAAGAGACAATAAAAACGATTAAGTTAAATATACAAAGTAGTGTTACTCATGTTTTGGATATAATGTTAGTATGCAGTAGCGCAAGTACTTATGTTTGTATGCAATAAGTATATAAAATTTACCATATGCGTATGTTAACATTTATGTATAAATAACATATCGCTGAATCTATGTGTGCAATCCTTGATTGCTTAATAAATTCGTTAATTTGTAACATACATGTAATTCTCCCAATTGAGGTGTGTATATAAAACGGGGAGGGGGAATATTTCTGAATGCGTGGCTCGAATTTCACACCATTTCTTCCTATAAATTTTTTTTTTTTTTTTTTTTTTTTTTGAAATAAAAACAGAACACGGAATGGAATGGCCAAGCAATCTAGATCTAAGAAACTGCAGTGATATGGAATTAAGAAGAAAACTTTGTGTTTTCGGGAGATATAAACCATTGCATTGGGGTGTAAAAGAACTTGCAGCATTTTTGAAGCACTATTTTGATACGTTAAAAAAAGATCACGCAAATTTTGAAATTCCAGAGATAAGTGATATGTGGGCTGACAAGGGAACCCATTTAGTGACATTTGCATGCAAAAATGAGAAATCGAGATTCAATATGTTGTTAATAAGAGCATGCTACTTAAACGATGATGATGCCAAGAATAATATAAAAAACTCCTTAAGAGTATGGTTACAATTTGAAAAATGGACACCATATAAGAGTTCAATTAATTTTAAATATAAAAATTATATAATGCCAAGAGGTGATTTCAACAAATATTCTTATATCCATGAACACACAATAGATAAAGGTAATTATAAAAGGACCTTTAGAAAACCACCATATGATGATTATGCAAGAAACAGAACTAATTCCTACAGATCTAGTGTAAATGTACATAGCAAAATGAACCCACCTGAAAATTATTACTATCATAACAAAGATGATAGAAGTCGAAGAAATTATGACAATGTAAAAGATTCACATGCGTATAGATCCCCATCTCCACACTACAGCAAATATAAAAAAAAATATTCTCGTTCTCCAACCCCAAAAAATTATCATAAAAAAAAATTTAGAAGATCGAGATCACATGATTCACGTAAGGATGAAATGAGCTCGCATTGGCGTAAAAATAATAAATCACACCATTAGAAGTTTTTAGATTTTCCTAAAAAAAAAATAATAATAAAAAAAAAATATATATACATATATGTATATAGTACGCAAGAGCAAAAATACAGAAAGTGCAACAAGTGTTTTTTTGTTGCCCTTATTTGTGTTCAAACCGTGCATGTGTATATGCTTTTTTTTGCCTACGTATGCACATGTAGATTGGCCTTTTCTTAGGGTCTCAAAACAAATTGTTTTTGTATTGAGTAAAAGGGTATAGAGGTACCAAACAAAAGGGTACATGTAAGTTGTGAATATGTATCAATTAAAAAAAAAAAAAAAAAAAAAAAAAAATTTTAGTAAAAAGTATAAAAAAAATAGCAAGAAAATACTGTACTTATAGCACATGTACACTAGTTGTATAAATAGTTGCTACTGTACAAAATTTATGAACAATGGTTTCAGGTGAACTACGCCAGGAACTAGTTCAAGCATAAATTTTAAAAAAAATTGGCAAGTTGTTTCTGCATTTTAAGCTGGAAATTATTTGTAATTTTGCGGGAAATTTTTTTAATATATATAATATATACAGATATACAATGCGTAAAAAAATAATCCCCACAGGAAGCCTTTTTAAAAGAAATTTTCCATTGCTTTTGTTTTTCCACAATTTCCCGAGTTTATTACATCAAATAATTCATCCAGAATAAAATTGCACCTTTTTTATTTTATTATTTTTTTTTCCACTTTTGTATTTGTTTTATATTAGAAAACATAATTGCTAAGTATTTTATAGCAAAAATACATTAAGTCTTTACCTTTTTACATATATATTATTAATTACATGTTTGAGGTTCATGACTCATCAGTTTAACAATGAACAACACCAAAACAAGTTGAATATAAATATATAATAAAAAAAAAAAAAAAAAAAAAAAAATTCAATTCTAAATGGGTATAAAATGTGTACGTGACAATAAAAGTGTGCATTTTTTTTTTTTTTTTTTTTTTTTCTCTTAAAATGGGAATCAGTCCATTTTTAACTATACTTGTGAGGAAATAATTTTATCGAATATTTTCAACTAGTAATAGGGGGAAAAAAGGGTAGAAAAGGCAAGTATTATCGATAAGGGAGCTCTAAAAGTTTGCACTTCATACTGAAGTGTTGTATAAAAATAGTCAGCAAAAGTATTGCCCTTCTTGGGGGAAATATAGAAAATGTACAAGAGCAATATGATTCTATGTACATGGTACATATGCATGCATCTTTCGATACACCCGTTTTGTAAAAATGATTAAAAATAAGAAAAGAATAGCAAAAATAAATGGCAGAACACACAGGTTTTATTTGTTCATATGTATGCATGAAGAAGTAAACTTTATTTAACACCTTTGTTATATAAAACATTTTTTGGTGGAAATGGAAAAAATATATAAGTTACATTATTTTTATGCAACAGCATTACGTATTATTGTAAATTATGAAAAAGGGGAATTCTCTTAGTCGTTAGTAATGAGCAAGCTGTAGTGGTCTTAAAATGGGAGGTAGGACAATAGAACATAAGTTTATAAACATATCCTATGTTCGGAGAAAAATTTTTAATTCTAGTAAGCAATTTTTGGGAGAAAATTATTGCTTTATCTTGCCCATTTAGAGTTCACTTTAGATTGAAGCATAAGCTTTTTGATGATTCTAAATGAAGAGCGAAAAATTGCATTTGCGTTTGCACACCAATGGAGAGAACATCCTTTCCTACATTATTTTTTTTTATTTTTTTTTTTGTTCCAGTTTAACTTGTGTTTAAGCATAACCTGTGAAAAATTCCACTGGATACTTATGCACATATTTTCCAGTGCACCCACAACTTTTGCTGACAGCCTTTTCAAGCGACAAACACATTGTGATAAAATTATGAGTCATAAGTTCCAGGTATACATATGTCATAAGAGGAAATTTTCAAGCTCCTTAAATTCTTGCGTATTTAATCCAAGTTGTAATTTTTCTTCTTCTTTATTTTCTGACAATTTTGTGTTATTTCTTGCTTTAGTTTTATTGGGATTAGTAAGTGAGTTCAAATTTGTGTCACCTTTTCCCTCTTGTTTTTCTATGATTTGATTTATTATATTTAAACAAGTGAATATAGTGTTCCTTTCATTTGTTTTTTGATTTTTCTGGGTATTCACTTTTGTTAATTGAGCTAGGTAATTTTTGATAGTATACAGCATAGTAGCTACTCTACTGTCCATTAGTGCAATATTTGAACTTAAGGTGTTAATATTTTCGTTTATTTCTTTAAGTTGATTTTTTACAATTTTAATTCGCTCCTTTTTATTTTGAAGTAGTATTTTCAAGTCATTATTGTGATGATTTTTTTTTATAAAAAAGTTGTTTAAAATTGTTAATGTTGTATCGTTTTGTTCATTGTGTATATTACTTGTTTTAATTATGTCATTATGTATTACTTCCATAGTTCTGGTATTTTCATTTATGAGTTTTTTTTTTTGTTTCAATTCTGCATAAGTACAGGTTATTTTTCTGTTGGTAACTTGAATGGTTTTACATAATCCAATGATTTCTTTTTTCAGGTCATTGATTTTGATTTCTGTTAATATGTTTTCTTTTTTTCGATTCAACAAAACTTCTTGCTGATTTATTAGTTTTTCGTAAAGAATTTTAGAACAGTTTTTCAGTTCTTGGATTTCTTTTTCCAAAATCTCAATTTTTTTTTCCTTTAAAATTATGTTATTCTCTATATGTTTAATTTGATTTTCTAGTTTACTCATTTGGGAAAATGTTGCAAATGTTGTAAAAAAAGGTTGTACGTGGAGGTATGATGAGTATGGTTGAAATCGTCGCATATGCATGCAGGCATCCATATCATCTGTCTAAACTTCAAACGAAAATGCATTAACTCACTATTTGTCATGTGTGCCCATTTCTGAGTGAAGTTCTGTTATAGTGTAAATTTTAACTTTTGTTATGATTTATTGTTAGTGGAAACATTTTAGGTGGAAAAAAAAAAAAAAAAAAAAAAAAAAAACTGTCTTATGAAATATTCATTTAAAAAACTTCGTTTTTTCTTGCAATTATGAAGAAGCTATTATATTATGTACAAGTTAATGTTCAAATGGCTAGCAAATAGTAGTAATAGTTACGAACATAATAATGACTTAAAAAAAAAAAAAAAAAAAAAAAAGAGCAAGGGTGTGGGTAGTAATGTGCAAGCACATGTTTACACATTGCGACGTTTTAAGAGAACGACATAAAACAAAATATTTCTTTTTTAGAGCATAATTTCGTCGTGGACATTGTTCAAAATTAAAAGCAAAACAAACTTTTTTTTTAAAAGCAAAAGAAGTAAGAATTTATCGCACTTGGATTAAATGAAAAATTAATAGATTTCATATGTAAAACTTTAATATACTGGGTATACATATTTCACAAAAGTGGGGGAGGAAAGATAGGAAAAAAAAAAAAAAAAAAATATACCATAACAAGTATGCAATTCAATATTTTTGAACAGTAGGAGAAATGTACTAAATATATGCATGTGCAAATATGAAGCAACGTATGACTTAAAATTTGGAAATAATATTTGAGTTCGCCAGGCTTGTGAACTAATTAGTAATTATTTGAATTTTTAAATAAATCCTGTTCTGTATCATCCAGAAAGGAGTGTGTAGAATATATACTACTTGTCAATGATTTCTCATGACTTAATGACTCCAGATCTTCTTTAATCATTTCTTCACCATTTAAATTGCACCTGTTCATTGTTTCACTATCACTAGTAATATTTTCATTATTATCTATTCTTTGTTTGTAATTATCTTTTCCACCAAAGTAGGGTTCTTCACTTGGTATATCCTTATTAAGATAATATGAATCATCTGAACTGATGAAATTGCATTGACACATTTTGTCTACCTTTTCTATACTACAATTATTTGTTTCTTCAAAGATGTTGTATTTTTTATAAAATGCTAATAATGGAGCAAAGAATGCCATAACACTTGTTAATACAGGAGTAGATGATACAGCACTTTGAGAAGCAACAGCTGCCGGTATTGCTGTATTCGGTATGGCAGCTGACAAAGGGGCAGTTGAAGATGCAACTGCTGGGGAGACTGCAGACGAGAAACTGAATGGGATGCAACCACAACACGTTCCTGAGGTAACAGATCCAGTTAAAGCAGCCACGAAGGAGGTTAAATGATGAGGCATTTTGGCAATGAAAATGGTGTGTGTGTGTGTGTGTATATATATATTGTGCGTAGTTATTTATGTGCTTATATACTAACTTCTGCTCATTAGTAATGGCATGTAAAAAAAAAAAAAAAAAAAAAAAACTGTAAGTTAGGATACTCTGAAAATTCTTCGAAATGTCTATGAATGGAACAATAATTTAAAATAAACGAAACATTCAGTTTTTTTTTTTTTTTTTTTTTTTTTTTTTTTTTAATAAAAATGGTATCAATAAAAATTTTTTTCTTTTTTTTTTTTTTTTTTTTTTTTTTTTTTTTTTTTATTTTAAAATTTTTTTTTTTTTAATATGCGAAAAAAAAAAAAAAAAAAAAAAAAAAAAAAAAAAAAAGCACTGTCCCCTCGTGCAAAGTGTGTCAGAAATACTTAAGTACAATGCTGTTGTGAAAAACTTTTATTTTTATTTAAAAAAAAAATTATTCTCCAAAACAAAAAAAAAAAAAAAAATTTACAACATTTCAACCAGGATCTTTTTTGTTACTTGCGGAAAATAAACAGAACCACAACAACATGACATAAATGAAGAGAAGGGATTAAGTAAATTTTGTTTTTTTTTTTTTCTCCATCATATATTATTCTTTGAAAAGCTAGTTAGCATGAACATTATGTACAACATGCACATAGATACACAAATAAATATGTACCTATTTTATTTTTTAATGGGAGACAGTTATAATATTCCTCTCAGGGGGTGTCGAGAGAGAGAAAAATACACAGGTTTACAATTGTAAAGCAAAATATTTATTAAATAGTATATTACTGTTAATATGCTTGTAAATCATATACAATATTACCCAATAAAAAATATAAAATAAAGTAAATTAAAATAATAAGTATAAAGTATACCCAGCCAAAAGAACTCTTTATTATTCTTCAAAACTGTACTGAAAAATAGAATCTTTTAACTTTATCTTTTCTTAGATAAAGGTGTTCATTGATATGTGTGTTTAGTGAGAACTTTAAATTAGGGAAAGATCAAAGCATAGTTTATCTGGACAAGGTTTAAATAATTTTAAAAAAAGGAAAAAGTGTTAACGTAAAGAAGCATTTTGACTTGATGAATCACATTTTTTTAAATTCCAGTGGAATCCTTTATGTAAAACGTAAATGATGTGAATTAGGTATTCTTCTCCTAATGTTACATGAACATGTCCGTAAATATTAAGAATTTTCTACCCTTTTGTAACCAAAATTTTCATAAGTTACGAACAAAATTTCGTAAGTAACGCATCCACTTGATGGTGTGCAAGGGAAAAATGATCACTCCTTTTATTTAATAGGGAAAAGAATGCTTAGAGGCCATAAAGAATAAGCATAAATAATGCATTTTCTATTTTGTAGCTTTAGGTTGATGTTCTTAATTTGTTGTGTTTAAATGCTAAATTTGATAATGTGCCTTTATGTATGTTTTCTCCAAATTACCTACATAATTTTTTTTTTTTTTTTTTTTCCATAAGATTAATGCGTAGTTAGTTAACTGATAAAAGTTTCACAAAATTGGAGGCATTTTATTTGGTTAAAGCTGCCATTTCAAGGACTTTAAATGTATTATTTATATTTAACTATTTTGTTTTCCACTTTCTCTTTCTTTTTTTCACCTAATTTGATTAAAATGTACTTTTTTTTTTTTTTATTACTTTATATTTTTTTTTTTAATGTAAATAATTTTTTCCCTTTAAAGGTTTCATATGTGTACTATTTGAACTCTTTTATACATGTATGCATAATCAAATGCCTGTTTTTTTTTTTTTTTTTTTTTTTTGCCCTAAGAAATGTGTTACGCAAAGTGGCTTTATTAAAGTGTTTTTTTAGAGGTAGTGATAAATTCAAAAAAAAAAAAAAAAAAAAAAGGCTATGCATTTTGAGAACAAATATGTATAGATAAGAATCCTTCATGAGGTGTTAAGTTATATAGTGGCACATTTTCTTTTTTTTTAAAGCCTGTAAAACCAAAACGAAAATAATAGATTATTTTTTTAAGAGGGAACACACGAAGAGAGTTGAACAAAAAAAAAAAAAAAAAAAAAAAAAATTGCATTTCCACGTACGTTTTCATGTGCACCTTTAAAAACAATACCAACATATGGAGGTAGTTGCATACTGATGCTCTCGGATTTACAGAGAAAACAAACGAAATTGAAAAAACACGAAATGCATTATTATTATCATCATCATCATCGTTATAATGGTGGGAATATAAGAACCTTTAATTTGCTATGACTTCATACATCTTGTAAATCGGTGGATATAAAGTAGTACTACAATTGGGGAAACGCACACGCAGGTATTGGTAAGTGTACTTAATTTCTCTTCTCTTAAGGGTGGTAGAAGTTCAAAGAGAGGTATGAATGAACCAAAATGCTTTGTTTGAAGAAGGAGAAGCAAAGATTATTGCATGTACAGCAACAGGCGAAGTGAACGAATGGACCCACGAATATGAAAAATTTTAAGGGGAAAAAAGGCAATTCTACAAAATGGGTCGAAAAAATGAATTGTTATTTTTTAGCAACACACGAATGGAAGAGAAAAGAGTAGCTAGTAATTTCTTTTCCACGTACAAAGAAAAAAGTTACGATTATGAGAAATACCAAAATTTTATATCGCTCATTATATCATTATTCCCATTGCTACTAATAAGTATGGTTCATTTGTTGATAAAAACAAATGGATACTATATCGGGAATTTATTTTTGATGATAACATATTTGTTTTCTTTTTTTTTCTTTATTTTATATTATTATAATTCATATATTGTTTTTGTGTTTTTTGTATTTTTTTCTTTTTTCATATCATTATGTTTACACGAATTTGCCCACGCACTTGTTGCATACAAGTATGGTGATATAACAATGGTATATAAGGGCTACCTCTATTTGGACATTGTAAACTATCTGGATATATTTCATACCATAATAATACCATCAATAACATTATTTATAACGGGATTTGGTTTACCAGGAAATTTATATTGGCTTCAACTACATTATATAAGAAGTAGATTTCAGTTGTCGCTTATTTTTTTATCAGGCCCCATAGCAGACATTCTGTATATCCTACTAATAGTTTTTTTTTATAATTTTTATGCCTACTTTAAGAACAATAAAAATTTAAGCGCTGAACCACATTCCATATTATTCATATCACTAGCGACATCTGCTTCCTTTCTAGTGGATTCCTTTCTCTTAAATATTTGTCCAATTCTTGGATTTGATGGATGGGGAATTGTTGAGCCATATTTACCCTACTGTATAAATAATCTGTAAGCAGGGAGTGAATATCCACGAGTTGAACGTGGAAAAATATGTGAATACGTGTATGCGGGCAAACAGGATGAAATCATCCGTATTTACATGCCCGTATGTATGTGTGTGTGTGTGTGTGTTTTTTTTTTTTTTTTTTCTCCATCTGTAATCTTATATCCACCAATTAAACATGGCATCTCATGAATAGATCATTTATGAAATATTTTCATCCATTAACCCTTCCCCCCAACCCCATTCACTTGTTCCTTCACAGAATCAATGAAGAAATTGTGTACAACTATTTGTCTTATATATGTCCCCTTGTTGTTTTTATATATTTTAATTTTATTGAAACAAAATATCTTTTTTTCACAAAAATTGTTAATTTTATATTGGCAAAAATTTTCGGAATCCAGATTTCCCATGTGACCAGTGGAATTAATTCTTTTCCAACATTATATGCTTACCTTAGAAATATATAATATTAGGAAAATTACTGACAATATATATATGGACATATATATATACGTATTTTTTTTTTTTTTTTTTTTTTTGCCACGTTTTGATATGTGGAAACAAAACATTTCAGTATTATAGAACATTCATCATAGATAATTGGTTCTTCTCCCTCCCCCCCACCCCTAGAGTTTCAAGAAAATTATGCCAATTTTGCTCTATGCATGTGTGTCGCGTTGCTGGCTTTTTTTTTTTTTTTTTTTTTTTTTTTTTTTTTTTTTTTTTTTTTTTTTTTTTTTCCTTTTTTACTTCTTAACTCGTGAAGAGAGGGAGCAAAGGAAATTTGCTTATCCTTTTTGTTGTTTCGTTTTGATTTGCTTGGTGGGAAACACTTAGGAAAAAAAACTGATAATTTAAAAATTTTAACGAGTGATAAAGGAGATATTATCAAGGTGTAAGGTAAAATTGTGAAGAATGTATACTACAAAAAAAAAAAATAAAATAAAATAAAAAAATCATAACGGAGATACCCATTTCAATTCAAGTAATTATTAATTATTATAAAGGGTCTTAATATATCTGAAAAATGTAATGGTAAGTAATCATGGGAACATAATTGTGCTACATAATTTTCCTTTTGAAATGAATTAATATTTACGTTAAAAACGGAATAATAATATTCAGAAAATTTATCAATTTGGGGGAGTAAATAACAAATTTTGTCTATATAAGATGATTTTAATTTTTTTATAGTTGGACATATATAAAAATGTAAAAAGGTGATCAAAAGGTATTTCAACGATAAGTACATCATGTAACAATTTTTATCGATGTTTCTTTCGTTAAAATAATTAACTTTTACATTGAGTGTCACTTTGTATTCTTCTTCTACGATGTTCTTTGGATGTGAATTGTTTGTGGTACTATTATTTATAATATAATGCATGCACACGATAATATTATCGCACAAAAATGAGAATAAATTATATTTCAAATTTTCTTTTTCTTCAATATATAATGACATTTCTCCGTTACCCTCATGATAACTCATTTGTTGTTCTTCTGATTGCTCTTGAGCTGACAGTAATTTGCACAAATTTAAAAGGATTAAAGAAAAGTAAGGTATTATACATGCATTCTGTACGTTGCTATCATTTAAAATTTTATTAACTATTTTTAGGAGATCATGAATTTCGTGAATATTTATTTTGTCATTCTTGTTATTGTAAATGTGAATTAGTATGGACTTTATTATATGTTCATATGAAATGTATTCCTTTCTGTTAACCATTTCATTCATTATATGGATATTTTCCAATATATGTTCTGTGTCCTGATGTAGAATATATTCCTTCGATTTGTGTAGTTTAATGTACGAATTGTCAAGTTGGAACCCTTTCATGAACTTTTCGAAATTGTCATCTTGAACTATTTTCAATATAAAGTTTTTTTCCCTACCAACCATAAGAGAACTGCTACTTCTTATGTTAGCAGTTATGTTCGTGCTATCCGTCATGGTAGTGGTGGTTGTGTTCTTTTTTATCTGCTTTCCATTTCTTGCGTTAGTATAAAACATTTCAATATTATAATCACATTTTGTCAAGCTATTATGAAAGTTCTGTAAAAGGGTTCGCGTCTGAGAACTTATTATTAAATTGTTGTATATCTTCAGCATGTAGACGATGACTAAATCGAGGTTATACCTTTTTGTGTACATAAGATAGCACATGGATATTATTAAACTTACACTGTTTATTTTCTCTCTCGTCTGATTTTTAATACCTTGATTGCATATTATTAGGACATTCGACTTTTCGATATTTCTTTTCATTAAGTTTTGCTCCTGTTTGCTTATATGTAATTCTTTTCTTTCTACACAATAGTTTAACTCTTTAATAGCAGATTTTTCGTTTTCAATTTTTTTTTGCGAATTTTCTTTCCCATTCAGTATGTTTTTTTCATCCCCAGAAATGTAATTTTTTTCCATTCTAGTATTTTGTAGAATACTATATATGACATCATACACCATACGGATGTCCAAAAAATTGTAATAATTTAATGATTCCTTTTTTTGTGCATTTTGATTTTCTACAATTTTTTTTAGGACGTTATATCGAAAGTAATTTATTTCTTCCACATTTTTGATCTCAAATCCTGAGGATGTAAAATCGTATATATATTTTATATTTAAATATTTATTTACATAAGAATTATTGATGTGAATAAAGTTTCCCATGTAAATATTGTTGCAAATTTTGATAGGGTAATTAATATATGGACTAAATGCAAGGGATGATATTTTATTTCCATCATTGCTATTTTCCTTTACACATAAAAAGAAATATTCATTTTCAAAATTTTTATACCCTCCTTTTAAAAAATAAAAACTCGTTTTCACATTTGAAAAGTGACTGTTCAGGAAATATTCATAACTACACACATGCTCATCACTTCCATTATCATAAAAAACTATTTTAAACCTTTCTTTTGATTCTATTTCATTCTTCATTTCTTTAATTCCTTCTGCTTTATGTATGTGTATAGCACTTCTGATATGGCTTCTCTGGAAAAGTTCTTTGGGACGTACATCCACGATTAACATGTTCTTGTCTTTCCCTTCATCTAGTAGCAGTTGCATATAGTTGTACAAGTAGAATGGGGTAATTACTTTCATTCTGCTTCCTTCTGGATCTTCTCTTAAGTGATCTTTAGAATTTTTTATTACTTCATTTTGTGTGCTATTTTTCTCTTTATTCTTTTCTTCATTTCTTTCTGTATCTCTTATACGAACCTCAGCCTTCTTTTCCCCCTCACAACCCAGCACTTTTCTTCTGACATCTCTTTTGAGAGCCTCGAAATCTATGCTTTCATACATGACGAATATAGCTCAGAATACTCCCAAAGGTTCAAACGATTTCCAGATTTTTAATCTTTGAGCAAAAAAAAAAAAAAAAAAAAAAAAAACATAGCGCTTTTCCTATTATCCCTGAACCTTAATAGTATAAATGTGAATAAATAACTGTTGTTTTTTATACATGGGGGAAAATAGCCAACGCAGAACACACAAAATAGATTAAGGGTAATTTATACAAATTGTCTGATATGTTTGTGTATTTCTATCTTCCTTGCTTAAATGTTCTGTTATTTTGTTAATACAATTTTGAAGGGATTGTGAAGTGTGGTATTTGAATCAAAACAGGACAAAGTTACGAGTTTTTTTTTTTTTTTTCTTTTTTCTTTTTTTTTTTTTATTTTTGGACTTTAACGCATTTTTAACGAAAAGTGAGACTGTGAATAAATTTTCCTCTTAGTGACATAAAATGTGGCATAAAAAAAAGGGGACGAAAATGTAAAGCAATAAATGGGGAATATTCGTGAATGTGAAATGGGCGAAATATAAAGCCGTAGGAGTGTATATAAAAACAGAAAGAGAAAAAAAAAAAAAATTATTAGCTTTTGCGTTTTTCTTCCAAATGTATAATTGAAATAATCTTGGAAAAAAAATACCAAAAAAAAAAAATAAAATAAAATAAATAAAGGAGCGTTACATTTTTTAACCATTATATAACAAAAAAAATCACGTGTAAGCCAAGGTAACTGAGAATATGATTCTAGCTAAGGGGAGAAACATCGATGAAGATGAAAATTTAAACAGTGTTTTGTTGACAAGTGATAGATGTTCTCTTGTTTTGCTGATGGATAACAAAAGGGATAAAAAGGAAAAATCTGACAAGGAAAACCAGGCATATATGAAATACAAAGCTAAAAAAGGGGACGGTTATAAAAATGAGAATACCTTTCAAAATGACAAAAAAATTGAAGATAATGAAATATCAAAGAAAAAAGAACATATGGTGATCACAGGAATGATAAAGATCCTTCAGGAGATGAAAGAAAAAGATGATAACTCCAAGCCTACAGAACCCGGGACCAACAAAGACAATAATGAGCAAGATATGGAATGTAATACTACGCTTATGCAAAATAGAAATGAAGTGAGGAGGGAAAAAGATCAACATAGGGATCACATAAAACTACATGTGGGGTTAGATTACTCCAATTTTGATTTTGATACGCCATATAAAATTATTAAGTTCATGAACAAAGGTAGCCATTTTCTCTATTGGGGTAGTGATACTTTGTTCAGTGAGAATAACAATGTATCAAAAGAATTTAAAATGAATGAAATGAAAAAAAATAACTGTGAGGAATTAAGGAATAGTAGATTTATATATTTTGATAGAGAAAAGACATTGCTAGTGTTAAAATATAACATCAAGAATAACAATTTTACGTATGTAAATGAAAATGATTCTGTTTATATGTACTTTTGTCAGTTACATGATAATGATTTTTTAGATGATAATATTATAAAAGAAAATAAAAACTCTATTTTAATTTATCCATATACATATGTGAAAATATGGAAAAGTTTAACAAGTTACATTAATGAGGAAGTAATAAACAAAATTGAACCAGTTAATAAAACTTTTTGTTCTTCATTTTTAAAAGAAGAAGAAGAAGGAGAAGGAGGAGAAAGAGGAGAAAAAAAAAAAAAGGGAAAAATTTCTTTGAATAAAGATGAAGAAATGAATCTATGCAATCAGCCATACATGTTTTATTCCGTAATTCCAAAGTATCCCCCACTTTCAAATTATCACAAGGAGGAGGAAGGAAAGGAGGTAAGTCGTCGTAATATTCACAAAAAGGAAGACAACATAAAGGATGAACGTGAGTTCTGTTCAAGTGGATCCGTCAACTGCTATGAGATGTGTGAGGAAGATATGCACGATGATGTTTCCAACAATGATGCATCCAGTAGTGATGAATCCAAGAATGAGAAATTCAACAATGACGAAGTGCTGAGCGAATCGTCAATGAACGCAAAGAAGAGCTATTTCGAACGTATTAATGTAGATAACAAACATAAGAAGTATGTACCATCCGATTTAACCATCATCCATTTAGAGAAATATTGGATTTTGAAGGAAATAATTCAGCAAGAATACACTTACCTATATTATGAGAATGAAAAGCGGGAAGGTTTCCACAAGTTTGAAAATAAGCTTTTTTACATTTTAGGCGAATTTCAATTTGCATATATTTTATTTCACTTAGGTTTTAACTATCAGTCTTTTGTTCAGTGGAGGAATCTATTTGAGCTCCTTTCAAATTCGCAGCACCTTGTTACGAACTTTGCAGGTAGGAGAAAAGTCATCATGGCGTGTTATGTAATTTTCATGAAAAAAATGAAGTGTGTAGATTCTTTGTGCCGTAGCAAATATGTTTTTTTTGGGGGGGAGTGGGGCGTATTTTTACGAGTTTGTGAATCCCCTCGAGTTTGTGAATCTTTTCTAATTTGCATATCTTTTCTAATTGTTTTTCATTTTTTCCTGCCCTTTTTTAGACTTCTTTGAGGAAGTTTTGAGAGTCATACACACCCATTTAAGCCATTTGAGTGATGACTTTTTTGACAACACAGAAAACAGTTTCATTCTTTTTGGAATTTACAACATATATGAAATAATTAGCAATGTAGCGGGAGTAAAAGGGGACATAGTCAAGGTGATGAATTCAATAGATTCTATTATTTACACAAAATTGGGGTTGCATTTGCCAGATTTATCCTTTGTATATTCGGAGTATCAGCCAACATACGTAGATGACGATTAGGGATAAAAGTGGTAATAATAAAAAGAAAATTTACTCGAAAAAAGAAAAAAGAAACAAACACTGGCATATATGATGTATCAGTTTAGGCACCTAAAAATTGAGATTTATGGAACTGTGGAATTTTATTCTCTATAGGATTTGCGTACAAAATGCTTGAAAACATTTATTCTGTAAAAAATATGAAGCAATAATTTTTTTTATTTATGTTCAAGGGCGATAAACTCATAATTATGTTTTTCATTTTTCATTTTCCCCTTTTTTTTTCCTTTTTTCTTTTTTTCTTTTTTTTTTTTGTTACGTTTTTTTCGTTGTTTTGGGTGTGTATTGTTGCATAAGAACACTTTAGACCGAAGAGTTCACGTGCATAGAGAAAATTCGTTCGATTTATAGATATGGTTTATCCCTGTGCTATTTTTCAATTTTGTTTACAAGTAGTGGCGCACGTGTACATAATATATATATATATATATATATATATATATATATATATATATATATATATATATATATATGTACATATTTAAAATTTAAAAGGTAAATAGATCTATTCTTATTTTTAGCCACTTTCATTATATGCATTTTGTTGGTCTTACAAGAAACTCTGTACCTTTAATTTTTGAAAAAATCAGTCATACTAAATAACTGTGGAGAACATAAGGAAGAAGTATTCATATACACAATTACATAACTCAAAAGTGTAATCACAGTTACATTGTACCTATGACCAATCAAGCACACCTAGTGGCCCCTAATTTTATGTGAAATACTTTACGTGACCTTGATATTGTATGCCTAGATTCAACTGACAAAATTGAGAACTATAAGGCGCAGCTAAAAGCAGTCTATATAAGAAGGCATATAAAGCTTGATGAGTTCTTATGACTTTGAAATAAATATGATCAATGTGTAAAGGGAATTGACAAGTTGTTTCTTATGACTTCAATGTTAATCACTGAAAATTTTGAAAACATATATAAAGCATTAATTTTGCTTATGTGCATTTGTTTACATGCCATATGTGGGGGTTTGTATTTTTTTATTTTTTTTTATATTTAATACCATGTTAAAATATTTTGAACATGTTTATGTGAACTGATTTTAACAAAGTGCCAAAGATCGACAGAGTCGATATAATAAAAATGGAAAAAAAAAATTATTAAAAAATTCCCACAAAAAATTTAAATGAAGCTCTCTCTATATTACATAGGGGGGAGGGGGAACAAAAAAAGAAAAAAAAAAAAAAAAAAAAACACCTTTTTTAAATGAAATAAAATGTAACTCTTATTCCATCAAAAGCTTCATTTTTTTTTCTTTTTTTCCTTGCCCCTAACACTTTTGTGTAAATCCACCTTTTTTTAATATATGTGAATTACAGTCATTGTTATTTATTCTTCCCTGGATTTTTTATTCTTCACACTTAAAAATAAGCGTTGCTCTGAGCATTTTCCAAATAGAAGAAAAAGTGAAAATGGCAGCGAATACATATAATATTTTTTTGCAGGCGGAACATAATTTTCTTGCCCATTCACACTAAAATGAAAGCACCTAGCGTTTTATTTCTGTTTTTTTCATCATATTTTTTTAAAGGAACACAAAAAATTTAGAGTATGTGATATCTTCATAAGAAATAAGAAAAAGAACGAAAAAACAATGTAAAAAAAAATAATAGTGTAAAAACATGATCTATTGCACAAGTCAAAATTTTTCTCTATAAAATATATATAATAAAAATTGCACTACCATATTATACTTTACATAAAAAGATATAATAAGAAACAATATGAATTTAAAAAAAAAAAAAAAAAAAAACTACGTTGTAACTTTTCCATTTGTTTTCTCACATTTTCATAGTACTATTTTTTTTTTTTTTTATTTACCTATTTCCCCTTACATTTTCATAAAAGAAATTAAGTACACGAACGCAGCATAAAAACGACATAATTGTGTTTTATATGTGCAATTGTTTTAAAAGCCCTATATGTTCTGTCATATACCAGAGGAAAAGATATATAAATGTACCCTGCATGTGCATAGAGATAAACATGCACATATTTGCTTGTTTTACATGTTATAATAAACCTCCACCATAACAAGGAAAAAAAAAATAATAATAAATAAATAAATAAATATATATATATATATATATATATATATATAATATAACAAATGCGCATTATATGAAACAGATGTGAAATCCGCGAACTGGATTATCCCTTTGTTGTAGTAAATGAATTTTGGGTAAAGGCATAATGAAATATACGCACACTATATTTGCATACGCAGTTATAACAGAAAAAAATACACTCTTCTATATAATTTCCGATGTAACGTTTTTTCGAGAAATTTTTGAAATGCAAAAGGCACATAATCTTTTTATTTTTTTTGCATTTTTACATTTGTATGTTTCTTCATTTTTTAATATATTATCCATGAACTATGCAACCATTTGTTTTTCGTCTCAGTTTTAATCATCACTGTGTTACTTAACCTTTGTTTTATTCCCCTTATTTTTTGCCCCTTTTTTTTTTTTTTTTTTGCTTCACTATACAGCCTTTTGTTTTTAATGCATCTGCACATGTTGTAATTGTCATTGTGTGTAATTTACATGGATTTCTATTTTTGAGCATAACCTTTTCGCCGTTTTTTTTTTCTATCAGAAAAATTTTTATAGCTATTTACGAATTATTTGTTTCAGAATATATTTTGTTAAACTCATTTTTCGAAGTATATTTAGTTGAACTCATTTTTTACATTCATTTCTTAGAACCATTCTTTTCAAACATCATTCACGGGCACCTGTGCCAACGTGCTGTGCATTCGCAGGTGATTCAAGTGCTTGATATGAATTTAGGGTGAGAAAATGGAAAACGAAAATGAAAAGAATACCTTGGAGGAGGTGTTTGAATTTGTTTACTTTAAAAAAGAAAAGGTTAAGAGAGAACACATAGAGTTAGTTAAAAGCAACATTGAGAATATTTTAAACGAAAATAAAGAAGCGTTGTTTGGATTGGTTAATTTGTTGTTCTTCACAAAAGAGCCCAATTATTTGAAGAACAATTTATGTATTTGTCTACACGCGTTGTGTAAAACATTGAATGAAACAAACATAGAAGATGTGAAAAAGAAAATTTTTAAATATATATTGAAAAAATTGGAAAATGGAAAATATAGTTACTTCGATAAAGCTCATTTTTGTAAAAAATTTTTATCCTTTTGTTCATCTAATGAGGATATATTATCGGATTTAAAAAACATAAAACATTTTAATGATTTGTTTGTTATTTGCTTATCATACTTGGATAGTCTTTTTTATAGTGACGATAAGTTGATCGAAAAAAACCAAAAATTTCGTATGCTTAAAAAAGGGGCAATAAAAAAATTAATTATAATTTTTTCCAATATACACAACGTAAATAAGAATAAAAAGTGTGGAGAGATAGAATTAAGTAACATTAATTCACTAAAGGGTGAGGAAGAGATAGAATATATACTAGATACATATGCAAAGGGAGATAATTTCTTCTACTTAATTGTGGAATCATTTGGTCTATTTTTATGTAAAAATAATGACAGCAATTTTTTCGATAAAAAAAAATATGTGGATAGATTTATGAACAATTTTGTTGATCTTTTAAATTCCAATAAAGAAATATCATTAAAAATTAATAGATCATTTAAATATATTTTTCAAAATGGAAAAGATGAAAATATATTCAAGAACATATTGAACTATATTCATAGATATGATGAAGTAGCATTAAGCAATGCTTCTCCTTTTTACTATTATTGTGAATTATATAATAGGGAACATTTTTATAATTTATTAGAAATAATAATTAATGTAAAAAAAACTAAAAATGTGGAAAATTGTAACTTATTGTATTTTATACTTTTTTATAAATTTCACATAAACAATGAAAATGATTGTGTATTAAATATGTTAATTGAAAAGAATCAAAAATTAAATATTGTAAAATTTAATGAAAAAATTATTTTTTTAAAAACTGCTGCATATTTACTTTCCAGCAGCAGAAGTAAAGAAATAAAAGATATAATTATTGCAAATAAAAACATGATATCTAACTATTTGAAGAATGATTTAAATGAAAATGTTAAATTGGAGTCTTTGATTTTTTTGAGAAGTTTTTCTAGAATTTTAAAAAATGACAAAGATGTGTACAAAACTTTTTCCACGTTAGTTTTAGAAATTCTAGAAAAATATGGAAAGAACAATGACAAGTTTTTATATTATAGCTTGTTGTTTTATGCAGATTTGGTTGATTCCATTGAGGTTAATGATAAATTACTTTCTATTTTTAAATCACACTTAAATTTTTGCTTATCAAAACAGATACTAAAATATGTTTATGGGGCTAATTTGTTTTTATTATTATATATAAAGAATAGACACACATGTGGAATTACCATTAGCAATCACATTAATGAAATTTTGATGAAAAGCATATACAACCAAAGTGAGCTTTTCTATCTTTATAATATAAATGAATTGAAAAAAATTCCTACAAATAAATTTTTTTTTTATGTATATTCTGTTATACTACTACTGCATTTCCTGTATCATGAAGACAAAAAATTTCTATCAGAGTATGTAAACGAGTTAAATAAAAATTTCCCAAGTTTTATTTTTTTTGATCAATTGAGCAAATTACACATACAACACATATTATTGGTAGATAAGAAGAATGGAGAAGAAAAGAAAAAAAACATTTCAGCAAATGCACAACATGAGAATAAAAGAGAAGGTCTTAAGAAAGATGGAAAAAAAAGTAAGATAGATAATATGCATATGCTTTCCTTTCTTATTATACTATGTATGATGCGCTATTTGGAAGAAAATAATTTAGATAAAACTGAATATAGAAGAAAAAATGAGAAAAAATTTCATACCTATTTGCTGAGTTTAAAAGGGGGAGGAATTATTAATGAAGAGAATTCTGAATATCAAAATTATGTGAACGATTTTGATATGATGTTGGATATTTTGCTAATGCAGAAGGAGATATATCAGCTACTTTTGCACTCGTTTTATGTGTATCTTTATTTATATTGGAATAATAGCCCTAATTTTAAAAATGAGAATACATATGTTCTGAAGAGATTCCTACTTTTTCTCTTTTCCTATGTAAGCAAAGTTGACCTAGACTCAACAGAAAGTAACAATTGTTATATGCTTATTTTATTATGCTTTTGTCACCCATGCATATTTTATAAAAATTTGAGGTGTTCAATAAGTCGAAGAAGAATGAAGAATTATATATGTAATAAAATATTGAACAAAGTTAATTTAGAAATGATTATAACTTTTATTTTGAAAGGTTCTGATTACTACAGCAACGAATTACACAAAACTGTTTGTTTTCATTTGATTGAGATGTTTTACATTTTGGAAAATGTATCCAAAGATGAAAAGGATGAAATGTCAAATGTAGGAGAACTGAACGAAGAAAATTTATCCGATGAAAACAATGATGGGACTACGGATCACTCTGAATGGGAAGGGAGAAAAAAAAAAAAAAAAAAAAAAAAAAAAACGAAATCAGTATATGCTTGTACTAAAGTGAAGAAACATGTTGAGGAGAAAAAAGATACAGATGAAAGGAATTTAATAATTATAAATGATCCTGAAATTAAAAAGAATTTAATTTCTTTCACGAGCAAATTGATCGATATGTTGGATGAAAAGAGTTTGCAAAATGTAAAAGAAGAAGAAATAGAAATTTGCAAATGTCCATTTGATACATTATATGTTGACAAGAATGTATACCAACCAACGATCATTGTTGAAAGTAAAAATATAAAGCGAAATAAGCATTTATTTTCTGTATATGATGAAGAGACTGCAGAATTAATCATGCAAGAAGAGGAGCTTAATAAGAGTAAAAAAGCTATGACTACGACTAGTAGTAATAGTATAAACATGACAAAGGATAAAAAAGGGAATAAAAATAAAGGGTTAACAAAAGAAGACCTAGAAATGGAAGAAATATTGAAACAGAACGAAATTCGATCGAAAGTGCACGAAATAGTTGAAAGAAATAAATACATTTTGCAGTGTATTAAAAAAATGAGTTACATTGATGATATTTATGATACGAAATATATAAATCTTTTCATAAAGAAAATAATGATTTATTTAAAAAATGATTTAACAAGTAGATATTCACAAGCTTATTTGAGCAAGATCATTGATAACTTAATAAGTAAAAAGTTGTTAACATGTAAAAATAAAATTACTAGATGCTTATATAAGATAAGCAAATATAATAAAGCAGACGAATCTGCTTTAGTGATTTTTAGTTCTTTCAATATGAATGAAAAGATATCTTATGTGTTAACTTTATTTTTATTTCCCATAGTACTACATAGTATTAACATAATAAATGATAAAGATGCAACACTAAACATTTTGAAAACGCTAGAAATATTATTGCACTCAAGGACTAAAATTAATGATGAAGATGCTCTTAAATGTTTGCAAATTTCTTTTGAGAAATATGCCGATTTAGATGTAGAACTTGAATCCTTTTTAGAGAACTTTAATTCGTATCTGTTAAGTAAGAAAAATACAAAAACACTACTAGAGCTTTGTATAACAGAAAATGAAAAACGTAGAAATGTTATAATTAAATCATTGTACACATTTGTAAGAAATGAAACCACAGCCTGCAACACAAATACAGTTGACAACATTTTTAAAAATGATTTTATACATTTATATTTGAATATTTTCAAGAATGATTATAATATGGAGACACAGGAATGCTGTGTAGAAATGATTTCCACATTAAACATACCCCTCGTTTCTGATCAGTATAAACTAATAGATTTGTTGCAAAAAGAATGTTGTGATTTTCAAAATATGATATGTAAAACTATTGTTTGCTCAACGAATAAGAAAAAAACGAAAGAATTATTATTGCAATTAACATCTAAATATATAACATTTAAGGAGTATGGTAAAATTGGAATATTAAAGACGATGGAACATTTAGCAAAAGAACACTTTGTTATACTAATAGATGATGTGGAATTTATTTTAAACTTTTTGTTAGGTTTCTGTTTAGAAGAAAAAATTGATATAACGAAAATTAAGGAGTTTGTAATTTCTTGCGGTAGTTCAGTCATTAATGGGTACAATGAATATTTACTAAGATGTAAAAAAAAGATGAGTAAAAAAAACAAAAATAGAAAAGGTACAAAAAATGCAAAAAATAAAAACTCCAAGGGAAAGAAGCATACAGGAAGAAATTTTAAGAACGATGAATTTGATGAAGACAACTATTCAGAAAAGGATGATGAAATCGATTACTATTCTTCTGACTCTTCCGATTCATCCACTGAGGTAAGTAGTAAAGAAAATTTGAAAAATGAAAATAAAGATTTAGAAGAAGCTTTTAAAAGAATGTATAACTGTTTGAATAAATATCGAGAAAATAAAAAAAGCAACAACAAAAGTGTAATCGATTTGATCGTTGTAATGTTTTACGGATGCCTGGGAGGAAATTTGAAAAAAGAAACTTTAGAATTACTAAACAAATTAATAGAACAAATTTTACACAAAGATACAGACAATTTTACCCAAATAGAAATTAGCAGGATAATCCCAAAATTTATAGAAAATTTAAAAAATGATAAAGAAAATACTTATGAAGATTGTGAAGATTTTGAAGATTCTGAAAATTGTGAAGATTTTGAAGATTCTGAAAATTGTGAAGATTTTGAAGATTATGATGCAGAATCAGGATACTTTGATGCCGTGAACCCCAATATGACCAAGCCAGAAATCAGCAGATCAAATAGTTCAATTAAGAAAAAATCCGTAACTTTTTACATAGACGGGAAGATTCATAGCTCAGAAATATTGGCTAAGGGAGGAATAGATAGTTGTAAGAAGAAGAGTAAGAACATGACAACAAGTGTTGAAGATAAAGAAAATGATAAAGAACAGCAACCAAGTAAAGGAGGGAAAAAAAGTAAGAAAAAGACAAAAATGGAGAAAGGAAACAACAATAATATTAGCAATAGTACTAGTGCTAGTACATATACAGAGGGATTAATTTATCTCGAAAATTACGATGTAGGAATATTAGTTGAAAAGATTTTTTCTATTATTTTAAATCATAAAGATTTAAAAGTTAGAAAAGGTTGCTGTTTACTTTTGGGAAGCGTAATAAAAGCACATGGTATGCATATACTAACAAAGTACAAGCTTTTGAGTAAAATAAACTGCAATATTTATTCTGAAGATGCTATTAAGAGACAAAGTTTTTACCTGACATATGGATGTTTATTCAAAGTGTTGAAGATAAAATTTGAACCTTATATTTTAAAAAATTTTAGATTATTATTAGAATGTTATAAGGATAATGTAAATAATATAAAAATTTTGGGAATAAGTATTATTGAAGAGATTTTAAACGATTTAGGCCAATATGGCTTGAAGAAAATTTTACCTATTATCATTTTCAGCTTAAAAAATTCAAGTATTAGAAATAAAGATATAGTATCATATTTAGACATACTTCATTTAATAATTTGTAAATTTGATATTGTAAATTATGTAGATAATGAGACCTTGGCAGATTTAGTAAATTTATTATGTGATTTGGTATCTGAAACAAATTCGAAATTGAGAGAAATATGTGTAAAAATTTTTAACAAGTTAGAAAAGATGATTCAAAATAATGATATTAAAAATATAAGCAGACAATTATTGCAATGTATTTATTCCCCGAATGATATTCATTTATGCGACTTTTTGGATATATTTTCAACCATTTCTTTTGAGTACAAAATTGATAATATTTCTTTATGTTTACTATTTCCAATAATTAAAAAAGGAATAAATAATATTAGATTGGACTTAAAGAAGAAAGCATTACAAATTTTATACTTTTTAATTTATCTAGTAAGTGACCAAGCATTATTTATTATTTACTATGATAGCATATTTAAAATTTTAATTAACCTCCTAAATGATGCAGTACCTGAGATAAGATACCTTACGGCCAAATCATTTGGAAACATTTGCTTTTTTTTAGATAGAAACAGAAAATTGTATTACATTCAATACATTTTTAACATTCTAGTTAATACAGAATCATCAGTAGAAAAAAGTGGTGTTTCTTTATGTTTGTCCTCCATTTTAGCTAAATGTTCAGAAATCATTGCAGAAAATTTTATTGCAACAGTTGTGCGCCTTATTGATGTTAAGAAATATATAACACTCAAGAATAAGCAGGGGAAGAAAATAAAAAAAAGAGATGGAAAGAAATCCTACATGAAAAAAGGTAAAAAAAGATTCCACAAAGGTGCAAAAATTCGAAGTGCAGCAGAATACGTCGATGATGAGGATGCTGTTGAAAATGATGATGAGGATGATGATGAGGATGGTGATGAGGATGATGATGAGGATGATGATGAGGATGATGACGACGATGATGACGATGAAGATTACGAAGAAGAAGAGGGTACAGCACATGTTGCTGATAGTGACGTGGAAGGTGGAGAATCGGTGAAAGGAGGAATGCACTACACCAGTGACGATGGTGATAATGATGGGCATGAAGAAAATGAAGATTATGATGTCCAAAGCAGTGAAAATGAAATTTACACAAACATGGATGAAAGCGAAGACAATGATTTCGAAGATAACCATTATGATGATAAACAGATGAAAGGAAGAAGATACGACGAAGAGGAAGAAGATGAAGATGAAGGAGAAGAAGAAGATGAATTGACAGAGGAAGAAAGCGATAGTGATGATGATATATTGAACAAAAATGCTAAAAAAAAATCTTCCTATTTGAATGGATTGTATTTAATAGAAAAGAGCGAAGACAATGATTATCGTGTGCAAATTGATGAGGATTTAACAAATTGGAATTTAATTTATGATCGGAAAATTATAAAAACTGAAAACTCAAAGGAGGGATTAATAGGATTTTTTATATATATCCCTGAATGTGCCCCTGAATATACAGAAAAATTTTTAAAAAGGATTCTTCAGAAATTATTATTATGCCTAAATGATACAAGTGAAAAAATTAGAGATATTGCTTTGAGATCTTGTAAGGTATTAATTAGCACATATTCAAGAAATAACACTTCACTAATTTTAAAATTTATTGAAAATAAAATATATAATAGCTATTGGAGAATTAGAAAAGATACAGTAATTTTATTAAATGTGCTGATTGAAAAAAATATAGAAATTAATAAGGAAGAAAAGGACATAGAAACTTTGAACTTATTGCACGAGAGATTTTATTTCATGTTATCCTTAATATGTATCATGAGAAATGATAAGAATATAAATGTGAAACAAACTGCATATAATATTTACAAGACATATGTAAATAAAAGAATATTACAAGAAATGTGGCCAATACTGCTAAAAAAGATAACACAGAATTTGTCTTCTAAGAGTAACTCGAAGCAAGTTGTGAGTGCATTAGCCTTAGGAGATTTGGTTTATAAAACAGATTCAAGTAATTTAGAAAGTATTTTAGAAAATATGGTTAACGAATTTAAAACAACAAAGTATACATCTATCAGAAAAGGAATATCACTTGGATTTTATGAAATTTTTTCAAAGACCAAATATCACAATTTAATTGTGACACACGTGCATAATATTATTTATATGATAAAAGAATTGGCGAATCATAAAAATACAGGAGACATAATAAAATTATTATCTTTGTTATTAAAAAATATAGATCAAATTGTTTTGAAAGGTATTATCAATGATTTTGTTAATGATGTTATTATTACCAATGCAACTGCAAATAGTTTAAAAAAATTTACGTCAAAACAGTATATCAGTTTTAAGAGCATTAAAATATTTCTAAATGTTCACACAGAATTAGTTATAGATCTCATAGTAGATAAGGCATTAGTTCCTCCATACAGCGCTGCAAAAATGAAACTATTATCATACATTTCGTATGCCAAGTTAGGAAATTATTCCCTTCTTTTTAAAAAACTTATTAATCTTTTCATCCATTTCATACTCCACGGCTACAGTGACTTGAGGACACATGGCTTGAATGTCAAAAATTATGCAGAAGTTGCATCATATAGTATGGAAGAAAATGTGCAACAAGTTGGTAATAAAAAGGAAGGTGATAATTCTTCTCTGGTTAATATAAAAGTAAAGAAAACGAATGAAGAAAGTGAATGTGATAATGGGGAGGAAGTAGAAGAGGAAGAGGGAAAAAAGAATGGTGAGGAAAATGATGAGGAGTATGATGATCGAAGTGATGAGAGTTACAGTGATTATGACGAAAATGAAAGAGCTGATTCATATAAAACAGATATGAACATACAAGATATAATAATTTCCCTCAAATGTTTTCTAAAAAATATAAGTGACAGGAATATTGACACTTTAACAGAGATTCTTTTTGTAGAGCTAAAAAAAAACGATAGCACAATAGATTTATCTTATGCAAGTTTAGAAAAATTGGAAAATGAGGAAAAGAGTGATATAAGTTTTATGAATAATTATTCAAAAATATCCAATGGAAATAAATTAAAGGAATTGAAAAAATTTGAATGTACAAAGAGGAGTGGAAAAATAAGAGAAATAATTTTATCTATTTTTAAGTATTTATTAGACATTATAAATGAAAAAGATATTTCCTCGTTAAATAATGAATCTGCAGCAGTACACGGTTCGAATGTTGTGATAGATCAGAATAGTAATGTTAATATGAGAAATAAAAATGCAAACAAGAAGATCAATATACTGGATTCATATAGAACAGATATATACATAACATGGTTATCAAAGTATGCCTTAATAGATATCAACAAAAAGGTATTAGAACTATCATCTACAATATACATGTATCTTATTGAGCGAATCAAAAAGTTAGATAGCAATTATAACTATGTTCAAAGGTTTCATGACATCATAAATAAATACAGTAGTGATAGCAATTTTTGTGAAGTTCCAGATGGAAAATACGAATTGGTAGGATTTAATCTAAATAGGAAATTGTTTTCATCTTTTGTTAATATGTGTACACATGTAATTTTATTATCGACAAATTCGGATGCAAAAATCAAAGCAATAGATATAATAAGAAAGATATTTTTATATACCAATAGCGAAATTTCAAGTCCCCAAATTTTAAAAGTATCGGGTATTCTAATACGAGTATTAACAAATAAATACATAGAACAAACAAAAATTTATATTTTTTCGACATTTGAAGCATTAATTCAGAAGGGTAGCAATTTTATAAAGCCATTGATACCACAACTTCAGACGTGTATAATAAAATCGTTAAGCAACGAAAAATTAAAAAACCAAATTATTCACATACTAAATATCATATCAGAAAAAAAATTATCCAGAGTGGATTTACTCATAAATGATTTATTGAACAATATTAATATACAAACGAATCCACATCAAACTATAACTATATTTATGATACTGTCAAATATACTTAAGACTCCAAATATCAATATAAAAAATATTTTAAATAAAATAATGAATTCTGTAAAACCTCATTTTAATCATAGCAATTGTGACATATCTTTTTATGCATGTAAGATTTATGTATTGTTAATATTTTATCATTTGTCAAATAAGAAGCAGTATTTAGAATCAATATTATTACCGGGCAAAACGACGACAAATTCTGCTACATGTTACTTTATGTTGCATATAAGTGAAATAGATAATTTTTATGATATTTTAAAGAAGGAAAATATGATGGATATATTTAAGCACACCTATGAACAAATGTTGAAGGACGAGGTAAATAGCCATCAGAATATTTGCTATCAAATATTTTACAATTTTTCAAAGTATGATGAGGACTGTTTATCATTTATTTATAGTCGCGTTAATTACCTTAAGTTGCCACCCATGATAATGATTTCCATTGAAATATATCGATACTATTTTAAGGCACTTGGAAATATTTTTAAAAAAAAACCCATTATTTACAAGGAAAATGTGCCTAACTTTTTCCTCATTTTGAACAATTTGCATCTGGCTCTGTCTAGCACAGTGCAAGTGTTTAAGTCACTGGTATGGATAGTGCATGAGTGATATTGTTTGTGCCTACCCACCCTCTTCGTATGTGCATGTGTGTGTGCTTGTATGTATATATGTATCTGTGTATAGCACAAGTCCTCCACATATTGTCATCTCTGATAAACGCACACGTCTCCACTCACGTCGCACCTCGTCATTGCATCGAAACGTTCACTTTTTCCCCCTCCTTTTTTACCATATTTATAGGGAGAAAGCTGCATAAAGCATGTCCTCGAAATAAATAACGACGATCAGTATAAAGAAAAAATGAACTTTTTAAAAGACCAAATGGAAAGCACAAAATACAACCTACTACTTGAACAATTAAATCGGGTCCTTGCTAAGAAGCATAACATAAAATCGGACTCGGAATAATTTTTTCCCCCCCTTTTCCTTAATATGTATGAAAGTTTTTATAAATTTTTATATTTTTATTTTATGTTTTTACATATATAAAACACTGGCAGTATAGTGCACATGGTTACATTACCTAGGCCTGTTTGTGATTTTATAAAGAAAAAAATGTTTCCATTATTTACTTAAATTTTGTTAAAAAAGGGATAGAAATACGTTTTTTCTTTCCCGTTCAAAATATCCTAACAAAGTTTTTTCATATAACTTTATTTTAGTCTGATTAACAAGCTAATTTTAAAAGTATCAGTTTTAATGCCTATTTTGCCCCAAAAAAAAAAAAAAAAAAAAAAAAAAAAAAGAGGCGATACTAGACTAGACTAGACGAGAGGGGGAAAACCAAGAAAATGTATACATACATATATTTCTATATATATGTATGTATACATTTTCTTGATTTTGGAAGGATTTATATACACTCGTCACACCTAGGTTCGCATTTATTCCCAGGAGAATGCAGTTGTAACACATATATACACATGTTAGTATGCAAACATTAAACCCATGTGAATTAGACTATTTCATAATAAGTAGCTCTTTGTCCTCTCCATTTTGAGAGGCACTTGTCCTGCAGGGGAAAATGAGTATGAAGAAAAAATGTTAAAGCGAAAGAAAAAAAAATATAGGATATTGTGTTAAAAAAAAAAAAAAAAATAATAAATAAATACTTGTTTAGCTGTGTCACTTAAGATGTATGCGTCCACTTCTTATTCGATTTCTTTGGGAAACGAATTGAAAATTCTTAAAAAGTTTGTATCTTCGACACATAACAGCTAAATTGTAAGCTTCTAGATAATCGTTATTTTGAATTTTGAAAATTTGAAATTTTCTTATGCCAGACTCGTTATAGGTACATATATAAGCATGGTGAGAAGAATCGTAAAAGACTCCTCTATATCCACTTTTGTTTTTATCAGGTACAATTTTTACATTTTTTGTTATATTGTGATCATACTTTGCACTTAAATTACTACTATCCGTAATATTTAGGGGTACTTTATTACTTTTGTTTTGTCTATCTATTTGTTTTTTATATTTTATATTATACTGTTTGGATAGAATTATGGCTTTGTTTCTAGCTGATTCAAAGTTTTTTTTTTTTTTACAACTAAAAGTTCGAAAAACTTGAATACCTTGTTTGTAATAATAAACTAAAAACCGTTTTAAAATATTATCGTAAACTATATTTTTTCTACTATTTTGAATTAATCCTATTCGTTGTCTCCTTTTTTTTTTGGGGTAAAAGAACTCTAGTCTTTTACCTGAACAGGTATTTATAACTCTTTCATCTTTTCTTTTTTTTCTTCTTTTTAAACCTCCACTTCTACCACTGAAAAATCTCTTATTACAGAATGTATTTTTTTCATTTAAATTAATATCAGTTGTTCCATTAATTTTAAGGATATTTATGCCGTATTGCTCAGCAATATTCTTGAAACCTTTCTGGTTCGAATTTACAAACGTAGAGCTTGGAAATTGATAATAATAGGAAACAATTTTCTTATTTTTTTCATTCTCATGTTGACTTCCGAACGTTTGTTTAATTCTATACCATGAGATACTTTCGCACGCTCTACAGTTCAGCTGATTCAGTTCAGTTCGTAATGAAGTTCTGTTAATGCTAATTAATGTGTTCCCCGAGAAGATATGTGTAATCCCCTTAGCGTGGAAGTAATAACTACAAGTCATTTTTTCTTTTTTTTCTTTATCTTTATTTTCATTTTTTTGTTATTTTATTTTATTTTATTACAGTCTTAAAGGGATATATTGTTAAATGTTCATTAATTGCTATGTTTGTGTGCTTATCACATGTATATTTACTTCTTTCCATTTTTGCATTATTAAATGGATGCAGAAATGGGTATACACGTAAATGGGTTTTTGAAATAACGCACGCACTTTTTTTTCCTGCTGCTTGCTTAATTCTTTTTTTTCTTTTTTATCGTTAAATTTTGTAAAAACGGCACCAAAATGTATTCAGAAAATTTCTCTTGTGCTTTATCATCTCAAATGTTTATTCATTCATGTGTCCAAGTTCCACCTTCTGTAATTGCTTTTTTTCCTATTTAATAACTCATTGCAATATAGTTGTCATGCATTTGCTTCTTTTTCTTCTTCTTCTCCCGTATGCTTTTCCCCTCCTTTTTCTTTTTTTCACATTTTTCATAAACGAATTACTGCGTTATTTAATTAAGGGGAAACTGCTTAAAAGATCTATGAAAACAGAAAAAATTCATTCCATGGCAATTTTAAGGAGTGTTACATTGGCATAGTAGCATATGTGCGCATGAGTCAGCAATGAATATGTAATTGCATAAGCACTAACAAGGCAAGGAAGCTTATTTTCACGGAAAGCAAAACAGCTTATTTTCACGGAAAGCAAAGCAGCTTATTTTCACGGAAAGCAAAGCAGCTTATTTTCACGGAAAGCAAAGCAGCTTACGTTCACTGAAAGCAGAAAATTTTGCATACACAGAAAACAAAACAGCTTGTGTTGCATCATGAAATGCACATACACGGATGAGATAAAAACTTAGAGATACAGAAATGCGTGCATGTTTTCTTATTCCATAGATGGAACTACAAGCCGCATTTTAATAGTATTACATGATATGTGTACAGGTATATTCATGACGTATTAGGAAAAAGCTTGTGCCGTCTCATGGATTCTGCATCTTTTGACATGGGATAGATATGATGAGATAAAGGTGTGGGCTCGCCTTTTTTTTTTTTTTTTTTTCCCTCCCCTTCCCCAATTTACCTAGCTCCTTGGAATATTTTTTTTTTTTTTTTTTTTTTACATCTTTTAACTTTTTACATATCCTGTATGTAACAACACTTCCATGTTAATGAAAAATAGGTAAAAAGAAATTATTACTTCTGATAATCATGCAAATGATAAGTGAAAGAAAGTTTGTTTAGAAAAAAATCAATATAAATCAGGAAGGAGAAAACAACAATAGCTTGTTCTCATTCAATTACCTAAAAATGAAGCAGAAGAAAAAATATAGACAAAAATATTTTATCACTCAGAAAATATAGTCTCGTATTTAAATATATGTCATCTGGTATAGACAAGTTTATACACATTTACACGTCCGTCTTCTCAAACGTGCTGGAGATAAAGTAAGACGCATAAAAAAAGTGACAAAACAGGAAATTACAACGGGATTGAGAGTGTAGGAAATGAACAAATAGAGAAGATAGAATGATATTTATACTCATTGCGTTTGAAGTTGTACTGATAATTTCAACCCAATTTTTTAAAAATTACGATATACCTTTTTTGCATTCATGTAATGCAACCTACGTTGCAAAGAAGACATTTAACGAAAAGAGTGGTGACTTTTTTTATAATTTTTTAAGTACACATAACAATTTAAAAAAATTCTCAAAATTATTTATGACAAAAAAATTTAAATATAAATATAAGAATTCTTTAGAAAAGAGAATACGAAAAGGACGAATAAGAAATGAAATAAATCAGAAATTAAAAAAAAAAAATAGTGCATATATAGTTATAACTGAAAAATTAAGTAAATTAGATCCTGAACAGAAATATTTTAAGTATGATAAAAATATTTTAAAGGAATATGAAAATATAAAAGATATTTATAAAAATAAAAAGTTGGGACGAAAATTTAATCAGTATGATTATTGGTATTCATCAAAAAAAAAAGAAGCAAAAAATAACTATAGTAGACATGTGAATTTTGCTATAACTGAAAATAAGTTTAATTTTAAAAATGTTTTCTCTTACTTTCACATATTAGAAATTGTTCATGAAAAATTTAAGAATAATTCCTTTTATATTAACGGCTTACAATCGTTTATAAATAAATACTATGATCCGGTTACACAGAAACGAATTAAATATTACGACAAAATTAAGGAACAAATTGAAATGAGAAAAAAAAATGGTGAAGGTAAAAGTAAACAGAACGATGAAAAAGGAACATCACTTCTTAACAGTAGTGAAAAAAGGAAAGTAGAAGGAAATAATTTATCTCTTCTCGATGATCTAACAAACGAAAAGGTAAAAACAGTTGTTTCTCCGCAAGATGATGCTTCACTAAACGAAGGGATAAGGAATATACTATCTCAGAATACTTCACAAAAAAATGAAGATGAGCAAAGTTGCAAGGAGATCCAAGCGAAAAAAAACACAATTAAAACAAAGAAAGAATTTTTTGAAATGATCAAAAAGAATCTAAGCGAACTTCAATATTCAAATGAAGTAAATGAAGATTCATCATTTACTCTTTTTGGTTCGTCTACAAGTTGCCTTTTAAAGAAAAATGGCCCAATCGCATATGACATAAAAAATCCTTTTATGAAATCGAAGATGTCATCAAAAAGGAGGAGGTTCAAAGAACGAAAACTTTTCGACATAATTAATTTTAAGTGTAAAAATAGACGGGAGCGATTAATGCAAACTGCTGTGAGGAAATTAGCCAAACGAAAACTCAAAAACGAAAATTACATTTTGGATCCCATGGAACCTGCTTAACGTGGTAGATGTAGTTGAGGTGGTGCATTTGTAGATGTGTACATCGTTAGGCGAATACGCACTTGTATGAAATTATGCTTTTTGTTTTTCACTTTTTATTTTTTACCTTTTATTTTTTACCTTATATTTTTTACCTTTTATTTATTATCATCTTTTTTTTGTAGCAACACTCAATTTATTGCACAATATTGGTGGTAGTGCAAATGCCTTTCAAATATTTCGATGCATTTCTTCACGTATTTGTGTGAATAGCAACATTTTGATAAGTCTGTTATATACATATTTATTTATATTTTTTTTCATTTTTTTTTTTTTTTTTATGTACAAAGGGATGATTATGTATAAAAAAGAGATACATGGATAAATATGTTTTATAAAATACAATAATACATTAGTCTGCATACTATAATAGCATTTAGTTACATTTTATATTTTTGAGAATAATTAAATATGATAAGTTGCTTCTTTTCTGTGAGGAAAACACTATTCACATAGTGTTTGTGTGCACGTGCATGCATACACAGTTAAAATAAAAAAATGAAACATATTAATGATATTATGCAATATACGTAAATGTACACTAGGAGGATATATATAAAGACTACGAACAATGTTATTTTACAATAGTTTAAGAAATGACTTACATAGTTGCTTCAGCTTAGCTACACAACACTGTAGAGCTTATCAAAACGAACATAAACCATCTTGGCTATGTAAAACGTTAAATTAAAATTATTGAAAATAGTTGGTACTCAATGAGTTTCCTTAACCAAATTTTGTACTTGCTTCAAAAGTGTAAATGATAAATTTCCCTTTGAAAAAAAAAAAAAAAAAAAAAATTTCGAAATGGTAAATAAATAAATATCCCCCCCCCCCCCCCTGAAGCAATACTGCGGGAAAGAGAAAATGGAATGTCTAGTAATGAGCATAGCAAAACATACAACATGACAATAAGCCCTTTTTACAAATAAGAAGGATAGATTGAATAAACGAGTCTCGGTTCAATCTACACTAGTATATTTCTAGGAAATTTTCCCTTGGTTCTTCAGTTCTGCTTCAGTTCTGCTTCAGTTCTGCTTCAGTTCTGCTTCAGTTCTACTTCAGTTCTACTTCAGTTCTCCTTTAATTCGGAAAAGAAACTCTCTAAGGTATTTTTCTTTTTAATCTGAGTAGTTTTTTTTTCTTGCGAAAATAGATTATCAACGCACTGGTTTTTTGTCACCCCAGTAAAGAACTTATCTAGAAATCCGTTTTCTTTTTTTTCCCTATTTTCTACCTGAACTTTTACTGATTTAACATGCTGTTGACTAGTTTGTTTAATGTCTGGAAATTTTTTCTTTTCATCTTCTGATATATATTGATTGTTGTTGCAGTATTTTTCGTATATTTCTTTCCGTTTCTGTTCATCATCTTTATAATCCTCATAATAATGTGAATTATCTTCCATATTTTTATAATTTTCATCTTTTATTTGTCTTTTTAAATATTCATTTGTAATTTCACTGTGTAATGTGCTATATTCATCATCTACTAGACTTATAGACAACATCATATTTTTAATATTTTTAAATAGTCTGGATGTTTTCACAGCTAGTTTTTGATTTTTTTTATCATTTTTTAGTATAGCAAACATTCGCATAATCCATTTATCATATAATTTGTTTAAGGACTTTAATGTATCATTAGCACTTTTATTTTTCCCATCATTCATATAGTCATAATATATATTTGCAAATAACTGTTTGCAGAAAAGGTCTACTCGAGATCTCATTTCATCATATTGTTCCCAAGGCAATGATGCAAATTCGTTATTATTTGAATCATTGTCTAGCGATAAATTCGGGTTGGTTTGTATTAATTTAACAAATTTTTCATACTTAATCAAGTTACATTCATTCATGAGTATATATTTCTTTTCCACGTTGTAACCTAGACAGCTTTCTATTTTGTTAGACCTAGGTTCGATTTCATTTTTATTTAGTTTGATAACTGATATGTGTTCGAAATTATCAAAATATAGAGGATAGTAGATACACTCTTTGTTTGTAAGTTGTTCTTCCCTTGGGTAATTATTGATATCTTCTTCATTTTTACTTTTATCATCTTCATCCTCTTGTGGATCATTTTCTGAATAATGTGTGTTATTATTTTTCAAGTTACTATATTGTTGATTTATATTTTGTGTGTTAGCATTATTTTCCATGGATTCTATTTTATTTAGATTGTTGAAATCAAATACTGGAACCCAATCGTATACAATATGATTATTACTATTTTTAAATAATGGATATAATCCATATATATAGTTAGATGTGTCCCTAACATATGGAACTCCAAAGTTGGACATGTTAACCCAATTTAAATAATGACATGATGGAAGAGATAAAATACCATCATATAAGATTGTTATATGATATGTATTATACTTGTGTGATTTTAAATTGGTGAAATTTTCATTAATTTTGTAAAGTGTACAATTGTAGGTGTTATTTATATTGTACGTAGATACATTTTCAAAAATGAATTGACATGTAATAACAAAGAGTAGGTAATCATATGCACATATAGCTACGGGTAACCCTTTCAATAAAAATGTATTGATTATATATCCATATGCTGAATAAATTCTGAGAAAATTGGTAGATGTAACAATAGCTACAAAATTATTTCCGTTGGCTACTCCTTTTATAAATTCATCATTTGGTAAATACTTATTCCATATTACATTATCTCTTAAATTATGAAAACATAATATGCTATTAATTTTTGAAAAAGATTTTTCATAAGGATTTGATGCTAAGGCAAATCCATAAGCACTTAAAGATGCAGCTGTCACGTTGTAAATATCTGTAATTTTTTTTTTCCCAATATCTTCCCCTCTGAAGAGAAATACATATATGTAGGTTTTATTTCCTTCTTTTTTCTTTGTTATATGACCTATATCATTCCAAAACATACACCACTGATCATTTATATTTTCTGGTTCTTCACACAACCCTGGACTGAGGACAATAAAATCGTCATAATTAATTTTCGTATAAGCATTAATCTGTTTTTGTAATAAATCTACTTGTTTTTTTAATTCTCTTAATTGATCAAATTTGTCTTTTACATAGGTGTTCAATCCAATTACACTTTTTTGATCATCATCATTATCAAAAAGGTAATTGCTGTCTTCAAAAAGGGGATCTGTTCCCCCTTGGTTATAATTTCGTATGACATCTTTATTTTTGTTTATGAAATCTTGTATATTATATTCCTTCGGATTGTATTCATTATCTTCTCTAAGTGGGTTGTTCTGACGTTTCTCTTTTTGAAAAATGTGTTTCTCATTTTCGTCACTATTGTATTGATAATCATTATCCTTTTCTGTATATGCTAGATGATTCATTCTGTCTAACTTTTTATTTTCATAGTATTCATCTTGTTTGTCTTCTCTTTTACTCATCGCATGTAAATCTCGATCTCTTGCAACTTTTTTATGTGAAATGTTGATAAATGTGTCTTTGCTTTCTTCATTATCATCACTAAATATTTTTTTTTTCCTCTTTTTTACATTATTTACATGAAAGTTGTAATCATCTGAATGCAATTCGCTATTTCTTCTCCTATCGTTATAATCTTCGTGTATTTCATTACTTATTTTTCTCCTTTCATTTAAAAAGGTAGAAGTGTTCTTTGTCTTGACTTTTTTCTTCTTCTTATCGAAATGGTAGTTATTATTATCCTTCAAAATATCAGCAATATCGTTTATATTTTGTTTCATATGAGTTGTTTTACCCATATTTGAGTGTTCCAAATTGGAAGAATCCTTTTCATCTGCTTCTTCGGCACTAATTCCATCCTTTTCTGAGCCATTCCATTCAATTTTTTGTAAAATTTTTTTTCCCAATAACTTTACATTTGCTAATTGTTTTTCCTCTGCTAGTATGGATATATGTAAGTAGTCATTAAAATAGGAAAGGTCAAAATGAGATATCAGATATTCACTCTTAAATTTGTATAAACAATATTCCAATTCAAATTCCCACACACAAAATAGGTAATCATCACAACTTAAAGTAGTGAGTAAAATTACATTATCTAAAATGGTAATGAATTTGGTGGCATTAATAAATGATTCATGTATTTCTGCTCCAGAAAATTCGTATACCTTGTAGTTGTAAATGGTTAAGTATCTAACCGTTTTTTTCCCGCACAATGATATGCAATGACTTTTTGGGTGCCAATCACAGTTCAAGATATTTTTGTAATTTTTCGAAAAATCGAAGACATTCTTCACTTCAACAAAGTCATTACTACTGTCATTCTGGTTTTGTCCATTTGAGTTGTAAGCACCTCCTCCTCCTTCTCCCTCTTCCTCTGCCTTGTTGTCAACACAAAGATCCTTTTTCGAAATATCATAAATATACATATTGTTGTGATTAAAAACGGCCATATTTTGATAGTTGGTGCTGACGCAGAAATTATATGTATATTCATGAGTAGAAAGCTTAACAGAACTCAGGTATTTATCCTTGTACAAAATTAAAGTGTAATCTTTGTACAAAATTAAACAGTTAAGATCATTATTCGATGCAAATATTTCAATTTTAATTATGTCACATACTTTTCGGTATATTAACTTTTCATATATGAACACTTTATTCGTTTCATCTTCTGAGAAAATACATACATTTCCATGTTCGAAGGCGATACAAACATGGTTTATTTCAGTCTTGGGGATTTTTCCCTTCTTCTTTGCGTCATCCAATGTCTTGTTCGCTCTTCCCGATCCTCCTCCAGCAGGAACTTCGTTGTCATTGTGTTCGTTAGCACTGCGTGAATCAACATTATGTGAATCAGCATTATGTGAATCAACATTGTGTGAATCAACATTGTGTGAATCTCCATTGTGTGAATCTCCATTGTGTGAATCTCCATTCTGTGAATCACCATTATGTGAATCACCATTATGTGAATCTCCTTTATGTGCATTATCGTCCCTTTTACCATCAGTAGCTAAATCAGTATCATTATTGAAAGAAGGGATGTTGGTTATCCCAACGCGAGACTCGCTCATTCTTATAGGGGCCTTTAATTTTACATTATTCGAAATGTGTACAATTTTCTCATTTTTATTTATATAGTCCACACCGTATATGGCTATATTTTGTGCTCGAACTATTTTCTTAATTTCCTCATATGTGTAAAATTTTATTTTATTACCACTAACTAACAGAAGTTTATTGTCATAGTGTCTTAGGATAAGGGCACTGTTAATGTATGAGTAGTATAAATCTTTCATTTCTGTTGTATAGTTTTTTAGTACCCCTCTCTTAGGAATCTTTTTTCTCTTTTTTTTTTTTTTTTTTTTTTTTTCGTGACTTCGTTCTGATTTTTTTTTTGTAGTCTTTCTGCTATGTCTGCTTCTGCATTTATTTTTACCTTTTTGTACTCCCAAACAAAGCAGAAAGAGAACATATGATAGCTGTGTGTTTTTTGTGTGACCTGACTTTAAGACTGAATTAGGCGATATTACATTTGTTTAATCACTGCTGTATAATTACACTTCATCTGTTTAATATATGCACAACTTCCCCATATGCGGCTGTATAGATATAGCTGACACACAAGTCCAAACTAAAATATCACATTCGCTAAATCATGGTAACATGTTTTTCTTTCGGGAGGTTTCCCCTTCTCGTTTGTGTAAATACTATATACACTTTTTTTTTTTTTTTTTTTTTTTTTAAAGCACTAGGCAATTTTGTAAATAAAGCATTTATTATTGCATTTCAGGAAATTTCACATAGTCATCTTTTATTACTTTTTGAGAAAATTTTAAAGATTTCCTTCGTATACGAAAGTAGTAATTTTTTTTTTTTTTTTTTTTTTTAAACAAATTAATAGATCAAAAAAATAATTTTAAGTTGGTTATGTCTGTTAAAGTAGTGCCATAAAAAAAAAAAAAAAAATATAAATAAAAAAAATAAAATGATTGATAAAACAAAATAATAAATATGTGTATGCATATAATATATGTACAGCAATTAATGTTCTTGTGAAATAGTAACTCAAGCTGTATCTGAAGATATATATAATTACTTCTTATATACGCTTGTGTACTTTCATGCGAGTTTTATGCATCTGTTATAAGAGACTAATAAGAGGTGTGCAATGCTAAAAATAAGTCATAAGGTATTTTAATACGTGCCCGCTTCTACTTGAGCAGGTACGAAAAAAATCAAAAAGATTGTATCTTCTGATCGTAGAAAAAAGGCAATATGTACCTAAAGGTTATCCACACACAAATATAAACATAAGCATAAGCATGCAAAGGTTTAGTTACTTTTTCCCTATGGGGGAAAACAAATATGTAATGCAAATAATAATTATAATTTCAAAAACAAATACTGTACAGCTTAAAAAATATTTGGAAAAAAATTAATTATACGGGAAATGGGACACACAGGGGTGGAAAGCATAGAAGAAGAATTTTTCACATAAATGAAGCTTTCGGGCTCATACACATTCATGTGTATATGGGCATTATAATGTACATGTTTACATATGTGCAAATCATGAAACATTACCTTAGAAAGGTATATATACATAAGTTTCTTTTTAAACACATTTCAAATTATCGAAAAAGAAACAAAGCACAATATTGCAAAATGACGAACCCAATATCAGTCGTCTGCGTAATAAGCGCTTCTCTCCTTATACCGTTGAACCTTTCTCTAAAAAATTGGGAAAAAATAAAACCGTGAGGTGGTAAAACAGTAGGGTATAAATATAGTACAAAGGGATTTTGAAATCTGGGAAAATAGAATAACTTCTATCATTACCCTTTGGAGTAGTACTTTTTTTTTTTTTTTTTTTTTTTTAATCATAATTACCTTAAAATTTTCTCTCAACTCGGATACATCGGACAACAAGCCGCTTACGTTATCTGAAAGCAATTTAACCCCTGCATATCCCTTTGGTTTTATGGTTATTTCAATTTTATTTTGAAGAGGATGTGGCTGTCTGTAGGCTGCAAATGTAACCTTGGGATCTTGGCAAAGAGCTCTGGTGTGGAAAAAGAGACAGATTATCGTTAAACAAAAATCACGTTTTTCTATCATGTGTGGTAATACACTCATAAAAATGTGAACAAAGGAATATATATAGCTGGTGCAGTGTGTACAATATATGCACAATAAGCACGTAGAATATACAAGCAGCACATATAAGATTAGCTATATATTCCTCGTCTCTGAACACATCATCTTACTGTTTTATCAAATTTCCTATGGTGTGATCCTCCAGTTTTATTGTGAATATGTTGCAATCGCCTTTCTCGGATATTTCGCAAGTAACTCTGCCGATTTTTGAAATGTAAGGGGGATGAAGATATATAACTAATGGATTACTTTTTTTTTTTTTTTTTTTTTTTTTTGCTTTTTTGAGATATTGTATGCTCCGTTCGTGTGAAGTGCAAGCAATGATAACCATGATCAAGCACTCATATGAACTATCAAATATGCAGTAGTGTGTGAATTAATGTACATGCTCAAGAATTATGAAGTTTTTATTTGATCTCCTTGATGCACCTCCAGATTTAAAGTTAAAAGGGGTGAAGAGGGGGAAAGACTTTCGATTCAGCATGTGTCACATAGTAGTGAAAGGTAACAATGTTACGTCAAACTAGTGTAAATAACTTCATTAAAATTATAATTTTCCTAATGATTTTCAAAAGGTCTGCATCTCATATATTTTCTATCATATTTTGCCGTAATCACGGTATCCCCCGCTGCCCCATTTTCTCCTATTATTGCGTTGTTTTCTTCTATTGTTTTTCTCTCTCTACATGAGCATATACATGGATTATAACCATATGTATACATCACATAGTCCTTTTTAATTCCTTTTTTTTTTTTTTTTTTGCAATTTTACTTTTTTTCTCCTGGGGCTAGCACCAGCAGGTCAATATTTTCTGGCTTATTCGATAAGGTTGGCACGGACATTTTAAGAATTCTTTTTTACTCTTTTTTGAAGAATCATAAGACTGCGACTACGAGTTGCTATATTCTACTAGCATAATTAAATATACGACATTATTGATCAATTCCTTTTTTTTTTTTTTTTTTTCTTCCTTAAAAAGATGTTTCATAAAATTTTGTAAAGGAGAAAAATATATTTCCACATAAAATGTAGCAAATGTGATATTGTAAAATGCACTTGCATTCATGTGCATAATTGTACATATTAGCTAATGTTTTTTGCAGAATTGTAAGGAGTTGTAATTTCTTTTTGCGTTAATGTAAAATTGTAATTTTGCTACAAGTTAAAGGGATGGTATACTGGAGAAAAAAAAAAAAAAAAAAAAAAAAAAAAAAAATATATATTTGTTGCGCTAAGTATCAGAAAAAGGAAAGTACATACGTATTTAATTAACAAAATAAAGAAGTAGGCTGTGAGATTATTTATAAGTACGTATTTTCATAAAAAACTTCGTGACAATTTGAATTTTTTTATTTTTCTCTTCCATTGATGCAGATGATACAAATTATAAAGTGCTGAAGAGGATGTCATAACAACAAACTGTTTTTATAACATAGTAGAGTTCTTTTGCAAAAATATACACATGTACGTATACATATATGTATATATGCAATATGCGAACCAAAGAAACTCATTTCAGCATTCCTTGGCTAAAGGTTGCTAACTTTTCTGAATACGTTTTAACTGAATATATTTTTGGCTTATCACACAATCATTTTACACTTTCCAAAACACACCCAAGTGAACGTAACTTATAAATTTATGAACACGTCAGTGGGGGAAGACAAAGGGATAAAACATAGGAGAAAATGGAAAACTGTGTGCGGTTATTTCCAAGGTATAAGAAAAAAGAAAGTGAGCAAGCACGTAATGCTTGTGGAAAATTACGACCTAAGTATAGCTTAATATCATACTTCAGCTTTTAATATAATAGAAACTTATTTCACATATGGGGGATATATGTATAACATTTTGCTTTTCTGTTAAGGGAAAGATACTAAGTGTTCTTAAGAATATGCATATATAAAACAACTAAAATGTTTCTATATGAATATAAATAAGGGAATTAGGTATTGAGGGGAGGGTAAGTATTGTTGTTTTACTCTTTTTTCTCCTTGATGTAAATACAAGCATAACACGAATAAAGAACAAAAAAAAAAAAAAAAGAAAAAAAAAAGGAGTTATACATTTTTATGGGATAATATTTCAATTTTTTAAAATTTCAGCTTACATATCCATTTATACAATGATTACAAGTTATTCTGTGAAAACATATTGTACTTTTTTTAAGCATATTTATTTTTTTTTTTTTTTTGCTGTTTCTTCTGAAATATTTTTTTTTTGAATATTTTTACTCTGTGTTAAATATTAACGAAGATAATTATATTTACTAGACACTTATTAGGGGCAGTTTGAAATCTTAGTTTATTCGATCAAGCTTTTATGTAAAACTTTCTTCGTCAGCTAGTACTTCAAATTTTCTTTTAAAGCACCTTTTTAAAAGGGAAAATATGTGTAAAAGTCTTTATAATAATTTTTTTCATTGAAAAAAAGTGAAAATTATGATGTTATATGAAGTAAATAGTGAATACAGTTGTAGTATTTTTTCTACACTTCTCTTGCGTTATGGATTTAAAACATGAATTCACACATGTATACATATACGTCCTCTTTCGTAAAATTCGTACTCAGGGAAATAGAGAAAAAGGGCTCTTACATGTTTATGAAATCTTTAGTGCTGTTCTGCTTTTCTTTTTTTTTTTTTCATCTCCCCCCCACCTTCTCCCTGTTGAATAAATATTATTTCACAAATGAAAAGAGAAGGCGCGAACATTTTTAAAAATATTGGCACTTTTACGCAAAAAGATATCTATTTGTGTGTACACATTTTATGTGTAGTTCTTTATAAAGCATATAGGTCTCAATTTTTTTTTAAATCTATCGTTTCAACTGAGGAAGTGGACTTCACTACGGCAGTGTTGCATTTTGTATTGAATCCTCTTTTTTTTTCCTACACACATAAGGAAAAAAAAAAAAAAAAAAAAGGAACATTGTTAAGTACATACACGCATACATACATTCAAATGCAAATTTTCGCATTTGTATAAGAGCTCATACATGAATATTCTCATACACACGTTACTTCCTCTACAGCATAATTTTCTTGCAGACAAGAAGACTTCAGATTTCTGATGTGTACGTAGGTATTTGATTATTTCATGTGCATGCAAAAAACATATATATATATATATATATATAAATAATCATGTGCTGTGAAATTGCGCTGGCACTTCCTATATTGTGGAATGGTGATTTAAATTTACGTATTTTTTAATAATTCCATTTTTTACACTTGGTACACACATTTGCTAAAAATAAAAATTTACGCAAAAATTGAAAAGGAAAAAAAAAAAAAAAAAATTCGTATAAATATTGGCTTAAATAATTCGACTTAGCAGTAAGTTCTCTAGTAATTTTTTTTTTTTTCTTTTTTTGAGTAGTACTAGGGATAAAACATATTTTATGATTTTTTTTTTATTTCCATTCGTTTATTAAAAATTCGTGTTGTGCTTTTTTTATTGTTGTTCTATGTCGCATTAGTCTAAATAGCACAAATCTACAGAATTTTTTTTTTCACGCAATTATATAATATTGGTAAAGGATTATATTTACATATCGTGTATGCCCCACTAAAAATACTTTCTTCAAAATATAATGATTCGTTTTTTTTTTTTTTACAATGAGGATGAAAATCCTTATTTAACTTAATAAATGAATAACGAATTTGTGTGTCTCTATTTTAATTTAAAAAATAAAAAAGGAAAAAATTGTGCAGAATTATACAAAAAACCAAAACAAAATAGCTGATTATAAAGGAGTGAACAACTGTAACAGTATGTAAAAATATTACAACTTTTTTGACAGATTTACAAAGGCCCCTTCAGTTGGTTTTAAAGGGTACACCAGAGAACCTCATGGAAGAGTACTGTACAAATAATTGTATCTCCTTCGAGAGAGTCGTAAGAAGGCATTATATCCATCTTACTAATATATGTTTCATTGATTATAACAAGGGAAAGGAAGAAATAAATTGTTTTACTGAAAGGTATTTTATATGTATGCATGCAAGTATGCACTAGTTCGTAGTGAACTATATGAGTTGTAAGTATGACATGATTTAAAAGGTGCCACATAATTTGGGATTGTATTTAACATTTATGCTTTGTAGCAAATTCTCATTATTACAGAAACATTCTCTGTTATGTCAATAAAATTGATGCTTCTAAAATATAGGAAAATAAAAACAACTATGTTATTTTTCCAGATTCTCATATATGTACAAACAGAAGCCAAAAAAAGGGAAACAATTTGTACACATCTTGTTATTTTAATTCTTTTTAAATAGTAGAAAAAAAAAAAAAAAAATAAAATTGATCAACCATTTGACTAACAGAGAGGTGTGGGGTGATAAGGAAAGAAATGAAGAACTTTATACATAAACGAAAGAATGATAGCAAATGCATAATCTTAAAATTAGAGGATAATATATATATGGAAAAAATGGAATATCATATAGTACCGCAATATTTTTTACTAAATGATAACAATAATAAGGATGTTTATTTTGTGTTAAAGAAGACGAATTTAAAAATAAATGAGAAAACTCTAATGAATGGGATAATAGAGAAAAAAATACAAATGAAAAAGCAAGGGATAAGCGAAAATTTTGAGGGGAAACATAACCTTTTGTCTGGGCATGCCAACAGTGCCAAGTTCAACTTACACCCGTTAGTTTCTTCCACGATGTGTGATTACATATGTGAAGAAAAGGAAAATGAAGGGAAATATACACTACTCAACTGTAATAAAAAAGAGGAAATAAAAAGTGAATCAAGCAGGAAGAGTGTCGAAAAAGTTATCAACCTGTTAGATGAACAAAAATCCATGTTAGGAAAAAGAAATTATATTTATCTTACCTCTAGTACTAAAAGCATCGAAAAAAAAAAGAATGGCAACATATGCTGTAGAAAAGAAAATATTATGAGTTTATTAAAAAACTCGTCGAAAAAATTTTTATATTCTGCAGAAAAAGTAAAACTTTTTAAAAAAATATTTTTTAATACAAAAAGAAAAGATGATACATTGATTTGTGATAAAATGATTGTAGCAGATTGTCAAAATAAATGTACAAATAGTGATTATACAGAACCACGAGGTTATGTGATCAACCGAAAATGGGAAAATACAAAGGAAAAAAAGGAGGGAAATAACGAAAGAGAAATAAATGAAACATGGAAACAATTTTTTTTAGACAAGCTAAGCGAAAAAAGACAAAGCATATGCAGAAGGAATAACACATTATTTCCTGAAGAAGACACACTCAAAAATAACAAAATGAAGGATGATGAAGAATGTGTAAAGAGTAAATCTGTTATAATCATATATGAGGATGGAAAAAAAAAGATTTTAAATAAAGGCATAAATGGTAATAAGAAAAAACATTATCATATAAAATATGAATATAAAAATAAAAACACAAATCCATTGATTCCAAATTTAAGTAACAAAAAAAAAGAATATGATCAGTATGGGATATTACATGAAGAGGAAAAAAAAATCAGAACAAATAAGCGCCTGCTTTTAAGTAACACAAAAGAGGGATTGTTCAAGCCAAAAGAAGTAAGAAAAATGAGTAAGAAGAAAAAAAATAGTTTTAACATGCCGAATATAGAAAAAAAGGTTCAACAGAAAATGCACCAAAGTGATAATAATGGATTCTTGGAGTATTCCTCATCAGGTATAAACATAAAACAGTATAATACTAGTAGGTATAAAAGAATAAATATGGAAGACGACAAAGCAGTTGACAAATATAGTTATAAAAAAGAAAAACAGTTCTGTGATGTTATAAAGGACAAAAATGGGAACCACATTTTGTTTAAAAAATCTGTACATATGGATAATAAGAACAAAATAAAAATAAGGAGTTTGGATAACTCTAAAAATAGTAAGAAAACAATTGTACCCCATGAGGAAAAGAATGCAATGAAAGGGAAAAAGAAATTTTTTATTAAAACGAAGGAAAACAATATGAAGGAAACAGTAGAATATATGGATAGTGACGAATCTCGTACTAGCATTATTATGCAGTATAATGCAATTAATGAGAGCTGTAAAGTGAGAAAAGAACAAAATGAAGAAATGAATAACCTAAATGGCAATCCTAAAAAGAGAATACAAATCGAGCAGGCATGGAATCTCTGTGGAGACAAAATAAAAAATTGTGTTTACCAAGAAACTATTGCTAATAGGAAAGTTCACCACGATTCAAACCATGACAAATGTTGGATCAACATCGAGAATGTTGCTGAATTTCAGAAAAGTGAACAGATCTTAATTAATAAGACAAATTGTAGAAATCACTTCTACCTAATTTGCAAAGATGTTAATGAAAAACTAGGGAACAAAACGAAGGACATGTTTTACTTCTTTTACGAAAAAAATAAGAATATAAACAGGAAGAATGTAGCATGTATTGAAGGGAAACTGACAGAAGAGACAAGCATAAATGGGATAAACCCAAATAAGACATATTTTGAACGCACAGCAACAAAAAATAATACTACCTTTAACATTTATAGTAACAGAAATGAAGAGGAAGAAGAAGAAGAAAAATGTAGAAAAAAAAAAAAAAAAAATTTTGAAAAAAATAAATTAAGAATAAAAAATTTTGTTAATAAAAATGAGATATTTAATCTGTCTAGAAGAGAAGATGAACAGATGAAGAATGAAAAGGAAAACATACAAGTAAGCGACGTGTCAGATAAATTGCCATCATACAGTATTGGAATGTCGTATGATTTTATTTGCCAACTTGAGAAAATGAATACATGTACTAGTGTGAACGACTCAGACTATAATAATGAGATAAATAAAAGTGTTATCGAGAAAAAAATAAAAATGGAAGAAGTTTTATCTGCATATCCAGTAGAACCAGATTATTCGGAAGGGAAAAATGAAGCACACAATATTACGAAAAAAAATGAAATAACTGCTGCAGTGGATATAAGCACTGGCACAGTGATCCTAGCAAATCATTTAACTAAGGGAAAAATTGATAAGAATATTAAAAATAGTATAAATATAGCAACAACAAATAACAGCTTACATGCACATAAAGAAGGTTCAAACTGCCCAGAAGAGGAGCATCTCACAAATGATAGAACTGATGAAGACAGAATAATTTATGAGCAAATAAGTAAGACAGACGATTCTAATAATTGTGTAAGAATAGAAAGTGAGGAAACAAAATATGACAACATCTTATCTTACGATAAACAGAAATTATTGATGGAAGATTTAGTAACCAGTATATCGAAGGAAAATAATTATAATAATTATTATCATAAAAAAAAACAAAAGCATGAAGAGGGAAATAAAAAAAAAAAGGAGAGAATAATTGGGAAGAAAAATGAGGATACTAAAATGGAACACAAAATAAATATGTTAGAAAAAAAGAAAAAAAAATTTCGATCATATTTTATGAAATTTAGATCCTTTCTTTTTTTCCAGCACAGAAGGATGATTAAGACAGTGACGTCCCTCAGCACCGAAAATGGATCGAGAACATTTATTAAAAAAAAGAAATTTAATTTAAGAAGAAAAAGAAAAATTAAAAAATTAAAAAGTTTAAGGTTACTAAACATGCACGGATCTAAAAAAATGGTAGAGAATAACAGTAATGTGAGGGTAGAAAAGAAACATAGCGAAGATTGTCAATCTAGAGAATATTTATTAGGACAACAAAGAGAAAAAGAAAAAGTAAGTTTTGCTTAGGTTGATGCATTAAATTGGTTTTCCATTCTGGATCATCCGTTTGATCATCGGCTCAGATATTCTTTTATTAGCAAAACCGTTTACATAAGCCTCGAATAATGTAAAAATTTCATAATTTCACATAAAGCACGTTTTCACAGATATACCCATTTTCCTGTCCTCTTTATTCACCCCCTCTAATCTAATCACATTTTTTTTTTTTTTTTTTTCGAAAGGGAAGGAAGACCATTGTCCTTGACTTAGATGAGACACTTGTTCATAGCACTCTAAAAGGAGAGAAGTACAATTCCTTTAGGATCGATGTAAGCGTTCAAATCAACATTTGAGAAGAAGAAGTTACCCTTCAGCTTGCAAGCGTGTCTCCATATATATATTTATTTATTTCCTTATATGCTTGTCATTTTTACTATACTTTATGCATCCACTTATTTACCTGTGTGAAATTTTTTTTAGATAGAATTGGGCGATGAACACTGTACAATTTACGTGAATAAGAGACCAGGTAGCGCAAAAAAAAAAAAAAAAATAAATAAAATAATAACAAAATCACAACAAAATCACAACAAAATCACAACAAAATCACAACAAAATAATAAAAAAAGCACAATTAAAAGTTGTAGTAACACAAGAAACCTTCTCGTAAGGCAAAAAGTAAAAATATAACAACACATTCAATTTTATTATTTTATACCGTCTTGTGAAAAGGTGTAGAATACTTTTTTAAAGAAATATCGAAGTATTATGAAGTGGTAATTTTTACAGCTAGTTTACCTAAGGTAAAAAAAAAAAAAAAAGAAAAAAAAGTGGAAAATTGTACTCGTTAATTTTCGAAAAAAGCACGATATAATTTTTTTCTTTTTTAGAAATTAATATTTCCTCCTTTTTCTTAATTTAGTATGCAAATGCGGTTATTGACAAGTTAGATGAAGATAATATTTGTGCCTATAGATTGTTTAGGGAGTCATGTACTTTTTGGTATGTCCATTAGACTACAAAACAGAAAAATAAATTAACCATATGTTTAATGATCAAAACAGAAGAGTATTAAAAAAAGAAAAAAAAAATTTTTTTTGCGCACACTTTATAGGAATAATAATTATGTAAAGGACTTGAAAATACTAGGACGGGACTTAAAAAACGTTGTTATCATTGATGTATGAGCAAAAATGTTTTAAAATAATGAATATTTACATGTTCTTGAAAGTGGGTATAAGTGTATTCTCATATACATTCAATATATATGGGAATACTGAAAAGACACTTTTTTACAAACACCTCTTTTTAGAATTCAACCCTTGTTCAAAAATTTTGCGAAGAAAACTGTATCTTAATTAAAAGCTGGTATAATACCATTCACTTGTCCATTTTGTGCATTTAAATTGTAAGCATTTTTTTTTTTTTTTTTTTTGATATATTTACAAAACGTACTATGGTGTCTTTTTTCCCTTTTAGGTTTGACGATCCAACTGATAAGGAGCTTTACAAATTAGTTCCTTTTTTAAAAAAATTATCAAAGAAGGTATAAAAGGATAAATATAAACGCGCTCGTTTAGTTACCTAATTTATGTTCTATATGCAGTTATTTACAACATAGGTGTGTGCAAATACATACACGTGTATATTTTTTAATGTTATATATGTGAGCATTTGGAAGTTACACATCTCCCTTCTTAAGCACAAACCTTACACGTGTTATGAGAAATATCCTTTGTTGTATTGAGGAATCTCATAGACCTTAATACTTTAAGATATATATATATATTTTTTCCCCTTTTATCACTTTCTTTACTTAGAAATCGGTTATACACGAATTGAAAAAATATAACAAAAAAAGGAAGAAAAGATAAATTTAAAACTTCTCTACAGTGTTATAACGGTGTCTGTTTATACCACCTATACGTTGCACACTATTTGGATAATTAATAATATTACTGATCTCCCCTTTTTTTTTTTTTTTTTTTTTGGGGATGATGTTTTATTATATGTCCTTTTTATACACACACTGCAAGTTTTTTTTTTATTAATAATTTGTGAAGCTGTTTAATGCGGGAGGGTGCTAACATAACCCTTCTGTTATTTTTTTTTTTTTTACCATTGTTTTATTTCCCTTAATTTTAAAAATTCCCGCATATTTTCTGCATATATATGGACATGAAAATGTTTTTGACGCATAACTGTAGGATGGTTGTTAATTTCACATTTCCTGATAATAGTTTTCGTATGCAGATTATATATGGCTATATAATATGAGCATAACAATTTTATAATGAACCGAATTTTCATTTAATAGAATAGTATATTATAAAATAATAATGCACGCTTATTTAAACTTTTCATTTTATAGAGACAAAATTTTCCTTATGAAGAAAAATGTAAATTAAGATATATATTTAATATAGACTTTAAAAATAAAGTTCGATTGCTTTTGTCTTAAATGGCAAAATACTTTCATATGATGTGCTAATACCACATTATTTGATTTAGTATTTCTTTTGTGTTGTGTTTGTGTATAATGTAGATATAAGTTGGATATATAAAAGAAGCCCATTTTATTTAACCTCCACTAAATTTGCCTCCTATATAAATATGTTTTCCCAACTTTTCTTTTTCTTTTTTCAAAACTGTTGGGATTGATAGGTGTACGAAAATTCCTATATTTTGAAAAAAAAAAAAAAAAAAAAAATCATGTGCATGACAAAAATATGCAATAAAATGGCTAGCTAAAATTTGTTACAATTTTTGGAACATATATAATTTAATAACCCCCCGCTGAACTTTCCTTTTTTTCCACTTTTTTAAATAATAGTCATTTTGGATATTTGACCCCCTCCATTTAAATGAATAATATAGTTTTTTATCGAGCTCTACAAATGCAACATAATACGAACAATTTAACGTTTCAAATGATGAGAAATGGGTAACAAGAAAAAACACATAAATTAAATATATGCAATTATATATTATGGTGTATAAATAAAAAAAGTATATTTATAATAGTTGAAACATATATTGCGACGAATAAAAATGTCAGCCTTAATAATTAACACTACATTTAAGAACTTTTAAAATAAATCAAATACGGACGAAAAATTATTTTTTATTTTTTTTTAAAAAAAATTTTAAAGTAGCGAAAAATGTAAATAAAATTTCGTTGATATCATTTTCTCGAAAGCTTTGGATGTATATTTTTAAATATATATTATAACAAAATTTTCAGTTTTGTTATTTTTAGTGAGGCGCAAAATTTTAAGCATTTTTAATAGAAAACCCAACGATTGGAAATCAAATTTTTGCAGCACTGGGGATAGTAAGTGTAACGCATGGTTTTTCATAAATTGATGACAATTAAAGAATTTCCATTTTAAGGGAAAGTTTAAGCAAGCATGTGTACAATATTATGCCCTACAACATTCTGAGTTTAAAGATAAATCAACTTGTATGTATTTATGTATATATATTTCCTTCGCGAGGAAAAATCATCTCGTACGGACTTAATTCCTTATTCTATCAAAATGTTGAGGCTTTCCCCCCATTTAGTAATCTGAGTACATTTTCGCTCGTACTCCCATTTTATTGAAATCAATTTATTTAACAATTTTAAGAGACTTTTTTTTTTAAGAATGATGAATTACAAAATTACGATGTACTCTCGAGTCCTGAGTATATATAAATTGAACTCAAAAACATTGCTCAGTTGAGCGTGAGTTTAAGATGAAGTTAACTTGAAAATCTGACAAAAAAAAAAAATCTCTTAGAATTGTTTTAAATTTTAAAATAAAAAGAAGAAATTTGTCGTTCTTATTAATAAAATTATTTATTGTAGAGTAAAATGGCTTCATAAACCACTGCTTGGAGTTTTACCCAATTTTTACCTTCTTTTAATATTGTACCCACATTGTGCATTTATACAGAATAATATCTATATACATAATATCCATATATGCTTGTCTACATCGGGAGTATATATCCCATAACTAATACAGGGATATATGTATGTATACATATATACGTACATATAAATGTCTGAGCTCATGGAAAAATAATTATAAGGTTTAATTTTTTTTTTTTTTTTAAGTGTCCATAACGAGGATTATTCGAAGAAAATGTGAGTGAACAAAAAAAAAAAAAAAACATGAACGGAAGTGTTCATACATATATACTCATGATGCTTCCCTGCTGAAATTTCAAAAAAATTTCCTAGTTTTACATTTTAATCCAAATATGTTAAGACGATTTTTTATTTTTAAAAACGTCTATATAATGACAGCGTCCTATGAAAAATGTCATGTAGAGATGAAAAGTGCTTATATATATATGTATATATATACAATACGAAGAATGGAGAACAAAGAGTTTTTATAAAAAAATTAATACACACGGGTAATAGCTTCGAGCTAGTGGATATCTCTTATGGCTAAACCCGAGTGTTTTAAGTCTTAATCATTAAACTTAGAGAGTTTGTTTGTATGCGCTCATTACATTTTTGTTACTAAGTTTATTTATATATATGTGGGGTGGTACCTATTTTGTATAAGTTCAAAATTTGGATGCATATTCTTTTTATGTCTTCATATTCAACGTCAAATAACTTGAACCAATTGGTACTCTGATGAAATTTGTAATGCGCAAAAAAAGTAGTATGTAAATTATAAAGCTTGTTAAGCTATGCATAACACACACATGTACGTATGCTATTGAAGTATATAATTTCTTGAGGTGTACCCGAATTAGTGGGATGTTCAATTTGTTCGCAGCCAGAAAAATACTTGCAACTGCAATGCAGCGTGGTTGATATTCGCAACATAAGGTTGTTCGCATGCTGCAGGAGGTGCAATTAGAAAATGATTTTGATTGTGTCAAAATGCGATAATGTAAAATATAATAAAATAAAGAACAAATAAGTAGAGAGATGTACAAGACAGGAGAAAACTTGAACATGCTGCAAGGGACGATATTAAGCAGAAAACAAATAATGTGTCGTAATTTAGGGTGCGAGTAGATAAACACATAGGCAAAAAAAAAAAAAAAAAAAAAAAAAAAAAAAAAAAATTTTTAACCTATCATTTAAAAATCCCCACGAAATTTGCGCTACCTTTTTTGTCAAGTCCTCATCAAATTTGTTTAAATTATTAAAAAGAGAATGTATATACGGCAGGAGAAATAAATGTGGATGTTGATTTATTTTATGAACTAAAAATCCTATTTCTTTTAATATCAAAAGCTCGTAAGTGAAAATTTCAACTTTCATGTTTTTATATTCCTAAGAATGGGAACAAAAAAGGAAGACATGTAATTAAATTTGTAGATACATATTTTCCTTGTTAAAAAAAAAAAAAAAAAAAAAAAAAAAAAAGCACACAACTGTGTTGCACTCATGAAGAAATATACATATATTGAACTTATACTTGTCACACTTTACACATAAATTAACGTGTCCAAAAGCCCTAATATTACCTGCGATTCTGTGTCTATTCTAAAATGTTCTAACTTGATATTTTTTACATCAAAATAGTAGTGCTTACTTTTTAAATCTTCGTACTTGTATAGAAAATAAAATGCGCTGATTATTTTGTACACACGACAAAAGTCTTCTTCTAACTTACAAGCCAAGTATAGCGATGAAGGAGCGATAATCTGAAAAAGAACAGTGGTTCGTTTTCGTGTACACATTTGAAAAAGAAACTATGGACAAAGTAGTTTTTTTTTTTTTTTTCTTTTTTTTTGCTGTTGTTGCTTCATATATATATGCACAAAAATGATATTATTACTTTGTAGAAATGTATTATAGGGGCTCATTTTGAGATAAATTTTACCTTTGCATCAAAATCAGTTAGGGACTTTTTAAAATAAAAACGATGAAACAAAACCTGGGCAGTCGCTATTGTCACAGCTTTGCGCTTTAAAATTATTCCAGCCTCTTGTATCAACTGGCAGCTGTATATTCTCAATTTCATTTCGTCATTTTTTTCTACATTTTTCTCTTCACTTGGGGTTTTTACCTTATTTCTATCAATTAAAATTATGTCATTTATCATGTTTCGATGGGTTGAATGGGCACAAAAAAAAAAAAAAAAAAAAAATGAAAAAAAATGAAAAAATGGGATAAATCTAAAAAACGCGGAAGCAAAACTAATAAAACAAACAGAAGCGTGAAAATGTGAATACTTGCATAAAATTAACAATTGTCAAGGTAGCACAGCTTTTCCTCATTGATGCGGAATGAGAAAAAACAAAATAAATTAGATGGGAAAGAAAAAAAAAAAAATTGTCAAAAAGGGTAATTATTTTAAGCGAAAGTCAGCGGCATTGAACACATTGTTCTAATGGTACACTTGCATGCTACAATTTAACTGTTTTTAAAAATTTGTGCCTCCTGAAAAATATACATTTATGTTCTATGTCCTAATTGTATGTGGAGAGCAGTGGGCATTGCTTACACATGCTGAAAATAGATAGACGCCTTTTGAGTTTTTAATGCCATGCTGGTCAAATTTTTTATATATATTTTGCGTCAATTATTTTGTGTCAATTATTTTATGTCAATTATTTTGTGTCAATTATTTTATGTCAATTATTTTGTGTCAATTATTTTGTGTCAATTATTTTATGTCAATTATTTTGTGTCAATTATTTTGTGTCAATTATTTTGTGTCAATTATTTTGTGTCAATTATTTTGTGTCAATTATTTTGTGTCAATTATTTTGTGTCAATTATTTTTATTTTATATTTTATTTTTTTCTCCCACTTAATACTTACACTTAATCCCTAATAAGTGTTTTCATATGTTTCAGCTTTTCTGTAAGTTTCTGCTTTGCACTTTGTAGCTCCTTGAGCCTCATAACATTATATATAACTATTTTAAAGTTGTTGCTGCGATATATGTTTATGAATTTTTCAGAGTCAAATAAATTTTTTTGAAGAAATTTATTTTGTAAAAATTTCAAATCAGAATATTGGACTTTACCCTGTTTTAATATTTCTTCGTAATCCATATGATAAAATTGTTCATAAATAATTTCATCGATTAATTTAATTAAAACTTGTAGTACAACTGCTTCGGATATGGGTGATATGTAATATTCCCACTTTAATAAATCTGTTACCTTTATTTTGGTGAGTTCGTTTAAATCGTCGTATATGATTATGCGTATTGTAGCTAATAGGACTGGGTCTACAATAGATTCTGAACCTATGTAGAAGTAATTTTTCCTATGATGGTGTTGAAGCTTTTCTTCAATGTAGAATTTGTTAATACGATCTTTCATAGTAAATATATTATATTCGTTAAAATATTTATTTTTTCTCAGATAATCATTTAATATTTCTTTTTTTTTTCTCGTAATTTTTGCACTTTCCATATTAAGAGCAAATCGTTCATACACATTATCACTATTTGGTACAACGTTAAGAATTTTAAATAAATTTACCTTAACCTGTGGTAAGCTTTCTAACATTATTAGGGGTAATTTATCAAATCCTAGTATTTGTATAATTATTTCTCTTACTATTTTTATATCAAAATAGAAATAAACCTTTGTACCTTTTTTATCAACAAATCCGTATTCTAACAGTAGGAGATCATTACTTAGATTTCCATAACTTATTGTAATTTCTTCATCTTTTTCTATGTCTTTTGAGCTTATTAACTGTACATTATCTAAGTTTTCAATCAGTTCTGCATCTTTTACATTATTATTCATTTGTTCTTCTTTCTGATAAGAAGTTTTTTTTGACATATATTCAGGTAGATTATCTTTAGAAATATCGTTCACTTCATTTTTCTTAATGTGCCTTTTCTCAGAATGGAAAAAACTTTTGAGGTTATTTTCGAAGAAAATCTTATCTTCTGCATATTTTCTCATTTCCTTTTTGATAATAGAATTCACAGAAAAATTGCTGTGGTTACAGATGTCTATTATGGGTATTAGGCACATATATGTATTTTCATCTTTTTCGTTTTTTTCATATTCGTTAAAATCATGCTTCGTGCATTCCTTTACGCTAAATTCCTCAACGACTTTTTCGATGTTTTCCATTTTTATGTTGCTGCTTAGGATATTATCCTTTAGTTCACAGTCATCATTTTTGGGACCATTTTGTGTGCCATTTTGGGGACTATTTTGTGTGCCATTTTGGGGACTATTTTGTGTGCCATTTTGGGGACTATTTTGTGTGCCATTTTGGGGACTATTTTCCCCTTTTCTTCTCTCCTTGTCCATTTGTTCCTTATTTACTGTTATATCACTTTTCAGCTTTATAACGTGCGAAGAAACGTACGAATATATATGCATCAAAAAGTTGTAATTAAAGAACTCATCAAATGATTCGAATAAGGATTCATTATAAGCGATAGATCTGATGGTATAATCAAGAATTTCAATGAGTGAACTAAATGTATTTCCCCCATTTTTACTACCATACGATTTGTTTATTTCACTACCACTCTCATGGAAACATACCCCATTTTGATTCTCATTAGATTTTTTTTCGCTCGAGAGCAAAATATAATGGTACAACCTGTTAACATCTCCCATATGGATATCCAAAATATGGGGAGAACATTGAGGTTTCCCCTCTCCAAATGAATTTTTGTTATCGATTAAGAGTTTCTCAATCGGACCATAGTACTCATTATTAGTAAATAAAATTCTGTGTATAACATTTTTGTCAATAAATAAAAAATTAGAGTTTTCATTATCCTCACTTTTATAAAAATTTATTATTTCGTGAAGCATTTGTCTTCTAAAATATATGATATTTTTCATACTAATATTATTAAAAAGAAAAAATGAGGAGTCTGAGAAATGTAGAGGTAAATGGGATAATTTTATTTTGTTAGTAATATAATAGACATAATGTTCATAATTTTTATAGAAGAAAAAATTGGTCTTCTCTTTAAGTGTATCATTTGTTTTTTCGTTTAGCATAGAATGTATTTGCCTTATATGCGTATACGCAACTTTGAGAACATTTTCCTCTTCATCGATGTTACACACTGGGTTTTTGTTTATGCAGTAAATATTTTGTTCTTTCTTTTGAGACACATTTTCACTGCTTGTGTGATATATTTTCCCTTGTTTCATAAAATAATTATTCAAAAGAACAAAACAAGTGTTATTAAAATTATAAGCATAAAGTAAAACATTGATGTATTTCGAAATGAAATATATATAAGCTATTATTAATGTTAATTTAACATCCCAATATTTTAAATAGATATGTGGTGATTTCATAAAGACTAAAAAATGAACATGCCTTTTATAAATATCATACATTAATATTGTAAAAGAATCTATTTTTTTTATCTCTTCTTCCATGTTATTTTTAAATATATATTTCAAGTAATTAACATTATACGTGTTGGAGAAGAAGTCAACATATTTTTGAATTTGTTTCACGATGTGGTTAAAATTAATTATGTATGAACTAGGTATGTTGCATATGATGTCTGATTTTTGAATTTTCTTTTTTGCAGTTATGCAGAGGATTTTGTCTTCAAAATGAGAATCGTTCATGTTGTCATCACAACAGTAGGCGTTTTTTTTTTTGATGCTTCCATTGCATTGTTGTTTATTCGATTGAACATTGGTATCAGATTTTTCAAATTGTTGTCCATTTTTACTAGCGTGTAGATTATGTTCCACGATAAAATCGTGAATTCTATTTTTTTCATACGTATAGTCATTCCTATTTTGTTCAGTGAATTCTATATTTTCTAGTGATAATGACTTATGCTTAAAATAGTTAGTTAAGTTGTAAATTGTAAAGATGGGGGTTATCAAATTATTTTTATATTCATATTTTTTATGTAATATGTTTTCCATTAATTTGTTTAGGTAATTTAGAGAGATATTTTCTTTGCTTATTTTATCCTGTTTAGATAATTTCAATGAACTGTTTTTCTTTTTGAACGGGTGAAAGACAGATTTACAACTTTGAATCAACTTGTGGGAAGAAAGATTATTGTCTCTTTCTCTCCTCGACCAACCATTTTGTGTGAATGATGGGAACAAATTTTTTTTTCTCTTATTATGTAGTATTTTTGTACTCTTAATTGGAAGTATGCTTATTAGAAGAAATGCCCATTTTAGCCATGATTCGAGTATGTTATTCATGTTACTACGAGAGTTTGGATAGCGATAGTAGTGAAACTGCAATTTGATCGTATCGCATAAGTGTATATAACTGCAGCATCATCGTCTCACTCGTGGACAAATTGTACATATTACATTATTGGTAATTGCACTTGTTTTGTTTCTTTTATGAGAGAAACATCTTTCTTTTTTAAAATGTATTATGAGAGTTGTGATATTATGTTAAAATATGGTAATATCCTATATGGGTTGGAGGGTATTACACATAACTAATTATATATGCCTATTTTATTTTTTCTTCACAAAAAAATACCAAATTGGGAAAGCACAAAAAATGGCCCTAGAAAAAAAACACTTCATTCCTTTTCATAAATTGTGATGCATTTGATACAGTGATTTCATCTTGTTGCCCAACTTTACAGTTAGCTCATTTTTTCTATGATGATTTATAAATTTTTGAATAAAAGGAACACTCTTAAACTGCAGAGTTGAAACGGTTCCTACATAAAGAAAATTATCAATTGATGGCACAAGAAAAAAAAAAAAAAAAAAAAAAAAAAAAAAAGAGGTTATATAACAGTATACACTTTGACAAGAATTTACATCCATTTAAATGTTTTAAATTTTTCTATTTTCTGATAATGCTTCTTAAGCTTAAGTGTGTGTGTTTTATTTTTTCTCTCTATGTGCGTAAATTTGTTGGACATTAATTTTTTTTGAAGGAAAAAATTGGTGCGAAAAAAAGAATACCATGGAGATGTTTTCCCACTCTCTATGAAGCTTTAAAAAAAAAGATAGTATATCTACATTTCTTTACAATGTTGGACGTATATATCTGCATATTTCATACACTAGTTTAATTCCAATTAAAAATATGCGTTTCCCCTTTGCTTTTCGTGTTTTTTTTTTTTTTTCCCTGATACTTTCATTTTGCTGCGAACATTTAACCATTTTTACATTTTTATTTTTTTCTTAACCCTTTTAAGGAACCTTAAAAAAAAAAAAAAAAAAAAACCAAGAACGTATCATTCCATGTTAGCAAGCAGAAGTAGACACTTATGTTGTCGAGAATTTTGTTTTGCACGATTGGGTCAAAAGAAACAACCTTTTTTTTTTTTTTTTTTTTTTTTTATGCACTTGTCATTCGCGTGCGAAGAATAAAATAACAAGTTATAGTCTGAAGACATGATGCATTTAAAATGAGGAAATCCACTTTAACAATGATTTTGCTTTTTTTTTTTTTTTTTTTTTAACTTTTTTTTAAACTACACTAATATTTAAAAAATATGCCTTTACCCCATATATGGGGTTTTCTTGAAATTATTTCAATTATTAATGCATCCACAAGTTTTTCACGTGTCCATATGATTATGGATGTTTTTAATTTTGAAAACGTAGAAGGGAAAATTTAATGACCACAAAATGTGAGGTAAAAAAAAATAATAAAAAAGTAATGCAGAAGATTAGCATGGCCTGCGCCTTTAAGCAACGGTGGGGAAAAACAAGCACCAAAAAATATATATAGGCAGGCGTGCACTTATATATAGAGAGAAAAAAAAACTCCTTCCTTTAAGTCACACAGAAAAGTAGGTTGAAATTTAGGTGTAATACACGTCTATAACCGTGCGAAAAATTGGAAGCAAGACATTTGCATAGAACATGCACGCAGAGAAATGCCATATTGCATGCATGTTTGAATGACCATGTAATGAAGTTGGCTATTTTTCCGTTCCACAATTTTTTTTTTATTTTTTTTCATTTTATGTCCTATGCATGGTAAAAGGAAAAAAAAAAAAAAAAAAAAAAAAAAAAAAAATGGGCCACAACTGCGCAGCTTCATAATTTCAGCAAAAAATTTAAAAGCTTGTTTAACCGAGATAAGTACACTTGTCAAAATTTATATATGTACATATATATATGTATTTGTATACTTGCATATATATATGTATTTTATTTTTTTAAATTTCAAAATTATGACTTATCTCCAAAAAGCATTTCCTTTTTTTTTTTTTTTATTTTCTATTTGTTTTATATTATATTTTGTTTTTTTTCAAAAGTTTCATTGAATTTTTTTGAAAACTCTCACTTTTAATAAAACTTGAAAAAGTTTGTACATATTCTTACCTTATACGTACGAACTTGTTGGATACACAAATACTTTCTTCTTGTGATTTCCTTCCTACAAGTAGAGGAATTGTTAAATAACCCACTGGAAACTCAAAAGCAGGAGAAAAAAAAAAAAAAAAAAAAAAAAAAAATTACTCCTACTCTTGATACCACTATTTCTTTTGTTTCCCCAAAATGGTAATGAACAAAATAACTAAATCGGACTCGAATAAGGATGAAGATGGGACACTGGAAAAAGGAGGATTATTTGACAATTTTTTTGAATGCATGAATGAGCAAATGAGCAGAATTGACAGATACCATCAGGACATGAGTAGAATGATGAATTCTTTGAGAACTCATTATTTACATGATGATTTTTCAAAATATTTTCCTAGTAGAAGATCCCTTTTAGATTATGATTTAAGAAATAGTGGAAACAGTGATGTACTTTTTTCCAAGCCTAAATCACTTTTTATGGAAGGATTCAGAAACGTACCCCCAATGGATGTTATAGATAAGGATAAAGAAATTGAGATTAAAATGGACGTACCTGGTTTAAATAAAGAAAATGTACAAATAAATTTATATAACGGACATTTGGAAATTAGCGGTGGTTGTAAGAAAACAGAAGAAACGAAGGATGAAAAACATAGGTATTACGTTAAAGAAAGATCTGAATCATCGTTTTATAGATCTTTTGCCTTACCTGAAAATGTATGCGAGGACAATATTAAAGCTACCTTTAAGGATGGAGTTTTAAAAATTGATATTCCTAAGAAAGACATTCTTCCAGAAAAAAAAAAGAAAATCGAAATTCAGTAATTTTTTCTTCTACCTGAGAAGACGGTTGTTACTATTTTGGATTCTGCTTGATTCTGTTTTTACACTTTAATTGTACTATAGTGTACGTTAGATAATTTTTTTTTCTTCTTTCTTTTTTTTGCTTTATTTTAAACATTATAGTTTCTTTTTTCTGAATAATGTTCTTTTTTTTTTTTTCTTTTATGCAACCCATAACGACATATCCTTCTCTAATGACATATATATATTTTTTTATTATATTAGTTCATTCCCACACATGATTAAGAAGCATTTTATGGAGAATTGTATATTTATTTTTACACCAATTTGTATAAACGTTTTAGGGGTGATCAAATATATGATGTACTTATCATTCGTACCCTTTTAATTTTTTTACCAAATTAAGCTTTTCTACATGCTGTTGAATACACATTAAATATTTTAAGGAATGCGAAAATTTAAGAAAAAATATGTGTGGGTTTACTTGGAACAATTTGTGAACTTTATATGTACATTAAAATGTGATAAGTGAAAGGAGCATTAAAATGTGCCAAGAGGAGTCGAAAAGTCTCCTTGGGAAAAAAAAAAAAAAAAAAAAATGAAAAAAGATGTTCTGCGGAGAGGACCGGAAAACAGTTGTTTATTTTCCCAGAAAAACTTTGCAGGACTAGAAAGTGGAACACGCAAAAAAGTTACATGTGTGCATGGAAAACATGCGTAAAAAGAGAGTCGATATTTGAGAAGAAACGCGGAGCTTTATGTTTAAGCGAATATTCTCTAAAAGAAAAACACACTCTCTGTTTTCAAAATATTACAGGCATACTATTTTATGTTATAAAAAATTGTTCATTTTTTTTTTTTTTAAATTTATTTTTTGGAATTAATATAACAATTTCCCTTCTGTGTGTGAGAGAAGGTTAAAAGAATTTTATTTGTCAAGCCGCTTTTTCGATTTGTCATTTTCCTTTTTCTTTTTCTTTTTTTCTTTTTTTTTTTGGTTAAATAACTTATAGCTACAGTTTTCAAAAAATGATGAGATTGGCAAAGCGTATATTGTCGTGAAATAAAATCCCATTCAGAGTTTGTGATATCATAACTTGATATATGTACTAATACACAATAAAGGAACACATGCTTTAGCGACATAAAAATAAATTAAAAACGCAAAGTGCAAAATTGATTTAAGGGGAGACGGAGAAAGGGTAAAATTTGAAAAAGTACATTTTTTGGAAATTCCTACTGAATTGGCAGAAACAGATCATGTATATTTTTTTAAAAATTAAAATGGAAAGTGCAAAATGAACAAAAAAAAAAAAAAAAAAAATAGAAGCAATTTCACAAAATTTATAGTAGTTAATTGCACTAACGGCGTGGGTTGCATTTTTATGTGACCATTAGAATTATAATAAAAGAAGCCTTATTCAAGAAATTAGGTATAATGTTCTTCCATCGAAATATCGAAATCATCACATGCAACATGAAGTAGATGCCAGATTGATGTTGATAAACTCTACGATAACGACAACTTATATGCGCATACATGGACATGCAATATATATATATATGTATATCAAATATTGTGTCCCAACATGTACGCATATATATAAGCGCTTAATTAAGTGATGCTTTATTTCTCTTGCTGAACTCGAAAAATAAAAATAAAAATTTAATTAGACAAAAAAAGGTGCAAAATGATCGCTGCTTAAGTCTATTGAACGCGTAAATCAGAAACATCAATGCAAAGAAAAAAAAAAAAAAAAAAAAATAGTAGTAGTAAATAATATTTCTCTATATAATCGCTAGAAAAGAGGGGATTTTTTTTAATGTTTGCAAAAAAATTTACCATTTTTTCAGCTGCAAGAGAATAAAGAAGTTCGTTCATATGTGCATTCTATGTATTATAGGGTTAGTTTATATGCATTTCTTGTTAACCTAAAAATTAGGAAGACAAATTGGGAATTTTGTAGATCTAAAAAGTCCCCAAGTTACTGAATTGCTATTACATAGAACAGCCTGAGCATAAAATAATGGACCCAGAGAATGAAGTTGTAAAATTTTTGTTATGTGTGGGGCAGAAAATTAACAAAAGTGCCGAAGATATAAAGCCATTTATTAAAATAATTGTAGAAGACAACTGGCTTGACTCCTTGGAAATTTTGAAGAACTTGGGTGATGATGAATGGAATAAGTTAAAAATACCCATGCGATTAGTTGATGAAATTAAAAGAGAATTAAGAATTAGCAAAGAATGGGATAAAAGTGTAGAAAATTGTGACAAAACCATGCCAAATCATGGAAACAAAAATATATCAAGTGAGAAGAAGTCTCCAACGGGGTTAGGAGTATCCGACGCCGAAGCGTCAAATTTAAATAATCTCAACAATTTAAATAATCTGAACAATTTAAATAATTTGCATAAAAGATTGAAGAAAGGCATAAAGGACGAAATGGGGAGTAACCGACGTTTAAATAGAGAAAATAGCGAAAGGAATGACCAAAACAATAATGAAATTAGCAGCTCTATGTACACCAATTCAAGTGAGAAAAATAATTCTTCAGACATGCGACATGATAAATGTGTAGAAAAAAGGAAAGGTGCTAATATGAAAGCATTAGAAAATGTGGAAAGAGTAAAAAATTCATTTATAAAATATAATAAAGAGAAATTAGAAGAAATGATTGAAAACAATGTTCAAGAAATTCCAAAAGAAGAGATTTTTTATTTATCCTATGATGATGAAAATTATAATTATCTTAGTTATTCGGAGGAAAAAATGAATACAATTAAATGCATTAATGAAACTGAAAAATTAAAAAAAATTGAGATAGATGAGTTAAAAAATATAATTCCTATTCTATGTAAAATTGTAAAAAATATTTTAATAAACCCAAATATCATAAATACAAGAATTTTGAAATCAACTAATGATATTATGAAAAATAAAATATTGAAATATAAGGAAGCAAAACATTTTTTACTTGCCATAGGTTTTGTTGAAATATACATATTTTACGTAATGGAAAAAGTGGACACTTTATTATTATTATGCATATATGAGACTTTGCAAAGCATTTCCAAAGACTTTATAAAAATTGATACCTCTCCCCAAACCTCTTTTGATCCCTTTAAATCTAGTATAGTCTGTGTGGACACGTTAAAAAAAGGGAAATTAAAATGTGATGAACAAATAGACAAATTGTTACAAGAAAAAAAGGAGCAAGTAGAAAAATGTATGAACCAGTTAGTTGATTTGAATCCTAAAATATATCTATTTCGGCCGAACGCAGTTGCAGAATCCCCTGGGAAAACAAATAATGGAATGGATGCTTCTATATGTAGAAGCTATAGTTCATCGGACTCGGACAGGGATGAACATGCACAAGACTTAGCACATCTTATACCGAATATTAAAAATTTGTATAAAGAACAAACATTCAAATCGAAGACCAAGCTAGAATTAGAGAAAATATCCACTAGAAAGGTTTATTCAAAATCAGTTTTAAAAATATTGTTCCCTGATATGTATGTTCTTGAAATGTCTTTTTCAGCTGGGACTATAATAAGCGAAGTGAATGAAAATGTAAAAAAGGTACTTTACATAAGACTCTGCATTAATTCAGAAAAAAAAAAAAAAAATTTGATTGTTTTGTGAATATGCGTATCATTGTATTTGTCTTTCTATGCTGTATCGCTAATCGGATTTATATCATTTTATGATGTTACACTTTTTACGACTTTTCCCATATTATGGAATCTTTTTCACATGTTATTTTTGTTTTACTGTGCATTTTAGTTCCTTAACCAATCAGTTGCTCCCAGGAGATGGTTCATTTATGAAACTCCAGGAATACGAAAATTTGACCCGCAAAAAAGGCTTTTTGATTACAACTTGATCCCGTCTGCCCTTTTGAGATTTAAAATAGATGATAAGGATGATAGTTCAACTTATACTTCTTTTATATCTGAAGATGCTATTGCAAAATATTTTGTTGAATCGTGAAATAGAGTAAAAAAATAAAATAACAACAACAAAAAAAAAAAAAAAAAAAAAAAAAAAATATATTCACATGATAAATAATAAGTTCACAAAGATGTTTTTTTTTTTTTTTTTTTTAAAGTGATTTTCCTTTTATATTCCTAGACTCTTACAAATTTTCTTTTGCATTTATTATATTTTAGTCCATATGATATATATGTATGTATATATATTGTCCCACTTTTTTAATGTTATATATCCTTTTTAATCATCTCATATGTTCCTTTTTTAAAGAATAAGAAAAAAACTTTTTTTCTTTTTTTTTTTTGTGTGTGTATTTTGAATAGATTGCACATCTTTTTGAATATCCGTTGCAATATTTTTTTTCTTTTTGCTCATCCACTTCCTGTATTAAAAAACATTATGTTTATTACAAACCATTTTTATGTTTCATTTGCTTTCTGTTTTTTAGTCTATATTCACAATTATAGCTGTATATAATGACCTCGTTTTAAAAATAAAAAGTTCTAAAAAAGTATTGATGGTGTCATGCAGGCGTAAAAAAAAGGATACTAAAAGGAGTTTCAATGAGGAAAATTTGTAAATTGCAAATGGGTGTATATGAGTTAAATGCCAATGCGAATTAGAAGCAGACGAAAAAAAAGGGGTGGGAGCAAAGATGTAGGCATAAAAAGTTGGAAGAAATGATATAGACATAAAAAGTTGGAAGCAATGATGTAGGCTTAAAAATTACCCTCAAAACAGGGGGTGAAATTTTACTAATCACAAAGCAAAGGTAACATGCACTATGTTCTAAAATTACCAAATGGTCAACATACAGTTCATACGTAAATATGTCCGAAAAAAAAATGTGCTTCATAAAAGTGAATGTACAAATTTAATCAAAAATAAAATAATACAATTTTTGGAAAATATTTTGTGCTGAGGAAGTTTCATAGTTGTTATTGTACATTTCATATTTGAAATAAAGATCCTCTATTTTTTTATTATATATATTATTTTTCTGTGCAAACAATATTTCGAATTCCTTTCTGGACTTTTCAAATTCATTTTTTGTTTTCCATTTGTCTATTATCAAGTATGTGTTAAAACTTTCATCATTATTATGTTCATTATTTATGTTTGAAAATGTCGAGTTTTTAAAAATATTAGTTTCGCAAAATCCTTTGTGTTTTTTATTAATGTCATTAAAATGTTGCACTACATTTAGTAACTCGTTTTCATTTAAAATGGATGATTCTTGGATGTCTTTTGTATTAGAGGTGTTGTTATTTTTACTAGGAACATAATTTTTCGTGTCCTTTTTATCAGAAATGTTTACTTGTCTAACTACGATTATATCATGGTCATTTCTAACCCCATACAAGCTCAATTCGTTTTTCCGATATAATCTGTTCAAGTTCCACCCAAGTGTGCTACTTATCAGTGTGATTAATAGGGAACTTTTATATTTGCTCATTTTGCTTGTGCGATTTTGTCGTTACATTGAGCACGTATACGTATGGGTGCGCATGATTGTTGAATATATGCTGGTTGTATATATATTTATTTATTTATTTATTTGTATTAATACATTCCCGCATGCTTGATTGCATTATTTCGTGAATGAATAAATGTGTTTATATACACATACGAAGGATGCGCTGGGAGATAATACTCACTAAAATATTGACAGTAACATTTGGGGAAATGACTCCCTTTAATTAAACTCCCACATGAGTCGTACAGAGGACCCTTTTTATTAAATGTCACAATCGTTATTTATGATGCAATGAGGGAGGCAAGCGTCCTCCTGTTTTAAAAAAATGTCTATTTATTTTGTTAATTTTGGAAACATGCATATGAATTGGAAAACGTTTATTTTTTTAATTTTTTTTTTTTTTTCTTTGATGTTGTGTAATAAATTTTCTGTTTATTATATTGAAGTAAAAATGTTTTGTTTGACGAGTAAAAAGTTTTTTTTTTTTTTTTTTTTTTTTTTTTTTTTTTTTTGTATTTTTTTTATTTTTTTTTTTTTTTTTTTTGATGTTTTTTAATAAATTTTTTTTTTTTTTTTTTTAAGTAAAAATTTTTTTTTTTACGAGTAAAAATTTTTTTTTTTTTTTTTTTTTTTTTTTTTTTCTATTTGTGTACTTTTTCGTACATATATATATGTACTTATGTGCCTGTTCACTTATTCGTGCTTGGTTCACTGATTATATATTTCACACATGGGATGAAGTTATTGGCTGAGAGAAAAACGAAAATGCATTTAAAGGATTAAATGAGGCACCAAAATAAAAAATTGAAACAGTTTCCACAACAATTTTTACCCCTTTCCATGGCAATTTGGACGTTACTCTTATTCTTTTTTTTTTTTTTTTTTTTCTTTTTGCGACATTCGTGTCACTTTATTTTTATTCGCGCATAAAAATTATGCTACATAAATGAATACAATTTTGTGGAAGTTCCTTCAATGTAACAGTGCGGATTGTTAAGTGAAAAATTGGAAATATTTTAAAATAAATTAAGAAGAAATGAGGAAAATAAAAAAAAAAAAAAAAAACAACAAGTGAATAACCAAATAATGAGCCATCAAATCCAAAAGAATGACTAAGCTGAATAAACTATCATGAACACACATATGTCCTTGGGGACATTCCTACAACCTTTAGAAAAAGAATAAATATATACAATGTCTTGTGTATTGAGGAATACTCATCGTTGTTCTTTTATAACATTTTAACCCCTTTTCAAATTATAGTCATTCTCATACTGGTTGTGCAAAAACATTATTATCATTTTTTAAAATGATAAAAGGGGGAAAATAAAAAAATCCAATGGATAGTAACAAAAGAATGGATATTTGCACATATATATAAATAGCAGCAAAAATCAAATGATTTTTAGAGAAGTGCAACCAATGCAAAGATATTAAGTAACAAGACGCGAGTGATGTAAGTTAAAAATATGTATCAAGTGGTAAAGGCATGTGCTGTGTTATACGAGATAGATTACTCTGGAGAAATGAGAAATTAAACACCAGTACATCACTAATTGCAAGACACTCGCTCGTTTATAAACTTGTATATTATAACCTTATTACAAAAATTCTAGGAGAACAGTTGCATTATTATTTTTCCATACATATTGAAGAATTTAAAAATTTTCTTTTTTTTTTTTTTTTTTTTTTTTTTCCATTTTCAAGTTTATGCGACTTACCAGTTACTTATTTGAGTGTCCTTTTCATTAGTCCATGCACACTACACGAATGTACGTAAAAATTGCATAAAATTTTTACACACTTGCGCACCATGCATATTTTGCACATTTTGTTCCATTGTTTATTTTGCACATTTTGTTCCATTGTTTATTTTGCACATTTTGCTCCATTGTTTATTTTGCACATTTTGCTCCATTATTCATTTTGCACAATTTGTGTCCGTTCAACAATTCTGAAGGATTTTTTTTCATAAATCATTTTTCAGAGTTTACGAATTTTCGTAATTATATAACTTTTTCAGATTTACACACGTTCAAATACATGTTAAGAATATGAGAAAGGTTAAATTGACGATAAAGAGTGCTAAACAAAAACATGCATATTTACAAGAATGTGTATATATGTATCATTCTTTAGAACATTTCTAATAAGGGCTTAATTTTTTTTTCCCCCACTTTTGAATATATTGTTTTATTTTGTTCGCATAATCACATGAGTTATTTGAGCTACTTTAGATCTTTTAGTTAATCTAACAAATAAAGGCTAATTTTTGATTTTCATTAAAATAGTGTGTACATACAAATATTGATGATATTCACGGGAATAACATTATCTGCTGTATGGTGGAAAAGAAACAGATTGTGTGGGAACACTTGTGTGTATGTACCACCGTATATGTGTAACTGTACAATGTTTTCTTTGTAATCTTAAAAACATTTAGCAATATTCGTTTTTTAAGATTATGTATTAAGCGTCTTTTCCTATTTTCCTTTGCTCTTTCGCCTTGTTTTTTGTGCTAGTTTTTGTATTATTTTTTTTTACTATCTCCCCACAACCCCCCAATTTGTCCCAGTTTTACCCATTTTTATTTCTCAATTTTTTCCCTTACTCATTACACACTACCTTAAAATGTCTTATGAATCGTTTGCGCTAAAGGACAACGGGGTATGTTTGAAGCCAAATTACGATTTTGATGAATTGGATTTCAATGATGAAGATGATATTGTGAACATTACAAGCTTCGAGAACAACCCATACGAGAACAATTTAAAAAGCAAAATACTTAACCGATACAAGAAGAAGGATGACTTAGAGACTATTTCAAGAAAAGATAACTCCATAAGCAGTTCTACATTTATAAATAGAGACAGATTTTCATTGGATGATGACAACACGGAATTGAAAGCTAGAATTAGAAATTCTTTATGCAACAATAATAATAATCACAATAACTATAATAACACCTATAACCATAACTTAAATTTAGACGCAACAAAGAGAGAATCGAATTTAAAATTAGAGGGGATACTTCACGAAAATGATTATTTAATTCAATTAAGTAAATTAAAAAGACATGTAATAATAGAAATATTTGGAGGGAAATGTTTCATACGAGAATATTTATGTACAGAATTTTTGAAAAGAGTGAAACAGTGTTGTCATATAAAACAGAAAAGTGGTTTAATAAATTACAGAGATTGTAAACAATTATTAGCAGAAAATAACAATATAGCAAGTATAGAAGCTCGTTTAAATGCTATATTAGTATCCTTACCCCCTTTAACATGTATAATTTTACACTCAAGTGTATTTTTAGTTATTAAAGAAGATTTAATTCGAGATGATTTAATTAAAAAATTATGTACTGTTTCTAAAAAATATACCAATTTATACAAGGCTGATTCTAAAATAATGGAAAAAAGGCCTTTTGAATTTTGTGCCTTAGAATGCGTTTTTTCTAGTGCTATTGAGCATTTAAATGCAGAACTGAAATTATTAAGTAAAGATTATGCGGACATTAAATTTACGTTAAAGGTTACTAATTATCAAGATGTTTTAACAAATTTACATAACTTAAAAGAACCAACGAATATTTTAATAAATAAAGTGAATTCATTTATTAAGGCTTTTCATGAAATATCAGAAAATAATGCTGATTTGAAAAAAATGGAATTAACCAAAAGTTATTTTAACCCAATGAGTGGTGAAGAAGATAATAAAGAATCAACAAATCAGGATTTACAGATGCTACTAGAATATTTCGATCAAGAACTTCATCAGATACATGACCAAGTGAAACATCTATATGAGTTAATGCTTAACTTAGAGAACAAAATGGTATCTGATCTTTCTCTTTCTAGAAATAATTTGATACGAATGGACATAGTCATTAGCTTAATTAATTCGGGGTTTGGCATAGGAACTCTCATAACAGGTCAGCTTTCATTCAACATGTACACATTAATTGGCATTATTCCCTCCATGCTTGTTGTGACCTTATCCTGTTTTCGCAATTAGAGCCATTTATAACACGTTCATTAATAAACTTGGAAAATGAGAGTGTAACTGTGAAAAAAAAAACATATATACATAATGATAGCAATGGTCATAATGGATGCAGTGATTGTGAAGATCATGATAAAAATGTATCTTCCTGAGGCCATTGAGCATGATAGGAATGATATCCTATGTGCGCACATTATAATGTATATATGAAAATAATGAAGCAATTTCATTTAACACATTGTTTTTTTGTTCCTTTTTTTTTTTTTTTTTTTTTTTTTTTTACAGGAGTTTTTGGTATGAACTTAAAAATAAAGTTGGAGCAACACGAATTTGCCTTTGTTTATGTGACGAGTCTAGTCATTTTTTTATGTTTAATAACTGTGGTAATGTCTGTTTACTTTTTTAAATGTATTCGAATTTAAATGAATTATAACTATAGGTAAATTTATCTTTAGAATGTTAAGTAGCTGCTGGAATTGTTAACTTCCTTATGTGTCTGCTTATGTGTACATGTATTTTTTTTTATGTGCTTGAGGGCCTTGCTTATATGTGTGAGGATATAGCAGCGAACGGAAGCGTATGCATATGTATATGCACACATACACACATATGTACATATACATACTCCTTTTTATATCTGCATGCAGATTTTCCCCCCAGTTTTACACATAAAAAATTGCTAAGTTTAATTTGAATGCCTTGTACATGTGTATACGAAGTAGGTGAAATAAAAGTTTTACTCAAATTTACACACAAAGTAAATCCTCCTTTGTTAAGGAATTTAAAATGCTTAATTTTTTTTTTTTTTCCACATACCTTTATTTTATTTTATTTTTTCTTTTTTCAAGTTAAATTATTCTTTTATTTTAATAATTTTGTTTTTAATGGAGAGAAAAAAAAAAAAAAAATCTTTTTGTGATGTATTTTGCACGTTCTCTTTTTTTAGCACTTTCTAAATAAAAATTCTTTAATATGCTAAGGTTCTTTTTTTTATATTTACGCTTTCGTATATTTCCTTTATCCTTTTTTTTTTTTTTTTTTGTATAACTTGAAAATTTTGAAGTTTCTCAAAAAGGAAAAAAATTTTTAAAGTAAAATGTGTGTTTTTATTTTATTACTATAACTTTTGAGTATTTTTTTTTTTTTTCTTATTTCCCTATATATCTCTGCTATAGATACGTTTGCACATGTATATACGTATATATATTCATGCATATACATATCCAAATGTGTATTCTTCTTTTTCTTTTCTTTTTTCCTCTTATGAATTAGTTTCTTGGTAATCTTTCTGCTACAAAATATAGAAACTTCTTTAATTTTCTTTTAAAAAATTTATTTCAAATTAGTGATAAATTCAGGGAAATAAGGACTATTTTGCAGGTAAATGCAGAATAACACATACAAATGATTGCAAATACTTTATGAAGACCTCCTTAGATAATTGTTTTTTTTTTTTTTTTTTTTTTTTTACACGTTAATATTTGATACCACTTTGGCTATTCTTTTTTCTTTTTTTTTTTTTTTTTTTTTTTTTACACATTAATATTTGATGCCACTCTGGCTATTTTTTTTTTCTTTTTTTTTTTAATACGTTCTTCATTTTTTACGTTTTGTGAACCATGGAAAAGGAACTTAAGCAAGTAACGTTAGAGTTAGTTTTTAATAAATTAAAAGATAAGCACATTTTATTTTTTCTCATATATAAATGTAAGAAATGTTCTTAAACTATATGAGAAGAAAACAGTAACAGAAAACAAAAGAAATGTTACATAACATGAAATGAACGACTGTGAGAAATGTATCACATATAAATTAGCATTGTATGTAATTACGTAAGCTACGTTGAAAGTGAATAATTGGGAATTGTTGAATGAATTTACGCACAGATATGCATGAGTTTTCTTAGACTGCCATGCATGAACTTGCTTACAGTTATTAGTTTTCTCAGAAGAACATTGTGTACTTGGATAGAGGGTCAGGGATATCAGACATTACTATGCATTATTACTTGCACCCTAAGTAGTCTATATGTAGATATATGTAACCATATGTATAAACAGTTGCGATAATATGAAATTGCTTGTGTTACTCTTTATAACAAAAATGTTTTTGTGTAAAATTAACAATTATATCAGAACAGAATACGCTTATATAATACCTTTTCCGAAAAAGAATAAATTATATAAGCATAAAATAAACTTTAACGTGAAAATTTTTGCAAATATTAGAAAGAGCGCATCGAATAGACACATCAATTTTTTGTATGCCTGCTTTGAGTTTTAAAAAAGAGAAAAAATGTTGAGAGTGAAAAATGTAAATAAGGGCGTGAAATGAGGAAAGCAACATTTCTTCAACCTATAAAAATTAAATTATATATTTTTTTATAGACAAAACAAATAAAATGAAAATAGGAAAAAAAAAAAAAAAGAAAAATGAATGTGAATGTGAATGTAGTTGAGCATGTCTTAATCATGATAAAAAAAAATAGCCTATCCTTTTACTACAATATGAGCTTGTTGACACATTAAGACGTAGAGATGTATATATATGAGCGTGCGTTTTTATATGCACATATCGATATATGTTCATGTGTTTTTATCAATATGCATATATACATATTGATAATTTTAATGTGTTATTCTACTTTCACAGGAAATGCCTATCTTTCCCTAGAAAAAGCATGGATGATGTGACAGAAGAAGCAGAAGTTAAGGAGGAATCCAAAGTAAAGGAAGAAGACAAAGAAACATCTAAGAGAAAAATAACAAGTGATGGAAACACAAAGATAAAAAAGGCTAAAGGAAAGAGTGAAAATGATATAAAAAAAGGTTCATTGTTTAACTGTGTCGTTAGGGAAGAGGATAAAATAAGCGATCTGGCATCACCCAAATTTAACCCTGCTTATTTTGATGTCACTAATTTATACTTATCACAAAAGGATAAAGAAAAACACAAGTTTAAAGATTCTTTACTATTTTCTATTCTTACCAATACATTTAACCAAATAGAAGAATTAAAAGGTAGTGGAACAGGTAGCAAGAAGAATGTAGCAATTATCTTGTCCAATGTGTTTAGGGTTCTAATTTATTATAGTCCGAATGACTTAATTCCAGCTGTATATATAACGTTAAATAAAGTAGCACCCGATTATTTAAATGTAGAAGCAGGAGTAGGTGAAGCATTGATTTTGAAAACCATGTCGGAGGCATATAGTAGAACTGAAGGAAGTATAAAAAAGGATTTACAACAAATTGAAGATTTAGGAATAATAGCAGAAAATTGTTCTTGTAAAATGAGGACTATTTTCCCACTACCTCGTTTGACTATCCAATCAGTGTTTAATGAATTAAAAAGCATACCAAATCTCAGTGGTTCTAACTCTCAACAGAAAAAAAGAGAAGTAATTAAAAAACTATTAATTAGTGCTAAAACAGGTGAAGCGAAATACATTGTTCGGTTTTTACAACAACGATTAAGAATAGGAGTAAATAGTGCTACAGTGTTACAGGCACTATCATATGCATTTATTCTAACACGTCCATGTATTCCTGAAGAAATTGTTATAAAGGGGAAAGCAATGAACGAAGAATTACTAAGGGAGAAAACTAACTATAGAGATGATAATGACAATGCTAGTAATAGCACAGTTGAGGATGATAAGAATAAGATGAATGAAGAACAAGGTAAGGAAATAAAAATGGAAAAGCTGAATGAGGAAGAATTGAACAATATAAAGAAAGAAAGGGAAACGGAAAATGAAGATGATAAATTCAACGAATTAATAAAATCTATTAAAATAAGAAATGAGAAAATAAGTAAGCCCAATTTATTTTATAACATAGGAAAGGAAGGAGATACTCGTTTATTGCCCATATTTAAGGAGTTAAAAAAAAGTTACTGTGAAATGAACAATGATTCTGATATTTTTGAATGTATGGAAAAATCTGTGAAGAGTGCTTTGTGTGAATTGCCTAACATTGAAATTATAATTCAGAATTTGTTAAATGGTGATGATATGAATACGTTAAGCAAAAAATGCACAGTGAAAACTGGAGTACCTGTACAACCTATGTTAGCCAAACCAACAAAAGGAATACAGGAAGTCCTAGATAGATTTAATAATGCGACATTTACATGTGAATATAAATATGATGGAGAAAGAGCACAAATTCATTATGTAGATAAGGACAATATAAAAATATTTAGTAGAAATTTAGAAACTATGACAGAAAAATACCCAGATGTTATTCAAATAGTACGGGATCAAATTATTAGTGGTGCTACTGAATGTATTATTGATAGTGAAGTAGTAGCATACGATATAGAGAATAAAAAGATATTACCATTTCAGGTGCTAACAACGAGAAAAAGAAAAGATGTAGATATTGAAAATATAAAAGTAAAAATATGTCTTTTCCCTTTTGATTTAATATGTTGTAATGGTGTATCGGTGATAAAAGAACCATTGGAGATTAGGAGAAAACTTTTATACCATTTATTAAAATGTAAAGAAGGAGTATTATGTTATGCAACTCATTCCGAAATGAATAATATTGAGGATATTGATATATTTTTACAAGATGCGATTGAGAATAATTGTGAGGGTTTAATGGTTAAAACTTTGTTGGATAATGCTTCTTATGAACCATCTAGGAGATCATTAAACTGGTTAAAGGTTAAAAAGGATTATATAGAAGGGTTATCCGATTCAGTAGATTTAGTGCCTATAGCTGGCTATTATGGAAAAGGAAAAAGAAGTGGTGTTTATGGTGCCTTTGTTTTAGCTACTTACAATTCAGAAACTGAAAATTTTCAAACAGTTTGTAAAGCTGGTACAGGCTTTAGCGATGAAATTCTTGCTACATTACATGAAACATTGAGTGATAAAATAATACCAAATAAAAAATCATATTATGAAGTTTCTGACAAGTTAAATCCAGATGTATGGTTTGATGCTCATTATGTCTGGGAGGTAAAAGCAGCTGACTTGTCTCTATCTCCTGTTCATACTGCAGCTATTGGAATTTATTCTGATGACAAGGGAATTGGTTTACGATTTCCCAGATTTCTAAGACTGAGGGAGGATAAAAATCCTGAGCAGGCCACTACAACTCAGCAAATTGTTGATTTTTACGAGGCACAATTTACGTCAAATAAGAATAGAAATAACGACTTTAATGAGAACAGTGAAAGTGAATGAATGTTTTTAATGGAGATCCTTTTTTTTTTTTTTTTTCGTGTCTCCTTTTAGAGTAATGCCATCAAGAATATACTCTTTTTTTCAGATTTCCTTTGCTTTATGTTTATTCAACATAATCGTAAAAAATTTCAAGTAGAATATAGAAACACGCACATGGAAACATTTATAAATGCGTAAAAATAATATATGAACTGAAAAATGAGAATATTCTATGTAAATCGTTGAAATTTTTCACCATATGAATTTTAACGAAGAAACAAAAAGTAAATGAATATGATTAATTTGGGCACATATTTCTTTTATACAACATCTGTAATATCAGTTTTACTGATAATACTGACTGTGACAATTATATTTATCATATTAGTAACGTTAGCTGTGAACTATTCTTTTTTTTTACTTTTGGAGATTCCATCTATCTGACTTAAAAATCGAGAATATATTAACTTGTCAAAAAAAAAAAAAAAAAAAAAAAAAAAAGAATTTACCGTTTTATGTACAATTTGTCTTATTTTTATTTTATTTTACTTTTTTTTTGGGGGGGGAATCATTCTTTTAATGAATTTATAATGTACTTAATTTTCTATTAATATATATTTTTTCATAGAAATTATACACTATCAATTAGATGGAAAACACAAGCACACGCCTGTGTACATATATCCTTAGGAGTATGTTGCTAATTCCGTTTTATAAAGTTCCCTACATAGTTTTATAATTCATTACACATTTGTTGAACATACGAAAAATAAATGTAATCGCCGTTTTTTTTTTTTTTTTTTTTTTGTTTTTTATTTGTTTCCGCATAATAAATTAACATATTTATTGACTGAAAAGAACTTTTCAATGAAGTATATGATTTTAAAAAATGTAGTTTCACATTTTATGCAAGCTGGAAAATGTTAATATTGGGATTCTGCGGAATTGGTACTTTGGAAAATAGACGAGGTATAACACAGTGTGGTGTTGACGTAATGCTTCTTGCATATGTGTGTTTGGAAATAATAGGGGTGTGTGTGTGGGGGGGACATATGGAAGAAAAATATATGCGAAAAACGTTCGATTGCAACATTTTTAATGTTCCTTTTTGTGTGGACTTAAGATGAAAAAAAGACCGTTAAATATAGGCGTGCGTTGGTGCATATAAAATATATATCAATGTGTATATATACATATATGTATTCTTCCTGTTTTACGAGAAAATGCAAATGAAGTTCGAATTGACAAAGTGCTAAAAATGGGAAATATTTTTCAAACAAAATAAGATACTATTTTTTCCTTTATTTTTGCTTTATTATTTTATTTATTTATTTATTTTTTTTTTTTTGTTGTTTCTATTATGCTTAAACTACAATAAAGTAATGAACAAATTAAGGACAAAATGGAGAAACATAAAGTGAAATAAAAAAAATAAAAACTACAATAGTAAAAATGTAAAAACATGAACAATGTAGCGTATGTGAGTAAATATAAATGTTCGCAAAAAAGAAAAAAATTAATTTGTAAATAAATATAACATAAAATGTACACATTTGTTTTCCATTTTACACTTGTTAAAAGTGAAAAAAAACGCTGATTTGGCAATTTTCAAATTTTAGCATTTTTTTTTTTTTTTATTTGGGCTACTAATTTAAGTGAGTATTGCAATTCACTCACTTTAAGCTTTATGTCAATGTGGATGTAACACAAGTTAATTATATACAAGTGAATATTCTAGTAATCCATATTTAATACTCGACAACGATTTTATTTGCAAATGAAATGCCAAAGTATCAACTATAAATTTACGCGTTGACATTAAGCCACTATGGCTTCTGTGAAAACATATGCATATGTACACATATACATGCGAATAAGTATACATGTGCATAATTCTTTGTGAAATCAAAAGTAAGCATCTCTGAAATGTTGAGGAACGAAAAGACAAACGGGAGAAAAGTAGTAAATTAACAGCTCCATATTTTTATAGCCATTACGGTTATTCAAGCATACATGACAGTTTTTTATAATGTATAACAAGGCAAAGAATTTCCGTGCTGCATTTAATCCTATACAAATTATAAAAGTGAATAATATAAAGGAAATTGTGGATCGTTTAAATATTCCATATACACATTAAAAGCATCTTGCAAGTGAATTTTTTTTTTTTTTTTTTTTTTTTGTGTTTCTAAACAGTATATAATCCTTTAAAGAATTCTTTGCATAGGAAGCAAAAAAAAAAAAAAAAAAAAGACCATTAGAGGATGTGGAGAAAAATAGCAATATAAAGGGTTAGTTTTTTGTGTAAAGAGTTATTGATGTTTACCAAACTTCCAAATGTATATTTATTCTCGATTGTAATGATTAATGCAGAGGCGCTATATATATATATATATATATATATATATATATATATATATATATATATATATATATATATATAGAATACAGTGCTATATGAAGACAGAATTGGAGAAATGAAAAAGCTAGGTGTTAACACTAAAGCAGGAACCAATCTATCGAGGATAAAAGAAAGCGAAAACCTTTTTAAGAAACCAATAGAATTTAACAAAAATTTAAGAAGATTGTCATTTTTAAATAAAAAAGGTAACGATGATAATCATAAGGATAATTTAGACAAATGTGAAAAAACGAAAGTGAAAGAAATAAATGATGTTTTTAAAAACTGTATGGTAGCACTGTCTCATAATAAAATATGTACAAGAAACGCATTCGACATAAGAATTATTGATCATTTGGAAGATTTAGTAAATTTAAATGACGAAGAAATAAATGAAGAATTAAATAATGAATTGTTGGAAAATGGAGATTTTAATTTATCTTTTACAAGAGCATCTAAAGCTATCGAAGGAGCAACAAAAGTGTATGGATACAGAGTAGAAGCAATTTATGATCAGACATACAGTTTTTTAAGCAATGTGAATATAGCAAAACAAAGTGATACAAATGAAGAATTGATAGATGAAAAAAAAAATGTGAACGAAGTTTCAAATAAAAAAATAAAAAAAAGGAAAATAGAATTTCTACAAGAATCATCCACTTTGGCAAAATCATCGGACATTACTGTGGATTCTATCTCTGTATCAAATATATCGGTTGACACTTTTTTTTTAAAATTGAATAGTGCTTATGATCATTCCTCAGGAAATAGCTACTTATTACCGAACTTAATTTTAAATAATGACTTGTCCATACAGTTTGATGGTGACATTGATGCGTGTGAATATAAGAAGAGGAAAAAAATGGAAAAAGTTAATGAGGAAGATATCAAAGAAGACATGAATGGTAATAATGCGAGTGACACTTATTTTGCTAGTGCACAAAGTAACAGTGACTTAATGATGAAATGTTACAAAAAAAAATTATTCCTTCATTCTAACATACTGAGGGATATATTTTTCGGTAATGAAAATGAAGATTTTAACAGCTTGAGCATATGCCCAGAATTGGATTACTTTAAGGAAGAAATAAATAAGCATAAATTAAAACGAACAAATTCGAAAGAATTAGGAGATGGAAATGATGGCGACGAAGATGGAGACGAAGATGATGACGACAATGATAATAATAGATATGATTATAAAACAAATGAGGAAGAAAATACCAACTTGGGTAAAAATGACGAGTATGGAGGAGACAATCCAAGGAATAATTTAGGTTTAAGTCTAGATGGAAATATGGCAATAGATAATTTATTAGATGACATCGATTTTAATAATAGAAATATGGGGGATAGCAAAATGCTGAATAGCAGTTTAAATAATAATAATATGCATTTCAATGATTACAGAATAGACGATTTAAACATAGAAAATGTAATGCAAGAATCGCTAGTTTTTGATAACATGAATTTAAATGATTCTGCAGGTAATAATTTAAATTTTTCTCAAAGCATTTTATCATTTCAACAGGGAAATAATACAATGGCCGGTTTACCGTTACCAGAACTTATGAAAAGTGAAAATAAAGACTTTAGTTTAATGAACTCATTAGGAGGTAATTTTCCCATGAATACACAGAACACATTATTTTTTAAGAATCAAAGTGGAACACCAACAAGGGCAGGTTTAATATCAACCATTCCGGATGAAGACACACTATGGAATCGTAACGTGATGACATTTGAAAACAGATTAAATGCAATAGATGTAAATAATAGATTTAATTACCATTATTATGTTCCTAGCAAATTAATAGTTAATGGAAATTTCAGAAACCTAATGGATATAGCAAAATTTTCTCATAAAAATAAGCAAATTGTACATAACTCCTTGGCAAATAAGAAAGCAAAAGCTTCTTTTGATGTATCAGTTATTGATTTTGAAAATTTATACAAAGAAATAAATGACGTAGAATTATCTAAATATGATTTATGGAAAAAAGAAAAAAAGAAATATGTATCGAATGCACTTTTCTCAATTGATCAAACATCTTACATATTTGAAACGAAAGACAACTGCATTAATTGTGTCAACACAGTTACAGATAGAATAATGAAATTTTCAAAAGTGGCAATGATAACACCCGATGACTATAATAGTGATCTAAAATTAAATGTTGTACTAAACGAAGTTAACAATGACTTTGTAACAAATGATTTAAATCAAATAAATTTCGGGGAATGTAAAAATACGGAAAGTATGTTTCTAGAAAATATGGATGATCAACAGGATTGTCATATGCAGGATGGATTGAATGATGCCATAGATAAATTTTATAACATGGATTTTGAGGATATATGGCAGAATGAAACTGAAAATAATTTATCAAAACAGGGAAGTAAGAATGAGAATGTGTCTATTCTTCAGCTTCATCAAAGTATTTCCCGCGGAAATACACGGGGAAATCCGAACATTGAAAATGTTTCTAAATTTGTTGATGTTTCCAAAATAAAAAAGATTTTGTGCGATATTGTGAAGCCAGCCGGGAATGAGGGTGTCGATGAGGACGAACATGGAGGTGACCATAAGGTAACATGTGCTAGCACAATTTTTTACGAGATTCATAGATGTGTATGTGTGTATATTGGTATGTGCGTGTATATATGTGTATATGCACATATGTATGAATATATTTGTAAGAAAAAAATGCTATTTCATCGTCGCCATCATCATCATTATCTTTTTTTTTTTCTTTTTTTCTACCCTTCACCTAGATTGTTCCTTACGTTGAAGAAAAGACCACAACTTTTAAGGACATTATTAACGAGGTAATTTCTCTTCTGTACTGTGTATATACTTATCCCATTAGCACTTCTAAATGCATGATTTGCCTTTGCATTTAGTTATTGCGTTGATGACTAGTACATACATGTGAATATATGTTTCTATATATGCTATATGAACAATAAATGTGCATATTAACGAAAAATGCATTTTTTTTTTTTTTTTTTTTTTTTTTTTTAATCAGACAAAGTCAAAGATGAACCCAGCAGAAGTGAACGGCACTTCAATCCATATGCTCTTTGTGTGTCTACTGTACACATGCAACGATCAAGGTAATGTGCTGCAATTTCCAAAAAATGCAGAGTGAAAAAAATATGTTGTAAATAAATGTATTAATAAATGATTTACTTTTGGGAGAAGTATTCAAGAACATGTCGATATTTTGTATTCCTACTACGAACATGCTTCATTGCTCATATCAATTTTTACTCTACGCAGTAATGCATGTATTGCACGCTTTACCAATTTTTATGCTTTGTCCATTATTATTATTATTTTATTTTGTTACGGATCCTTAGAATTACTTCTGGAGAAGATACCAAACGAGGACAATTTTTACGTTCGCTACGGGTTGCCCGTGGAATACCATGTTAAGCCCGATGACATATTCATGCTTAAAAATTAAAAGGAATGGGATATTTTCAATCGAGATATATATATTTATATACATTCCTTTTTTTAGCTCATTATCCTTTTTTTAAAACATTTATTCGTTATAGAACTGTATACCTTTGTAGTGCTTAAATTACTGAATTTGCTGTTTTTTTTTTTTTTTTTTTTTTTTTTTTTTTTGTAAACATATAGGTGTATATATTTATCGAAAAGTGTCATGTAAAAATATATATCTTTACAATTGCATACTTTACACATTGGTAAATAACATTTAAAAATACACATGCATACGCAAATTATTATACGTATAACATATATAATTTTATGTATTTCACTTAAAAATGGCTTTAAAGTATTTCACAAATTTAATAACAATTAAAAACGATGTAGGAGCGCTGTTATAATTGGTGATAAAAAATGTTCAAAAAATAAAGTAAAATAAAATATTAATAATATGAACCGTAATAAATACTGAATCATTCTAATAAGTCAGAAGATAAACAAGCGAAAAAATCAGGGAATTCTTTATTGGATAATCAATTAACTTTATTCACTTAAAAAATACTTTAACCTAAGAATTAATTATAAATCGAATTCAAAAAAGTTAAAAATTTCCCTATTTGATGATGCTTTTTGTTTGTCTAAATCCGTTCCCCTTGAAAATGAATTAAACACTGAATTGAAAGTGTGAAATGTAAAAATGCGCATGGTTAGAGTAAGGTAAAATGACATAAAAAGAGAAATAAGATATTTTAAAAAAAAAAATAAGAAAAGAACAACATTATAAAATAGTCAACATATGTATGAAAATTTACATGATCATACACCAACCGTGTGTATTTATTATTTATGCGCATTTTTTCCATTTACTTTTTCTCTCCATAAATGTCATTCCTTCCAAATATGTTTGATCTACCTGGTCGTTATGTTTCATTAAGTAAACCCTTCTACGCATTTCTGCTATCAATAGCAACTCTTCCAGTTTCTCAACTGGCCATTCGTTTTCCGGCAACCTATAGATAGTTTCCAAAAACAATTAAAAGAATGTGGTGTGTGCATGGATATTTGAAAATGTTTTTCCAAGAAAAAATCTTATGCAGTTTTCGAATATTTTTAAATGGATAAAAATATATACATAAATATATATATATATTTATGAGTATATATTATAGACAGGACAGCATAGCACAATAATTAGAAATACATGTGAGTGTCTTAAAATATCTCTGTTGATGTTTTAAAATGCGTTTTAGTAGATTTCCTGTAGACACATATTTCTCATTTTTTTTAGGTTTAACATTTGGCACAATTCATTTCCTAATTCGAAATAGAGATGTGTCAAATTTCCAACTGATGCTGCAGTTGCATCTGATAAAAGAGCCCCTGCCATTTCGTAACATTCGGGAAATTTTATTTTTACTAAGCTATTTTTGTGTAGCCTCTTTGCATAAAAATATTCTACTAGTATTTCATCCGTTTCGTTGATCTTTAAGATAAAGGCAAAAAGGGGGTGGAAGCAAGGTTGTGAAGAAAATATAAACATTTATTTGGAATGAACAATTTTTTCTCTGTGCAATTTCAAAAGAAAAAGAGAAATATATAAATGCTTACTTCATCTTTTCTATATCCGTTTTTGTGCTCCTCCATGGCTCGAGTATTTAAAAAGGATAAGCCAGGCAGGACACAGCAAGGGATACATGGTACCTTCTAAATCATTTTTTTTAAAAAAAAGGAATCTTAATATGTAGGCATATATATAATCATTCATATATATATGTATGTGTGTGTGCTCAGGGGCATGTATATATGTGCATATACTCGTTCATGCTACATATAATATTCAGCGATGTCGTCCTAGGAGTTCTATTCCTCACCACAAAATCTAAATGATGGAAAGGAGTATCATCCACATATATCAAATTTTTTAGTTCTTCTACTTTTTCGCTTAAAACTAGTTCATTTTCCATTTTTTAGAAAAACAGAAGAAATATTTATACTTAAATATTGTTTATGTTGAATATTTTCTTTATTCTGCTTTTTTTTTTTTTTTGTTGTTGTTTTTAAAGAGAAAGCATAATTGGCGATATATTTATGCACATGCTCTATATTTTCAAATGTTATATTTCAAGCATTTTTTTAATTATTTTTAATTTTTTTTTATGTGTATAACAGTTTTTTCAATTATGTGTATTTATGTATATTCCTATGTATGGAGATATCGTACTGTAGCAATTTTTTTTCCCCCTTTCTTTCTTTCTTTCTTTCTTTCTTTTTTTTTTTTTTTTCTCTTAGCGCACACATTTGGTGAAAAATTAGACAAAGAACCATTTGACGCATTAACATTTTATTATGATTATAATAAAAAAAAAAATTTTTTTTTTTAAATTTTGCGTGGTTATTTATTTATTATGAAAAGGAATCATTTAGTTTGGGAATCGCTGTGGGTGGGAGAGGGATCTCACTTATATGTCCATTTTTCCAAAAGTAGGGATAAAGCATATTGCGTGTTTGTCCTTTTTGTAACTTTACATGATGCTTTGCTTGTGTCCTTATTTCAGTTAGCATCATTGGGGTTATTGAGGTTATTCAGGTTATTGAGGTTGTTGTGGTTATCGAGATTATTGAGGTTATTGAGGTTATCGAGATTATTGAGTTTATTGAGTTTATCGAGATTATTGAGTTTATCGAGATTATTGAGTTTATCGAGATTATTGAGTTTATCGAGATTATTGAGTTTATCGAGATTATTGAGTTTATCGAGATTATTGAGGTATCATGCCTGCTTATGTGTTTATATATATAGATGTATTACCATATATATGCACGCACCTTTTTACCAGGGAGCGTCTCATGAATTAAACTTGCGTTGTTATTTAACAGATGTAAATGTATTTATTTTTATTATTTTATTTTTTTTTTTTTATGGTTACAATGTTTTTGCTTCCTATAGTCAGGCATGGATACAAACGAAAAATACTGTCCATACTGTTAATTTATTTTGAGTTATAATTTTTATTACATATGAGGCAGAAAACTACAAAAAACTTCACAGCTTTACAATCGACTGGTAAGTTAGTTAACGAATTGATTGAATGATACATTCACTATTTTGTAGCTTTTGAAGCGAAGAAAATCAAGGAGTACTATGAACACATCAAAATTGTTTAATTTCCCTCCCTTTTGTAGGTTTATAAATACACTTGTAAATAATTATAATGATACAAATGTATTACTGTACCAGGATCATAAATACATATTTCTGTTAAAACAAAATATTGTAATAACAAATTATTACCCCTTTTGAGATGTGATCATATAACGATAAAATAAAATTTTTTGCTCATTTATGTACAAAGTTGTTAAAAAATATAACACACGCATAGATTAATTAAAAGCTCTCCAAATAAAGTGTTACTTTTGTGAAGGAAAAATATATATATAAGGTGTATATATATTGGTATCTTGATTTTTTTTTTTTTTTTTTTTTTTTTTTTTTTTTTTTTTTTTGTGTACAATTGATTAAAAAAAATTTTAAAAGTGGTTACCTTTTTTTTTTTTTATAAAATTTTGTAATATTTTCTTTTTTATTTTTTTTTTATTTTTTTTTTTTTTTTTTTTTTTTTTTTTTTTTTTTTTTTTTTTTTTTTTTTTTTTTTTTTTTGCGTACACATGGATTAAAAAGAATGCTAAAAGGTGTACACTTCTTATTTTGTTCATAAAATTGTGTAGATTGTACTTTTTAATTTTTTTCTTTTATCATTTTGTTATTCTTATTTTTATTTACACTTTAACTTTTATTTGTTCTTGATCTTTTTTTTTTTTTTTTTTTTAAATTGGCACTCATTTAATTTCACCCTTGTGTTGAAATTCATCTTTTTGGTGATACTTTTGAGTTTTTCACTTTTACAATTTTGTTCTTTTGAAAAAACTAACAAGTTCTTAGTATCACACGGCAAAATTAATGTTACTTTGGAAGATTACAAATATGTATATATATATATATATATATATATATATATATATATATATATATAGATAGATAGAACCCATTTAAGCCTTGTTGCATTTTAAAGGTGCAATTTTTTACACATTAGTATGAACAGGGTGAACATATTTTGTATGATATATATGTATTGATAGATGTATGTGTTTTTACAGTACCTTCATTTGTGCGTAAATTTCTATGGGTCACACTGAATTCTAATACATTTTTAATTTCAAAAGAGGGTATTATTCATTTCCGTCGGGTTTTCATAGTGTCATATAATTTTTTTAACTCCTACCCTCTCCCAATTTCTCATAATTTATTGTAATACTACACGAGAGCTTGTATTATAGTATTTATATATTTGTATTTACAAGGAAAAATTAAGAAGTTCCAAGTGTTATATATTAGGGATGATTTTTCCGCTATTTTTTTTTTTTTTATTAAATATGTGCATATTTTTTTTTATTTATTGAGAACACATTTCTAAAGATCTTAAATTTTATTTCTTTTTTTTTTAAAGTCTCCTTGCTATATACATATATTCATGTACTTGCAAATTTTTGTTGGGAAGAATTTTTAAAGTTGTATGGAAAATTATCAAACTGATAGTGTTTTTATTTTTCTCTCTTTTTTTTTTTTCTAATAATAGTGCAGAAAAGGGAAAAAGAGGGGAAAAAAAAAATGCATGCATGGATGTATGTATGTGTATATATAATTTTAAGTCGATCTTGTATGTCCTTATTTAGTAGGAATATTCTATTTACCTGATTCATCGTGTGAATAAGTGCAAGAAACACAAAATTGGTTCTTGTTAATACAATGGAACACACATAAAACACATACAAGCATATAAATGCACTAAAAGCCTAAATGAATATCTCATATGCTATAAAGACATCTAAATATATGTGTGATTTGAATTTATTAAAGCTCCACACCAAATTTTTATGAGTACTACGTCATTATGCCTACTCTGTACATTAATAGGTGGACGCACATTGTGAAATGCTTAACTATCTGTACAATGTTCTCCATACATTAATATACATGTTTAGTTATTTACAATTTTGTTTTTCCATAGTACTTCTCATGAAATTTTCATGTGTGAAAAATAAAAAAATAAAAATAAAATAAACAGGCAAAAGGACAATGGAAAAGAATGAACATACTTTTTATGTAATTTTTTTTTCTTTTTAACTTTTTTTTTTTTTTTTTTTGCCATTTGCTCTTAACCGAACAGTTTATTTTATTTTATTTTGTTTTTTTCTTTTTTTTTTTTTTTTTGCTGTAACTTGCCTCTAAATTTAAATTTCATTTATGTATAGCATTTTTAATAATTTTAATTTCTCTTATTCTTATATTCACACAATTTCCTTTTGAAGTGGCTTTTTTTTCGTGTCACCCTCGTAGTGAGAACTTTTTCTTGTAATAAAAATTGTATATCTCGGGAGTGAACAACTGTTTGCTACCCCTCTCCTCTTGTGACATAAATATCCCATTTTATTCTTATCGTTTGTAAATTTTGAGAAAAAGGAATTAAAATTTTTGAATACATACAACCCATATATAGGAGCAGACACATGTCAACAAATTGCATAAATTGTTATATCCACAGTGGTACATACATATGTACATATGCAAACGCAAGTATAGAACATCATTCAATAAGAAGATAGCCAAAAAAGCCCACGAGGGTATGCACACGTACACTTACACATACGCAAATGATATAGCAAAAGGACAAGATGGAGGAAATTCTCGAAAAAAAGCTGATAAAGAGAAATTTTTTATATAAAAATGAAAAATTCCAAGATAGAAGAGATGCTAAGAAAAGGGCACATAGGATAAGAATGGCCCTATTAAACATGAGCGAAAAGGAGGAGAATTATTTTTTAATGGATGTATATCCGTTAATAAAAAGTTATATAAATGATGGAGTTCCATGTTATTATCTGAACAAGACGTATATTTTTCGAAAGAGTATACTAAACATATTTTACTCAATGATATATAAATTTAATAAAATAAAATATATTGTAGAAATTTTTGATATTTGTTTAAATCTCATTGTAACACAAAATGAAGAATATACAATTATTTGTATAAGAATAATTACAGAAATATGTAAATTACATAAGCACTGTTTGATACTGTTTGATATTTATAAATACGTGAATGTTGTTTCGATGCACATTTTAAAAGCTTTTTACAAAAAGGTAATTAGTAAGGTTAAAAGAGGGAAATTTCTCAAATCAGCAATCAATATATATACAAAAAGTCACAGAAGAAAAGCTAAGTGTGTTCGAAGTGGTAAAGAATCCCTGAAAGTTGTTAGAGAAATAATTTGGTCAAATTATATATTGATAAACTTACATCCGAAATTGTTAAATAACAATGAAAACTACATAAAAATTTTGTGTAAAATTCTTTCACTGATCAATATATTAGACTTTAAATATTCGAAGCCATTTTACATAGAACAAATTAACTTTTCAATGAATTCGATTTATAAAACTTCATATAATTATCATTTTGAGAATACATATGTATCCATAAAAAACACCATCACCAGGTGTGATAACAGAAGTAATAATGTTTTATATCCGCATAAATTCGAAAGGGTTTATAATTACTTATTCGAAGATAAGAAAACAACTTTTTGCAACGCATCAATTGGGGTAATTTCCGAATTTTCCAAAAAGGGAAACACTGAGGAGGACAGCATTGAGGGAAGCCCTAAGAAGAGTAATAATAATGAAATAAATCATAACGATAAGAATTTAATTTTTGTCAATTATGCATGCTTTAACGATTGTGTCACAGCTAAAGAAAAGTTTCTTCAACATGATACAGACAAGAGTAGGTCGAAGAAGGGAGGTATGTCAAATAGCACTAATAGTTACAATAGGAGGAGCAGTGATTACAATTTATTTAGCAGTTTTTCTTTAAATGATAATTACACTAATGAATTATACACTGCATTAAAAGATAACTGTAATATTTTTCTTCAAAATAAATTGAAAACATTGAAGAAGCAATTTTATAAAAATGTAAATTATAATATTTACGAGATTGATTTCCATAGGTTATCAGAACTTTGGAACCTAAAAAACATTATTGTGTACATGCTGATCCATCATTTAAGAATGGGTAACATGAATAGATATTTTCATTTTAAAGAATTTCTCATAGAAAAAATTCTGGAATTTTTAAAATATGATACAATGTATATTATAGAAAAAGGAAAAGATTTTGTCGAAAATATTCGATTATTGTTACATGGTAATTTCAATGAAAATATGAAATATTATTTAAAATTTTTTGTAAATCCAAATACATACACGAGTTTTTTAACATATAAATATAATGATCACTTAAATGCACATATATTTATATTAATACATGATATATTCCTTTACTTTAAGAATAAAAATGTATGGAATTATGATGTAGTGAAAAGTTGTATATCTACCTATTCCTTAGTTATTATGAATAAAAACTGTTCTATTTTTATTCAGAATATATGTGTAAAATTGCTAGTTTACACAATTGAAGTATTATTTACCATGAAGAAAAAAAATGCGTCCTATTTTTCACTCTATTTTGATATTCTAAATTTAATGTTACATAAAAGCAACTCGTTGAAGTACGAATTGTATGAAGTGTACAAGATAGTAGTTAGCAGAAATAATGTTAATATAACATGTACAAAAAGTGGAAAGAAAAATGAAAGGAGTTCTTGTAACGTTCTTAAAAATATGAAATTTCAGAAGAATAAATTTTATAGTTGTCCAAGTGACGTTAAATATCATTCAGATAGTCATTGTTGTTTTGTTTTATCACGTAAATGTTTTCAAGAAATTCCACAAAAAAAAAGAACACGCGGAGAAAAAATCAGTTCGATGGTCAAAGATTACGATTATATTCATACAAATAGAACAAAAAAGATGAAGAAAACAAAAAAACAAAAAAAAAAAAAAAAAAGAACACTTAATGATTACTGCACTTTGAAGACAAAACACGACCTAAATGAAATGCTGAAAGAATATAAATATTTGCTTTACGCCATGTATGAATGTATAAAAAATAACATATATTACATTTATTTATATTTTAATAAGGAAATCATTATAAATAAGATGCAAGTAGAGAAATGGGATGGAAGAAACATTTTGCACCATCAGAGGTGTGACATTTCTAAAGAAGGTTTGCTCAATGAAGATAAATGTGCGCATAAGACTTTGAATGGGAACAGCAACATTTTGATTAATCCTCTAGGTAGGGAACAGATACTCGGGGAATATTACAAAAGTTATCAGGTGGGCGCTAACAAGGGTAATAAGGAGGATGGAAACTCCAATGACAACATTGTCCATAACAGCAGCAATTTGAATAATAATAATATGGGTAATAATAATAATATGAGTAATAATAATAATAATATGAGTAATAATAATAATAATATGAGTAATAATTCCACAGAAGTAGTGAATAATAGAAAACGGGCCAAAAAGAGTAGTAGCATAGGGAAAAGGAAACGCCCAAATCGTCAGAGGAACTCCAATAAAAATGCACAGAATATTGTACCCAATAAAGATATGAAAAATGATAAGCGGAATGAACCTATCGATGGTAAGAAGTTGGACCCGTGTGGAACATTTCCTACGGATAATGATAAATTTAGTTCCATGTTGGACACATCTATGATTAATAAATTAGAGAGATTTTTGCACAGTAACGATGAATACTCTAACAATGCGGAAACCAGTAAACTGTGTGATATCAAGAATTGGGAATCATCCCTCAACAAGGAGTTTTCAAATGCTGATGGTGATCATTATGAAGGTAATAACTCTGTAGCTTTAAAATATTTGGGAAATAATGATGACTTTTTAATTAGTAATTACAACTGTGTTGTTAGAAATAACGGTATGCCCAATGATATATATCAAAGGAATGAAAACATGTTTACAGGTAAGGACATGTATCTATGTAACCAGTCAATTGAAAATGATTTAAGCAATTATATGAATAGTTACAACAGAGAAAATGAAAAGAAATTAAATAGTTATATATATAGTTGCGTCACACAAAAGGAGAATTGTTCGGAGTTTTTTATGAATTATCATAAGTACCCAAATGGTAGTAATATTTTTAATGGTATAGAGCATGAGTCTATTTCTGATATATTTGAGCATAAAAAGAGTAATATTTATGAGTATGATAAAAAAAAAATATATATAAATAGTCAATGCGTCAATCAAAATGACCATATTCAGGATATAAATAATAACATTGAGAAAAGTGTGAAGCGTGATAATTGTGAGAATATTTTTAAAATGAATAAACAGAACGGGAATGGCTCAGAATGTGATGACAAAAATGAAGCACAAAAAAATGATACTTTTGAAGACATGTATGATATAAATAAACTTGATTTTTTAATTGAGAAGAGTATTTTTTCTTCGTGTTATGAACTGAATGATGTATGGCTTAAGATAATATACAAAATTTTTTATCACATGGTTATATGTTCCATATTGTTCAGTTCTTGTTTTTCACACATGACTGTAGAAAATTTAGGAATAAAAGATGAATCTATAAGAAGAATTGTCAGAATGAAGATAATGAGAGGTGATCTGTATGATCGAAACGTTAACTTGAAAGAGAATCATACCATTGACAAGGGTTGGAATGATAAACCATCGGTTAACTGCAATTATCACGAATACATAAACATTAAAGTGAATAATTTGTCAAAAGAAGATAAAAAAAAAGTTTTCACGTGTATTAGTTATATACAAGGTGAAGAGAAGAAATTATTGTACATGTGCGCGAACAGTATAATTTACCTAAGTAGGAATAATTTCCACGTTTTTATGATTTATTCAATTGATTTATTGTTTAAATTATTGTTTCTGTATCCGCAAGTATTTTACATTTTTCAAGTATTTGGTGCGTTAAGAAGCACAAGTACTTTATTCTGCAAAGTTTGTTTTAGTTATATAATTAAGAAAATGAAAAAATTTTTAAAATTGAAGAATTGTTTAAAACCATTACTTTATTTTAATAAAAATGTCAGAAGTAAATTGATGACAGATTTATATAAGTACAAATTGTTATACAAGTTACATTCTTCGTATGAATGTCTAATAAATGAAAGTCATTATGGAAGTCTCACATATTGTAACAAATGTGTGAATAATTCATCCTTCAGCAATGAGATAAATGAATCAAGTCAGAGTAAACCCATTGAAAAATCATGTAAGAATGGAAAAATTAGGAAACTTATGACAAATATATCGTTTTCTATGCTCAAAAATAAGAGTAAAAGACTTTTAACTGTAAAGGAAAGAAGAAGAAATATGTGCCAAGGAATCATATTACGATCGTTTTCTCAAAAGGGAAAATTTGGAAGAAGCACATTTTCCCATAAACAGTATCCAATTTGCAATATAAGAAAGAAAATAAAAAATAAGAGAAAGAATGGTATGTATAACTTTGGAATATGGGTAGACTATTTCGACTTTCACATTTTAGAAGAATATGAGCATGGGAGAAGTGGCTTATCCAATTTTGAATCAAACGATATAAATTTAGTGTTACAAAAGGACACAAATTTTTTTAAAGAATTGACTTATCACGATGATGTAAAGCTACCAGATGATTGTAATAATAATATGACAAATTTTGTAAAATTAGACAATTTGTGTTATATAAAAAAGAAAAGAAAGAAACACTATATTATTCATAACATAGTAAAGCGTGACATAACAAATCCCGCTAATTTTGTTTCACCAGAAATTCGCAAATTAGCAAAAATGAAAAAGAAAAAAATCGAGATAATAAAAAAATATCCAAATTATGTAAAATCGAATGGAAAATTCGTAAACAATTTTGTATCGAATGAAAAAATGTATAGGTCTTATTCCTTAAACTGTCATAAGTTTGCAAATGATAAAAGCACCTTTAAAAAAGATATATTAAATGACTTAGAGTTTTTGTATAAAACTCGTTCAAATAATGTAGACAGAAAAATACCAAAGAATAAAAAGAATAAGATATGTGATGATTTTATAAAAACAAGTGATTATATAATAGGTTATAACTGGTTTACCATGAATAACACCTTTAATAACTATTTATCATATAACGATGTAATTATTAAAGTAACGTATTTTCTTCTTAAGGTAATGAAATATTACGCAAGTACGTATGGGCAATTTTTAAAAGAGTTAAGAACTATTTCTGAAATATGTTTGGATATAATTTTAAAAGATAATAAATGCATTCAAGTTGTCAATTTGTTAAAATGTCTTCTTGAGACCATATGTTTTATAAACTGTGCGAATGAATTGAAAGGGGATAAAAATAACAAAATTGAAGTTCATTTTCCAGTAGACAAAATGCTTTTGCGTGATAATTTGAGCTATATGAAATGTATAAATTACTTGAAAACAGGTAGGAGTACTAATGAAAATGCAAGTAACTGTAGAACTAATGGTGTGGCAGCAGACATCTTGAATGACGAAAATTCAACACAAAATGTTGCGAATGACGAAATTTATTTTATCAGTAAGAAGGAAAATGAGGATGGCTATGGAAAATATAATCAAAAAGAATATCGGGTGAAGGAGGAAATTATATCCAAACATAAGAGAGAAGGAAGAAATGGAGAATACAGCAACAGCAACAGCAACAGCAACAAATTCGGGAGTAATAACTGCTTCATATGCAATGATTCGTCTTGTGATCCTCAAAAAAATAAAATAAAAAACGAGGATACGAATAAGTCAAGGGACATAATCATGAATTTTTTAAATTGGTTTGAAAATGTACACTCTGATTTTCCGAAATTGTTTAAAATGCTGTTTTGTGAAATTTGTCTAGGGTTGCCTATTAACTATTTCATGAATGAACATTTTCACATATACCTTAAATCATTGTTAGTTTGTCTTAATTCAAAAAATATTAATAGAATAAGGGTTGCATTAAAAGCTTTGGAAGAGAACGTTTGCACGATTAATAACTATGGTATAAATGGAAACGTTTCATCTCCTCTTCTTTTTAATAATAAAAACGGAACAATTTCGCATATATTTACTATTTTGATGAAAATTTTAAGAAAAAAAGTTACATTTCATCTAAATTTTAACAAAATATATGAGCAGAAGTATTATTTAAATGACCTATATAGAAATCCATCAGATATTATGTTTCTCAAAATGGGTGTAATATATAGTCAGAAGATTTTATCAGAAGGGGAAAAGAATAAGTATATAAATAAAGTATACATGGAGAATTTATTTATTATTTTGAAACTGTATAGCAAATTTGTTTATGATAATGAGTTAATGAATAATTATTATTCTCATATGAATAATAAGAGAAATGTAGTTCCACATTTTAGAATAGGTTTTTTTTTAAAGAGAAAAATAAAAGAAAACAGCAGAAAAAGATCTATTAAAAATGTGAAGAAAGGTAATGAAGATGTTGTATGTTGTATATATAATGAAAGTGGAAATACACTAATGGATATAACTACGTCTTCTATTGTATACCAAAAGAAAGCAGAATGTAGTGAGGAGGCAAAGGTAGATAGTAATAAATTATCGTCATATTGTAACAAAAATGCTAGCAACAGTTGCAAATTGAGTGGAACTAATAAAAGGAGAAAAAGAAACATTACGGTGGAGAATGAAAATATCATCAATGGAAGGATCACTACAGAGATAAGCATTTCGAAAGATAGTGTACATGATGCTGAGAACAAGAGTTTAGATACGAACATTTTAAGAAGGAGAAACATAAGAGTTGCATGTAGAAGAAAAACGAACAATGTAAACAACATCGAAATAGAAGAAGAGAAAAAATGTAAAAGCACACAAAATGGGCTATCCAAATTTTATAACAAGAACATGGTAGAAGAGATTAGGAGAAATAATGCAGATTCGAAGGAAACAAAAAATTCTACTTTTAAGGATAAAAAACTGAATGTTCCATTTGGAGACGTGAACAAAAAGGGTGATAATGAAAATGAGGATATATTTAACATTACAAAACTGCTTATGAATGATACTACTTATGACAACACATTCAACAATGTTATACAACATATCGATTTGGAAGAAACACTGAATTATTGCTATAAAGTTTTAAAGAATAATATGAGGAACAATAGTTTGAAATGTTCATATTATTATAAGAAGAACCTGATAAGTGAACATTTTAGAAATAAAATTTTCATTAGAAAAAATATAAGCAAATATGTTAAGAAGAAGAAGAAGAAAATAGGAGAAAAGTTCAGCTTCTTTAATTTTAATGAATTACCAAATTTGAAAAAGAGAAAATTGTTTGACCAAAATGAATCAATAACTGATAAAGGGTGTAAAAAAAAATTGAGGATTGACAATTTATTTAGTGGAAAAAACACAAAATTCTTAAGTTTGACATGCAGTTTTGAGAATGGGAAATCTGGTGTAAATAACTATAAGAGCCAATCCATTTTTAACATTAAAAAGAAGGGGAAACTAGTACAAGAGAATGTAACACATACCCGTTTTGCAAGAAAAATAGATGGATTAGTATATGGAAGTAATTATTATGAGAAAAAAATAAGTACTCATTTTTTTAACCAAAAGAAATCGCGATTATGTCAATATAGGAAATTTAATGGACACAAACAATTTATTAACAATGGGGAATTGCATTACTTTGAGAAAAGTGATTTGTGTTATTTTTGCATTTTGAAAGATCAACGAATTAGTTGTTACAGGATTGTTCTTTCTATTTTTATTTTTATTTTTAATCATTCAAACTGTATATCGGATTACTACCAATATACGCTGAATATAGGATCGCTAAATAAAGACTTTATGAAGGATTCAAATAGTGCATCCGTTGGCATTAACAACACGAATGGTGTAATAGAAACAGGGATAAAAGGGAATCAAATTGATGACACAAATTGTGGTGGAAAGAATGATAAAATTCCGAAAGAGATTTTTAATCATGTTGAGAAGGTTATTATAGATAGTGCATCTCTAGAATGTATGAAGAACGAATGTAATAGTCCGAATAAGCATAATAATGCATTAAAGAAAAAGCTGGATATTTCATGTGACAATAAAAAGAAGAATAAATATTCCTTTGAAACGTGCAAATGTAAAAAACATTTATACAAATATTCCTTTATTTATAAAGATAGTAATCATATATTCATAACAAAATTAATGTATTGCTTCTTAGTTATGTTAATAGAAATAAATGATAAAGTGAAAACGAATGATATGGAATTGATAGATGAAGAAAGAAGTAAAAGTATAGACCAAACTAATGAGTGCAAGTGCCAAATGACATGTAGTGACGAAACATGGAAGATTAAATTGAAATATATAGTTAAAAATGTTGTTAGGAGAATATCCTTGATACTTTCGAACAGATTTGTTCTAACAGGAAGAATGAATTTTATTTATGTAATGAATCATAATAACGAAATAGATGTATCATCTTTTATATTTACTTTTTGCAATTTAGTTGATTACCACCCACGGTTTATAGAAAGGAGTATAGAAGGTTTGAGATTTATAGAAAAAATTTTAAAAACAATATTAAATGTGCAGCCAATAAAAATTAAGAAATGCATGAAGTGTACATTTTTTTCGAATTTATGCACATGTATATGTAATATATGCAATGATACAAAAGTAAAGAAAAAAATATTTGGCTTATTACTCTTGTTGAGAGTAAGTAGGATTTTACCCCCATACTGGATCAGATTTAACATATATAATATTATCTACGCTTTGTTAACCTGTTATGAGAGGTTCAAATTAAAATATGTGAGAATAGTGCAGTTATTAATTGAGGAATGTTTTACTTTAATTATTTCTTCCTTATTTATTGGTTATGTGGGTGAAATTAATACTTACATTTTGAATAATTTTGATGTTGTAGATAATACTTATATAAATGACATAAACAAATTATGTGTGGTGGATGATAAGGTTGATGAGGCAGCTCTTAAAAGAATCGAACGTATTAAACATAGTGCTATTGAGAAAATAAAAAGTAGCGTAGAAATGGCAAGATCTTTTGGAGGAGTGAATAATAAAGAAATAAACAACTTTAAGAATTCGAATCCAAAGCATAAGTGCACTAGATATAAGCGATGTTGCAAAAATAATCCTTTTTGGTATAGAATGGATGAGGTGTATACATGGGATATTCTTTCTCTAAAAGGAAGGAATAAGAGAAGTGAAAAAGATATTAAAAAAATGGTTAAAATATTATTTAACATATTAAAAATATTTATATACAATTTAAATAAAGAAGAGCATGATAGACATTTCATAAAAAGGGCATTTGTTATTATTTCAAAAATTTTAAAAACGGATCTACGGGAATTGTTAACATATAAATATGCCCCCAAACGAAATTTATGTTTGCAGGACTTATTCATTAAGCATTTTTCCATTCCCAACTTTGTAAAATCTTCGTTGAAACGAAAAATTTCTTATTTAGATTTTTATTGTTTTTTCTTATCACAAGAACGGTATATAATGTTTGATTTTCATATGATGATCAATTTGATAGAAATAATTGTGAATATTATAGAGCACTTAGAAAGAAAAGATGAGGTCAATAATATTTTTTGTTACATCCTTAATGGAAATGTTCCGCGTTCCTGTTCAAAAGCTGAAGGGCATAATGGAGACATTTGTGAAAGAACAAATATTGGCTTTCTACATAATGAGAAAATGAATTTTGGTGTGGACTGTATCCTGAACAAGTGGAAGAATCAGGATATTAACAATTTAGATGGGAATCATGAAAACGTGAAACTTGTAGATGCAAACCATGACTATGTTAACCCTTTACACGTAAGCAAAACTCCTCAGTCCAGCATTTTGCACAATTTTGAAGGAGATAATTCTGATACTAAAAATTTGAACGATGGATTAAATATTTTATGGAGCACTGAGATAGATGCTTACAATACCAATTTGAATAATCAGAAAAGCATGGATTTGCAAAAGTTGTATGAAAAGATTAAGAAGAAAAATAGAGAGTGTTCCATTTTATATAAAAAGGATAACATTAGCATATTGGATAGCGCGAATGAAAATTATAGCAAAAATGAAAACTGTAGTAAAAATGAAAACTGTAGCAAAAATGAAAACTATAGCAAAAATGAAAACTATAGCAAAAATGAAAACTATAGCAAGAGCGAAAACTATAGCAAGAGCGAAAATCATAATATGAACACAACCATAGACGACACTTCACATAAATGGCCAGACCCTGCTGATAATGCTGTTACTCCGTTGAAAACAAATATAGATGGTAAAAATAATGATGATTTTTGTGAAATAGAGAATCTGTGGAAGAACAAGGATTCAGAAAGAAGGAAATCTCCCAATTCGCTTCATTCATTATGTGATAATAGTAAATTAGCCATATTTGCTAATGATAAAGATGCACTTTCGGTAGGGAATAATAAAAATCGGACGGATGATATTAGCATGGAAAATAAAGTTGTATTGGGTAATATTTCAGAAAATTACAATTATCCATTAAGTGATCGTAATAGAATGGGAATTATATTTAAAAAGGCTGATAATTTTTTTTTATTTAATAATAACAAAAGAAAGAATGAAAGTAACATTGTGAGGAATACATTAAATTATAAACATTTGAACAAAAATATGGATGATAATTATGCTATGAGTTCCTGTAACAGCATAAATGATAAGGCTACGATTATGAAAAAAAAGATCATAGATCATAATAGTAATAATATTTTTTTTGAGAAGAAGGAACAAAAGTCTAAGACTTGTATAATACGAGACCATAAATGTAGTTATATCTCCAACAACTCTCCGTATATTGAAATGGAAAATTTAGAAAATGGTAATAATGCTTTTAAGTGTTTTAAATATAATTCAGTTGAGAGTAATGAAAACTTATTAAAAAAGGAAGTGAACAATTTAAATGGATTAAGCATGGATGTTCTAGCAATTGATGGTAAGAATATTACGGAAAATACGAAGATTTTACATTCAAGCTATTATGAGAATTTTTATTTTAATAATATTGAACGAGATGAAGGGAAGCATGTGATCGCGTCATCTGAAGGTAAAACTAAAATGTTAAATGATGATTTGATGAGTTGTGTTCCAAGCATGGATATAGAGCAAAAAATAAGAGGAAAATTTTCTAATGATGAGTCCGCGAAGGATGAGTCTGTGAAGGATGAGTTTATGAAGGACGAATTTGTGAAGGACCATTTTGAGAAAGATCAGTTTGTGAAGGACGAGTTTATGAAGGATAGGTTTGAGAAAGAAAACTTTACGAAGAAACAATTTTTAAAGGAAGAGTACTCAATAATAATTGAATTTTTTTTATATTTCATGACTTTTGTCAGAATTTTCTTTAGTCATCATTTATATAAGTGCATGTTACCCACAGTTAACTCATTAACATATAAGAGGAGCTTATACCTATATAATCGATGTATTCATATTTTAGTGAATTTTTTATTTAGTAAAGAGAAAGAATTATGTGTTAAGGCAGAATACTGCTTACACTTTTTAATAGTTATTAATGAACACAATAAGAACACAGGAATGCACGAGGATATGATGAACAATAATGGAAGTTCTTCTAAGAATTACAATAGTGTTAATATAAATGCAAAGGAAAAGGTGATACGATCAGGTAACACGAAAATAATGAGTATGAACAAGAATTTTTCAAATGTTTGGAAATTAAATAAGAACGATTTAAAATTATATTTAAAGTCTATATTGTGGAATTTATCTTATGCTCTACGTAATAAAGGTTTCATTTTGAAAAAAAATTTTATTATTGGTATTAGCAAAGTATATTCCTTTTTTCCTCAATTTTTTTCATCTTATCTAATGGACGGATTTGTGAAATATGTAAAATTTTATAATGAGAAGTGTATGCACGATAAATTTATTCACGAAAATGTTGAAAAGGTAATGGAAGTTTTTTACAACTTTTTTACTAGCTCAAAATTAACGTATGACCAATTTAAGGAAATAATTAATTTACTATTTAGTATACATAATCGTGTAAAAGAAAGGAGCACCATTTCGTTTGCTCATTTGAAGGATTTGAATACATCAAAGAATGGCAGCAAATGTGTAAATGTAAATAATGAAAATTATTCCTTGGTTAATGGAATCAATAAATGTGGAAAAAATATAGCTGATGTAGAATTGCGGGAATACAAGAACGATCAAAAAATTGGAAATACGAGTAATATCTTGGATGATAAAGAAGATCAAGTGGAAAATGTATATAAAGAAAAAAGTTTACTTGAACATTTCATAATAAATTGTAGTAACAATGAGCAAACTCAAATGAACATTTCATATATGCACGCATTGAGCTTGTTATGTTCTAACAATTACGAACATGCGTTAAAATATTTTATTGAATTTAGATATAACCCTAAAATATTTTCATACTTCGTTTCAACATTGAGGATAAGAAGTCAATCTGGATTTAGAAAATACATATTTAAGAAAATTTCCTTGTTTGTTAATATTCTGTTAAAATATATTTGTGATTTTAAATCGAGTGAAGTTCTGATGCATGTGTTTGGTTTATACATTTTTAATGTTAGAGATGAAGAACTGAAGGAAATACTTTTTTATGATTATTTCAAGTTGAAGGAATATGTGGACAGAACTGTCGAAATGGACAGAGAAGTGGATACGTCTACTTATTTGAGGAAGAGTTTACCAATTCGAGAGAGGAGTAACATACAAAATGATAACCACAAAATGGATTATGAACTGAGTTGTATAGCAGTTATGAATAATAATTGTAATAATAATAAATTTTTAATGAATTTTTTTAATCTTGTAAATGTTCTGAACTGTTTACTAAAGTATGAACCATCTTGGATATTTTTGAATTTTTACGATGACAGAATTAGGAAAAACAAAAGGAGCATAATTGAAGTGTTGTATTTGTGCTTAAGTAATTTAATCAGTGATTACTTATTTTTGGAAAACACTAATTTTTTATCCCTATTATGTAGGAAGGAAGGCAAAAAATGTGTTAAAATATTGACACTTTTTTTCTACTTTTCACGAGATTTGCTGAGGTGTGTAATGTTAGACTCAGGAACTCAACTAAATGGGACGACACATAGTAAAACGAATAAAACATTAGGAATGTATGAAAATTATAACAGAGAAAATATTACATATGATATTATAAAATACAATAGTTATCTCTTTTATTTAAGAACGAATTTGTTTATTATACTAACTTTTATTGTATGCACAAGGAGTAACAAGGATTACAGTTATTTACAGACGTTTTTAAAAAAATGCATAAAGAAAAAATTAACATTTAGAGAAAAACGATTTTTATTTTTTACAATAATACACATTTTAAAAACTTTTAATCTTCCAATTTTTGTGAAATTTTTTGAGATATCTGTAGAATTTATCATTTTGCCCATATTGAGAGAATATACAAGGAGATTGGAAAATGTAGAGTATATTACTTTTAGTGGTGACAAATACGGTATGACTGATATGGATGAAAAATTAGGAATTCATGGATTACATCAAAATAGAATTATTATGAGTGTACTTACAAAGATATTTACACAAGAGTATATGCATCAAATTAGTGGAAATGACAAAAGTAACCCAGCGAGGGTAGATACCAATTGTAGAAGAAATGTATATAACATTAAAACTTACTGCAAAACTAGTGAATGTGTTTTTATAGATGATAACAATAATAATGTAGGAAATAAATGTGATAGAAAGAGTGTTGACATACGGAATTGGAGACATCAAAATAATTTAAACACATTGAATGACAATACTTATGTTAATTTGAAAAAAAATAACATATGTGGAACATCATTTATTAGGAATTCGCAGAATTGTTGTTTTGTATATAATTTGAATGATGACAAGGATTCAAGTAGTGTGAACAATTACTATTGTTTATTCCATATGTCTATTCATCGGGAAAAGAAAAATATGAAGCATTACCCATTTTATAATAATAATTTATTTGTTAATATAAATGAAATTTTTTACACTTTAAAGGCCCTATTAGGCGGCATATCATATTCCATGAAAATCATTATGAACAAGCTAGCTATAAGCAATAGGTTCATAGATATAGTTAGAAAACTAAAATGCAAGAAAAGCAAAATTTTATTATTCACTTATATAGAAATGGTTAATAACGATTATATGTATTTTCCATGTGATAGCATAAAACATTTAAGCATTCGTAATATTATTAACATGTATAAGTGCAATTATAATAGTAAAATGAGAAATTTCAAGGAAATTTACACCAACTTGGTTTATTTCTATATGAATGAAGACGAGAATAATCTAAGGAAATCAAATTTGGATGAGTTAGCAAAAATAATGGCTTTAGGAAGAAAATGGAATAGGAAATATTGTAACAAGAACAGAATTTTGTATTATCAAATGAGAAGAAATTATTTGAGTTCTTATTATTGCAAGGTTTATAGGGACGAAAAGATTTTAAATATTAACGGAAATCGAGAAAGCATTAGCCTACCTAGTAGTAACAGCTGTATTGGTAAATCTTTTAATCGAAGACTAATTGATAACCACGTATTTTGTATGAATGGATATTTAGAAAAAAATTATTCCCTCCTGAACAACAAAAGAATTATTCTGAACTATTTTAAGAAGAACAAAACTGTGTTTAATAAAATACATGTATTAAAAGTTGCTCTAATGTATAAGTACGATTTTTATAATGTATACCCATATATAATAGCATCAATTTTTAAAAATTTCGAAAAATATTCCAGTAGTTCTTATATGAATAGTAATAAAGGTCCTTTTTTGATTCAATCTTTAAAGGCAGCTCTGATATTTATAAAATTCAACATTTTCTGCAATTGTGTTCATGAAATGTTCAGCATAGTAAATGATGAGCTAGTTCTTAAGAAAATGGATTCACCGGGAAAATATAAACTGAAGCAACAAAATGAAATGTGTGAATCTAAAGAAAATAATGTATATTATTGTTTTCGCGAATTGAGTACTAAGGGAAATTCAACTTGCACTGATATTACAAAACCTGACTTGATGATGCAAAAACCAAATGTTCGTCGTCACAAATTAAGGAATCAGAAGGAGGGAATTAATATGAGTAATCATGATATTTTGAGTATTTCTCCAGACGGAGGTGAGAATATCAAAATAAATTGTAGTGGAAAGAATAATGTAGTTTTTGTAAATTATTCTATGAAAAAATGTAATTCACTGCTAGGAATGACAAAACTTACAAATATTCTGTACAACTATTACACAAAGACTGGAAAGGAAGATACGAAAAGACACCTTTTTCTTATAGGTATTGCTAATATAATTAAAAAATATAAAAGCATATATATTAATTACGAAATATTAGATGCACTGACGAATTTAATAATATCATACTTAATGCAAGTTGGAAACGAATTGTATGTAAATAATATGACGAATAAAATTTTAGTAATATTTGAAAGTATATTAAGAATTAAAAATAATGTAAAGATAAAATATGTATATTTGTATAAAACTCTGATGTGTTTTTATTCCATAAACTGTGCAGCAAAAGAGTATATGAAGAAAAGAATAGGAGGAGATAAAAATAGTCTGCGAATATGTGACAATAATATATTGAAAAATTTACTTCATAATATAGTTAACATGGAAATGAAGAATAAGAAAAGAATAAATGGAGCAGCACTAAGCAATTTTAGTATATGTTCTAACCGTTCTAACGAAAAGGGAATTATTAATAACCAGAAGCGTGAAAAAATGGATCAGATAAGATCACCTTCAAATAATAATGAAGTTATAAACAGCTCGATTAATAATTATGAGGGAATAAAATCTTTTAATGAATTTTTAAATAGGGATAAATTGTCAAATCATGACAATGTGGATGGTAAAATTAGTTTGCATGACAAATGTTCCATTTTGCATAATCAAAGATCGAATCATGAAAAAGAAGGGGTTATAAATACTTCTCTAAACACATGTAACAATATAGATAAGGAAATAAAAAATACTAATCACTCTTTACAAATAGTCAACAATTTGAAGAATGCATTAATGAATGATATGGGAATAAATAAAGAGACAAAAAAAAGAAAAATCATTGGTGGCAACTCTTTGAGTATGGAAAAATCTGTAGAACAAATTGGAAATGCGTACAAAATGATAAATGAAGAATATAGTATGAACGTTATAAAAACTGTTTATTGTGTATTAAAAGTGTTAATGAAATACATAAATAAGAAAAGTATTTCGAAAAATTTGAATATTATAAGTTGCATTTTATTTTTATTAATAAACTTTGATAATCAGAAGATAGAAAAATCTGTTTTGGTTTTAATAAATCACATAATAATAACCCATGATTTATTTTTGAATAGTTTTAGTAATATAATAAGTAGAAGTAAAAGTGAAGAGAAGAAAAATATTGAACGTGGTGAAAAAACTGAACAGGCGGAAATGAAAGAAAACTTATATTTCATTTTTAATAACCATTTTGAAAAGGAACAAAATGTATCTAAGAAAATTGAATTTTTGCATGAAATGCTAGTTAACTTATGTCTTAAAGGAATGAAAGAATATAAGAAGAATAATAGGTTTTATTATGTGGACAATACATTATACATAGATGCAAAATTAGAAACAAGCCTGAACATATTTATTCTTTTTTGTCAAATTCATAGTAGAAATATGGGAAATGAATATGCTGAATTGATAAGATTTCTTATATTGGAATACTTAAAAAATTTAAGATACATATCTTGTTATTGCTTCAGGAAGAGAAAAAGAATGATTACCTTGAAGAAGCTGCTCTATTTTATAAATATAAACCTATACTTAGTAGATAAAAAAGATGCAATACACTTTTTAGAAATATTGCAATCGTTTCTTCATTTGAAGAAAAAAAATTGTTCCAGTTTTAATTTATTCATTTTGTCCATGAATGAGTATCATTTGATAAATATGCCTTCATCAGCAGATGAAAGGATTGATGGCTTTTCATCTGATGTAACATCAGACCATTCTGCATGCTTATATTCGATGCAGAAACAGGAGAAAAAACAAGCTATTAGACAAAAGGTTGAAATGAGAAAAATGATAAAAGAACTGAACGATACAAAGGTGAAAAGTTTCCAGATCAGTCATTATATAAAATACATAAATAATTTGCAACACAGAACCAATAATAGTAATAATTATATGTGCAGTAACAAAGTATCATGTAAGCATTTTTTTTCCATAGACAGAATAGTATATGAAAGAAGAAGAAAAAATTATTTGAGGAATAAAATGAATCAGGAGAAAGAAAATTATAGGAAGACAACTAACGATTTATATACACATTTATTAGATGGAAAGGGGGAATGTAATAAGGGCGCAATAATTACTAATTTGTGCAAAAGTTTATATAGAGAAAATTTTGAAAAGATAGACCAAAAGAAACTTATGTGTGTGGATGATAAGGTGAATATCCTATTAAGGAATGATAAGAGAAAAAAACGATTCTACAAAAGATTAAAGTTTTATGATAATATATTTGAGGGATCTATTATTGAAGAAAATTTATGTAATGACTTATTTTTATGCAAAAAGAAAAAGAAATTAAAAACGTTTTCAGTGTGTAAGAAAAAAGAAAACGTAGGTTTATGCTTATCATCGGAGGAGAAAGCAAATATAATTAGGAACTTAATCATATTTGATTATTCAGATGACTACTACTGTTATGTAAAGTATTATGATATACTGTTATATTTTATTAAGAGTGAAAAAGAGAAATATTCTGATAATCATCATATTTTTGATATGAAAGAAACATTTTTAAGACATATATTACCAAATATTTTAAGGGGAACATTTTCATTTATTCCAAAAATTAGATATACATGTATCCACGTGTTTCAAAAATATTTTTTATCTAATGATTTCTTTGAGTCTATTTGTTTTCTATTTAAAAATTATTACTTTAAGTATATCATTGATAAATATTTTATATCATTGTTTTTAAATGTATTATTTTCATTCTTTAAGCATAATGTAGAAACGTATGTTTTCTTGAAAAATAGAACGCAGGGGTTAGTTCCTTTTTTGTGCAAGAAAAATTATCCAAACCTTAAAATAGGAAAAATAGTACTTAATGGTAATGAAGAGGTTTTTAGTGAAAAAACGACAAATCAGATATGTAATGAAAAAGAGAATAAGAAGAAGAAAAGACAAAACAAAAAAGTGAAGAAAAAGAAAAAAAGTAATAATTTCAAAATGAAGAATTTACATACCTGTGTTAATATGAAGGAGTACAATAGCGATTTCATCAAATGGAAATATCATTTAGGGAAATATTGCTATGAGCAAAGTCATTTCAAAAATAAATGTCAAGAGAAATTAATTAAAGCTAAATATTTATTTAAGCCTATTTTAAGTTTAGTAAACATTTTTAAGGGATACTGCCGATATGTTTGGATAGAACTATTTTCTCAGTTTTTTAGTTTTTTAAGCACAGAACAGATTAACCAGTTAAATTTTTGCATAATACATTTTCTTTACAACTATATTAGTTTTTATGAAGAGTCTTCTAATAGTTATAAAAAGTGCATAACAAGAGAGAATACTAAAATTGTTTCTACTTTTAGCATTATTTGGCAGAAAAACAAAAGATTTCAGAATAATGTGTATGAAAATGATTACAACGTGAATGTCTTAGAAACTATCTTGACTTGCATATTTAAAACTCAAATTATGTTGTATATTCCTACAGAAATTATTTTTTATTGTGCTAAGAATTTTTGTACATACGAAATTTCTAAATGTATGCTTCAGATGTTGCTATTTTATAACATGAAGAAAATTAAGAAATTTGGGCATGAGAACAAAGTGAAAGATGTACCTTTAATTATGGACACAGATCGAGTTGTGAAGTCGAACAAGACAGAAACTCAGAATGAATCTGAGAAACAGGTGAATTGTGGTAAAAAAATGACAAATTTGAAGTCAAGTAGTAGGAATAAGAAACAAAATGAATGTGGAAAGCAGAATTCTATTGGTGTATCAAATGAAAGGAGGGAAAATAACCCATCTATTTCTGTAAAAGATTATAACAATGTAAAGGAGGAGGAGGAGGGCGTTATATGTACAATGAAAAAAAGCTACAATAGCTATAAACATATCATTAACTGTTTAATTGAAATAAACAGCGACCTGAATGAACATGATAATGTATATGCTTTGAGGAAATGTTATGTTAAGAATAATGAATTATCCAAGTCTTTATTTTTTAATCATTATAACCTTTTCTACAAAAATGAATATTCATATCTGAAGCATTTTATAAGTTATGAGAAATTGAACTTAACAAAAGAAGAAGTAAATATTAATAAAATGAATTGGATAGATAGTTTGAAATATTTTAGTAAAATATCATGTATTGAGAGTTATATGAAATTAACTCATTTAAGGGCACGAACAAAAAATAGTGTGAATTCAGCGCCCCCGCATTCTAACACCTATGTTCTTCTATCGGAGGAAAGAAAAGAAAGTCCAATTTTTATGAATTGCAACTATGAAATGTTAAGAAGCAGTTATTTAACAAATTTGAATAATGTATACTGTATAATAAAGGATAATTTAAAATGTACCTATGTCGATGATAAAATGGAAATTACCAATATGGAAATGAGTACTGACGTTATGGGGGAAAAAATACACAACATGTACGCGACCAATGAATCAGTTAAAGGAGAAATGAAAAATGGAGAAAAGGCGAAAAATAACAAAAACGAAGAAAAAAGTACTGACATAGTCGTAAGTGCAAAATGTGATAAGGTATCTTTGAAAAATAACAGTGTAAATGTTAAAAGAATAAGAAGTAAAACGAATAGTCAAAATAGTTTAAAATTAAACAAATCGAAAGATGGAAAGATACAAACAACAATTCATGATTATTTTAAGAGCAATACAAAAATATTACAGGACAACCTTAATAGAGGAAAGAACAGCGGCGGTTATGATGAAAAGGAGGGTGAAAACGTGATTTATCAAACGAATGAGAATTGTGCGAATGTAGGGGTAAATACCTTTCAGGGGTATATGGGCAATATGAATAATCAAAATGATAGCAGAAATGACAGTAATAGAAAAAATAGCATTATCAACGGTATTAATATGCAGGGGAAAAAGTACGAGCAGCCTAGCGGCTACAGCAAGGAATGTAATAGTCCATATGACAACTGTAGCGGAAACCACAAAGATGGAAGGGACAATAACTTTGTCGATATGTTGAACGATTTAAGCTTGCTGAGAAAGGTAAATGGAAACGAAAATAACCAAATGAATAATATTGTATATTTATATTTGGAAAAAATAATTTATAAATTAAAAGAAAATAAGGACACAATTTATGATAGTATGCAAGAGAATGAAAATATCGTAATTGATGATGAAAATGCTACAGCTAATGATCTGAGGAACATAAAATGGGAGGAAGGAAATTCATTAAATGCGAATAGAGTTTTCTTAGACCAAATGAATGACCAAAATGATATGTTTCTTATGAAAAGATTTAAATTCGATTTGAAGAGAAAACATATAAAAAGGGTTAAGGACAACATACATGATGGAATGAACTTGCTAATTAATAAAGTGAGACAACTATTAAATTATAAAAATAATAATATGAGTACTCTTCTTGCACACGCAGAATTATTTGAACATGCGCAAACAAGTATAGAAATAATAAAAGAACAGTCTTTAAAAAGAAAACAAATTGAAAAGGAAGAAAATGAAATACAATTAATATTTCTCTTAGATAATTTATTTAATATGTGTAATAAGAACAATTATGCATACTTTTATGATGACATTCACAATATGAAATATGTGTATCTTTGGAAACTACTTTTTTTAAAAATCTGTAAAATTTTTATTCACAATTGTGGATTGTTTACTTTTTCGAATATTCCACGTACGGAAGATTTTATAGAGAATAATAAGAGTTATCACTTATTATATCTCATGAAGAACTTGAGAAAAATGAACAATATGTCTTACAATTATTTTGACAAGATGTATGAAAATTTTATGCTTAACAGTAGTAGTACACGCAGCACTGTTAACAACAATAACTTCAGTTATAATAGCAGCCTTAATGATAATAAGAACACGGAAAAAAACATACTTAATGCAAGATTTAGTTATATGTATAACATAGAAATAATAAAGATGAATTTGAAAAAGTTAATCAGAAGTAACATTTCAAATAATGGATATAACATAACAGAAAATATGCTTGAAAAATACAGTAACACAATTTGTGATGAAAGCGAATTATGCAACAAAAAATACAATTATAAGAAGGAAAAAAAGCCAAATATATCAAATGAAGACAATTATTTATATATTACAAATATGGAGTATGAATATTTTAATATATGTATCAACTTAAAAAAATTAGGAGAAAGTAAAATTCTTCATAAAGTTGTAAAAAAGATCAAGTGTTATATTAACTCACTAAATCTTATAAACACATTTAATTTTGACTCTCTACCAATGGATAATTATGAAAAATTTCGAAGTGAATTTTTTTTCATTAAAGGAAGGATCCTATGTAATTTGAATAGAATAATTTTATTTTTGTATAAAAATAATTTTATTGAAAATAATTCAAAGTTAAATTGTGAAAAGTGCAAATCTTTATGCCAGGATATTGTAAAAGATGAATCGGCTAATGTACACCTCAATACTAATAACTTTATGCAGGTATTGCAGAGCCCCCAAAGGTGTATGGAAGAAAAGAACAATAGCATTAGTAGCACAGTTGTTAATAACAATCACGATTTTTACACAAATGACCAAGGTAACACTAAAAAAAACAGGAAAAGAAGAAAAACAACAGTTAATGATAACGAAATGCCTAAGAATTTGCAGGAAGAAAAAATTAATAATAACATTGTTGAGGAAAGGAAGGAAGTAAATATGGATGATAAAATGTCAAAAAGAAGGAGGAGAAGCAAACATATTACCAAAGTAGCTAATGAAAATGCAGAAGATAGTGAGAAAAAGAATTCATCACTAAATAGAGAAACATTATTGCACGATAAGGAAATGCATATCTTTACAGATATGAATATTTGCAAAGAAGCGAACGATTGTAAAGAACTTCATGACTGTAATGTAATCAATAAAGAGGAGAAAAATATATCAAAAAGAGGGGAGGAAAAAAGACAACAAACGAAGAATAATGTTGAATATATTTGCAAATGTGACGATAAAAAATACAACATTTTCAATGGAAATATAATTGAGGAGTGTTTTATTTCGTCTCTCAAGATATATCCACTTGAAAATAATTCTTGGGTTTTATGGGGCGACTATTGTAAAAAAATGTTTAAAGAGAACCAAAATATAGCGTTCTGTTTAAGTTCTGTAATTTCATATTTAATATATTGTAGTATGAATATCCACAAAGGCTTTTACTACTTAAGTAACGTATTATATTTGTTAAGATTTGACACACAAGATAATTCAATATCTCAAGTTTTTAATAAGTACAACGATAATATTTGTCCAGATGTATGGTTATTTTATCTACCCTTTTTAATAAATAACTTAAATATTAATAAGGACAACCATTTATACTTTCATAAAATCTTTTATATTCTGATGCGAAAATTTCCACAAGATGTATTTTATCATTTTAGATCTCTTCATATTGAGAGAAAGGATAAATTATATTATATGAAAAACTATAGGAACAAGAATAAAGGAATGTACAATAAATTTTATTTAGTGAAAAGTAACATAAATATTTTAAAATATTGTCATAAGGGGGGGAGAAATAATAAGAAGAAAAAAATTAAAATGGAAAATATAATAATTTCTAATGAAAGAAAGAATTCTAAAAAATGTTTTAGCAGCTCAATAGAAAATGGTGGTAAATATAATGATAGCTCAAAACCGATTACCTGTATTCCGATAGAGAACCCATCTGATGAGAACAATGTGAAAACCTTCAGTTTAAGGGGCGATGTTAGCACTACAGGAAGGAGTAACACACTTAGTGAAGGTAGAAATTTCAAGCTATGCAATTTAAATAGAAATGAAAATGATAATCCCAATGAAAATAGTATTGAAAATGGCATTGAAAAATGTAGAAAAAATATTAGCAGAAATCATAGTGACATTCGCAATGACAGGGAAACTTTTGCCAAAATGAAGAATCTCGAATACAGTGAATTCGAAAAATCGAAAGAAGTGAGTTGTAAAGGGGTGAAAAGGATGGTGAGTAAAAACAGAGAACCTGAGGCTGGCCTTTTTGCTGAAAATTCTCCTGACAGATATAAACAAAATGAGTTCAAATATGAACATATATTTAACGATGGTTTTGAGCAATTAATGCGCTTTTTTAAGGGCAAATATGTGGATATATATACATCCCTGGATTATATGTGTAATGAAATTTTAAATTACACCAGACTGCAAGCACATGAAGAGACATATTATTTCATAAATAAATTGTATTATCAATGCATAGAATCACCGTATTCACAAATACATGTGTCCAAATTTATGCAAAAAATAACAGAAAAATATGTTCTATATAAAATATATAGGGCCAAATTAAGAAAAAATTATATATATAGTAGAAAATGCAAAACTGCTATTAAAAATATGAACATATTTTGGAAGGAATTTAAAAGAGATATACATTTTTTAAAAAAAAATACATTTATGAACAAAATTATGAATACAGATAAAAGAGAGAAGACGGAAAACACCCAACCCAACGTGATGAATAATAACACTCCAAAAGGTGAAGAAAAGAAAAGTGATATGAAAACGTCGAATTGTGATGAATTAAGTAAGAACAATAGAAAGGATAACTACTTTTCATTAGCAGATTTTACTCACATTGTTAAAAAATGGAAAGAATTACTCTTCATAATTATTTATTCATTAAAGGAAAATCAACGATTAGAAGATTTTTCCTATTCCTTGTTTGATATATTTTCAAATTTTCCCATAAAAGTTGAATTACCAGGTCAAAGAATAAAATATATTGGAGAATATATAAACTACTATTACAACTTAAACTTATATCGGCCCACGAATATTGTCAGGTTGAACTCACCCATACTTTCTACGACTAGAAATAATTGTTGCTTAAATAAAATTAGTTTTTTAACTAGCGATGGAAATGTTTGTTATTATACATTACAACCGTCTAATTTCATTTGTTACAAATCAGAACATAAGTTTATGCTATTTCAAATTTTGCTTAATAATATAATGTTTAAATATGAACAAACGAAAAAAAGAGGATTATCATTAGGAATAAATATACACACCCCATTACACCCCAGTTTTAAATTAGTAGATGAATCTATTGAGCATATAACACTGAAGGAACTTTATAACGATTACACATTGGTTACAAAAAATGAGAAATATTTACAAGATAATATATTATTACATCATAGAAATGTTGTCAAAAATTCAATACGTACATTATTATTAGAAAAAGTAGAATCTGTAATGATACAAGAGGGGCAGGCTCAGGCTGAAGGAAGTAAAAAAAAGAATTTTTCTCAGGGTAAGAAAAATGAGAACAGTGGTTCTGTACTTGTGAAAAAATCAAATAGGAAAGAAATTCAGAAAAATATAGATGGAAATACAGTAAAAAATACGGCACTGAAAAATATATCCTTTGAATATTATGTGAATTTAAAAGAAAATTTGATCAACTCGTGTTATAGTAGTAATACTTTAAAAAATAAAGAAATTTTACCACACAACATTAGCATGTATCATTACAATTTATTATCGTATGAAGAATTAATCCATACATTAAGGAATAAGGATTGGTTTAAAAAAATTTTCAAACAATGTGTGAGGAAAAGCTTAAAATTACATTTTAAAGATATGTGTAAAGTCGTACCAAAAAGTATAATGAAAAATTACTTCTATGCTTTGCATAACAACCTAGAAAGTTATTACATTTTGAATAATCAATTTGTTAAGAGTTATTCTCTCTTATGTATGTTAAATTATGTTTTTTTTCAATTAAATACATCGTTAGATAGAATATTATTGTCAAAATATTCAGGAAGAACCATGTATTTAGAAGGAAAACCATCATATGCAGATTTATCTTTGAAAAAAAATGTACACAAAAAGGTACCCTTTAGGCTCACGAGAAACATCCAAGAGTTCATTGGATTTCAAGGTCTTCGAGGATCTTTTCCATCTAATTTTTATGTATCTATTATGGCTTTAAAAAAGAATATGAATTATCTAAAATCTTTTTTAAATCTAACTATTTTGGACGATTTTTATGCGATGCATATGTATAAAGAAAGTCAAAAAATTTTGCAAAAAAAAACGTATGAAAAAAATGATGATAATGTTAAGAATGCATACATGAACTCATTTCACATAGATGATTCCACAAAAAAAATGATCATGAAAAATGCAGAAGATCATGTTAGAAATGTACTTTATCGAGTCGTCTTTTTATATAAAAACAGGTTAGATAAACGAAGTATTACTTCGATTACAAAGAAGGATGAAAATAAAAGAGAAACCGATATAAATTTATATGAATACAATTCAGATTTGCAGGATATATCACTTTCTGAATTATCCTCAGACTATGAATATGAAAATGTAAATGTTAATGAAGAAAAAAACGCACAAATTGAGAAAGTAACAAATTCGAATACCAAGAGGAAGAAAAACGAAGCACAGCCGAAATTGCTTAAGATAGAGAATAATAACAATACATGTAAAAATAGGAAAGGTTCTGTGAAGAAAGAACAAACAGAAGGGAATAAACATATTTGCGATACTGATAAAATTTTAACGATTGAAGGAAATGCAGTGAAAGATAAATTGGTTAGCATAGCCCCGAGTTCGAAGAAAGAGGGCCTTGTTGGAGAAATGAAGGATAATTATTGTAATGATAACATTAGAAATAACAATATTAGCAATAACAATGGTAGTAGTAATAATAACAATGGTAGTAGTAACAATAACAATGGTTGTAATAATAACAACCCCAATCCTAACAATAAGAGAAAACGAAGAAGTAAAAAGAACCAGCCTGGGGATGCAAAGGAACATGATCCAAACGAGCCACAAGTGGTGATAGAGCAGAAAGAGTTAGAATATAATACAACCAATAAACAGAGTAAGAAAAATAAATCAAGTACTTCCAAATGTAAGAATAATATAACACAGGAGGAAAAGGAATGTCTCGCAAACAGTTTTCCAATCGATAATGGACAAGGACAAAATGTGCAGGTGAAACTTACTGAAAACAATTTGCAAACAGAACAGAATATAGGGCTTAAGAATACCGAGGATGTACGCATGGAAGAATCGCACAATTCGGTGATAGATTTAATGGAAATATCTATGAGTAAGAAGTATTTAAAAAATATGAAAAGCTCTTGGTTTCCATGGTTCTAAATGTGTTAACGCTGGTGGATATCACCTCCCACCCGTTTTGCATTATATACCTTTGCATGTACTAACATATATATATGTATATCCGTGCATCAAATTGCCTAATATCAAGGTGAACTTCTTGAAATTTCATTTTATGTGGAACTTGCACTTTTTACAGTACATTCGTGTGAAAAATTTAATTATAAAGATGTACTTACCTGTACACGAGTAACTTCACATTTGCATATATCCCTAAACTTTTACCCTTGTGTAATGAACTAATTTTTAAGGAAATCTAGTATTTTGAAAAATTAAATGCGCGATTGATTTATTAATTTAAGGGATTACAAAAGGAGGAATGTCAATAAGAACATGTATTAGCTTAAAACAAATACATAAAAATAAAATAAGGAAATTAAAGTGAATTATGGTAACAAAAAAAAGGTAGGCCATAAATTTGAGAAAAAAAAAAATGTCAATTAAGGCAAGCTAGTCATTATCATATTGGCAAACCAAAATGTTTCGATAAAATCAGGTAAAAAATATGTGTAAATAAGGAAAAAAAAAATTCTTACATCAAAGTAGTAATGCTGATTTGGTTGGTGTTAATTCATTTCTGTTCATACATTGCATAAAAAAGTGAATTAAAGTCGGTGTCCTGTTTTTTCTTTATTAACCTTGCGGTGTTGTACAATTTTAACAGCGTTGAATTTTGGAGGCAGAAGGAATTATTCAAATTTTGTATGATTTCGTGATATTTATTTTGCTGCAAATAAGCCATATGTTTCCAATATATTGATTTTACATTTTGTGGATTTATAGTAACAGCCCTTTCTGCATATTTAACGCATTCATTGTAATTACTTAGTTTGTATAAAGATATTGCCAAATTTGTTAGTATCTTTTCCATATATATTATGAGCTCCTTGGTCGTGTCATCATTTCCAAAATTTGACAGATTTAACTTCTTTTCTTCAAAGATTAAATTATAAATTTTTGAAAATCGAAATATGTTGAAGCCTTTTATGTAATGAAGTGAGGCTGCATAATGCAAATTTCGTTTCATAAATGTGTTTCCCATTTCGTTATAAATTTTTAAATATTCAACTTGTTCTGACATGTTCATGTTCCAAGGATCTTTCTTTTTACAAATAAGTTTAACAATTTTTATTTTCAGAATTGCATCTTTTTCGTAAAAAGATTTATCAAAGTATACACTTTTTAGGGAATTTTTAAAAAACGAAAAATCATCACTTTTTTCTCTCGCCTGTCTGACACAACAGTTATGATGAGGTTTTCCTTCATTGTAATATTTGTCTATCTGTTTCTTCATTTTGATGACCTTATTCTTTTTTTGAATGTTAACAATTTTTTTGCAAAATTTTTTTTTTTTAATTCTTTGGAAAGAACTACCATGTAATAGCAGTTGCCGTAATTCGTTCTTATCACTAACATTATCAATAAAGGATCTTTGTAATGAAAAAAAACTTTCGCAAAATCGATCTACTTCGTCTTTCTTCAAATCATTTATCAAAAAGAATCCTTTTCCTATGTTTCTATTGGAAATGAGGAACTGGATAAATTTGTATTGATTATTTATTTTCGGAATTTTCACCTCCGAATTTTTTCTTTTCTTAATTTTATTCTTGTCATTTTTTGGGGCATTTTTTAGGATTTTTTTTTTGTTACATATCTTCTCTTTGTTTATGGCACTGTTTTTTTCCACATTATATTCAACTTCTTGTTTATAGACTTGAAAACTTTGCATTTCTCCTCCTGTGCAGGGTTGAAGAACCGTTTGTTGTATTCCCTTTTTTTCGTTTCTAGTTTTTTCTCTTTCATCCTTTGGTTGAAAAAGTAAGTGGTGAACAAAGTAATTTTCCGAAAAAATATTTTCGTTTTTTGTCAAAGGAATGATTACTTCTTCCCCCTCCTTTAACCCTTTGAAACATTCATAAAACCAAAGTGGTGTAGTGAAAGACGATCCATATGAAAAAAGAAAGTACGCTTTTCTTTTTTTAATATTATCATTATTATCCCAAAAGTGAATTGGCAAATATATATTTTTGTTTTTTGTTTTGTTCATGTCATATTTTATGCTTAAATGAATTATCAATTCGCAATCTGTATCAATGATTGGTTTGTTTATATTTTTATTTTTATCATTTTCAGACATGTAAAAAAGTAACTTTTCTTTGTAGTTTATGTTCATTATTGAAGATATATTAACCACTTTGGACTTTTTAAAGTCAACCAGCTCTATAATTATTTCTCGCTTTTGCTTGAACAGTTTATTAGCAACGCGGATATCTACGTAGTTTTCCTTTTTTGCATTATCTTTATTTTTTTTTATTTGATGATTTGTTTCAAAACGTGATGTCTTCGCCTCGATGTTAATGATGTTCCCTTTGTTATTATCTTGACAAAAATTATTTTGATTTTTATGAATATCGTCTGAATATTTTTCTTGAGTCTTTTTGTTATCTTTTGTGTCAATATTTTCTGTTGAATTGTATATATGAAGACATTCCAAGCCTTTAAGAACAATTTTGGACATTTCTTTTTTTTTCATACTCTGCAAAATTTTGAAGAGTCCTCTATATTTTAAATTATGCACCTCTAAAGTTGTGTGAATATATTCATTTTTCTCTCCATCTTGTATAAAAAAATCAATGTAATCATTTTTTTTGGGTGTGACAATTCCTTTTCCTTCTCTAATAACTTCTTTTATAATTGTTTTATCATCATTTAGTACATCAACTCTGTTAAACTCTTTTAAGTAAACAACGTATGTACTCAGCTCATCCTCTTTTAATAATTTATACCGAACATTGTTAATATCTTCTAATGTCAAAGTTTCTTTACATTTATGTAGGTCTTTTCCACTTAATTCTTCATTTGGTGAACTTTTCTGTTCCTTATTTATGCTTCTATCTGGGTTATCTCTTTTTAATTTTCTTTTTCGAACTAACAATTTTATGTCATTTGAACTTAATTTTATTCTTTTCAAATATGTAGCTATGGAATAGCTTAAATATTTTTCGACACATTTCTGTTTAAACCTTAGACCCTTTTTAAACTCTGTTCTGAAGTTTTCTTTTTTATCATACTTGTGCTTCCTTTCAGAGTTATTAAATATTTCTGCAATGCGAAGGAGGAGGGATGAGAGAACGTGATTATCAGAACAAGTATCAAAATATAAAGCATGTGTTTACACTTACATGTTCATCTGTATTATTTTTTTTGCATTTCTGAATAAAGCTATTCTTGTTCAATTACTTGTAAATAACTTAGGAGCCTGAATGATACAAACCTCGTTTTTCTTCATACATTTGACGGCAATTTCGACGATATAAGGCAACTTATCTGAGAAAAAAGTGTGTCACAAAATAGTATGAGCTTAGTTTACACAAAATTTGTTACATAATTTTTGATTTGTTAAGTGTAAATAAGGAGAAATGGTAAAGTATCTATATGGAGTGAAGAAAATAAAATAAATAAAATTCAAATTCAAATATAAATTGTGTTACCATTCTTTCCTAGATACACACCGACATTCGTAACTTTGTCCTCGGAACCTAGTTCGTAATATATTACTAGTGGAGTTGCAAAAAAAAAAAAAAAAAAAGAAAAAAAGAAAAGAAAAAAGGTTGCTTATTTGTTGTTGCTACACCATTTCAGTTATTATAGTACTTTCTTTGTTACTAATTTTTGCCACAGTTAAACATTTTTCTACTTTTTTTTTTTTTTTTTTTTTTTACTTTTTACTTTATGTCCATTTCCAGGACTGTAATATCCCTTAAAAAAAGAAAAAACATTTTTTCGAATTTGATAACAGTTTCCACAAATGATATGTAAAATTGGCATGAAAAATTGACTTAAATTACAGCAAAATTTGCATGTGTAAACAAGTCTCCATTTCGTGAGTATATACTACAACAAAATGTATAATAAGGCTAAAGAATTTACCTCCCCCAACTGTTTTATAATTTTAAACGAAAAGGTGTCTTCACTAATTGAATAAATATCATTCAGATATTCACAAGGAGCTTCATCATCACTGTTAAAATTGTAGGCTTAAACAAAAAAAAAAGGGTAAAAGAAAAAAATATATTTTTTTTCTATGTATCAAGACATATATATTTACTAATCTGTGGGTACATTTTTTAAGTTCAGCGTATCCTTGTCTCATGTGTAATATTTTAAAAGACTTATTACTTGGAGCTTCAGAATCTGTAATCATTTTTCGTATATGATAAAATTACACAAATATAAACGTTAAAGGAGTAATACTATTTGTGTCAATATTTTTCATTTTTTCCTAATGTTGAAATAAAAGTAATGCAAGCCAAGCGTGTTGAAGTGTTATTAAAATACACGTGCTGGTAACTGGTTTTTCAGAAAAAGGAAAAATTATGTAAAAAACGTGATGAAATAATAATAGCCATGCAACTGATGCAAAGATATAAATGTTTGGATAAAAGGCACTGCGCGTAAAAGTTGGGCAGAATTAGAAAATGGAATAGTCAAAAAAAATAAAATAAAGTAAAACAAAGTAAAATAAGAAAATTATGGAATTTCTTATAAGCTTCTGTTTAAGCGTTGTGCACATTTAGGGTAAAACATGCGTGCTGTTAATAACTTGCAGTAGGGACATATATTTTTTAAAGCAGCTTAAGTAAAATGACTTAAATGTGAGAACTGTAAAATTAAAACGAAAATGTAAATAAAAACAGAAGCCTGCTTTAAAAGTGTGTTAATACAAATATGTGTTTTTGTAAATGTAACACGAAAAAAAATAAAATAGAAAAAAATAATAAAAAAATAACAAATGCATTTTAGTTATACGTGCACAACGGAAATTTAAAAGATATAAATTTAAGTAATATTACAAGGGGAAAAAATAAAAAAGATATTTATCCCAGAGGAAAAATTACTAAAATATATAATAGGTAAGTGCATACAATATACTGCAACCATTAAAGTATGTGTAAGTATATACCAAATGGGTAAGAAAGAAAAAAAAAAAAAAAAAACACACACACACATATAAGCTTATATTTAATGAGCAGATATATGGAAATCCCTTTCTTAATATTTATAAAAATCTTTTTGGATCGTTTTTGCATTTAGAAGGAATGAAATATTTTTTCAGTCCTATGTTTTTTTTCCCCCTGTAGTACCTTTCAGAGGAGTGATATAAGAATACGTGTACCTCTGATAATACATTATTTTATAAACTTAAAATGGTGTTGAATTAAGGAATGTTCAATGGCATACTAAATTTGTAACGAAATTTTATCTAGCATTTGAAGAATTGTGAAGCCTTTAACATATTTTTTTCAATCTGTTGCAACTTTTAACTTTTAAATATAAATCGAGTAGTACATTATAGTTCCTCATCTCCTGTGTTACTCTTTATATCGTGATGGCATTAAAAGAAATTCAGAGTTTCCTAATTTGTAAGGCTTCGATTTTATAATGTGTTTGGATAATTAAGTAATCACTTCTTTATTTTTAAGAAACATGTAAATTTATTTAAATATGGGTGCAAAGTTTGATCAATATTGAATGGTTATTTATGATAGGTTAAAAAATAAGTGCATTGGCACATGCCATGATATTTTTTACTTCACTCCGTTAATGCATATATCATCAGTCCTTGTCGTCAATCCTAATTATTTGCGAAACCAGTGGTTTTGAATCCAGTTCTAAATTTTTCCTCTTAGCTTTCACAAAAATTCTCGCAAAAGACCTATTTTGGGCTTCCAGCTGTGTAAAATGAAAAAAAGCAGATATGCATTCACAATATGTAAACTTGCGAAATGTTATAAGTGTGCATCCTCTGTTTACAAAATTGTGTACACGCAACTGATTCTATGCATATTTGAAATTCATTCCGTGTTTAGTTATTGCAAGTTCAGGAAGAAGGTAAAATATATGAGCACACATGTATGCATAAAAAAGGGAGGTGTATAAATGTATATTATACTGTTATATTATTATATACATGTTCATGGTAAAAGAAATACATTTTCCCTTTTTGAAAAAATTACCGGAGAAGAGGCATCGTAATTTTTGTTGAATTTTTTGTAGATTTCATTGTTTAAATAAAAGATGTTTCTATCATAGGCTTTATTGGTAATGTATAGAAAGAGTCCACTAAAGGCGAGTAGCGATAGCGTTATATACTTGGTCTGTTTCTGTGTTCTGTTCTGAAAGTATCTGTATACTACTTTTTTCGTATTTTTTTTATTGTAAATGTTAAATTCACTAAAAAAATTATTACTATGTTTATCGCTTGTCATTGTTTACATATATGAATAAATTTTACTTTAAATTTTGTGTAATGTATACGTTCTTCTACATCTTTGTCTTATGTGCGCTCCTTAAATGTGTACACATAAAAGCAAAAGGTTACATGAGAATAATGCTTCTTTAAGATGAGTGATATTACAACAAGGGTTCACTCATTTCTATTAACGATGTTATACTTTTCAGTACTTCTACATCAATTTTTAGTTTAAAAAAAGGGAAAAGGAATTCGTTAATTACGTATAAGCATAATAAAACTTGTATACTAAAAAAGGATAGAGACTAGATAATGATATATATGTATATAGCTTTGCTATTTTGAAAAAATATTTCTTCCGTTTTTTTTGATTTAAGCAAAAAGTAAATGAAATGGAATTTTAAGCGGTATTATTGAATCAAAGATGGTCTACTCAAAAAAACAAAAATATATATATATATATACATATGCATTGACAAAGAGTGGTTCCACATAAAAAAAATATCTTAAAAAAGAACAGTGAGCATTTTTATGTTTATTGAAGGTTTTCCACATTTACATATAATATTTTTCATTCCTCAAAAAAGAAGAAAAAAAAGTAACTAGTTACTGCGAATGGGGTTCTTTACATTCAATTAAAAAGTGAAAAAAAAAAAAAAAAAAAAAAAAACGAATTAGCTACTACGAATGCTGTTCTTTAATTGTTCAATTAAAAAGTGGAAAAAAAAAAAGAATAAATATACAAAAAAAATAAACATCATAAATGAATTCTTTATTTTTATTTTTTATGTTTTCTTTATCTTGTTCTTTTAGCCTGATATCATATTCCAACAAAATAGCCCTTTTATGGGAACTTGTAAATTGTGATGTTTACAAGTGATAAAGTTAAAATTGTCGTATTTAAAATAAATATTTTTACCTAAAAATATACTTATATCTCTTACATTATGATTTTTGAATACAGGTTAATTTAAAAAAAAAAATTTAGAAATAAAAAAGCATAAATTTTCAAATTTGCAACGTTCATTTTATGTACCTTTTTAAGTCACAGTAATAGGCACACAAAATAGCAGGATGCACCTTGAAAATTGAGAAAAAGTTTCCTTCACATTTTGGCAGGCCAATAAGAGCCCTGAACGCGTATGTTATATATTGAAATAATCATGTGTGTAGATTCGCCCTGCATTTTTATGCATACGATGACGCACACACGGAGATGTCACATACATTCCATTACAACAACTTTTTTTACACCTCTTAAAATGTGTTTTACTTGTATCACACATTTTTACATTCTTGGTATGTCGAGTATAAAAAAAAAAATGTATGTGTACAAATAAATAGCAACAAATGCGAGGATTTTTGAGGTATGACAGGTATTTATTTTCTCTTACAGTTGCTCATAATTACCTGCTTTAAACTTTAATTTATAAAAGTCGGCAAAACAGTATATTCGCATTTGCTTATTTGCGAATAATGTTTTTCACGATACCGAACAAATTATTAAACTATATTTCAACCTGTTTATTTTATATTATTTGTGTGCCACCACTTCTATGAACACTTTATTTATTCTTTTATTTTTACTATGTATACAGGAATAAAATATACGCAGAAATATTTGTTTTTAATCTCCAACTGTTTCATGAAAACGTCACTTTTTATTTTTTTTTAATATGGTGTTTATAGCATGTAAACATGCACATATTCCCACCTGTTCATCTAAACGCTATATTCCTAAAAAAAAAAAAAAAAAGATAAATAATAAGTAAATTTCCTTTATTTTTTGTATTTTGAAAAACTTTGATATTTTTTACATTTCCATTTGTTTAGTGTGTGAACATAATGCATAACTTTGTCAACAAGTTTTCAAATAGCCGAATTAATACTTTTTTCCTTTTAAATAGATCGATATATTTAATTTCAATTTAAATTCGTGCACATAGTATGATTGTGTGTATATTTAAAGTTTTTTTTTTTTTTTAATTTTAGTGTTTTTAGCCTAATGGTGCATACTTATATTCTTATTAACAAGCTATCACATTTCCCCTTTTTCATATGCTCCTAAGCTTCAATTATTTGAATAACACTGTATCTTAGAATTTCAGTGATAATTAAAAAAAAAAAAATTTAGAAAAATGGGAAAAATATTGGAAAATTAGAAAAACATTTATTTTTATTTTTAATATTCTGGAATTAAAGTTACTTCAATTAAATGAACCTAAATAAACACATATACAAATTTTAATAAATTTTGTGTTTTATTATAATTTTGAATTGTATACACTCGTCCATTTGTACCTTTACACAAATACACGTATGTGCGTGTGTATTTGTGCATATGTATTTATACCTTCTTATAGGCTTATCTAGTTTGCCATTTTTATTGATTTAATTCGTGATCTCATACCTAATATTATGTCCTTTTTTTTTTTTTCGTAAGTTTGCAATTTATTCTTACTACGTTTCTGAAGTAGTAGATTGCAGATTAAGAAAGAGAAAATAGAATTACACATTTGTTTTTATACGCATGTGAGTTGTGTTTTTTGAAAAAAATAGAAGAGAATTAATCGTTCTAAAATATTAAGAATAATTATAGAAAGCCAAATTTATGAAAAAGTTATTACTTATTTGTAAAGAAGTAAATATGTTTTATTTTGTATTAGAATGGGAATTTGTTTTGTGCATGTAAATAATTTTTAGAGAAAATGATATTTTTTTATTTCACAAATGGAATGAAACAAAGGAAAAGAGTTTACCAGTATATATATAAAAATTCCACAAGGTGGTTTCCTTTTTTTTTGTTTTAATATTTCTTTTCTTTTTTGGTATTTCAAAAAGCCATAAAATAGAACCGATTTGTAGATGTAATTAGAACACATGTTTTGATGTATATGTCGCTGACACATTATAGTTATAAGGATGAAGATGCTTTACTTAAAATTGTTTAACTATGAAAAATCAACTAAAAAGAAAAACCGGATTTTTTCAAGTTTTATTATAAAAAATAAAATTTTCTTTTTATTTATACTCTTCTTGTTACTGAAAAATGAAGAAAATCTATTCGAAAGAAGTTCGCTTTTCCTCAGAAAAATTGGGTGCACTGTGAGTTCTGTGCTTCTGTGGGGAAATGAAAAAAGTGGTGATATGAAAATTCAAAAAACAAATGAGGAGCATGGGGAATATATAAAAATTTCAGGTGAGGATAGTGGCAATATTAGTTCCAGTTATCATAATTATGCCTTATTAAATGTTATTGAAGATGAATATAACATTTTTTGTGATTCAAATGGTATTTATAAAACATATCTAGATTTAGTTGGTTATAGTTGTAAAAATAGGTCTCATTGGGGAAGGATAAACATTTCCCGAATTTTGGGCGAAAGGACAAGAAGGAAAAGACAATATGAAATGGGAAATGAAGAAGAGAAATTGAATAAAGATTTAAATGAATTAGAAGATGATGTACATAGGAATCAACTTCCGAGTGCCTCTGATGAGGTATCAGAGGGGATGATTTTTTTCTGTTTTATATTCATCTCTGCGACCATGTTGCAATTTATTTTATCGAAAATCCATAAACTGAGCATCCCAGTATCTGTAATTTGGTTTTTATACGGAATGTGTACCTATGCAATAGCAAAAAATTTCAACATGTTTGAAGATAATACTTTGCATAAATCTATAATTAATGCGAGAAATATTGATTCATCAGTTTTGTATTTTGTATTGTTACCAATTTTATTATATGAAGCTACGCAAGACATTAATTATTACGCTTTTAAGAATTTTTTATATGGTGGCATAGGGTTAGCAGTCATAGGTGTAGCACTACAAGTAGGTATACTAGGGGTTTTGTTTTATTATTCTTTTATGTATAGACAAGAACAATCTCCCTTATCTAGTAGTTTTTTATTAGCATCTATTTTATCTTCAACAGACCCTGTGGCAGTTTTATCCATTTTATCTGTAGTGGATGCCCCATCGAAAATAAGTTCAATGTTTCATGTGGAATCGTTAATAAATGATGGGAGTTCTGTTTTACTATTTCAATTTTTTTTTTATTTAACTATTGGATATAAAGCGAACGCATCGCAATATGTTATCCTGTTTGTTAAGTTATTATTTTTGAGTCCTGTATTTGGCATAGGTATGGCTATGTTAACTTTTGCTTGGATAAATTTGTACAGAAAATATTACTACAATCAATGTTTAGCCACGATAACAATGTGTTATTTGAGTTATTTTGTGTCAGAATATTATTTTAATTTATCAGGTCCGTTAGCAATTGTTTGTTATGGTTTATTTATTAATGCATATGGTCATATTGCATTAGATGAAGTTGCACAGAGAAAACATAAAGAAATTGTAGAGTTGCTATCCCTGATGGGTAATTCTAGCATTTTCATTATATCAGGAATAATATCATTTGGCATGATGGAAAATGTTTTTAAAGATAATTTAAATTCTTTTATGTACATTGTATTGACTTACATTTATTTAGTATTTGCAAGATCTATAATGATATTAATATTTACTCCTTTTTTATCAAGAATTGGATATCCCGTAAACTGGAAGGAGATATTATTATTAATTTGGGGTGGATTAAGAGGGGGTATTGTACTAGTTTTAGGATTACGTGTAGAAGCAGAAAATAAAATTAACGACACATTGACAAAAGAATTGGCGTACTACATTAGTGGTAGTGTTTTACTAATATTAACTATTCAGGGTCTAACCTTTGAATGTTTATATAAAATGTTAAATATTTATCCACCTAATCCTTTTAGAATTGTTTATTTAGAAAAGGTGTTGAAAATGATTGATTATAATTTCTATATTAGAAAAAAAAGCTTAAAAAATTATTGGCTTTTTAAAGGTACCAATATATTGCATTTTTCGAACAAAATTGTACCAGAATTATATTGGAGAAAGATGAACAAATATGGAGAATTTGATTTGAGATTGCCTGATATATATGCATGCCTACAGGATATAAGTTCTTGCAACATTTCCTTTTGGGAACGTGCATGTGATTCTCAAACAGTAATTGAAAGTTTTGATGATGTTTCAAACCCTGGAAAGGGGAGTTTTCCTCTAAAGAAGAAAGAGAATAAAGAGGCTGAAGCAGTAAGTAAGAAAAGAAGTGAAAATAAAGGAACGGATAATAATATTTGTACTAATAGGAGGAATCTAAAGAATAATGATTTATTGAGCGTTACTGACAAGGACATAACCAATGAGAGAAATAGAGAAAAACGAATGAATAATATAAACATTAGTAAGAACAAAGAGAATCTAAATGCTAGAAAAAAGAAAAGCATATACGAAGAAATTAAATGGAAAAACAGCAATTTTACTGATATGGAATATGATGATAATAGTGATGAATATAGTTATGTAAATAATGAAGACAGTAATAGTAGAAATAAAAAAAAGAAAAAAGAAATGGGAAATTATATCAAGGATAGATACAGAGTAGGGGAGGAGTACATTTACAGAGGGAAAAGGCATTATGATAATTCTTCTCAAAAAGGAGATATGCAAATAAATATTATTAGGAATAATGATAACTACTTTAGTAGTAATGATGAGGATGAACATAATTATACAAATATAAATCGTTCATTGTCATCTAAATATTTCGATAAATTAAGTAATCATTTAAATGAACTTTCAGATAATGAATCGTGTTACACTGATAAGGTATGCGAAAATAGTAAAATTAAAAACCTAAACGCTTTTAACTATGACAAAATTTCTATTAAAACATATGATCGTCTTATAAATAAAATGAATTATAGAGAATTCAAAAGAACTGCAACAGAGAAGGAAAATTTTAATGTCATTGATAGCATTGTTGATAACAAGAATGATAAGGAGACTTTCAACCCGAAATATAATTTAAGACTAATTGAGCATGCCACCGATTTGCCAAAAACGTTGAGTGATAATTTACTGGTTAGGACTAGTGCAGATAATGAAAGTTTAAGCAGTGAAGATGCTAAGAGTGATGTATTAGCTTCGAATGAACAGGGAGGAAGAAGAAAAAAAAAAAACATAGAAAATTCTGTGCATGATCATAATGTTGGTATTCGGATGAAAGAGATAACTGAAATGAAAGAAGCAGATGGAGAGAGTGGGACAAACGAGGAAGGAGAAAAAAAATATGTGAAGCAAGGAAGCAATATGGATCATAAGGAATTGATGAAAAATGTGAATTATGAGAACATTACGAAAAAGGACGAAAATTTGTTAAACAATTATAAAGATTTGAAAAATATTGCAGAAGGGGTTCATGAAGATACCCCTAATATAACTAATGTAGACAAAGGGGAGAACGAACTATTGATGAGCGATAATTTTATTATAAAAATTCAAAAGGAAAAATCTTATGAGTGTGAAAGGGAAGAACAGGAAAAGGAGAATAAGGAGTGGAATCAGGTGAATGGGGCAAATATAGATATTTGTGAAAAAGATTTAGAAGAGAAAGAAAAAGAGACAAAAGGATCCCAGGAAAATTGTGTCACGTGCGTGACAAATGATGAGAATAACGTAATATATGACATTATGAATTATGAAGGAGGCCATAACAAAAATAATGAATCAAACTTAGAGGAATACTTAACATATAAAAATTTATTCGCTTTTGATAATGGTGGAAAGAAAATATCTTCCTTCTTTAATAATAACTATGATAAAAAGAGCTATTTAAATATTGATGTGAAAAACCCATCTGAGTTGAATATTTCAACGAAAGGAACTAATAGCAAAACTTTGGCATTAATGAATAGCGAAATAGGAAAAGGAGGAAAAAACATCAAAAATAAGAATAAATCAAGGAGTAATTTTTGCACAAATGCATTTTATTTTAGTACATGTATGCGAACCAGAAGGAACGATAATTGCACAACAGCTAAAATGATAGGAAGGAGAAGGGGAAGACGTGGAAATAGTAATATGCATAATTCTCATAGTGTCGACAGTGATGATCCACGTAGTGAAGATAAGAAGGATGTGGAACTAAATTACCATTACTACAACAATAACAGAGATGGTGATGATAACAATAATGATACATTAAAGGGTGAAAAGGGAATTCAAAAGTTGCAAAGAAACAGTACGACGGATTTTATGGCAAGAAGATATGATACTGATCAAACGATAAATTTTGAGCGTATAGATGATGTGTGTCAAAAGAAACATGTTGCTACATTTTATAGTTTTTTAAAAAAACCTAAATTAAAAATAAAAAACAAATTATTCAGCGAAAAAAGAAGAGCAAGAAGTCATGAAAGTTATACTAATAATAAGGATAAGACAGGTAAATTGAAGAATGATGTTTTTCATAGTTCTCTTAAAAAAAAAATTGTTAGAAAAGAAAGAGAAGGAGAATTGTATATTATGATATTTAACACGTGTAGGGAATTATATAAAAAATTATATGTGAATGGTTTTATATCAGGAGAATGCTTATTAACGCTTACATCTATCTTAGATTTATCTGCTGATTTTGCTTTAAAAAAAGTTCGAATGAATCCAATTAAAGCATGGGCAGATGCATTTGATGAAAGCAAAAATAAAAATAGTAATAAAAGGAGAAGAAGCATTGATCACAGAAATGGTTTTGAATATGAATTTAATATATTACTATCAAAATTAAGAATTAATAAAAAGCATTCTTTCTTTTTTTCACCAAAAGTAGTAAATATATTTCTTGTGTATGAACATTGTATGAAGGATCTACAAATTATATTGTCCTATGTAGACGTTCACCAGTGCACTTTGGATAAGGGAGGAATTACTATGAAGTTATTGCTGGGGAAAAATTTGCTAAAGAGTTATTATAGAAACATAGAGCTCGCCAAGAACCTTATACCACACCTTGTTAATAAATATAAGGATGTCGTGAAGTACTGTCTCATTAAGATAGGAGCAGACATGTTGATGCACTTAAAGAAAACGGTAATTTTTGCAACAACTTTTAGGCAATGCTTGCACAGATATTTGTATCTCTTTTTTTATTTCTGTTTTTTTTTTTTTTTTTAGATATTTTCTTGGTAGATAGAATAATCAAATATTGTTCATTCAACTCTACCATCTATACATTATAAATTGCAAAAAAAAAAAAAAAAAAAAAAAAAAAAAAAAAAAACTGCTGCGCCACTGGGCTCTTCATAAATATGTGTTACTTTATATACCTTTTATTGCTAATATAATGAAATAACACATTTTTTCATTTCGAATTAACCGATTATACATTTATCATTTTTTTGCTTCTTTACAGATTGTCAATGAACAAGCTGCGAACGGATTGTTGTTAACCCAGGATAATGAAAAATTAAATGAAATTTTTGATGAACAACAAATAAAAATTAATAGATACAGACCATATTTACATTATATTTTAAAAAAGCATAAACTTAAGTTGTTTATTAAGTAGTGCGACATGTCGTTGCCTCTTTTAGAAATACATTAAAAGGAAAAGCCATTTCCATGGGAATATTTCCTTATTTTCTTCATTGCTTTTATACATTGTATTTTTTTTTTTTTTTTTCTAATACATTATTTGGAATTTTACAAAATTAGCTTGTCACTTTGTGAGAAGTTAGATGAACAATAAAATGACGAAAGGAAAAGATGTGTATATTTATTTTGCACATGTGAATATATACCAATGGTATACATATCCACGAATGTGAAGTTTTCTAAAATTAGGATGCTCTCAAAATTCTGAAAGATTGTGCAAAGTGAAGGTAAAGTATTTAGTACCTAGTAGATAGAAATAAGTATATATACGTTCATCATTGTGTGAACGCATTACTTTGTTTCTTTTTCCTGCCATTTTCCTGCCATTTTCCTGCCATTTTCCTGTCATTTTCCTGCCATTTTCATGTCTTTTTCTTGCCTGTTTCTTTCCTTTTTCTTGTCTTTTTCTCTTTTTAAAATTTCTTCCCCTCACCTTTTCTGTTTTTTTTTTTTTTTTTTTGGTACTTCTATCAATTTATGCATAGTAATGTATATATTCCCCCACTGGCATTTTATATAAAACTTATTTCAATGTAATAATCCCAGCGTGTTATACTTTCCTTTTCATTTTAACATGTATTTATTATGTATGTATGCATATATAGATATATGTTATGCACGCACATATACGATCGGTATAGAAGAAGTAAATATTTTAAGAACATGTTTGCTTTTTCTTCCTATTGATTTTTTGTTTAGTTGAAATTTTAACAAATAATCAAAAAATAAATTATTTTTTCGTATTTTTTTAAAGTTAAGCATTTTTCATATATATTGTTAAGAGTTTTTTTTTTTATTTTTTTCACGTTTGATGTATCTTTTATATTTTAAACACGAACTCTATTGATGTACATAACTGCTGTTATACATCTCTCCGTTTCAACGAAATATTCAAATACATAAAATGGTTTTTTCTAATATTCGATTAAACCGCGGGTCTCTTGTGCCCCTTCATTCTATTCCACTTTGGATTAGAGTAAGCGAATGAAGAAAAATGAAAAGATGACAAACTATATTGATAACAAATTTTAAAATTTGTTATTAACAAATCTAAAGTTTATTTAAACATTTTTGTACGTTTGTTTTTTTTTTTTTTTTTAAGGAGAATTTAAGTGTATTGTTATGTAATATATTTTACAAGCAACAAGTGGCTAAAATATGTACTCCATTTTGCAAAAATGAATTGCAAATAACAGGAATAGTACGGGATTGAAAAAATAAATATATAACATAATAATTGCATAAATTTAAACCTTTACATATGAAAAACAGAATATCCTGTGTAAATTGTACATTTCTATTACATCGTTTTTTTTGTTTTTTTTTTCACATTTGAATTGTGTGAATAATTATGAAATTGGCATTTTTCTCATTGTTTATATACATAGCAATACAGGTATGTGCATAGACCTGTTCTACTTTTTAATTTCTTTGCGCGTTTGATTGTTTTTTTTACTTTTATATGTAATTAATGGTGTTTCTCCTTTGTTGCCAAGAATTTGTAATGGAATTTTTTGTAAAAGGTGAGGCATATTAAACAGTGTTTTTCTTTGAAGGATTCCATTTGGAATTATATATGTCCGTAAATATGTTAGTTGGATCATTAGTTTACTACGTATATGTACATAAGGAATATGGCATAAGCACATGAACACGAATAATCTTATATATATGACGTGGATTTATACACCTGCTCACATGGTACATAAAAGATAACATTCTTGGAAAAAATTGGAAATGTGTACGAGGATGTTCTATATATTATAATACTATATATTGTTATTCCATTTTTTTTTCAAAATTGATAATTGCATACATATATCTATTTATTTGAGCACAGTAAGATATATGTAAATGTATACTCTCACACATACACAAATTTACATGCTCATTTGGACCACTTTTTTTTTTTACATTTTTTAGAAAAAAGAGTAAATATAGGAATGCTTTATATTTTGGAATATGCTATTTATTTTTTTAGATACATCATAATTTATTTATAACAATTACTGAATGACCATTCCAAACATATAATATAGAATTTGTAAATTAGTCCATATACAGGGTCCAATAACATGTCATGGAGGTGAGGTAAAAAAAAAAAAAAAAAAAAGGGAAAATAAGAAGATAATAAAATATGAAATTGGAAAAGTGCAAAGATAGAAAAAGAACAAACGGACAAATCAATAGCTGATTTAAGTAGAACCTATACATAATTACTATCACATGGTTATACATGAAAATGTTTAACCTTGGTATGTGTTAGTCATATATATTTATGTTCATAACGCATGTATGTATTTATGTATGTACCTATAAATAAATACATATATTTATAACAGCCCAAAAATATATAACCATGTTTAATTAAATATAAAAGAGCCTAACAGAATGTTCAATTCAATTCATTGAATATATTCACAAAGAAACACGAAAAATACGTAAACGGTAAGTATTATATTTATTAATGTTTTAAAATGATTATGATTCTTATATCAATGAAAAATCATTATTGGAATACATAATTTACTTTATAACAGTATAATTTAAAATGTAATAAAAAGTTGGGCTTTAACATATATATATATGTATATATGTACATATGCGTATTCATGTATGCACATAAATCAAACAAAAAGAGTAAGAAATAATATCCGTGTGAGTTATAATGATATAAACTGAAACACATACAATGGTTATACATGTATTATTTTATGTAATATATATATGCCGCATATACGTAAGATATATATACATATAATGAAATACATTTAGCCCTCTATATTTGCAAGTATAATTTCCACATAACGGTAATGTCACGAAATATTATGAAACTTAAAAAAAGGAAATAATATTCCAAACGTGTGAAATGTAGAATTGTAAATTGGAGAATCAAAAAAAAGATGAATGAAAATTTTTAAAGTGATATATTTTTTATATCTGTTACAAAAAAAAAAAAAAAAAAAAAAAAAAAAAAAAAAAAAAAAAAAAAAAAAAAAAAAAAAATAAAATGAAAAAAAAAAATGAAAAAAAAAATATATCTAGTGGAGGGGGGAAAAAACACAGTACATACATAAACGTAAAGGTAAAAATAAAAAAATGAAATTTCTGAAGCGCAAAAAGTAGTATTAACTATGCCATCACACAACAAAATAAGTACAGCAACAAAAATAATAACATAATTAGGCGAAGCCAAAAAAAAAAAATTAAAAAAAAAAAAAATAAAATAAAATAAATTATATACAATGTAATAATAGATATTTTATGCTAAATGTATATATAACATACATATATAAAAGCCCAATTTGTTATGATTAAGTTTTAATTTATGTATATATTATATATAATCATTTAATTATGTTATATATGTTGATTGTATGAGAATATATATATATAAAAGTTTATTTGTTTCAGGAGATAAGGGGAAAAAATGAATGCAAAACGGAAAACAAAACAGAATTAAAAGTTACTTATTCTTTTTACATATTTTAAACAAAAACATAAAACAAAAAAGGGGGAAATAAAGAGTGGAAAACAAGCAGGAAAACACAAAGGTAAATTGTAAAGCAAGTAAAGAAATAAAAGCATATGAAAGCAAACGTAAGAGTAAATGAAAGAATATGTAAAAGAAGGAAGAAAAAATTAACAGCTTACGTTAATGACCATATACGAAAAATAACATGACATAGTTTCGTTCCTTTTTTTAATTCCTTTTTTTTTTTTTTTTTTTTTTTTTTTTTTATACAAAAAGAAAAAAACCAAAAGAGTGAATGTTCCTTTGATAAATAAAATGAAAATACATTTATCATCAGATGAAGTTAATTTACTCGTGTATCGTTATTTAGTAGAGAACGGATTTGTACATACTGCTTATGCTTTTTTCAACGAAGCAAGTATATCGAAAAACTCTTATTATATAAGTCATGGCGAAAAGTTACCAAGCAGTGCTTTAGTATCGTTTTTACAAAAAGCATTGATATATATATATATAGAATATCATACGGATAACAATAAGGAAGGAAAAAGGATTTCCTGTGAGGAACCTTTTTCCTTTTTTAGGAGGCATGAATGTTGGAGTGAAGAAAATGATTTGTCGGAGGAAGAGGAAAATAGATTAGAAATTCAAAAAAATGAGAAAAATTCAAGCAATAATTTAAACAGCTTTACTACGAGTAGCAATATATTTGACAATAATAGTAACAATAACAATGATATGACTGTTTATAACCATATCAGTGATGTTAACAATTTCTATAATCATAAGGACGTTAACAACCATGACCCGAGCGGTAGCACAAATATAGGTGTAAACAGTGATAAGAAGAACCAACGTAGCAAAGAAGTTAGTAAAGGAGCTATCAAAGGAGCTATCAAAGAAGCTAGCAAAGAAGCTAGCAAAGAAGCTAGCAAAGAAGCTATCAAAGGCATCAACAAAGAATCCATTAAGGAAACTAGTAAGGAATCTATCAAAGAAGGAACCAAAGACGGCAGCGATGGTGCTGACAAGCAAAATACCAACCAAATTAACAAGGGGATTAACAACGATTCCAATAGTAATAGTAACAAAAATTATAATAACATAACTAAGGATAAAGATAACTCGAAACCCAATATTTACAGAAGCAGCTTTTCAAATTTTGCCACATTAAATTACAACGACAGCAATATATCTTTTAAGGACATTAAAAGAAATTACGCGAACATTTTCGCGCAAGGAAAAACGTCCAAAAAGAGTTCTTCAAATAAAAAAAAAAATAACAACAACAACAGTGGAAGTAATAACATTAACAGTAGTGAGGCTGCCAGTGGTAAGAGCAACGACGCCCATGGGAGTATCAAAAATAATAGCAATAGTGGTAATAGCAATAACACAAGCAATGCAAATAATAACAATGGTAATACCAGTAACACAGATGGGAAGGAAATTGACACAAAAGACGAATCAAACAGTAGTACCTATGGTAATACACGAAAAAAAGCGAAAATCATAAAAATTGTGAGCAAATCAAATAAGACAAATGATCATGATGAGAACAGGAAAACAAATAACATGAGCAGTAGCTCTCTGTTTTACGATAAAAAAAAAGAATGCAATAATACAGTGGATAAAGAAGGTGAAGATACGGAAACCAGTAATAACAACGTTACAAACAAAAACCATAACTTAAATAACAAGATAAAAAGGAATAATTTACCAAGTCAGAATAGTAAGGAAGTAATTATAAGTAATAACAATAGTTATAGTAATGGAAAAAAAAAAGAGTTATCTACTGGAAGCATAACTCAAAATAGCAATTCTTCGAATAAAAAAAAAAAAAAAAAGAAAAAAAAGAAAAAAGAAGGTATATCTAATGATACAACAAATAGTAGCAAGAAGACGATAAAGATTCCACTAAAGAGAGAGAAAAAGGAAAACGTTAATAAAAATTTTATAATAAAACAAAAAAAAAATGACAAAAAAAATGATGAGAAAGAGTCTGATAAAAATTCAGAAAATGATTTGGATATTTATAATAATGATAATGATTATAGTAATAAAAATATGTATAGTGTTAATTCTCCCATTGAAGATAATAATAATAATTATATGGAAACACGGGATAATTCCTCACTTAATAACAATATTAACAATAATACAAAAATGAATGAAAGTGAAAATGATAATACTAACATCAATTTAAAGAATAGTAGTACGAATTCACTTTCGCATAATTCTCCACAAAATATAACAATTGGTGGAGAACAAAATGAAATAAAAAATAACCATTTAGCAGATTATGAAGCATGTGCTGATAATCACTACAATGGAAATTCAGAGGAAGAAATATTATCATGTGTAGTATCTTTGAATGGAAATCATTTAAATGATACAAACATGTCACCGGGGAAGAATACATCCTCTAAGGTTGAAGTAAAAGAAGTGAATAATTCAAATAAAAACGATGGTAACTTCAGTTTGACAAATTTTTTGAATAGGAAAATAAATTCTATTTTTAATAGCAACAGTAACAATAATGGAGCGAAAGGTGGTGACACTAACAAGAATAATAATAACGACCATGTCTCAAAGGATGGTTCGAAGAATGAACAAATGTTACAACATGATATGCAAGATCTTCCACAAAATGGTTCCTACGAGAGAACTAGCAATAACAATAAAGACAGATACAACAAATCTAGCGAAAAAAGTAAATTGGTGAAGGATGAATATATGGAAGCTAAATATGAAAAAGAACATTTAGATAGAGAACAAATGAACTCTGTGGAAGTTTCAGACATACATACGAAAAAAGAAAAAAGGATATATGATTATAATAATGGAATGAAAATACAAAGGGAAAAAATATACCAAAAAGAAGAATATGAAAAAAATCAAATATGTGTGGGAGATAAAAAAAGGAAGAAATCGTCCATTTATGAAGAAAATTATGAAAATGAAATGAATAAAGGATTTTTTAAAAAAATAATAAACACATCGCCAAATAAAGGAAATAACAAATGTAAACAAAACGACCTCGTAAACATGAAGGAGGAAAAAGAGGATGAGCGTAATCGGAAATTAGAATCTATGGGGGAAGTAGACGATCGTAAACAAAACTATAAACATACACATAATCACGAGAAAGGAGCTCTTTTCTTCCAGGAATCAGAAGGGGATGGTATAGAAGAAAATGAAAATGATGATCACGTCTATGAGGGTGATGGCTATTATTATGAGCATAATGGAATCGCAGATTTGGATAAGAAAAAAGTTGGATCTTATCAAATAATGCTCAATAAATCTATTGGGAATTGTTGTGATAAAAGCGATAGTACTATTAATAGTGATAAGCATGAATCATATGGTAAAATAGATAAAAGTTTTCATGGGGAAGGGAATTTTATGAAATCAATTGAGAAAAAAAGCAACATGGAAAGGCAAACATCAAGTGATGTATGCCAAGGAGACAAAATTGATTAGTATTATTAATCCTATTGGCCAGGAAAGAAAATGAGGTGAAGTGAAAATAAGATGATTATTTTTAGTTTTTATAGAATAAAATGTTTGTAATGTGGTAGTAAAAATAGATTTATATTATAATAGATGTTCTTTTAGCGGATAATTAAGAAAGAGAAGAAAAAAAAAAAAAAAAATGCCCATTGTGTGTTGATCATCAATTGGTAATATACCCCATTGAGAAAAAATAAAAGAAAACACGTTTGGTAATAATATGATGTCCGTCCCCGCATGAGTTTCATAATGCAGCAGAATAAATCAACTCTTTAGAAGAAAACTCATACCTGATTAATTAAATGATGCTCATATGTACGTGCTAGTGTGAGAACTTATCCTAGCATATATATATGCAGAATTTTTTTTTTGCCGTTAGGCGCTAAAATTTTTTTTTCTGTGAAATTTTTACTTATTAGAGGATTATTATTCTGAAGAAATAACTAAATAGATAATCATTTTTTACTGAATCAGTTTCTCTTATTCAAATTAGCAGAATTATGCCATTTTAATACGTTTTCATTCTTTTTTTTTTTTTTTTTTTTTTTTTTTTCACTAGACGTTTGTATTCAGAATAAAATATTGTATTAACATGTGAAAATGAAAAAAAAAAAAAAAAAAAACAGTAAACCAAAAATTGTTACATTTACACTTAGTATTTTTTTAAAAAATATACATATGATGCGAAATCGCAGAGGATATATGTATATAAAAAGTTGTATATATATATATATATATGTATATATATATACACAATATATATGTATTTTAGGTGAAAAAATACAAGTTTTAAGTAAGTAGTAGTTATAATAGAATAAATAAATGTTAATTTATTTTCTTCGCTTTTTCATCTCTTTTTCATCTCTTTTTCATCTCTTTTTATTTTTTTTTTTTTTGTTTCATAACTATTTAGATAATAATATAACTTTTTTTTATTTATTTATAAAAACATCTCATGGCAAATAATGAGAAAATTTATATTGTACATATTTTTGTCCATTTTTATAAAAAAAAATAAATAATGTAAGTATTTAATAATTTTGAAGTTATTTCAACGAGTAAAAGTTGCAAAGGAAGAATGTTACTTTGTGAAGTATAAAATGAATATGTTAGACTGAGCTTATGAACAAAAGTCTTAACAAATTATTGCTGTGGTTATGCCGTCATTTGCAACTATGGAAAAAATTTCCTTTTTTCCTTTTTTTTTTTTTTTGTTGCTATGAGGACTTCTTAAAAACCAAAAAAAAAAAAAAAAAATATGTATATAGCGATAGATATATAGATAAATACCGCTTTTTATGAGACCAAAATTGTAAGATAAGGGAAGCTGGTCTTAAAATTTTTTTAAAAGAAAAACAAACGGAGTAGTAGGAAAATAAAATATAACGAATTGCACAATACTTAAAAAAAACAATAAATAATAATGTATTTTAATGGGAAATAGTCTACACACAGGACACGAACAGGTTATGGGTTTTAATTTTCAAAGGAATCTAAAACAGAGTTGTACTGATGAATAATATGTTTTCGTTCTTTTTCGTATTCCGTTACACTTATACATCTTTGTGAAATTGTTTCTTCTTTGCATTTTAAAATAAGTAACCACGCGTCTTGTTTATTCATAAATAAGAGGTGTGGATTTTCTATAACATTTTCATTAATGTCGTGCTGATGGCCGTCTATTTTATTTTTAATTGCGTATATATTATTTTTATAAAAAACTTTTAAAATAGTCATGTTTGTATTGACATATATAGAATTTCTCTTTCTTTTCCCCGATAAGTCAGCTTGTATTAATCTTTGATCAAATTCTACTTTTACATTTTCGTTAATTAATTGTTTTAGGTTTTTACAATTGTTTTTTTTCAATTCATTTAAAATTGTAAAAAAGAGGTTGTTACAACTACTTAATGACAAGACAGATAAACCATTTAGCTGTTTAGATATTTGAAAATCGTATTCATCTCCCATTATGTAATAATTTTGCGAAAATATATTATCATAAAAAGAATAAGAATTATGTAGTGACTGAAGATTACATTTTTTTAAAATAATTTCTCTATTGGTATTTTCACATTTTAGTAGCATATTTAATTTTCCTACTATTTTTTCATCTGTTATTATATCATTTGATGATTTCAGTTTTTCTAATAAATAATTTTCTTTTCTTTTTTTCTTCGATTTTTTTTGAAATATTTCAGAATTGTTAAAAACTAGGTCAAAATTTTCATTTTCTTTAAGATCATCATTTAAGTTCAGTATTGGTTCATCTCTAAAGGTTATTTTGCTTAAGGAAAAGTCCCTGGATTGCAATTTGTTCTGCTTAATTAAAAAATAATACTTGTTTAATTTTTCCTTACACACTTCGTCTAATACATTCTGCACAATATTCTTGTACATTTCTTCTGATCTGGGTATATGTGCGTGCATTTTGTTCATTTATATATATATATATATATATATATTTTTTTTTTTTTTCTTTTTCTCGAATGTGAGCAAAAAAGTGTTTAACACGTGTATATATAAGTTTTCTTTTTTTCGCGGGCATGTAGGTTTTGTTTTTTCGACGTGTCCTACGAGCAGCTTTAGCGAATGTGTAAGATAAATTCAAATCGTTCTGAAAAAAAAATGTACAAAGTCGTTTCGAAGTTTTCCGTTAAGACTAATAAAAAAGGTAACAACAGAAAAATGTAAGAATACTAATTCAGTGGATCCCCAATTTAATGCGGAAATGGAAACACAAGCAGTAGAATAAGTGCTAAATCTATGTTAATTTTACGTGTACTTCGTAGTTGTACAGAAATAAAGAAAAAAAAAAAAAAAAAAAAAAAAAAAAAAAAAAAAAAAAAAAAAAAAAAAAAAAAAAGTAAATAAAACAAATAAGTTTAATTTACAAGCATGCAAACACATATACAGAATACTCATCCTCTGCAACTCGATTTTCCTCAAGGCATTCTTCCATTTCATGTTATTTATATTCACATCATATTTTGTGTTCTTCAAGAAACCTTTCCCCACTCAAAAAAAAAAAAAAAATTCCTTTTTTAACTTTTTTTTTCATTTTAGAGTCTTTAAATAGGCTTAATCCTATTTTTTTTTTTTTTTTTTTTTCATCGTATCTCTTTTTTCATTTTTATATACTATTAATCGATATCTACAAAATGCACATTTCCGGAGATCATGCTACATTACACCGATCTCAAATTTTAACTATGACGTAATTTATGCACCCATGTATAAAATTCCTTTAAACTTTACCATGCTCATGAGAATTTATTTTGAGAATATTTCCTACTAAGGTGCTATTTTTTACCCATTAAAAAAAAAAAAAAAGGCTTTCTCAAGTGCCTTGATTTGCAAATGTGCATGTATATATATATATGAATATAAACAATCATTCGTAAGCTTATGCATAAATACACGCTTAAATCTCGCGTGATAAAAGTTTGCTAATCATTTTGGTTATAAATTGCACTTTTAGCCTCTTTATTGATGCTTGTTTTATATAAAAATTACATTTCTAGTTCAATCCCTATGCATATTGCTTATTTTTGAACTCTTGTTACTTAGAAAAAGGAGCTTATGTTTAAGAATACTTGGGTAAAGTTCTATGAATACTATGTGAACACATGCATATGTAAACACATTTAAGGAAAAATACATGCAGCTTTGTGTACAAGCCAAAATAGGAAAGAGAAGAAGACGTGATAGAATTAAGAACAAGGTTACAAAGGAGAAGTCAGCATTTTGGTATTGTGCTCATTTAGGAAGAAGAAAATAAAAATAAAATAAATAAATATTCAATACCTCCCCCCCCAAAAAGGAAAAAAATGTCTATAATTTATGGTTTAGTAGCAAGAGGTGATAAGCAATATTCATACAAGGATGAAAAATGAAATATATAGCACTTGCTGAGTATATGTTGCACATGGCAATTTTATATACATATATATATATATATATATATATATATATATATATACATATATATACATATATATATACACATCTGTTAGGGGAAATGCTCCAGATGCATATATTTTGTGTATTCCCTTTTTACTCCCTTTTAGACAAAACAGTACTGGCAGAATACACCGAATTTGGGGGCAATTTTTCCAATATTAGCAGATTGCTTCTGGAAATTATACCCCCCCATTCTGCGAGGAAATCATATATCTATGATGAGTACAGTTTCAAGAGAGGAAAAAATGGGACAAATTGACCAAAAAGAAAAAGAGAAATTGGCAAAAATGAGGATATTGTTATTAGAATAAATACATAGATGAAACAAAACAATAAGAGTCATCTTTTTGTGTGCAATTGCTGTATAATCATTTTTTTTTTTTTTTTTTTTTTTTTTTTTTTGTTCTTTTCTTTTCCGTTTAGCTATGTTTTTCATCAGCTTATGAAAAATGGAATCACATTCATGGCCATGACAGATAAGGAATTGGGTTTCTTAACCCCCTACGCATTTCTAGAAGAAATATCCAAAGTGTTAAATAGTGATTAAATTTTATAAAATAAAGCACTCTCATTTATTTTCAGGAATGTTCATGAACATATATAAGTGCATGATTCTAAACGTGCATGTGCGTATATATTTCCCCAATTTTGCAGATTTTTTAAGCATTTTAACTACACGTCTGACTTTATTACCTTATCACTGGATGAAGAATTTAAGCCGGTTTTGAGAGAAAATATGGTAAAGCATAAAACTACACTTTTTGTCCTATTTTTCAAAATAGGACATTGCAGTTGGAAAGTTCTCCTTTGTGGTTACATAAATGTGAATATACACGTTATCCCACAAAAAAAGAACACACATATATACATGCACATGTACACTTGAAGAACATATATTATATGTTTGAAGATAAGCCCTCTGATATATAATCTTGTACCCCCTCTGTTATTTAACCCTTTAGAGAATTTTCAATAACTATGAATCCAACGATGTGCATAACTTAAAAAACAAAATTAGTAACATACAAAATATTATCATCGAAAATATTGAAAAGATATTAGAAAGAAGAGAGAAAATTGATATACTAGTTAACAAAAGTGAAAAATTATATCAGGAAAATATAAACTTTAGACGACAAGCTATGAGGCTAAATTTTTTTATGTGGATGGAAAATAACAGGTTTCTTATTTATTTTATTTCAACTATAGCTATTTTTATTTTCCTAATTTGGTCCCTTTATAATGTTTAAAAAGTGGTGGTGTATATGTGTGTGTGAGGGTAAACAAAAGCGAGAAATAAATAACGTAAAAAATATTTTAAAGTACTAATTAGAAAGTTAATTGAAAAGTGAATTACCTAATGAATTAAAAAAAAAAAAAAAAAAAATTCCATGTGGAAAGTATTAAATAGTAATGCAGGAGGCGCAATGTGTATTTAATAAGCCCCATATAAGGAAACTAAAATTGTTACTCTTTAAAAACACTTAGTAATTATATTGTAATGCTGGTTAGGTGATATTTTTAAAAAGGTTATTTTTAAAGAGTAGCTTAATCATTTTATCCTTTTATTTTTTACTTTTTTTTAAATTGTGAAGATTAAGTGATATATTTTTTTTTTCTCCTTTTTTATTTGAATATAAACCGAAATATTTCTGTATATATTTTGATTTTATATATTTGTTGATTTGTTTATTACATCTTATTGTCACACACCATTGTTTTATTTCTATATAATACCTTACATAGTATACCTTACACAACATCATATGGTGGTAACATTTTATAGTTTAATATTACAGTCCCACCATGCTTGCAAGTGTGCACTTGCATATATTTAGACAAGTATTCATTTTTCTTGTTTGTTTACATTTGTTCATCCATTAACTTTCATTTTTGCATAAACTTAGAAGTAAAACAAGTTAGCAAAAAAGTGGATAAACATGTGTAAGAGAACCTTTTTTTTTTTTTTTTTTTTAAAAATATTATAAATCTCTTTTATTAAATGTATTCATATCAAAAAGACTGTGTACAGTAAAAGATAAATTCTGGTAATAACTATATGTGTCATTCCATATGTTGAATCAAAGTGGGAAAAAGGACAAAGAAAAAAAGAAAGAAAAAAAAGCAGGCTTGGTTGAGATTTGTTTATATTATGTATTTACGGCTTTTTATTTTTCCTAAGGTGCGTACAAATAGGAGCATATACACATATGGGTGTGTACCACGTATATACAGGAAAAAAAAATAAAAGCATAAGAGATTTCACTACCTTGAACTGAATTGCTAGGAACATTTTTTGCTAAGTTTGTAAATAAAAATTGTTTCATTAAGTGTTTTTTTCTTTTTCAATTCTACGTAATTGAACTTGTTTGATATATTTGCATGTTTTAAAATTTCATCTGGTTTGTTATTTTTTTCCATGAGTAGGTAAATAACCCCCTGATCACTAACATAATCATATACATTTAATAAAAATTTTAAAATAATTTCTCTTCCATGTTTACCTCCTGCATAGGATGCAACTATATCTGTTTTATTCATTTCGTCTTGCTCTGTTACAACATACGGAGGGTTAAATAGGACTAGATCAAATTGTTTACACTTCCTCAAATTATTAAACAAATCAGTGTTAATTATATCAACGCATGAAATTTTATTTTCAACTGTTAATTTTTTTACGCATTCACAGGCCTTTTCGTTAATATCAACACAGTATAAGAGATCTAACTTTTTGTTCTTTTTTAATAGTAGCTCGAGTAGGGATAACCCCAAATAACCGCTTCCTGTTCTGTGGTAATATGATCCAACAATTGGGAAGAAGTTGTATGTGTGTATGCTTACATATGTTCATATGCAAGTGCAAATTACGTATGCAAATGCATGTGCATACACATGTATGTACTCGTATCTGATGGTAAAGGATAAACATATGTGCAACTTCTCTCTCATTAGGCGCTCTTAATTCATACACATTTCTTTTGGCATAAATTAGACACATGCCGATGCCCATAGTAAGTCAATATATATATATATATATATATATATGTATATATTTGTGTAGGTGTACAATTCTTTTCATGGTCCTTATATGCATATATATATACATCTTCATATACTCTCGCATATTCCTTTATGCACTTTTATTTTTCTTAGGTTTTTCTCAAATTACCCCATTTCCAAAGCTACATGAACATTTGGAGAAATGGTTTCAACCTCATCTTCTAAAACTTCAAGAAAAGTAAAAGTGTCGCTACTTGGAAGGTAGACATTTTTTCTAACATCTTCGTTGTTATAAATGTAGTCCAATTTTAATTTTACCTCTGGAGAAGATGGCATGTTTTATAAGATTTATGAACACTTACTTAAATAGATGTGTATTGTAAACAGGGATAAATGTGATAATGATTTTATGTGATATGGTTAATAAAAAAACATTGTAATAATTTGCTTATATTATTGTTGGAGGGGTAAAAATGAGAGGAGAAAAAAAAAAAAAAAAAAAAAAAAAAAGTTTTTATTTTTTTTTAAAATGGCTATCATTAAGATGTAAGAAATAAAAAATGAAAAAAAAAGGAAAATAATAAATGATATATTCATATATAATGTGTAATAATGAATGAAAAATAGCAATGGATTAAGTGTTATATTTTGCTTGGCCCTAATATATTTTCTGGGCCATCATTTTTAAAATTATAGGAGGGTAACTTCTGTAAAAGTGTTTTATGTACTTCGTCCTCTAGCATTCTTTCATACAACCAGGTAAATCTGTCTGATAATATTTCCTGTTTATTTAATTGCTCATAACGCAATGTCCAATAAATATTCTACAATAAAAAAAAAAAAAAAAAAGGAAAATAAAACAAAAACAGGAGTATACGATGTTGTTTTCTTTTGTTTATTTTTTCATGATGCGATTAAATAATGCATATGCCCCCCTTAGATACTTGATAGGGAAAAAAAAAAAAAAAAAAAAAAACGTATATAAATATGTTCATATGTTATGTATTCTTCAATTGTCAAATGCTACATTTTATATTCCAAAAGGTAATTAAAAAAGGGGGTGCCTCTATACCTTTATTCCTGCGAACCAATAAGGGGCAGTTAGAATTCCAATGAAAAATGGACCTACATTCGCTTTAGTCCAAAAATAATCTTCGCTGAAAAATCTACGACAACTTGCACTAGGAATTTGAAAAAAAAATGGGTTTCCAATGATATGATAACATTAATAAATGGATCATGAATATTTCCAAAAAAGTATATGCATATGAATATGTAAAATAAACATGGGTCAAATTGTTCTAATAATTCTTCAAAAGGCTTTGTGGACATGTTTATACTTAAATTTGCTTAATTGCTTAGCCATTTTAACTAAAACAAATTACAATTAGCTAATTTAAGTGTGCATGTATACACGGGTAAATGCTAGTACATAAAGCTTGTGTATACATGTGCGTGTACATTTTATAGCATATGGGCATACATAAGAACACTTATTTTGAAACTAAGCCTTTTAACATACCTTCTAAACCAGGAGAAACCTCTCACGAAACCTGTGCCAACACTTTTTACGAATGATAGCATTTTAAAATTTTTTTTATATTTATACACAAATACATACAAACATGAATCTGGGAGAGTGGAGGGAATGTTTATTTATTCATACAATTGCTTGCACAAGTTTAATATTCTTGAACAATCTTTTGTGTACAATTATGCTTTATGATGTTTCGTGTGTCATTGTCACTGTCACTGTCACTTGGGTGTTAAACTTTTTTTTTTTTTTTCAAGCGTATGCAGTCATAGGAGAAGCAAAAGTGGAATTTTTTTCAATATCTTACGTTCTTGGAAAAATTGATAAAAGGATTGTGGGAACGCACGCCTCCTAAAATACATATGTATTATACATACATAACCATACAAGGGTTTATTCATACTCGAACATAAGTGCATTTATTTGTTAATTGTTTGGCCATCGAGGATTATAACCTGCAGGTTGTAGAAGTTATGAATTTTATATTAGCAAAAAAAAAAAAAAAAAAAAAAAAGAAAAAAAAAAGAGTGACAGCGGATCTGTGTGCATAATTCCTAAGGAGATTACTATTTTAAGATACTTTTCATATGTTCTTTTACACTTTTTGAGTGGTAAAATTATTTTTCATAAGGGTTATTTTTTTGCTGGCGCATAGCATTTTTAATTATGAGAAATCAGAATTTACGTTTTTTGCTTAATGAGAGATTCTGGTATTGGTATTCGTCATATGAAAATGTTCTTTTTGTTATACTGGTTTTCAGTGCAAAAAGTTTAAGGAGTTTTATTTAAAGATTATTAAATCTATTATGAGGGGATGAATCGAGTTATACAAAAAAATAATTGTGTCAATGGTATTCAAAAAATTGTAAATTCCTGTTGGGTGTTTTGATGTATACATTCGCGCGTGATGATTGTACAGGTTAGCGTGTGTTGTGGTGAATGAAAAGAAAATTGGTTTAATGAAATCAAGAACAAAGACCTACAGGAAGATAAACAGACGTTATGGCAAATCCCAAGAAACAGGAGAACATCTATGTATGTACATTTATGTGCACGTAAAATTTTGCGGGAAGGCATGAAATACATTATAGGAAGAGGAGAACTATACAAAAAGAAAACTTTTAAACTGTTTTATTGACTTAAAGCGTAGGTTTTTCACAATTAAATATCGTCTTTGGTTATACCAGAAATGGAACACACTTTTTAATTGTAGCAGCTGGTCTTTACTCATGTAATTGTTTTTACTTAAATTAAAAAGTCTTTCAATTAATAATGAAAATAATTCATCATTTAAGTTTAAAGCATCCAATTCGTTTAAGCACATTGCACAAATTATTAACTCCTCTGAATTAAATGATTCCAGTTTTCTAATTATTTCACGAATGACACATTTTGTTAAAGGTCTGTATATTACGTTAGCTTTAGAGAAGGGTAAAATGGTAGAATCCGCCTTGTTAGAATACTCGAATTTTTCCCGTTCTCCAAAATTTAATCTTACCAGTGCAATTAATAGCAGCATAATGGTTCTACCTCCTAAAGCTGGGGTTCTAAAAAATATGGAATGCAGAAAATTTTTAAAAATTTTTGGCAATGGTATATTTACATTTAACTGGGTATCCTTTCCATTGAGTACGGTTCTTTTCTCAACGTTCTGGAGACGTTTATTAATTTCATCATCCCGGAATTGTTCTTTGTGTTCTTGTTTATCTTCATCATTTTTCATTTTTGTATATGTAGCGACATAATCTCTTTGATCATCCTTTTCGGATGGATTATTTTCTTCATCTTGAGTATGTTTCTGTGTGTCCATTTTATTACTTGGGGAATTTTTAAAAAAGAATTCATTCGAAAAGTTAAACTCATTTACGTGAAAAGATAATCCTGAATTGCTCATTTTTCTCTCATTTTTGTTCGATATTACAAGTGGTAGACTGTTGGTATATTTCAATAATAAAGAATTATCATATCTATGTGTATTCATATGAACAATTAAATCAATAGGTTTTTTATAAAATCTAAACAATCTGGTTAATAACTCAAACATAATTACTCTATACGGTGGGGTACTGTTATATATGCTTTCCGTGATTTTTTCCAAAATGATTTTTTCTAATTTTAAATAAATATCATATAATTCATCTAAAGGTCCTGTTTTGTCATTTATATCAAAAATTGAATTCATTTCATGTAAAAACGTTTCATTTCCAATGGAGTTCGAATAATTATCACTGCGGCATAATGAATAGCTTGGTTTATTCCTTACATTTGTAGAAACAGAAGGATTATATTCTTCATTTTTTTTTTCTATTTCTTCCTCTTTTTTAATTTTCTTTTTATTCAAACTTTGCTCTATTGTATGGTCTTCTTCACAATAGAGATTTATTTTATCTGTTGGGCTCCTTTGGATGGAATCGTATTTTTTCCCTTGATTGTTTACATTATTCTCGTGTATCATATTTAAGTTATTCTTTTTTCGCATATGTGTAAGGTCTTCATTCTCGTATCTGTTAAGATGTATATGTTCTATATTTTCACTAAAATAAATGTGTTTTCTGTTTTTACAATTTTGTTCATTTGGAATTAAGGTTGTGGTGTTCCAATGATTATCTTCGCTTAATTTCGATTTCGTGGAAATTCCATCGGTGGATGTAATGGGAATGGTGGATTGTTTAAAGGAGTTTCTATCATCATTAGGAAGGGAAATTTTTGCGCTTGAATGATCTGAGTTCTTTTTTTTTTGTTCTAGCATGTGTAGATTTTTTCCGCTGCTATTATACTGTTTTATTAATATATACGCTTGAATACAATTTAGTATAGAGACAAAATCATTAAGTTCTAATTGAGTAATTTTTTCCTTTAGTTGTAACATTTGATTTACAAGTAAAGGTAAAGGAGAGAAAAAATTTAACCTTGAAAATCCATCAGCGCACCATGATATATATTTGATATTTGTATAATATATATTCTCTTTTACTGGTTTATACAACTGATATAAAATATTTTTCTCAGGTAACACTTTAAGATTTGCTAAACCTCTTAATAGTAGTCCTGAAAAATCGGATCTGTATAAATCATTTTTTAGAATATATTTTTTTAATGTAGTAACTAGAGTATTTATTAAATTCTGGTTGTTACAACCAATTCTTCCAATAACATGTATAAGAAATGGCAGTCTTTTTATTTCAAGTTCATGAATTCTCTTTATAATTGTGTTGTAAAATGGAATAATTTGACAATGTATTTGAAAGTCATAAAACAAGGCTAAGTCATCTAATATAAGTTGAATATCTCTCATAGATATATGTGCATGTTTTCTGGAAATAATTTTTGCAATTGAGTAAATCCATTCTCTATACACTAAGTCTTGATATTCTGTTAGTACTCTTAACAGTCTATGTATTGATACACCATTTAAATTAATGGATGTATTAAACTTCAGAAAAAAATGAAATAACAATGGCTCAATAGTTAGATAGACATTTTTGTTCGAATGTTTACTCAAATAATATATCAAATCGATGATTTCATAGCTATTAAATGAGTTAGCATCTTTTCTTATGTTATTACACAACTTTTCTAGCTCTTTTGTATTATTACTTTTTAACCATTGCACATTGACTATATATTTCTGAGCTTTTCTGTTTAATTTAAATGCTGGCTTCATGAACCCAACTCTTTTGGGAATTTGTACTTGGCTGAAAGGCCTTACATGCTGTGATTTTTTACTATGGGGAAAGGTGCTACCTCTGATGTTGTAACATTTCGAGCAAATGCGTTTCTCACGCAGGTAGAAATTCATTTAAATACGTGCAAATATCGTGAACTTCCGTTTGGATATGGTTATAAGTGAAAGTGAGCAGGTGTGTATTTTGATTTATGCTTCAAAAGAGTTGGCTTTGCAAGTTTTTTGCTATTACAGGTCAGACTTCTCCTAGTGGGTGCTAATTTTTTAGCTCATATGAAATGTGAGAATCTGTTCATTAAAAGGAAGGAGGGTACTATATCAAACTATTCACAAACATTCACAACGGTTTTAAAAGGTAGGAGTTGATGTCAAAGGTTATAAGTAATACACAATGACGACAAAAGAAAAAAAAAAAAACAAAAAAAAAACTAATTTGTTAAGTTTAAAAAAAGGGCACATATTCATTGCAATTAATTTTTTCCTACATAATTTTAATTCCTTTTGAACTGTTTATTTTTTCTTTTATTATATATATATATATGTACATATATATATATAACATTTTTTTTTTTTTTTTTTTTTTTGTCATCACGCTTGATCTACAACTTTTAATTTAAAGACTTTTTAGTGCTTGTGATGGTTAACATTTGTAAAAAAAGGTAGAATTGTGAGCATTTCCCTTTTGGATATAAATTAGGAAACATGAAAGAGTTAGATAACTGGTAATATAATCATATAACTCAGTGTATCTAATATACTTACAATATACCTAGATACTCATTTTTCATGTATTCTTAAAAATATATTTTTTTAATTTCACTTTTTTTTTTTTTTTTTTTTACAACACATTCGGTGTAAGAAGTAGTTGACTAAATTTTTAGCACGTAAATCTAAAATGCAAGTGTGCGTGTTGTTAATATATATATATATATATGTACATATATATATTTCTTAAATGGACAAAAACAAACTAGTTTAAAATATTATTATATCGTTTTTGTGCTCTTTTCAATGTGGAAGGTTTCAATTTCAGGTGTTATCCAAAAGGTGATTATTCGGCATTTTGCACTTTCTAATGAATTCGTTTTTTTTGAAGCTCTACTCGAACTTAGTTGGATGTATGTATATGTACGTGGATAAGAAAATACCCATAGGATAACCATACGATGTTTTTATATACACAACAAATTTATCAGAAGTAGATTCCTATATTTTTGTGCGTGCAAGAACAAAGAGGATAGAGTAATAATATTCACAAAAAAAAGAAAAAAAAAAGAAAAGATACATTAAATGTTGCTGGAAAATGCAAAAATGTGTTATAAATATATTGCATAAGATGTGGAAGATACACTGACAGGCATGTATACAATTAAACTTGTTTATTCAGATGTGTATATTGTATAATCTCGATTGTGTTTTGGTCCTCACATGGGTTGATAAGTTCTTAGGGCATGCTTATTTCTCGTATGTATTGAAGTGTATGCACATATGTGTACGTTACTTTTACGACCATCGTGTGGTATTCTGAGAGGCTATGTTTAAACATGTTCATTCTGTATATTTCCTCCACACCCACCTTTTGTTAGATGTACTCATAAAAGATTTGCATAACAGAAATTGATATATTCCTAAGGCTTTTATCAATGTAATGGTGTTTTTATCTCTTTACCTTTTCTCCTTATTTAATATTAGAGTCTTTTGTATTTATCCTGTAGTATACCACATTTGCCTTCAACAGCTTAAATGAATCAGGTCATTAATTTTTTACAAGATTTAACCTTTATTTATAATAACGTAAATGCAAAGTGACATTTATAAAAATGCATTCGAGTCACATATCTTAATTTATAAATGGTATTAATAAAAAAAACAAAAAAATAAAATAAATTAAGTAACGGGGTAATGCATATACATAAACCTATTAAAAAGGTATTTGCCGTGATTGCAAACTTAAGTTTGTTCAAAATTAGGGATGAGGAAAAATGACATGAAACATATCTTCTTTTTTTTTTTTTCTCGGCTTCATGGTTAAATTTTCCATATACATTTAAGTATGTACACACATAAATATGTATACATATATGTATATATATATATATATAATAGATATATTTATTTATATCATGTTGTATTTTTTGCATTGGGGAGAGGGAAGGAAAAATAGAGCCCTAAGCGGTGTACACAGGGGTTCCTTGCACAAATGGTTTGGCTGTGTTTTAAAGTAAAAAATGAGAGTAACACGATAAAATAAGAGTGTTTGATGTACCAAATTTACGATTACAAAATTGAGATAAATTAATTTTATATATTTAAAGAAAAAAAGATAAAAAAATTAAGCGTTATATATGTATATGTTGAAGTATATCACCTAAGTATATGTAAATGTATATATATATGTATAAATTGCTGAATAGCTTGTGACGGTTCTTACTGAATACACTTTATTTTATTTCAGCTACAATACATATATAAATATGTAGCACATGGTGAGAAGAACATTAAGCAAAATAAAAATTAAAAAAAAAGCTTTAAAAAAATTAAAATGCTTTTTTTGACATTTTATATACTTTTGGAATTTGTAAAAAAAAAAAAAAAAAAATTTAATCAAAATTGAAGTTATGCTGAAAAGGAAAAAAATACTTGAAAATTTAATTCACATCACTGTTTGTAACATTTCTGTTTTACGTGTTTTAACATAAAACTTACTGGATGTAGTGATACAAATTATATTTTATCCGTGGTAAAAGATATTTCATCCCATTATTATTAAAAAAAGGTAAGGGAAAGAGGAGGGGAAACACAAAGCTTTAAGCATATTTTTATGAAACTTTCGCGAGAAATGTACTTACTACTTACGCTATATGCTGTTTATACAATATAAACAAAATTTGAAGTGTACATATAAACATACATTTAAACCTCTTTTTAAGCTGTTAAGCATAGCAAAGAATGCGAAATTATATACATTCATTTGAAACACAGCAAAAGAAAACTGAAAAGTAAAAGCATAAAATAGAAAAATATATATTAGTGTATAGTTTAAAAAGATAAGAATACCCATAGATTACTAAACATATATTAATACATATATATAGTGAATATTTTTTCTGTGCAACAAATAGTATAAATATATGCTATACATGGTTTTGCACGAATGCATTTGGTTTACATTCCTAGTGTTGTGTGGACCCCTACGCTACGAATAACAAATTTGTGAACATATAATTGTGTGCCTTTTGTGTACGGATATTTGTGTGTATATTATATTACATATAAGTGTATGTGTACATATAAAACATATCATATTAAGAAAATTTGGGAAAATAAAACCAAACTTTTTTGTAACTTTGCAGGGTGCACACGAAAATTTTAAACAAAGAGTACAAAAATGGCTTCTGTTAAAGGAAAAATTCTTAAAAATAACCCTAGTGATTTAGAAAGAGAAATTGCACAATGTCTGATTGACATTGAGTTATCGAGCTCGTCGGACATAAAAAATGATGCGAAAGAAATCAAGATATTATCTTGTGATTTGATAGAAGTTGAAAAAATTAAAAAAAAGACTATTTTAATCTACATTCCATATAAAATTTACGCAACTTATGTAAGGAAAATACAAAGAAAACTCATTAACGAACTGGAAAAGAAAACCAAAAAGTATGTTGTATTAGTAGCAAAGAGGACTATACTAAAAGCTAAGCAGAAAACTAAGTCCTTTAAAATAATTCCAAGGTCGAGAACTTTGACGAGTGTATATGACTCAATTTTGGAGGACATTGTAGCACCTAGCGAGATTGTTGGAAAGAGGTGAGTATGATAATGGGTGCAAATATAATCATGCACAAATGTTCATTTATGCATATGTATATGTGTGCGTGGAATGTATACAAAATTCTCTTTCTGAAAATTGTTTGAATTTTTCCTTGTATATTACATGCCGTTCACCCCCTTCTCCCCTGTTGTAATTAATTTCTTTTCACAGAATAAGTATGAAAGCTGACGGAAAGAGACTATTCAAAATAATGCTGGATTCTAAAGAAAGACAAAGGGATAACATCGAGGAAAAACTTATTAGCTTCGCTGCTGTATACAAAAGAATTACAAGAAGAGACACGGTGTTTACTCTACCACCCACAAACGAGAAATGAAAGAGGAATTTTATGGATGAATTATGAAAAACGTGGGAATGCATATCATTTTTTATCTTCACTAATTTTTAATTTTAGCGTGAATTTATTAATAACCTTTTCAGCATTCCATATTATTTCCTTATTGAAATTTATGTATATGTGTACATATACAAGATGTGTGCATATGTGTGTTATATATATTTTTTTTTTTTTATCACATTTGCTGTGGAGGAGGAATTAATGGAACATCATATTTTTTATTTATTAACATAAGAATAGGGGACTTAAAAAAAAAAAAAAAATCAAAGATTATAAAATTAATAAATTTTAAAATTTTAAGTATATTAAATCAAATGAGGAGAACGGTTCATAGTAGAAAACCATTCCAAATTCATTTAAGAATAAGGGGAAAATATTTTTGCATTTGGCTCATAGTTAACACGATTGTATTGTAAATATTTTAAAAAAATGTGAAAAATAAAATAAACGCTATGAAAAAAAAAAAAAAAAAAAAAAAAAAAAATGTTTCGTTTTTGGATTAAAAACGAGGGATGAGCTGTATAAATGAAGAAAATATTGTTCAAATAGCATTTGTTAGAATTGAACCGCGGTTTTATAATATTACACAACGCCTATGAAATGTAAAACTTGGTATACAACAATAATAAACACTTGGTTTAATAAATAATTCATGTTTAATTTTTTCCATGGGAAATAAGAATCTTAAAATTTTCCATAATAACAAGTCCTTTTGATCTTTACGATGTGTAGCTTTTACAGTTTTATACACCCACTTGTACATATAAAGGTGTATATATATGCATACATTTTTGGCTCAGTCTAAAGGGGGCCACAATTTATCGATATGTTGTTCATTATGTACACTAATTTTTTTTCCAATGAGCGATATGAATTCTTGCTTTAAAAAATCGCTCTGAATTTTCCATTTATTAATTAAGGTCAACCTGCAAAGAGGTAAATATTTACGCATTTATGTATTTTTGAAATGCACTGACAAAGACGCATTTGCCCAGGTAAGTTCATAATAGGGCAGATTTCTCCGCTCTTACTAGCACACATATGTGATACGTTTATCGACCGGATGAATTAACTGAAAGGAAAAAACACACATCGTACAGACATGTATCTACTTGAAAGAATGCTTACCTACTACTTATTCTGTTGTCCTTTAGGGCATCTATAAACTGCTTTACATGTTGATTGTTGCATGTGATAATGTCATTATATGAATGGGTGTAATAAACATGGAACGATGACATTTTTGAAAACATGGATCCATCTAATATAAACAAAGCAAAGTAGTTATAAAACAACAAATCATTCTCATTTAACTCCTTTACTGTCATGGGTAAATAATGCGAGCATGGTAAATATAACGGTTTTACACAAACGACAATTTTATCTCTTGTCATATCATATTTAGCTGGTGGTATTTTTTCATATTCATTAATATAAATACAAACATTTTTCATTTTTCCTAGGTCTGACTCGTTTATACGTAGACAATCATACATAACGTAAGACTTTTTGTTCTTCATTATATAATTATACAGTATATATTTTGGATAAGGCCTAAAAATGTGAATGTGATCATAAATGGAGATGGTGATAAATAATGATATGCATACGTAAAGTACGGGTATCAAAAACTTAAGTGCCCATATATATATATATATATATATAGACATGATCGCATGAATACTCATATTGTCGACATAGTGCTTTAAAAATAACCATTAGTTTTTGCACATTTAGTAAGTTATGTATACAAACCTGTTTTTATACAATAATGAAGTGGAATTTATATATATTGGGGTGTTCATATTTTGCGAGAAATAGGCATTTTTTTTATTAGAACTTAAATTTGAATTTCTTGTATAATTGTTATGTATTAGGTCAGAACGGATTGCTAGATGATCTATAAATCCTTGAATAACTGCATAGTGGATTATTTTTTTCGATAAATCTGATGGGTTTTTATCTAAAAAATCAAAATTAATATTTTTGTTAAATTTGTAATTTATTATTTTCATTAAATGATTCGACAATTTAATCAATTCTTCCATTTTTTTTTGGTCCAGCTGCATAATACTACAAAAATGATTTTTCTCTTTTGAAAAATAAAAGGAGATACATATGTTCAGATAAAAGTCAATGTCATTATCGAATTTTAATTTAAAATTATCAAGGAGGTTATCACTTGTTTTGTTATTGCTGTATCCATCTTCTGACAAGGTTTCCTCGTCTAGGTATGTATCATCGGAAGATAAATCGGAAGAGGAGCTACTATCCCTATCAGTTTGAACTTCATGTTCTGCATTCTTTTTAAAAATTAAATTTACTAAATTAGAATTACTTCTATGGATGTCGTTTTTACCGTTCATTTGACTATTATTACAAGTATTGTTTTCATTTAGATTTCTTTTCTTTTTTTTTCCTCGTTTGCCATACTTGACTTTGAGCTTGTAATCATAGGAGAAAATAGACTCTAAATATAAGCACGAGACTAAAAGACATGCTAAGGGAATTGAGCTGGTGTGGTTAATAGCTAATGATTTTAAACAAACGTCGGTTAAAATTTTAGCATATCTCGTGCTGATTGGTAAGGACAAAATGAAACTTCCCGCAAGAGTAATTCCGCTTTTCTTCTGTGGGTTAAACATGTTTATATGATTTTCAATACTCTTTTTTGAAGCCATTTTATCCCCTAAGTCTTTAAAAAGGAATTCTATGTCTTTGTAGCCAAAATGAACGCAATTAAGATAAATTAATCTTTTTTTTGCCTCTTCAAATTTACATTTTTCTGGTTTATTAATAAAGGGGAAATTTTCTACATTTTTGATTTTAAAACTTAATAAATACAAAATTAAAGAATCAAGTGGATAATTTAAAATTGGGAAATCATTATGCTTTTTGAAAAAATAATTATAATAATTTGAAGAATATAATTTATACACATGTCCTTTTTCCGTTTCTATTTTCTTTTTATTTTTTTTATTTTTTTTTAACAAATGTAAAATTCTACCAGCTCTTCCTTTTCTCTGAAGTGAAGAACTTTTACTTATGTTATCAATAATATAGTATGAATAATCATTTAGCGTTGAGTACATTTTTCTCTTCTCTTTTCCACAGTCAACAACATAGCGAATATTTGGCAAAGTAATGGATGTTTCTGCTATATTTGTACTTAAAATGCAAATACGTTCATTGTCCTTCGGGTTTTTAAATAAACGCATTTGTTCGTGCATAGGTAAATTTGCAAAGAGCTTAAAAATTTTTAGTTTACCTGATCCGTCACTTCCTTTCCAAATACTTGATTCCTTTTTACATTTTTTTTTATTATTTATTTCAACATCATTTGGATTTTTTTCTTTATTCTGTTCAGTTGAGTGTTCATTTTGATGATGTTTTATTTCTTTCACCTCATTATCATCTTCATTTGACTCACAGTTTTCACTCTGTTCATTATCCGATTTGTTATCCATCACTTGAGCATCATCATTGTGGGAATTTTCTCTGTAGTTGTCATCCTCACTTATATAACCCGTTGAACTTAAGCCTTCTTCCCCAGCAATAAATATTTTTGTCTGACTTTCTTCATGAATGAAATCATCATTCGAGTTTTTCGTTTTTTCCAAATTGTTTGTTTCTATTTTGTTATCAGTTTGGTCTGCTTGTCTATTGTTTGGATTACTCAATATTCTGGAATTTTCTATCTTCCTATCGATATCATTTTTACGTTGCTCAGTTTTACTTGCTAAAGAGTTATTGTGAATTGGTATATCATCATCATCATCATCCTCATCGGATACCTCAAATATAATTCTTTTTTCCTTGTTTTCATCAGTTGATCGGAGAAAAAAACTGCATTTGTCCTCATTCACTTTTTTTTCATCTTCACTTAAATCAAAGGAATATATATTTTCATCTTGAATTTTTTTCTTTTCCTCATTAGTTAGATCAAGGGTTTGAATATTTTCTTCTGCATTTTCTTTGGACATTTTTAAATTATTGAGCATATTATATAAATGATAAATTTCTTCCTGACTTGTTAAGAATACTAATATACTACCAGGTGGTAATTTTTTATGGATTTGTATAACTTTTTTTTTAGCTTCTTCAATATAGTATTTTGGGGTGTAGGAGAGAAAGTGATCTACCACTGGAACCTTTTCCGTTGGAATGTTGATGGATGTATAATTTGTAAAAATTTGATTTTCAAAAAAGTTGATTTCATCAATGGTTGCAGACATAATAATAACTTTAATTGGAATCATATTTGATTTATATGCAAAATAGTTGTTTTTTCTGATTTTACAAATTATAGATAGGAGACCTAAAATTAAATCCATGTTTATACTTCTTTCATGTGCTTCATCCAGGATGATAACACTATATTTGGATAAAATAAAGTCGTTCATAATTTCTTTTAGTAATATACCTTCCGTCATAACTTTTATTTTACTGTTTTTTAAAAAATGCGATTTTTCAAATCTTATTTGATACCCAGCTACATCGTTAATGTTTAATTCTTCATTTAATCTGTTCGAAATGCTTTTAACAGCTATTTTTCTCGGTTCTGTGACACCGATAAGATAATCATTTGTGCAAAAACCGTGTTCATATACAAATTGTGGAATTTGCGTGGATTTACCACATCCTGTATCTCCACTTATGAATACAACATCATAATTTAAAATAGCCTCAATAATTTCCTGTTCGTAACCAAGGACAGGTAATGCTTGTCTTAGCTTTTCTATGCTGTCCTTTCTGTTTATACTAACGTTTTTGTACACAATTTTCCTTTTCTCTTCATCCGTTTTTGTTTCTTCACTCTGCTTTTTTTTGCTCTGAGATTTTCTCATTTCTTCATTTTTTCCCTCCTCTTGAATGTCCTTGGATTTAATATTTTCATCACCACCTCTGTTCACATGATCCAGTCTGTCATTATCGTGACTAGAATTGTCGGCCTCTACAATGTCAATTATTTCATAGTCATACTTTTCATCATTGTACGCCCCTTTGTGAGGATTTTCATTTATATAAAGGTGGCTACTACTGCTAAGCACATTTTCAGGATTATGATCCTTTAAATCCTCAGCATAATTTCCTTCATTTGTTAATGACTTTATATTAGAACCATATTCTACAACAGGATGAGAAAGAACATGTTCATTTTCATCCATTTGATGATGCTCGTTTTTCAGTACTTTGGGTTTCTTTTCGACGTCATCATGTCGAGAAGTTGCTTGTGCTTGATTTCTTTTTTTGCATTCCAAAAATTTTTTTTTTTTTTTTTGTAGTTTGTTTTTTATTATTCTTAAATTATTTGGCAAATCAATTTTCATATCTTTATATGTCTGAAATAATTTTTCTAAACCTTCTTGGTTTTGATTTTTATTGTTTGTGTTAAACTGAATGATAAAATTACGTTCGTTATTGTTTAATCTGTATTGTTCTATACTTTTTAACAACTTTTCCTTTTCTGCCTCTTTGTCTTGTTTTTGTTTATATTTTAATTTTTTCATCAGTTTCTTTTTCGATATATTTTCCATAAAACACAATTTTTTATATTTGCCGTTTTTTTTTTCTATTTCTGTTTTAATTAATCTATTCCTTTCATCTTCTTGTTTTTCTGGTTCGTTTAAATTATCATTTACTTTTTTTATTATACTTGTATTAACATTTTTTGAATTTGCATTTTGGTCATTTTTTCCTTTTAGCAGAGTATTCGTTGGTTCAACTGCTCCATTAAGGATAGTGTTTGGGATGTCAATTAGTAATTCATTTTTTAGGACATTTAGCGAAGTTAAATTACTTTTTGTAATTATTTTTTTTACTCTTTTTAACTGTCTTTCTCTTTTTTTCCTCATTCTTTCTTCGTATTCTAGTTTTTTCTTCTCCTTGTTTGTTAAAGCTTTATTTTCCGAATATGTTGTCGACAACGTTTCATCATTGTAACCTAAGTTTTCTTCTGTTGTGTTGTCATTACCTAGTAAGTACTTTCCCTTCATTTTATCTTTTCAAAAAAAAAAAGAAGCTGGTGAGGGACATCCTCGAAAAGTAGAAGTGGTAATCAATCAAGTATTCAAAAATGTAGCTGCTAAAGTTAGGTTCACTTGCACAAAAATTCAACAACCTGTGTTTTATATATACAAGCTTTTGAACAAGGATTGCATATTCTTATTTGTATATGTAATATGAATTTGCATTCATGTTTATGACAATGTAAGAAAAAAAAAAAAAAAAAAAAAAAAAAAAAAAAAAAACACAGCTCAATATAATTAATTTTTTTTCATTTTTTCGTTTTTTTTTTTTTTTTTTTTTTTTTTCTTCCTTTTTTTTAAGCAACAAATGAGTATTGTATGTAGGAGAAAAGTATATATATTTTATTATTATTATTTTTTTTTTTTTTATTGTAGGAAAAGAAAAAAAAATTTCCACTTCATTACGTATCATATGTAATAAAAATAATTCATCACAAATAGCTTCCTTTTTTGTTGTGCAATTATAAAATAATTTCCTTGGCCACTCTCTCCTCACAAAAAAAAAAAAAATTAAATAAAGTATTCATTTTAAAAAGGCACAATGAGAGGAAATGTGAAATTTTACGAAGCTTGAAAAAGAAAATAAAGATAATGTATTGTCATCACATGGGCATGCATATAATTTTCATATATATAGAATGTAGCCTATACCACTACATATGAATATATGGAAAAAACAGTGAATAGCAACTTTCCCCACCTATAAGTTTTTGATATCCAAAGAAGAGGAGGAAAAAACATATGAACATACAAGTTTAAAGCTGAGAGGAAAAAGGTTAGTTTCTATTTCATATGGTTAATATAAGGATTATTTTTTTGGTATAAAAATTTTACCACATCTGCTGCCAGAACTTTAGGATAGATTTGCACAATACTTATGTATATTTTTTTATTGGGAAATGCAAGTCAGTATTTAAGACACCCAGGACCGTTCTCAATATCTGATGCATCACTATGTGCTTGAATATTCTGTTAATTGCAAAGCATTTGTCCCAGTTTTATATCATAAGAACATTGATAAAAAAAATATTATAGTGCCACTTGCGCTTAAAAATATTGTATAACTGTGTATAAACATAATAGACAAAAATTTGAGAACATAGAAAAGTTAAAAGAGATAACAAAGCATTTATGCACAAGTAAGAAGTAGCTAGGTGTATATTTTACAAGGGATGAAAGAGGGGAAAATGAAAATGGTAGGGAATTTGAATAGCACAGGAAGTCGCTTAATTCAGTATGAAGATAGCAATAATAAATATTTTATTAAAAAGTACTTGGTAGATACAAGAAATGAATATATAGAAAAACAAATGAGAGCATTATATGAATGTCGAGAAATATATAAAGACGATATAGATGAGGTAATAAATATTTTGACCTATGCATTAGAAAATAATGATAGTGTATTATTAAGACATGAAATAGCTTATGTTATAGGTCAAATAAGTAATGAAAAGTGTAATGACATTTTAATTAAATTATTAAATGATAAAGAAGAAAATTTAATGGTTCGACATGAAGCTGCCGAAGGGTTAGCAGCTATAGGGAGTGATTCAAATATTGAAGTAATAAAAACATTTTTAAATGATGAAAAAGTGGAAGTTCGTGAGACTTGTGAATTAGCTCTGATTTCTTTATTAGAAAAAAATAAATATACGGCATGCCCATGTAGTGATAAAGGTATCATAAAAGATGTATTAAAAAAAAAAAGAAATGATGAATTTGTTTCCAAAAAATTTAATACCATAGACCCTATAGTATTTTCATCAGATGATAATACCAAAAGTGTTAATGAATTAATTGAAGATTTAAATAATGAAAACGTTCCTTTAAAATTAAGGTATGAAGCTTTATTTAAATTAAGAGATATGGAAACTGATTTGTCTTTAAATGCTTTAGGTGAAGTATTAGTAAAAGATAAAAAATCAGCAATTTTTAGACATGAAGTTGCTTTTGTGTTAGGTCAAGCATTACATTTAAATTCGTTAAAATATTTAATTTTCTCTTTGAAAAATGTTGAGGAACATGAAATGGTTAGACATGAGGTTGCTTTAGCCCTAGGATCTCTCGGAAGTTTAAATATAAATTCGCAAGAATATAAAAATGTTCAAAACGAAATTATAAGCACTTTAAAAACCTATTCAAAGGATCACTGTAGGGTTGTATCTGAGAGCTGCCTCGTTGGGCTGGATTACATAGCCGAGAATCTAAATATTGCAATAGAAATAAACTGATTCACATATTTTTCATGGTTCTTTTCTCATTTTATATTCCATTAATACACTATATACTTGTGTGTTTTTTATCCTCTTATATTTTTCCGTCATTTTTAATTGCAACAATTTTTTGTGTGGCTCTTTTAAATTCCCACTTTTTTTTTATATTTTTTTGAGATTTTTTTGAAATTCGAATTTGTTAAAACCAAACCTTATATTTAACTTAAAATATATCAAATGAATTAAAAGTATAAAAAATATATATTTTTTTTTTCAGTACATAAAACATAACCTTAGGAAGAGGCACCATATTGAATAAAGTATTTTTTACTCTGAAAAGGTGGCCTTTGTTTTTTATTTTTCCACATTTCGTTATTTAGTCCATTATATTTTTATAAGTTTGTGCATAACGGGATAATGATGAATTTAAAAAGTAGCACATTGTGATAATTTCAACTTTTGATAAAAAGAAATTCAACTTAGGCTATAAAAACATTTTGTTGAATATGTCTCGACATGTTTATAATTGGCTTATATGTGTACACCATTTTTTCGTAATTATTGTGAGTGGAGAAAAATGAAAAAACATGTTATAGAAATATTACAGATTCGTGTAGGCTATAGAAAAAAAAAAAAAAAATCCACTATAATGATAAATATTTGTAACAAAAACGGATAACACAAATGATCAGTTTTACACTTTCACAGTTTTTATTTTTTACGAAAATTTATAGCCATAAAGAAGAGTATTCAGCTTCGATAAGGGTTTTTTGTTTTTCAGTTTTCCTGTTTTTCTTGTGTTTTTGTTTTTCTCTTTTTTTTTTGTTTTTCTCTTTTTTTTTTGTTTTTCTCTTTTTTTTTTGTTTTTCTCTTTTTTTTTTGTTTTTCTCTTTTTTTTTGTTTTTCTCTTTTTTTTTGTTTTTCTCTTTTTTCTTGTTTTTCTCGTTTTCCTTGCTTTTTTATTTTTTGGCTATTTGTATATATCATGGAACAACAACGGACGCAGTGAATGATGAGCAACAACATAAAAAAATGTGCATATAAAAAAGTGAAAGTAAATTGTGGAACCCTTTTTTTTATTCTAGGGTTCTTAATGAAATGTTGCATTTCATCCCGCCTTTTAATGTATATTTTATAGGAATTTTTTTTCAATATTTGTTTTGATGTTTGAATGTGTACATATACGTGTGCTTGTTTTACAACTGCATGTAAATAATTTCCCCTCGGGGATTTTTTTTTTTTAAACCTTAGGAAGTTTACATTCATAACTTGCCTCAAAGTGAAAAGGTATGCTACCTTATTTGTTGTGTATTGTGACACTGTGTTTGTAAAATTTAAGAAATTTGTATAAAAGCATGGTGTTTAATGCAAATACTCGTGCATGTAAATTGCTAAAACATGAACATTAAAATTGTATATATATTTGAAAATTGCTAGTAATAATGAGAGTCGTCGTGTATATATAGCGTGCATTTGGTATATATAAGTCCTTTTACTAACATGTGCCTTTATGGGAGTTTACGTTATACATCTGCAAGCAAATCGCACATGTCATGTATGTTTAACTATTTGTTTGTGTGCTTGTTTGTTTTCTTGTTTGTTTGCTTATTTGTTTGCTTATTTGTTTGCTTATTTGTTTGCTTATTTGTTTGCTCATTTGTTTGCTCATTTGTGTGTTTGTTTATTTGTTTTTTTTTTTTTTTTTTTTTTTTTTCGTTTGTGTTTACATCTTTTGCTGAGCTTGGGGAGAATATATTCCGTAGGCATTCCCCACATACCATGTCTACGTCAAGAATTTATACAAAAAAAAAGAAAGTAACATATACGTATGCTTTTTTTTTTTATTTATAAAATTTTACAAACGTTTTACGATTATGAATTTAACGCCATAAGTAAATTCTCTACATGACTATTTCTTAAATGATCATAATTCTTACATATAAAAGAAATGAAAAATATCTACATTTTGGGATAAAATCATCCATGAAATTTACTATTATATTTTCAAAACTTTTTTTTTTTTTTTTTTTTTTTTTTTTTTTTTTTTTTTTTTTTTTTTTTTTTTTTTTTTTTTTTTTTTTTTTTTTTTTTTTTTTTTTTTTTTTTTTGTAATAAATGAAAAGAAAAAATAATTGTTTCGTCATTTTAAAATTAGATGCAATTTTTAAGTTTTTAAAGGAGAGAAATAACAAAATACACTGCCATCCCCACAAAATACCAAATAAAAAAAATAAGAATACAGGATATATAAAAATTACGTTTGCATACATATTAAGCATAGTTTGAAAAAGAAATATATATTCTGCATATATTGATTACATTTCTTCCATGAGAAGAAAAATATAACGATCAGTATATTTTTACACACTTTACAAATTTGTTTCTGTGAATTCGTTTTTGTTTCACCTTCCATCTTCAGGAAGTTTGTTATACATTTTAGGCATATAAAATTTGTGCATTGCCAAAAGAGATACAAATGATGTGTATATTTATATATGCATATGAACGTTCAAGCATTTACATGAACGTACATTGATGCTTATGGAAATGCACATGTCATTTCGTTCATACATCTTCGTTTGTATAGTCATTCACAATAGATAACTTCTTAAGATCTTTAATTTTTTTTTTTTTTTTTTTTCCTTGAAAGAGGGACATAATTTATAAGGGTTGTTTTCCCTTACTGTGGGAAAACAAACCCTACTTATTTTTTTATTTTTTTGTAATTTTGTGTGTGAATGTGTGTGTATGTCTCAATGAGATAAATATATATGAATCAACAAGACAGAAGAAATAATGAATGAGACATTGTTCAATTGGAGGAATCAACCCCAATTAAGGTTTTTTTTATTCAATACGATAACATTTACATTATTACTTTTTTAAAACCTTGCTACAACCAGTGGATGTGATCCCATTTGCAAAATTTTTTTTAGACAATTTGTTTTCTCCTTTTTTTTGGAAAAAATTATAAATAAATATAACAAAAAGAGAGAAAGGGGGAAAAAGAAAAAAAAAAAATTCAGAACAAGAGAATTAACAACAGGGGACTAAACGAAAGGATACGGGAGGTAAATATATTAAACCATATCTTTATACATTTAGATGGAAAATCAATTAAATGCCAAAATAGAATATGTTACGGATTTTAACTTATTTGAAAAACTAAAAAAATCTATTATAAAAGACAATGTGAACGAATTGTACATATCCTCGTTAAGGTCCATTTTGGAAAAGCTAGAGGACCCTGTTGTCGACACCAACCACATTATTTGCAATCATCAGTACGCAGAAGCGGTATTATTTTTTTATGGAACTCTAATTATTGAAAAATATGAATTCGTTTCTGTCTTTTGTGAAGATATAATTTCAAAGAACAGGCTGGAAGGAGTAGTAGAAAGTTTAAAAAGAATTAAATTGAATCATGCAAACAATTTAAGTAAATTAAAAAAAGTAATTATTGAAAATATAGATAACTGTCAAAAATGTTTAATGATTTATTACCTTTTGCAAAAGGAATTTTTAGAAATGATATATTCATTTACAAAAAATGAGGAAAAATTAATAAATTTCGTAAAAAGAGAATTTTTTAAGTTTAATTTTAATCGACTATTTAATAAAATAATTTGTTCATTGGAACATGATAAGGTAGATTCTGCTGTGTTAGAGCTTATGCTAAATGGAGGGAAAATATTTCAAGTTAATAATGATTATCCGTTAGAGAAGAATGAAGTAAATCAGGTAAACCTGGAATTATTCATTGGAAAATTTTTAAGTTTAAAAGATGACAATATACATGATATTATAAAAAGATATGCGATTTACAAGTCGTTAATTTTTCTATGCAATATTGTACATATGGAATTTAAGAGATGTAAAAAATTGTTAACAAAAACTAATGAAAATGCAAATGGAGAACAAAGTTGTCTGAAGAGTAATTCAGAAAAATATGGCCTGAACGAATCTGAAGAAAACATGGATAATGTTAACAGTACAGAATTTTTACAATCATATGTGTATATACATATATTCCTCCTTTTGCAGAATAGGGAAGTGGAAAATAGCATAATTAAAGTTTTGAAGGATAAAATTATTCTTTACTCTTTAATGTTGAACGCACTGAGATATGCAGATAACTTTATCCAGTTGATAATATTTAAGATTATAAATTTGACGTTTATAAATGACGATAATTTTTTAAATGATTCAAATAAAAAATTAATAACATCTATATTGTTTTACTGGGTTAAATTAGCAGATGCTTGTGTTATTAAGATGATTAACACGAGTTCGCCTGAAGGAAGCATTGGTTCTAATACACTGAAAACAGATAATTTCTTTTTAAAAAAGAATTTTTCTGATTATGACATTTTGAAATATATACAATGTTTAATCAGTGCAATATACCTACTATCTCTTATTAAAAAGAAGAAGAAGGAAGAGGAGGAATCAACTAATTTGTCAGTGGAACAATCAACATTACAAAAGTGCGAACACAGTGTGGTCTTTTATGTGAATAAATACAATCTAGAGAGATTATCATTAAAGACTTATTTTACAGATAGTGAAAACTATGATTATTTTTTGGGTGTTTTATTTTCAGAAAATAAAGATATACTTAATAAATTATTTAATTTAACATTCAAACTCCTATACTTTGTGAAAAATTCTAAAATATATATTATGAAAAATACAAATATGAAGAACAAATATTTTGAGCAGGCAACCACGTATTCGTGCATAAATATTGTTTATAACATACTAGATGTAACAAAAAGGTTGTTTTTAAATTATTTTGAAGTTGACGAATATACAAAAAATCTGTACAAAACTTCTGTAAAAGAAAATAAAAATTCCTTTGAATGTATTGTTCTGCATTCCTTTGTTCAATTCATTGGACACAGAGATTACTACATCCGTTTATACACAATAAAGGTAATTTGCTACTGTGTATATTTGTCTGATGTATGTGAAAGGCACACATGCATATATGTGTACATGAACTTTTAGAGATACATAGAACATGCATACAATTTTTGAAAAAATATACATTATATGCATTTTTTTTTTTTTTCTTTTTTGTGTACGTACATGTATGCAGGTTTTGACAATTATTTTGTCCGATTCAGCCGTTCGTGATTCAGTGGAGAAAAACATGATTTTTGAAATGTTTGATTCTCTTATGAGCATAGAATTCCCTAGTGACAAATTGAAGAAGAGTGAAGAAATAAAGAACGTAAATAATTTGTTATTACTTCTATTGAAGACAAATATAAAGGATAATAAATACTCAAATAAAATAAGCAGTATAATATTTAGTGATAAACAGAAAGATGTTAAAAAGTACATTGCATCTATTTGTGATGATGGTTTTAACGTAATACATTTGAAATCAATATTCGAATATTTTTTTATTTTATTTGTTAAATTAATTAATGTTATTATAAAAAAGGTTATGTCCCTTTTACCAATGGAAAAGTACAAAGTATTATTTATGAACGTTTATGAAATTTTAGAAATTTTTATAAAAGAATTAAAAGAAGAAAAGAATAAAAGATATAGATCCCTTTTTTTTTCTGTAGCCATGTATTTCTCACATTTGATTTCAAATAGCATATATAAATCGAAAGTGCATTCGTCGATTCCGTTTCTAAATAAGGTTTTTAGTTTAATTAAAAATATTGAAAATTACGTAGAATTGATGTATGATGATTTAATTAATTTTAAGGACACGCGTGAGGACGAGCTCTCTGAGGATGAATTCTATGAGGAAGGAAAGACTGAGAAGTTGATATTTGAGGAAGGGACATCAGATGAAGAAGTGTATTATTCTAGTGATTCTAATTCAGAGAGTGTGAAAGATATGCATATGTTGTATTTTTACAAGAATACGTATTATGATGACGAAATGGAGGTAAGGGAAAAGGAATCACATAGTGCTACCGCGGATATATCTAGTAGAATCAATTATAGCAGTAGCAGCATTGAGAATCTACATAAGAATAAAAAAGAGACTGACAGTTTTAACTCAAACGGATTAGGAAAATATAAACTTTTTATGAAAAGGTCAATAACGAATGGTAAAGTAAACGAAGAACGGATTTATAATTACCTGAATAGTTTTTTTTTTTTATGTGTAAGTAGTGCGAGCATGAGAACTAGAAGACATATTGTGAAATCGTATGATTTGATTGTGAAAAATATGATGAAAGATGAAAATAAACTAAATAGAGTTAAAAAGAGATGCGGCATTTTTTCCTTACCCATTGTAATTATAAAAGATGTAGAGAAGGAAGACAAAAGATATAATCTGATTATTGACAAATATGATTATATTTTAAAAAGTTACATTGTTGATTTTTTTAAATCTAAAAAATACGTGTACAATTTTTTATTATCAGTGTTTCAGTTTAGTAACATAATGATTTTATATTTAAAAAAAACTCATTTTATAAGTAACGAGTTTGATGAAAAATTTGATTTATTAGACTGTTTTTTGCTTATAAATTCCAAAACATGGTTTTATTTAAATGTTGTAATAGAAAATATAAGAAAATATCTAAAGAAAAGAAAAGCGAATCAATTTTTTTTAAGAATCCTTAATTTAATAATTGATAATATTTGGAAAATAATCATATTCATTTTTTTTAATACAAAAATAAAAGCCTTTTCTATAAAATCCAAAACACATTCCATACGTATTTTTGCAAGAGATTCGCTTTTGTTATTTTTGAATTTTTTTTCAACATGGATTTTATTTACGAAAAATTCTTCATCAAATGTGAATTTTTTTACTCCTAATATTATTTTACCTGAATTATTTTTCAGGAAATTTAGCCATATATCTATGCAAATATTAACCGTCTTTAATTTTGTTGAGTCAAATTTACAATCTCTTAGTCACCATGAAACTAATATATCATTGTTAATAAGACAGAAAGAAATTATGAGTAACATTTTAGATGCATTGATAAGTATAGTGAAAGATAAAAATTCCCATGTTTATGAAAACGATTTAAATAGTCTTATAAACTTTAAACTAAAACTGAAGAACTTGACGATTCCTAAAAATGTAGAAAATCTTTTTAAAACATGTGACTATGAAGTACTATTTAATAAGGCTAAGCAAATGATGATGTGTAAGGAAAAAGTAAATGACACATTAACAACAGAATTTAAATCTGGAGAAGGAACTGCTAAATCAAATCGAAGTAAGTTTAGCATACTAAGGGAATGTAACATTTTTTAGTCTCGAACGCTGTATATATATATATATATATATATATATATATATCTCATTTTTACATGTGCATATGTGCATATATGTGTGTGAATATTTATACAAGCAAAAACGCATAATACTCAATGAACATTACCAATGCACAGTGTCTAATTTTAAAACTCTACGTTCTAGCGTCAAGGCACGCTTGTGTATTTTTGTTTATGTAAGTTTACACTTGCACGTGAACATGCATATATATATATAAATGTATATGTTTTGCCCGAAACAGACATGCCCTGTGGAAACCAAGGTCCAGAGAACGTAGTAAAGAAAAATGATCCCAGCTTTAAAGTATTAACATCAAACTGGCAGGAATGTGAACAGGATGCAATTATACGTGATAATATGAAAGTATATGAAGGAGAAAGATTAAGATCAGAATCTGGATCGGCCTCGAGATCAGTATCCAGATCACAGTCCCCTTCTAATAGCTTAAGTTCAAAGGATGGAAAAAAAAAGGAAATTGAAGAAAAAGAAATTAAACCCCAATTTGATAATTTGTCAGATGAAATGAAAAAAGAAGCAGCATTAGAGAAGGCAAAAGAAATTTTAGAAAAAAGGGCTGCTTTAAAAACTCAGAAAAGAGCCATCATACTGAATGAAACAAATTCCAAAAAAAACAAACATCAATACTTCAAAGAAATGAAAGAAAAAAGAATGGAAACAGAGAATAACATTAATAAGTACTTTGTTATGTTACATGAGTTCCTAAATTGGGATTTCAGCAATTTGGATAGCATAGAAAAGTACAAAAAGTGCATTAATGAAGAAATTCCATTGCGTTTTAAGAGCGAAGAAGATTATCACAAGTAAGGAAAGGAGAGGAAAAGAGAAAATGTAGTTGAATGTAATGGGGTAGTGATGATATTGATTTATATACTGAATATATTTTTGATATAATGTGTATGTAAACTTGTTAAGATGTACAAAACTATTCCAGCAGAATATACTCCTTCTTTACTACCTCTCAGCAATTAATGTTGCATCTATTTTACCATTTCATCTGCTTCTACATATTAACAATTGAAATATGTTCTCATTTTTTTTTATATTTTACTTTTTTCCCTTTTTTATTAGATTTTTTAGGCCAATGGTACTGGAAGAATGTAGATGTTGCATTGTGAATAAAATGTTCGGAAATACGAATAAGTACGTGTTAAACTTGGTGGGGAAAAAGAAAACATCATATTGGATAATATGGAATATGACGTTATCAAATGAAAATCAGGTCGTGTTTGATAATTTAAAACCAATGGATTTGCTGGTATTAATTCCTTTTAAAACTGAAAAAAATGGTTTAATAAATAGTGACAAAGGAACTGTTAAATATGAGAAATTGAAAAACATTTTGAAATCAAACAAGCATTTAATTGGGTTAGTTGATTTTTCGATAAATAAATCAGAAAATATGTATGATATTAAACTAATTAATGAAGATACTTTTCCCTCCAAATCAGAGAATGAAAACAATAGGTTAAAATTAAATTGTCTTTCGTGTAACAAATTTCATGCCTACTTTTTGTGTAATCTGATGACAAATATAAGAGAATTTCAAAGTGTCTACTTGAGCAAAAGTTCTTCCTTATTTAATATTGTTCTGAACCCGTTAGCATCTAATAATAATAATAATAATTTAATGGAATCAAAAAAGAGCTCCTTTAGTAATGGACGGGTAAATGAAGAAAATAGGAAAATTGGTGATAAGAGGAGAAACACTTTAACTAATATGGAAAAGTATATATTGAATATTATGAAGGATTATAATTTGTTAAACGAATCTCAAATAGATGCTGTTAAATTGGTTTTTTTAAATAAAAATAATATATCGCTAATTCAAGGCCCTCCAGGCACAGGTAAAACAAAAACGGTTATCGGGATAATATCTGCTTTATACGCAATCATTAATCATAATAATAAAGATAACAAAAATGAGAAATCAAAAAAAATGAAAGACTGTTTATACAATGAACAAAATGAAAATTGTAATAAAAAGATTTTGGTTTGCTCTCCATCAAATTCTGCAATAGATGAAATTGCCAAAAGGATTTTGAATGATGGATTAATAAATTTTATGAATGTAAATGGATTTAAAAATAATAGCAAAAAAAGTAGCGGTAGTAGTAGTGCTAGTAGTAACAACAGTAGCGTCTTGAGTGAATTACTAGGCAATTCACAGGATAACTGTGGAAATAACAAAAAATCAGAAAATGTGCAAAAATTTAAAAAAATAAATATAGAAAAAGAATCAAAAAAAAAAATAGGAAATATCAATGTGGAAGAAAACGAAACTATGAATTTCCCAAAACAAACCATTACACCAAAATGCATTAGGATAGGTATATCAAAAAGGACACATGAAGAAATACAACCCATTTCGTTAGATTACATATTTAATAAAAGAAAAAACATGGAACAAAATGTTTATGAAGCTCATTTTAATGATAAGAAAAATAAGTTATCATTTTCTGTTAAGGCAATAGATCACACATGTGATAAAATGAAAGAAATGAGAGACAAATTAAATTGTAATAATTCTAAAATGTATTGTTACGATTTTAACGAAACAAAATCAAAATCATCATCGCATAAAAAAATTGAAAATGTAAGTGATTTTTTTTCAGGAGAAATTATAAATAATGTAGATACAAAATATTTAGAAAAACTGTTATACTTATTTAATGAATCGTATTCGCATTATGAATGGAGTTTGGAAAAATTGAATTCAGAAAAAAAATGTTTTGAAGAGAAAAAAACAAAATTAATAGAAACAGATAAGGAGATAGGTTCTTTTTATTCAAATACTAATAAAGACAATATGATTTTCGAAAGTGAAGTAATATTTAGTACATTATCTGGAAGTGCATCCCCCGTAATTGAAAATTTAGAATTTGAATATTTAATTATAGATGAAGCTTGCCAATGTGTGGAATTAAGTTGTTTAATACCATTCAGATTAAAAATTAAAAATATAATCATGTTAGGTGATCCAAAACAATTACCTGCCACTACATTTTCTTCAGAATGTATAAAATATGGTTACAGTAGGTCACTATTTGAAAGATTATTATTGTGTAATGTACCGAACGTTTTACTGAATGTGCAGTATCGTATGAGACAAGAAATATGTTACTTTCCAAACAAGTATTTTTACAAAGGATTAATAAAAAATGATGAAAATGTAATGAGTAAAGAATCATTTTATATTCATTATTTAAACTTATATGGGCCTTATAAATTTATTAATATTGATGGAATAGAATCTACTACACATAATAAATCCTACATTAATTACGTGGAGGCCTATTTTATATTCAAATTAGTGATATATATTCATCATTTTTTTAGTAATAAAAATAATGAAAATCCAATACCAAGTTTTTACAAATTGTCTGTTAATTTTAGTTTAAATGATATAGGCATTATTTGTCCATATCAATCACAAGTACATTTAATAAAAAATATGTTTGAAAGTTATTTTCTTAATAACACTTCACCAGAAGTATCAACGGTTGACGCATTTCAAGGGAGGGAAAAAAATATCATCATTTTTTCATGTGTCCGATCGAATCGACAAGCGGTGGAAGTTTTCAAAAGCAGGGATGAATTAGAAATTGAAAATGGGAAAACTAATTCGAGTGAAAAAAGTAGAAGCAGTCGAAGTTGTAGTGGTCCTAGTTCTAGTGATCGCAGTTTGGATAATCACTCCTTTGAGGAAATAAGAGAAGATAATTTATATATTGATGATCTACATAAGAAAAAGTGGCTAAATGTAGGTAAGAACAAGAGTGCAGCAACAACGAACGATTTTAAATCTGTACACAAATATGGGAATAATATCGGATTTTTAAAAGATGAAAGGAGATTAAATGTAGCTCTTACCAGAGCAAAGGATTGTTTATGGATAATAGGAAATAAAAAGAATTTAGAAAAGAATTCTATGTGGGATTCATTAATAAAAAATGCAATTGCACGGAATTTCTATTCTGATTTAAACCTAAATTTCGGTAGAAGTACTACGGAAGAAAATATAAAAAATATAATTGATAAATATTTTTTGCAAATTCGTAACAATATACCGGAAGAAGTAAATTACAAAAATAATGAAAATGACATGAATCTCGAGATATTTAATTCCTCCAGTTCAGAATGTACCACAAAAGAGTCTAGAATAAAAGGAGAAAATTTATTTAAAGAAAGAAAAAAAATTACTCGAATAAATTATATGAATAAAAATGAAAAAAAAATGAAAATAAAGATGAACTGGAATATCCTACCCGAAGATGAACTAATGTGCAGCAGGGCTTATAACGGAAATAAATATTGGAAAAATAGTGAGTACCAACAGAATGGAACTATAAAAGGTAATCATTTGGGGAGAAACATAAAAAAGAGAGAAAACGAAGAAATTATAGTAGTAGAAGAAGAGGAAATGTTTTTCAAAAAAAGAAAACTTCACTACTAAGAAAAGTAGTACTGCTAATTTATAATAACATTATTGTAACATAAACATTGCCTATAGTTCATTTTAACTAAAAATGATTGCACAGAAAGAAGGAAAAGTCCATTCCAGTTACGCAACTAACAAACATTGTTAAAAATTTGTTTCAAAAAGTAGAAAAAGGAAATTGGGAAATGTAAATGATTGCAAAGATAGTGTGAAAATATGTTCATAATGAAACATTTGGAATATTACTACTTGTCTATTTTGTTTTTCTCATTTTTAAGAACCCTTTTATGTTAAATAAAAAAACAGGAATATGTAAACATGAAAAAGATATTAGTTAAAAACGTTGTTTTTTTTACAATTATTTTCAAGGGTGTTGTATACAAGTAGGGCGCCCATTATTTGAATATATATATATATATATATATATATATATATACATTTTTTTTTTTTTTCTTTATTTGTAATTCGTTTAGAATTCCGTTTTTAAGGAGGAAAAAAACTAAAAATTTGCAAACTCATTTTCTTTGTTCATTTTATTAGTGCCTTTGACCTAATTTTGCTTTTTTTTTTTTATTACACACTTGTGTATCCTGTTGTTTATACCTTCTCATTTAGTGAAAAATTAAGTGCATCTGCTAGAATTATAATATATATCCTTTTATCCCTATGAGAAGCATCCACATTACTAATTATATTCACAAAGTGAATACAGTGTTCTTGTAGTCACTATTATGAGTGAGGAGTAAATAAATGGATATTTATTAATTCAAAAAAAAAAAAAAAAAAAAAAAAAAAATATTAAATATCAAACTGCAAAGTATGACAAATGAATAGGCATAATAATTTCGACATTTTTTAAGACGTATGTAAACATCTACCACATATATGTATATATATGTATATATATATATGCTTGTTAGAACATGTTTTAAAGGAAAATAACAATTTGTTTTCACCGCTTTTATCAAGTAGTTTTTAAGAACTCGAGGCATTTATGTAAAATGATGTTTCTTCCATTTCAGTTTTACTTTGTTTTTCTTTTCCCGTATAAATGATCTAGCATTTCATATATACTGCTTAAAGATATATTATATCCCTTGTATGCGCAAAAGGAAAGGAAAGACGAGTTAATTATTTTGTCCAATTAAAAGTCGAAAAATGGAATACTCTCATAATTTTTCAAAAACTGAAGAACGGTACAGAAATTCTATAAACTAACAATTTCTGAAGTTCTGTATATACAGAACTTCATAATTCATTTATGTAAAGAAAATATTTCCAAAATGAAAGGGAAATAAAAGATCATAAAAGACAAAAAAAAAAAAAAAAAAAAAAAAAAAATTAAATCCACATTTTTTTTTAAAAATGATAATTATATTAAACAATAATAACTTGTGTGTTTAAATATGGGCCCCTGAATGATAGGTTTATTATTGTTTTTTTTTTTTTTTTTCATGCGTAAAAATTTTACACATATACTTTACATTTTCTCTCATAAGTAATTTTTCGCAAAATTCTTTACAACATTTATGCTACACTTGTATGTTTCTTCCACACGTTTCACAATCAATTTCTTGTTTCGGTTTTTGGTTAAAAATGGAACCCCAAGGAGTTTCCATCGCTGATACCCCAGACGATGTAAGGAGTGAAAATCAAAAATTTTTTGGAGGTATGTAAAAATGTGAAAAATATTAATAATTAAGTGAAAGGAACAAAAAAAAAAAAAAAAAAAAAAAAAAACACTAATTTATCACCACATTAATCTTATTTTATTCTATTTTGTCTATTTGTTTTTATAGAAGCGGTAATTTACAATTTTTAACTAAAATTATACAGATGTCATCTTTTTAAATAAACGCGAGACATTTATAATATTTTATTAACTCATCCCGCATCACGTTATGAGTTAATAGTAAAAATAATAAGTTATGTAGAAAAGTTTAAAAGAGCTTGCAAATAATTTAATAGGGTACCGTGATGCGCCTGGTAATTGTGTTTGTGGACATTCTACTATTAGCAAGTTTGTTACTTAATTTTAACATTAGTTGCGATGGATATTTAAGTAAGTTCTATTTGTGTACATTACATAGTCAATAGTATATGACATTTATTAGAAATAGATGGGAATAGATGTGGAAGGGGGGAAGAAAGACACTGAGTGCAGAAGAGATAAAAAAAAAAAAAAAAAACTATAGCAAAAATAATGTAGTTATGATACATATTTAAATATTCACTGGACAAGCGAATCGACAAAGGCACATTTTTTTTTTTTTTGCTTATTTAACAGGAACGTGGATCATAGGAGCAATATTATTAGTAAAGTTTTAAATTAATACTTAAAAAATTTCATTTATAATATGTTTAAACATTTATATATTTTTTTTTATTATTTCCGAAACCCTATACTCCTTTTTGAAGAGTTTTTTCCTATTTTCTTTTGTAAAGAGAGTTCAAGTTTTGCTAAAGGAAGACAAAGGGGTATGAATTACAAGTTATGTGTTGCTTGACATTATGTAAGAAAATTGATAAACCTGTTAGATAGCCTTCCACATGAATATGTGTGCTTAAATTTAGTTACTTTAAGGAATAAATAAACATGGATTCTAAAAAATTGTCTCAGATGGAGATTATATAATATATATTAATTCTGTTCCTAATCATATTGAGACAATTTTTTAGTTCTTTTTCAATATATTCCGACCCATTCTTTAGCTACTTCCTGAGATTCTTTTGATGTTAGTGTGCTTTTTATGGACATACTTTGGGACAATTCAGGTACAAACAATAAGTACATATTCTCCCTGTCGCATTTGAGAATATATTAATAAGTATTTATGTTGGTGTATAATAAAAATGAATTTTTTTTTTTTTTTTTTTTTTTTTTCACACCTATTGAAGATTAACAAATCCAGTGCTTGTCAAAAAATTGCACCTTACTTATTCTGGACAGTGTTTACTTTAGTTACCACAATTTGGTATAGAAAAGGAAAAGCTATTGCATATATACACATATAATGTGTTACATACATGCTGAGATAGGTATATAAGAAATTCAGTTTATCACTTTTTTCTTTCTCTTTTTTTTTGTTTTTCTTTATCTTTTGCCTATTATTTGTAGGTGTTCCATAATAGGACTAATTTTAAGTCTGATGATTATAACAATAGTAGGAGATGGAAAAAACAAAAAAACAAAAAAACATACGGATAAAGAAGGAAAATATAGAACAAGGACTTTTGCATTTTTCAAAGAATATTTTAACGACAAATCAAAGATCATACGTGAAAAAAATATATTAGAAATGTTATATGTCTCGTTATATTTTAAGCAACAAAAAAAGTTAAGTTTTCTTTTGTTCGAATTCATATGATATGAATTAAAATAATAATTTAAAACTTTTTTTAGGGTTCATTCTTCGTTGTTCGATCTAAAATGGGATAAAAAAGATAACTTTTTTTCTTCTTTCTTTTTCTTTCTTTTTCTTTCTTGTTTTGTAATTGTACACACTTACATGGAGCAGAATGTGCAGAAATGTAAAGGCACATATAGAATATTTTTAAAGATACATTTTTTTACTTTTTTTTTTCTTGTTTTTGTTTCATGGCTTATTACTGATTAAACTTTATTGGATTAAAACTTAGACCGCGTTACACAGTTGTATTTTATCAAGTATACATATGTATGCATGCAGCTACATGAATATATAAATTCTGCATCAGTTGAAATATCGTTCAAAAGTAGTATGAGTTTATATAAGCATAGTTTATTCTACACATGGTGTAGATGAGTTAAATCAGGAACTAAATATATCGTAAATTTAATATTTTTTCCGAAATTTTTCATGGGACAAAAGAAAGGATTTACAATCTTATTGTTAAAGGATGGCTTTGATTTACTTTAAATAGTTTTTACAACGTTAAGCAATATATTATAACTACATTAACTGCGAAAAAAACAAACAAACAAACAAAAAGGAAAGACTGTATGTTGTTAACGTTTATACTCATAAAATTTTAGTTTTATTATATTTAGGACAACCAGGTGTTTATTAAAAAAAAAAGATGTGAGATAAAATAAAATTGGAATTTTCTAATACGTAAAAAAACTTATTCAGAACAATGCCTTTTCATTTTGAGCTATACCTTGTATTAGAATAAAGGGGGTCTGGTATTTTATTCACACAGAATTGTATAAAATGCACATACATATATGCATGTAGAATTGTGTTCATTTATAATATATTAACATGTATGTACATATAGTATGACGTGTAAACAACATAAGGTAAAAATAATTCTTGGAGGATTTATTTTATCACTGTTTCGTTGGTTAAATTATATAAACGACGTATGATGATTACATTTTGAAAAAAATAATAGAAAAAAAAAAAAAAAAAAAAAAAAAAACATCCTTCTACATAGATCACATGTTTTTTTTTCAAGGGCATAAAGCAAAAACAAGGATTTATTCAACAATTTTTTTAAACTTGTAAGATTGTATTCATGTTTATAAGAAACATGTAATGTATGAAAAAAAGAAAGAAGAGAGAACGAAAAAATGTGGCATAAAAAAATTAAAATCAACAATTTTGTTATAAAGGTTTATATTTATTCAATAAAATAGATTCTGTGCTTTGTGCGATTTTAGAAGCAAATACTTTGTGTCACATGTGAAAAAACAAAAGAATGACGACACCCGATGTTTAGGAATTAACATATAAATTTTACGTTTAAATAATATCTCAAAATTTTCAATATATTGTAATCTTTCAAATTAGATAAAAAAATAAGCATTTTATTTTTCTTCCTTAAAGGTATAAATTTTTATTATATACTATACTATTACAATGCTTGCTTTGTACAATTTTAGCTTAAGAAATGAACATGATAATTGTTGGCTCTTCTTTTTTATTATTACATCATTTAACTTTTTTCTATTTTTTTTTTTTTTTTTTACTTAAAAAGGTAAAAAAATTATGTATATAATATATGTATATAATTTAAAAAGTAACAGGTGCTTAATTTATAATAGTATATAAAATATATGCACATATGTACATAATTTATTTAGATGTACTAGTTTGATAAAAGAGTTGAACGTTTAAAAGCCGAAAAAAGTCAAAAATGATTATATTTGCATGTATATGACACGCATAAACAGATATATTTTTATGTTTAAAAAAATATAATTTTCTATTTTTTTTAAAGCGAAGTGTTGCTTTAGAAAAAAACGAATAAACATAAAAAAGAAAAAAAAAAAAAAGTGTATTGTACTTGTGTCTTTCTTATGTGTGACACATCAAATCTTGAGGTAAAATTGCATAAGAAAATTAAAGAAAATGTTACGAATATATAAGTACCATAATATATATATGTAATTTTGTTAATATATTTTACTATTGCATGTCTGCTCCTTACACATAGAACTAGGTGAAATGATAGATTTTACCAATTTTGTAGCTTTTATAGTGATGGATTTAGTAGTTTTTTGAAATTATTCCTTTGAGTTGTAATTTATTACATTTTTCTTTTTCTTTTTTTTTTTTTTCCGTCCCTATATTATTATTAATTGTATATACTTTTTTAATACAAACAAATGGCAGTAATCATCTCGAAAAGTTAATACTTACCACGATATATATTTTTATGTGTGTATATATCAATATATATTTTTTGTAAAAATTTGAGCATTATGAAGCTTCTTGGAATGGTGCTTTAGGTATTTGTAGACACATATTTTCAATACCATGAGTCGCTTGAATGCGTTAATATGTGTAATGTTTATATTCCTTCTTTATGTCCAAGAGTTAAATGCCTTAAGGGGAAAGAAAGAGAAGAGCATTGCACTTCCAGTTTATGGTAATTAGTTGTAATTTAAAAATATATAAAATGAACATTTCTTGTTAAAAAAAAAAAAGAAAAAGAAAAAGTGTTGGTTTAGTCTACTGTATTTACTTTGACGATAACCGCTTATCTTTTGTTTGGCAAACATAGGCGATTAACCTTTTCTTCAAGTTTTTTGTTAAAATTGTGTTTTGTGTTACAAAAGTAGACGAAGGAGAAAAGATAGCTTTATTCATCGACATTTTTGTTTTTTTTTGTTTTAATTTTTTTTTTTTTTTTCCTTTTTCAGATGACTTATTTTTAAATAATGGAGGCTTTAAGATAATTCTTCCACAAGAATATGTTGACAACAACAATTTGAATGAATCGCTCTTGCGTATGATTAAAATTACGAAGAATAAATTTAAAAAAATAAAAAAATCCAAAACAAGACTTCGAGATAATTGTTATCATTTAGGAGTTAATCTTGGTCTGCGTATTTTACATCAGCTTAGCCTTTTAAGTTTTCGAATGATGAATAAGGTTATAAAAGAACAAAGTAGACGTGCACATAAAGCCAAAAGTAAAAAATTACCTCCCATTTAAATATTATTATATCGGCTGATATGATAGATTAGATATATTTAATTAACTAATTAAGTGATTTAATTTTTTCATCATTTCTCATACTTGGTCTCCCTTTTTTTTTTTTTTTTTTGGTACGTTTTTAACTGTTAATTGATACATTTATTACTTTACATGTTGTTAATCCTATATTTGTATTCAGAATTTCACATATTTTTTTGTGTGCAGTATGTAGGAAGGTTATGAAATTATATTTGTGTGGCCTGCCAAAATGATTTTAACTTAGATTATTTTGACACATTTTTTTAAATATATTTACATTTGACCTCTTTTTATGTATATTTAATACTAAAGTTTTTTAAAAGATGCGTAATTTTTATTAACATCAACTAAAATAATTTTTATGGTAAAAATTTACATGTTTTATTAAGTTATAAACATAATGGTATTAATATTTTTTTATAAATGTTCATATTTATGAATATAACGTATGTAACTGTGAATTAAACTATTTGTGATGAAATAAGACCTTGCAAATTTTTCTAACAAAGTATTTAAAATGATGCGCAGGCGGAAGTTTTTTTATTTTTCTTTCAGCAGTATGAAAATAAAAATAAATATATAAAAATGTATATTAAGAAGGAAAATATAGGAAAATTTTGTAAAAATTAAATGTAGATATAAGTCCTTTTTTGTAGGTTTTATTACATATATAACTTATATGTTACAATTTAAACGTTTGAAAGGATCTCCAAATTGCAATGTAAGCAAAACTGTTTTTGCTTCACGAAATAGGTAGGGGGTGCACTCGGGAAAACATGGGAGGTTAAAAATTTAGACACACATTGTATATATATATAACCTGTAAGAGAACACTAAGCATAACACTGTGAACGGAAGATGTGTATACACTTTTGGGTCTTCTCTTTTAATGACTTAAAAAAAAATAAAATAATAAAACTGTTTTAAAATTGAGTTCCTTAAAACAAATACGTTGTAACCTCGTAATTTAATGAACTTTTGTTCTTTCTTTATCATTTATATAGCATTTCATTTAGTGAAATATTGTCGTATATATATTTGGAATATATTGCAAAGGTTAATTTCAATCAGAAGGGTTGAACAAATTTATTCCCTTTTCTGTGCTATATATTACTTGTTTTACGAAGGGTGCCACAAAGACCAATTCAAAAAAAAGCATAATGTAGGAGAAAAAACTTGCAATTAAAAAATGATCCTTCCAGAAAAAAATAAATTATCATGTATGAAAAGTTGTAACGCAAAGAAAGCGCAAAAAAAGGAGATGATAAATTGCAAAAAATACCAATAATATGCTTAAAATTGAAAGAGCATTTAGCAATATGAACACTTCAATATAATATATGCACAAATATTGGGAGGGGCCCCAAAGCGTGCTTGATATTCGTATAATATGCAAATATGTGAATAAATTTATAAAAATAAAATTTGATTAATTCTGAATTCTGTCCTATCATTGCGCATTTAAGTGTAAGAATATGAAATTTCCAAAACTATAGTGTTAAGGCGAATGTGCGTAACTATTTATAAACTTTACATTGTGCCTTATTTAACATCTACTTTAAAATTTGCAAAGCTTGGGATCAATAATCAACCCATGGCCATGTAACATCCATGAATTAAGCAAATTTTTTTTTTTTTTTTTGTTTCATTATGCTTATGTATATATATATTTACACATGTATTAGATAAGAAAGTAGTATATGGGGTTCCTAATTAATTTGTTTCTTTATACAAGAATTGCCTTTTTGTAATTTGATGTGCGTTTATGTATTTACCTTTCTTTGGCATAATTGCACTATATACCATATTATAAGAATAAAAAAAAAAAAAAAAAAAAAAAAAAAAAAAAACTATCAGTAAAATTTACCTGTACAATTTTCAATGAAAGGTAAGCATGCTAGACAACCATAACCTCTTCAAATTATGAATAATTTCTTTTAATATAAAAATTAGTGCATGATTAAAATACAGGGTGTGTTAAACTGTGTTTATTAGTTCCTTTGTCTATCCTTTTTTAAGTACTTTGACACGTATAGTTTCTACTGGGGTAGTGGTGGTGCTAACATAGCCGCTTAAATAAACCCGATTAAATGAAAAGATACATTCTTTAAGAAAAACAGAATCATAAGAAAGAATGAACCAAATATAGTAATACATGTAGTGAAAGTTGAACAAATGAACAAAGAATTCAATTCCTGCAATAATAAGTCATATAATTTCCCCCTCCCTTTCAATAAATGCTTATGCACATTTTTTGATGGCTCAATTTTTTAAATTTAATATTTAAAAATTTTTTAAAATATAAAGTATATTTTAAAAAAATATATTTAACATACTGAAATTTGTTCTTTTGTAGAGCTTTTTTTTTTTTTTTTTTTTATTATATATATAAAGGGTATGTATGCATGTGTATATTTATTTGCATATATGCATGCATAACGTTTTTCCATCTCTTTGTAATAGCTTTAAGTGAAAATTTCGTTCGTTTTTTACATTATCGATTCATTTAAATGTTTGATGCAACAAGTATCAATGACACAAAAAAAATAAAAATATGATGTAGTTTTGCATTTTTGAAGATTAAAATTGCATATCAGTGCTTACACATGCTTATTCCTCCTCTTCCATTATTCGTAAACCACAAAATGAATGGAGAAAGTAATTTATTTTGAATATAAAATTGCTAGTTTAAAGAGTTTTATATGGTTTTACTTTTGTTTGCATGTATTACATGCGCTTTTTTACATTATTCTCCTTATGCATGTGCTGTGAATCGAAGGTGTTGTGAGATTGACAAATGCACAATATTGAATGCTATGATGTCGTTATGTGACTTTTCATTTTCTTAAAATGAGTGAGGATGTTATAAAATTGGTAAATATAATGTGTGTTGTTATAATGTCATTATGTGGCTTTTCTTATCCTCAAAATTAGTGGATGAACGTACAAATTATTGTAAGATTTAATAAAGCAAAAATTACGCTTTTAACAAGGGCAAAATTAATAAAATGATAGATTAATTCTCAAGCATCATATATAGAGCCATTACAAAGGATTCAGAAAGAACATGTTAACAGTTATGCGTAAGAATAAAATATTTACAAATTATTATTTATCATAAAAGAAATGTGAGAATAATTATCAGTGTTTTTTATTTTATTTTATTTTATTTTATTTTTTTTTTTTTGTTCCAATATATATATGTAAAATTTTTTGTCACTTAATTTTTTTTTTGTGTACATATATGTTGGGAAACATATTACTTTGCTACAACATTGTATAAATATATAGGAAGACGAACGCACATATGTACATAATATATGTGCTTTTATTAATTTATATCTGAATTTAATATTTTTTCCTTTTTTTTGGAACAAAAATAAAAAGTTCCATGTAAATTTACAATAAAAATGAAAATTTCAAAAATATTTCCCTTTTTTTTTTTGTTATACGTGATTGAAATATTATTAATTGTGTACGCTAGTGAGAACTTATATTCAATTGAAAATGATTTAGAACCACTAAAAAATATCGATGAGACTCTAGCAGAGAGAAAAAAAAAGAAAAAAATTTACTACTCCTTAATATCTTCAAGCATATTTGTCTTTGCTGCCGTTGCATTGGGTATTGGGTTTTACATAAATCAAAAAGAAGAAAATTCTTTTAAAAAATATACACAATTCAAGAACAGAAAATTCAATTTTGAAAATCCGAGAGATGGACAAGTACCAAGCACAAGCAGAGAATATGTGGAACCAAAAGGAATAAATAAAGTAGATATAAAAGGGCCATTAGTTGAAAACACAAATGAAAATGATGTCCCTTTAAAAAAATTTAATATTTTTTTGGATAACGCAAGAATAGCATTGAAATATCATTTTAATAATTTATCACTCACACAACAAGAGTATTACATGAACGACCCAGATTATATAAGAAAAGTTCTGCAGTCTTTGGGAGATAAAAGAAATGTCCATCTTTCAAGGAATCAAGAAGACATGGCAGTTTTAAATATGAGAGATTTTTTGAACAAACATCATAACGATTAATGGGACATTATATTTACAAATATACGCATATGTATTTATACATGTACATACACGATGGTTGTAATATCCCGTCTTTTCAACAACGCGAAAGCAAGAATATTTGATATATGTAGCCCGATGCAATATCTAGACCATTTTTTTCTTTTTTTTTTTGTGTATGGATTTAATATACCTACGTTTATGTTTAGCATGTATATGCTGCACAACACAAAGCACTGAAATTTTCGAATGAATAGACAATGAAAAATAAAGTAAAAATAAAAATAATGTATAAAAATAATAAATAAAAATGAGGAATAAAACCACTTATCATAGTATGAATCTTATTGCTCTCACAAGAGAGCATGTGTCATGTACACATTGAAGACAAGGTATATCTGCTAAGTTGGCATTTCTGAGTGAACAGGAGAATGAAGATGAGGAAGAACCTGGATGTATGAATAAAATTTATTCAGTTCCTTTGAACCTGTGATCTATATCTCCTTTATATATATGCATGTGTTTGCATATGCATAAAGATAGGGATTTTTGTCGTGTAAATTGGAGAGATACTCTTGCTATATATATTCCAAATTGGCATATTCCATTATAACACACTCTGGGCAAAAATTTTGTTATGCTTAAAGGTTCTGTTACAATGGAACTGAAGTATATATACAATACATAAGAAAAAATGTAAATGTCTTTTAAAATATAATTACTTAAGATATGTTTTACATTCTCCATCGCTGGGAATTACATTGTTGTTATATATAATTGCGTTCAATGACTTTTTTTTTTTTTTTTGTGTGTATGATTTTAAAAATTTAATTATTTATACAATAACCTAAATTTGTCCTTTATGTTAATTTGAGTTGTGTATGCAAATACATATCAATATATATGTTATAGTTCTGCTCAAATTAATTTTACCCCAATATATATATTAATATATAGGATGAAAATTTTTTTTTCTGTCAAATGAAAACATAATTTTTTTTTTCTTTTTTATACTTCAAAAACTGAGAAAAAAAAAAAAAATTCCGAAAAACAAGTTTTATTTAAATAAAAAAAAATTTTTTTTTATGCTTATATTATAGAGTAAAAAATAATGGAATTATTGGGTAAGTTTTGTAAAAAGATAAGTGAGTACTGTAACATGAAGTTCGAATAAGGTGAATCGGAATTGCGGTAGATATATTGCTATAAGTGTTTTTCAGAAGATATATTCTTACATATATGTTCACATATTAACGTTTATTTAAATAGGGGTATAATTGTGTATTGCATATTCGCTTATTACGATATTATATGTTTTCATTATACAGCTGCTATAAGATGCTTTGTTTTTAGGCGATTTAAAATGTTTTAACGCATAATTATCACATTTTTTTGTAACATAAAATGTAGTGTGTTTTTGTCTACCAAAATATGCATTAATCTTTGAAAAGTCATGTGTACGACAATTTTATATATTGTAATATTTTGAATTTCAATGGAATTAGACTCTATATTATCCATATTTACTTTTGGACCTATTTGAGGTTCCTAACAAATTAATATATAACATAAAATTTAATTCAGTGAAGATTTTTCCATATGTGTTCTGGAAAAAAAATGATAGTAAAATAGATACTGCAAAAAAGGTACTATTAAAATGTAGCTAATACTGCTATCGCTATTTTGCGCATAATTCTCTATTGCAAAGGACAAAACAATATGTTTTAAATTTTGTGAATAAACTATTTGTATTAACAAAATAGGCTATTTGTATTTTATATTCAACGCATATATAATGTATGTAACAATGTACATAAGTGATGAATGTAACATTCTGTACATATATATACATAGTACTTTCTAGCATTGTACGATTTTTTTAGATGCAACCAAAAATTTGTTCGATTAAATGGGACATGGTTTGACGGAGCTGCTCGATATGCATGTTTTTGAATAATTTACTGTTGTTGTAACACCCTTAAGATAAATCTAGCATTTATTTAACTTATATATATGTGTCATATGCTTGTTCATGATTATTCCACATATTCTGCAAGAATTGGGATTTAAAACTAGTTTAGAACAGTGCATTTGAAGGTACTAAAAATATTTTACAAGAATTGTACATATACATGTATATATATGAAATGGATAACTGTATATCTAAATAAAAATTTTTCTAATTGTAAAGTTTGGTGGCGCACCATAAAAAATGGAGAGGGGGGTGGGTGGGGGGGTCCATTATATATTTTGTATACAAACATATTTATATATATATTGATGTACAGATATAGATGCGTAGATATAGATAGGTTACTAATACGACATTGAGATGTTTTATAACAACATATTGTCATACATTTATATCCTTTTGCATATTTATTTATTTTAATAATAATAAAAAGAAAATATATAAGACTACCAAGGAATGTTGTTCTAAATGTTATTATTTAAATAAAGATTATAGCGCGCATTTCATATATACCATAATATATATACAAATATACATAAAATTTATGATTCATAATAATTTGCATGCCACTTGTGCACAATGCATACATATATAACTTATTGGTTGTTCAAAATTTTGTTATTTAAAAAAAAAAAAAAAAAAAAAAAAAAAAAAAAACATAGAAATTGAGTACTTTAAAAATAAATTGTTTTGGAAAGAAAAAATTATAAAACTACTATTTGCATATTATTCTTTCATTCAATTGTTATATTTCTTTTTAAATCAACATAATTTCTACAACATTTATATGTAAAAAAATTACAATTTTTTTCGTCGCTCCTTAGGAAAGCTGAATCTGTCAATTTATAAAGCTAAACATCAAGTCCATATTTTTGTACATGTATACATAAGTATATATTTGTTCATAGTTATAACTATTTTTATAAAAGTTTTTTTTCGCTAATTTTTATGGGTTATATTTACTACGCAGTATACAGGGTTTGTTTGCTAATATATATGTATATGTATGTCTCTATAGATTACCCCCCAAATAGTCTATACTAACATAGGTTTATGACCTATTTTTATGTACATTGCAAAATAGGTGTCACATTTAAGAGTTCATTATTTTAAGATCATTTAGAAATAATTTTCATCAAAAACAGAACTTTGCATTGTTTTAATTTTTTTTTTTTTTTTTTTTAATGACTTTTTTCGTAAAAATGAAAAATTCAAGGAAATATAATTACAAGAGAACATTTCTCTTTGCTACTTTATCCATAATATTTTTGTGTGCTGATAATCCTTTTTTCAAATCTTGTACAAGCGTAGTGAATAAGGGTTATCAGGAATCATGTAAGACAATGAAATCATTAGAAAGAACTCTTGCAGATGGAGAAGTACAAGGTGTATTGCATACGAGGGATGAATTAATTAATCTTAGGAGAAGATCTATATATTCTAAGATGGATAAACTTATGGATTGTTTATTTAGAGGATTTTTAGATACATTAATATGGGTTACAGATGAATTTTACAAATCTAATGTAAATGAGGTCGTTAAGGATGATACAATGTCAGGAAAAATTATTAGAAAACAAATGTACACAGAAGGTATTACTTTATCGAATAGAACTGTAAGTAATGAAGCTCTTAGGACGAAGGAACGCCATAATGAAATTATAGAACAGGGAGTTTCTTATGAAGTAATTAAACGTATGATGAAATTATACGAGCTTGAGAATAATGTATCTAAACTAATGATGAAAAGGGTCACGGATCCCAATAAGACTGAGAGCATAGATAATATCCTCAGTGTTGAAAAAATAAAAAACAAAATTAAGAAAAAATTAGAAACAACTGCTTACAAATACGATGAAGCACTACTTGATTCATTATCATACAGAATTATTGAACGAATTAAAGACATATATACGGATGAAAACATTATTTAGAAATATGTTCGTTTAAGTCTTATGAGCTAAATTTTTTTTGGCGTGAAAAAGAATCGATGATCATCTTGTCGTTTTGCATATAATTGTAGTAAATTAGGAACTGTGGCATGCTCGATAAAATAAGCATATGCATTATATATGTAATATGTAATGGTACATGTATGTGTTTGTAATGCTATCACGTCTATATCTATCTATATATATACAGAGATATAAACGCATATATATGATCTTGTATCTCGCATACACACGCCCACCCCCTTACTATATTTAGCATATGTGTATTCCCTTATATATATTTCTGTGATATGAATAGCAGCAAAATACGCCTCTTTCTGCAAAAAAATATTAGGATAATTAAATAATTAACCTAAGCTTTTTTGCTACAACATGCTTTGGTAAATTTAATTAAAACGAGATAAACTAATCTTGTTTATTATTATTCTTGCTATGAATCCTTTTTTTTTTTTTTTTTTTTATATATATTTTATGTTTATGTAATTTAATAATAAGTTTTAATATTAATTGGATTCTATTTTTGTTGTTATCCTGTTTATTTGTTTGTTTTTTTTTTTTTTTTTCCCCTTTTAAACATGCGAAGTTTATTTGATGTTTATCATTTGTAATGAGTCATTTTTTATTTTTTAAGTAGTACATATTCTATTTCAATTAATTTTTTTTTTTTTTTTTGAAATAAGTATGCACATTCTGAAAAAATACTTATAATATATATTTTGTTCCATATAAAAGGCATAATCTTTATGTATGAAAAATGCTTAAAAAAGGAAGAACTAAATTATTATATTATGCAGAAAACAAACTGATGCATTATAATAATATATATAATTAAAATTGTTAAATTTTTCTTTTAATTTGGAACAGTTTATAATAAATCCTTCTTCAACTATTCATATATATATTTAGATATATGTACATAAAGCTATGTATATGTATGTCTGAGTGTAGTTATGTATGATTAAAGCTATACTCAAGGCCTTAAAAATTAAACGTACTATATATAACCCCAAAGCAAACCCAGTTTTGTTGTAGAATTTTCAATTAATCTCAAAGAAAGTAAAAATAAATTTTTTTTTTTTTTTTTTTTTTTTTTTTTTTGGTATTATATATAAGAATGAATAGCTTATTATAAGGTAATTCTAATACAGCTATTTATTCTTATGAATGCTGAATTTACAATATTTAATTGAGACAAAATTTTTGAATTTATGCCAATTTTAATTAATGATACATAGACATTAATGTAGTAGAAGGATAGCTTTTACAAGTACTGAATATTATTGTTGCTTTCAAATAATTATATTTAATAATAAAACGTTTTCAAATATTTTGCTTTCTCCAAAAAATAAAAATTTGATGAAATTAAAAAAATTGTCATATATTTATTAGAGCTATAATGAACGTTCACTCATTCAATTTAAACTATTTCTACGAATGTCACAGAATTGTTACTGAAGTTTAATATATGTCTCTACATTATTTGATAATAGGTCAACTTCATTTTTAGTAAATGAAAAATGTTTTTATAAAAGTTTTTGCTTGTGTAAATGTAAGAAACGAAACACTAGTGTTTTTATATTACCTATTTAAAAAGGCACTTTGATGTGTAAGTGTTAACAAGTTCATTCGTTATTAATGATTCGTTATTAGTTTAATAATGTTATGGATGGTGTATTTTTTTTTTTTTTCTCTCTCTCTTTTTTCCCCTTTTTTTTGCGTACACAAAAATGTAGTACAAGGGGAAATAAAGCGGTTATTTATATAAGGATAAAAACTCCTCTTAGAACACGAATTAACTGTGGTGGACTTATATGTTAGGGAGATACACATAAATATATGTGTATGAAGAAATTTAAAAATGTAAAAATATACAAAATGCAAAGTATAAAAATACAAACGTACATTATATGAGTATACACTCGTAGATGAATGGTTTATAGGTAAATCTGAATTAAAGACTCTTCTTTTTTTCTTTTTTTTCTGATTATTACATTTTTAGCACTCTATATTTTTATTTATATTATTTCTTGGTGTACGTGAAAAGCTCAAAAAAATATAAACTATATTTATGTGTATCAATGGTAAATAATTAGCTCTCCTTCAATAAAAAAATAAAAATAAATATAATAAGAAAAACAGAAGAAGTAGAACTTTTCTTAATTTTTAATTTAGTATGGAATTATAGCGCTATTCTGAGGTAATGCTAAAATGCTTAGAGAATCCATTTTTATTAAAAATATATCCTTTTTTTTTTTTTTTTTTTTTTCTTCAGTTTTAACAATTATTAAATAACATATTTATTTTTTTTTACAAGTTGAAAAAGTGGTGTGGAGTATATATAGCTATACTGTTCGGTTGTATGCAAAAGTACACATTTTTTTTAAGGATAACAAAAACTACTCAAAAAAAAAAATAATAAAAATAATTTTTGCATGCTTTTTACATTTGTGTGTCTCACCAGAGATTAGTGAAAACACGTACATCTTTGTAGAGTGTACTTTTAGATACATTAATTATGAATGTACATTTTAAGAGAGAAAAAAAAAAAAAAATTAAAATAATTTTTGCATGCATTTTACATTTGTGTGTCTCACCAGAGATTAGTGAAAACACGTACATCTTTGTAGAGTGTACTTTTAGATACATTAATTATGAATGTACTTTTTAAGAGATAAAAAAAAAAAAAAAAATTAAAATAATAAAATAATAAATAAAAATTAGAGGTGTTATTAATTTTATTTTTGAAAACATTTTCACACCCTTACACAATACCAATAATAGAAAATATATACTAAAATAACTTTTAAAATATAAAAATCTATTAACATAATATCATTTTCTTCATTATTAATGAATAAAACCTTTAAATAGTATAAAGAATAAGAACTTTTTGAAAGTTAAAATTGCATACTTTTGTTTATTTTTTATAACATACCACTGGATTTAGTAGTACATTTCACATACATAGGTCCCAAAGCACAGTGATAGCATTTTATGTATATCTTTTTCTTTTTTTATTATTTATTTTAGTACTTTACTTTTTGTAGAAAATAAAAAAAAAATTTTTTTTAATTTTATTCATTGTTAAGATATTTTACACATATACGTAAGAGCTGAATATTCCCCTTGTATGAAATACTTGTGTGCATACTGATAAAATAATGAATAGAAATCACCCTTACAGAAAATATCCTGGAAATGCCGGGGATAACCAATGGATACATAATGGATATTTTTTTAGGCGCGTGAAGACGCCTCGACAGTATAGTGATGAATATGATGACGAGCCAAGGTGGAATGCTGGGCAATTTTATCATGGATATAATGCACAACGAGGTCGTAGAGGTTATAATGAGGACCCTTATTGGAATGCGCAAAATAGTGATAATGAACATAACTTCATACCTACAGGGTCTCAGCACTTTGGTTATTTTGGATACAATTTGAGAATTGTGGGTATTACTCATGAGGGGAAGAAGGGATATAATGTGAGAATTGTGGGAAGTTATCCGGAAAATGATAAGCTGAGTAAATTTGTTAATAGTCCTTTTATATCAAAACTTATAAATATGTGTGACGTAGAATTCCAGGCAACGAATGATTATATGCGTTATTTATCAAGCTTAGATCGTGATAAAGTAATGGTAATAAGGGCCATAGGTAATTTTGAATTAATATTAGATTTAGTTAACGCTTATGAAAGAAAACATGGATTTACATTTTATAATGGTAATACTAGAAAGAATATTGTATTGAGAATATCTAATCGTTTAGCTTTTTATTGTGCAACTGAAAGATTAACAGAAGCCTACTGCAATCAAGTTAGGGAAAATATTGCTATGGAGCGAAAATCCATTCAAGAAATTTGTTTAAAAATAGATGATGAAATTAGAATTGGTAAAAGAATTAGAGTCGTGAAGGGTAAAGATGAAAATAGATTTTTTGTTGAGTTATGTGGTGTAGCTAAGAAAGCAATATTAGCAGAAGATCAGTTTTCCCATGCTATAAATAGAGCCAATGAGTTCCTAGATGATGTAATGAATTCCACTATTATTGTTTTTCCCAAAACATTCCCATAATTTCTGATGACGTGTAAAATGGTAGTAACTAGTCATCAATAAACTTCTTTAAAGATGTATAATTTCTTTAATTGTTTTAAGGAGCGGATGATATATATTGTGAGTTTCTTCATCTTGTTCCTGTTTTTTTTTTTTTTTTTTTTACATAATTTTATCAACTTGCACTAGCGAAGCATTGAAATTTTGAAAATTCAGAAAAGGTACGCGTTAAAAATATTACCATTTATGTGTATATGCTTGATGTATATTTACACTTATATGAAATCTGCAATGTGTGAAAATGTGAGCATATGTGCAAATTTTATTAAGAGTTCTTTTATTTCATTTTATTTTTTCTTGAGCGCAAAATTTTTATACACATTATTTACTTAATATTTTCCTATTATTATATTGAGAAATTACACATTCTTTAAAACTAGCGAGTTTCATTAAATTGTTGTTATAATAGGAAATGAAAGCAGTGCATATCTATTCATACATATAAATAGATATACACGTTTAGAATTAGTATAATATTGAAAAAAGGGGTTCGTTGGAATGCGGTGAAAACTTCTGTTTCTCTTAGAAAAAAAAAAAAAAAAAAAAGTGTACCACAAAGGAATAATAACAGGTAGGATGGAAAATGTACATTTCCTGTTACAGGAATAAGATGTTTACATCTTTTCCAAATATAGACTTACATTGTATGATATCGTATACCTTCATATAGCACATGTTGTTGTGTGTTACAGTGTAGTAGCTGTAAGCTTTTATATATCAATATTGTAAACGTGTGTATAATAGTTATTTAATTTTTGCAATGTGCTACATGGGATGTTTTTTGTTAAACTTAAGGAATGTCATAAAATTTTGATGGCCTTTGTTTTTTCAGCGATTAGAGATTTTTTTTTTTTTTTTTTTTTTTTTTTTTTTTGTGTTTTTTAAATTGTAAATTAAAAATTGCCATTTTTTTTCCTTTTTTTTTTTTTTTTGTATGTGTTTTTCAAATTGTAAATTAAAAATTGCCATTTTTATTCCTATAAATATATCACTAATATGTAAGGGGAAAAAATTACACCACAAACAAATTTCTAACTTAAAATGGTACACCTTTGGGTGTCCAACATTTTTTTTTTATTACATTTAATATATTTTTTGACATAATACCATTTTATTCTTTTTTTTATTACATTTAATATATTTTTTGACATAATACCATTTTATTCTTTTTTTTATTACATTTAATATATTTTTTTGCCATGATACCACTTTATTCTTATTTTATTTTACTTTTTTTATGTTATATTAATTCCATTTATAACTGTGTTTATAACGTTTTTACTTTTTATTTTTTCCGACTTGTCGATTTTATATGTTTACATTTGTGGGAATTGACACATTTGTAATTAAACTTGGGAAGTTCTACGCCATTTTTTCCAAGTTATATATTTTACATGTTTGTAATAGCATATGGAATATTTAGTTTTTAGGTTTTATATACAGAAGGGTTTGAATGTATAAAAACAATGTTGAAGTGTCACATGTAAAAATAGGTGTTTTATAACATATGGGGGATAGTAAGGGGTGGAGAAAGTAATTTAAACCAATTTCTATTAAGCGCTTCTACTTTGAATATAAAAAAAACTCTTCATAATTTTCTTCCTTTTGCTCTCTATTTTATTTATATTTTAAACCATTTTACTGAAAGAACTTAAAATAGGTAGGGGGGAGGGGAGAAGAAGCTTTTTTATTATTCTAAAATGTGATTAAAAGGAAAACATAATGATACAAATGCGCATACTACATTGCTATTGGATTACCTCATGCACTTATGTTCATAAAGTCCTTAATATGTGATAATTATGTGTTAATTATGCGAATTGGGGATATATATTTCTTTTATAGTAAAACTGGACATTTATAAATAATACACATCATTTATTCGTTTGTTCAAACATTTATTTGTTTTCCCATACATACATTTGTTTGTTCATACATTCATTTTTTTTTTTTTTTTTTTTTGGAGTAAATTCCTGAATTTCTAGTGTAAACCATCATGTATATTATTCATGCGCTATTTATTCATATATTATTATTATTATTATTTTTTATTTTATTTTTTTTTTTGGTGCATTATTACTATGTAATGTGCGCTGTGTAAAGCATTGTATTTAAATAAACACGTTTTCTCAAATTCACCTTGCTAAAATACTACTATCAATACTTGTCGCCTAATATTCCCATTATTTAGTAATATTTTTCAACTTAACTGTTATTTTGTGATAACATATTTTTCCTTAGTTATATTTTGTTCTTTATTTATTTTATTATTACTACTATTACCCTTTTTTTTTTTTTTTTTTCCCGCGTAATTTTTTAAATATATTTATTTTTTCTAGTTTCTACTAATTAGAAGAAGTACGTAAAAGAGAAGTTATTAGGAACTTAATTTTAAGTATAAATAGTAAAATATCTTTTATCGCATAGTAATGAAAACTAAAATTTAGATTTTTTATATACATACTTTTAAAAAATTGAAGCAGTAAATATAACAACAAAAAAAGATATTATATTATATCAATCTCCCCTCCTAATTTTTACAACTGTGAAAAAATTACACATATAGAATTTTCTTGAGAAAATTGTTATGATAATTATTTGAAAATATTAATATTTTGGGAAAAAAAATGTATAGAATTTTATTCTGTATTAAAATTTTTCTATTTACACTCTTCATTTGGATATTCCGCGCTGCTTCTAATTATGAAGTAAGAATAAATGAAAACCTTTAGCAGATTTGGCTAAATTATTTATATGTGGATTGTTGTATATATGCATAACTTTAAGCATTTTTCCATTTCTGCAAATATACAATATATTCTCCATAGTGCATAACAGCATGAGTACCCTTTCGCGTTTTTGGAAAAATAAATATATGTTTCCTTTGCACAAATTGTTTAATTCACCTTTTAGGTTTCATGTTATGACTTAAAGGTTAAGGCAAAAAATGCGCAAAATGATGCTCAGTTAAGAACATCTAGGCTACTATCATCAAGCGAACTAGATGTAGAAATAGAAGAAGAAATAAATGATAATGTAGTTGATTCACAGGAAATAGCTTCATCATCATCAAGTTCATGCAGTTTAGGTAGAAGTAGTGAAGAATTTGTCCGAGAGAGTAGCCGAGACATTAGCCAAGAAATCAGACGAGACCTTGACCGAGAGAGTAGCCGAGACATTAGCCAAGAAATCAGACGAGACCTTGACCGAGAGAGTAGCCGAGACATTAGCCAAGAAATCAGACGAGACCTTGACCGAGAGAATAGCCGAGACATTAGCCAAGAAATCAGACGAGACCTTGACCGAGAGAGTAGCCGAGACATTGACCGAGACCGAAGCCGAGACCTTGACCGAGATATTGAATCATTTAAAAAATACATAGCAGATGTGGCAACAAGTGATAAACCATTTAAGGAAAAAATGGACGATACAAAAGCTTATATCAAGAATATGGATCCAAAGGTAAGAAAAAAAATTAAACAAGAAATTAGGGACAAGGTAAATGAGAGTGAACTTAGTAGACGTCGAAGTAAAAGTCCGAAAATATGTCGTAAGTGTAAAGGAATGATTGATAAATTATATTATGATGATTATAAAATGATGGTTAAAATGAAAAAGATGGAAAAAAGAACGTCAGCTCTTATTTTTGGAACTGGTGTCCTATCTGGTTTATTAGCTTTTCTTTTAATACCCTTTGAATTAATTACATGCTCTGGAACACTTTTTGCTTTGGCATTCGTTCTACTTATCTTTCTTTTGAAGAAGATTTAAACAGGTTGCAACAGTAGATGAAAAAATAAAAAAAAATATAAATTACAAATAAGTTTTTTTTATAAATTTACATTGTTCCATATGATAACAAAGTTGATGTATTACATTTGTTTATAAGCAACATATTTTAAATAATATAAAATTAAAGAAACTAAAATTCCTAATACTTAAAATTCACGAATGAGTATTTTATACAGGTGCAAAAATTAATTATTAGTTGAAAATGTAAGAACATAATGCATATTATATTTATTTTTCAATAGCATTTAAAGACTTTAAATTATACACTACTTTTATAAGTGATTACATAAACGAAATATGATTATCTTTTAGTACTTGATTTGTGACAGCATACTTTTGGAATTTATGGAATTGTGTAAAATTTTCATTTCCAATTATAACATTCTTGTTTTTTTATTTTAATATGAAAGGATAGCTTCGCTTTTTTGCAATGATATATGTGTGTCTGTCTAATTGATGTTTATTAAAGATGTATATTTTTTTACACACATTACGAACCAATTCTTATGAGATCATTACATCATGCTGAGTTAATTTACATATTTGTGATTACGATATTGTGCTAATATTTCTTTATATTGAGTTTATGTGTTTCTATCGAGTTAATTTTTTTTTTTTTTTTTTTTTATGATGCTCATTTTATTTTATGTTTTTTTAATAAAATAAAACTACATGTTTTATCATATTTATTGGACACATTTTTTTACACACATAATTAATGAACACATGAGTTGAACCTAATAATCATCAGCACTCCATTTTGAAAAAATTGAAAAGGTGGATCGTTATTATGTGTATACATATACATGCATTTGTATGTATAAAACAAAAGGGTTTACAAAACATGAGTGTGAACTGCTGTTTTTATATTTTTCTTTATACATAATAGATAAATTTTTATTGAATCTTTAAAATAGACATAATGGTTATGACCATACACATGTGTTAGTAAAGTGGATATAAAATAATTTCTTTTCACTACAAAGAAAAAATCATCATCTTTTTAAATATTAAAACTATTTCGTTATGCAACTATGTATATGCGAGATGTGTTTCTGCTTTAAAGAGTATTTATCTCCTACAATACTGAGATTTTTTTTTTTTTTTTTTTTAAAAAAAACCACAAATATAAAAATTTTCATTTCTGGAGTGCAATAAATATGTCTTATAATAATAGTGTAAGTAATAACTCCTAGTTGCCTTTTTTTAATGAAACAAATATATCATTATGTCAATAGGATGAGTATTCATTTCAATTTATCCTGTTAACACATTAATTACTTTTTAATAATGTAAGAATGGTTTGTAACATATATATATTATCGAATAAAAAATATATTCTATGAGACGGGTATAAAATATAAAAACAAAGAAAATATGTTAATTTTGATCACGACAATTTATATATTATAGTATTTTTTTTACTTTAAAAAAAAAAAAAAATAAGGTATATTATTTTCATGCAAAATTGCCCTTCCCTCTTGCGAATTCATTAATTTTTTCTAATTTATAATAATAAAATGCACGCGTTTGTATAATCCTTAAATAAGAAAAAAATATATTGTTTCAAAAACTTCAAAGAATAGGCACTTTTATTTTATATTTTTTTTTTTAGTGAATTTGTGGTTATATTATTTTTCATTTCTAAGGTAGTTTTATTTTGATTTAGTCATATAGGTAGTGCATTCTGTTGTCATCTATTTATTTATAAAAATATAGAAAATATAATTATATGTATATTTTTTTTGATTAAACATACTTTTAGTGCATTTATGAAGTCCAAAAAAATGCAGGATTGATTATATATATATTATAAAATGCAGAGTTTAAAAAAATCTATCTATTAGGAGTTAGCTAAAGCTGTATTGTTTTTAAAAAAACTAGTCGTTTTATAATAAAATAAAAATATACTTAAATGCGCATGTAGCAAAAAAAAAAAAAAAGGTGGGCGGGAAGACCTGAAGTTTAGATAAAAATTAGTTACCCTTTTTGCATTCATATAATAATATAATAACAAATATTTGGAATGCATATGCCCTCTTTTTAAGGTGATTACATTTTACTATTTTATTTTTATGTAAAAAGATTAATAAAAAATGTAGCGCTTTTGATTTTTTTTTAAAAGCATTTTTTCTCTACTGAGTAATAAGAATTTTTATTTAAAAGATATAAAAACATTAAATTTTTATTATTACAATAAAAAGAATTGTGAAAATCTAGTTTATATAAAAAGTAAAAATAAATATTATAAAATTAGGAAAGCATTATCTTACAATTTTATTATATAATATATACTTGTTTTATATATATAATTTTTAGAGGTAAAAATACATTTACAGGAATGTAGCATTTTTAAGAAATACATGTTTTGCTTTTGTTTTCTAAATAAAATCATGAATAATTAAAAGGACATTTTAATTTACACTAATTTTTAATTTTCAGATTTTAATTATTCTTACATTTTGAAGTAAAAACAAAAAATATATTTTTGAAAAGTAAAGATATCCTTTCAAGCAGCACTAAGACCTATAGGTACAATAACCTGGTAACTAAAAGTTTAAATATGGCTGACACAAAGACTTTGAGTAATGAACAATCAAAAAAGGGAAAAATGAATTCAATTCTTTTCTATTCCAAAATTTTCGCTTGTACCCTTTTGATTTGGGCTTCACAATGTACCTATAACAATGTAAGATTATATGTATAAAACCAAAAAGTGTAAAAATATGTTTATATGTCTACAATTGTGTTTTTTTATTCTTCTTCATGTTTGCAAATATAATTGTGGATTATATATGATGTCCATTATATATAAGAAAAGTTAAGTTCATGCTTATGTTTTATTGATATTATGCTGCCCTCTCTTATGTACAAAACACATTTTCATCTTTCATTTTTACATAAATTTTACCTATTCGTATGGTTAGGAATACACGGAAGGGGGTGTGGTATATTCAGCTTTAAACAGATCCTTATCAGAAAATGCTCCACGTAGAAATTTCCCACAAGGCACACGTGGACCATATATGCAAGAAGGTGTCCATGATCAACAACACCCATCAACTTCACATGGTATGCCACAAGCATCTACATCTGCACCAGCTTCTGATTTAAATATCGACATTGAGAAAAAGTTAAAAGATTTAAAAGATGTCGTTTGGGATAAAGTCGAGAATGCAGTTGAATGGAAAGCTATTGCAGATAGCGTAAAAGATTATGTCAATCAAGTAGATGTAAAAATTGAAAGCAAATTATTTGATACAGTTAACAGAGCTAATAATGAGAGAAGAACAATGCAAAACCCAGACATATCAACAAGAGCAATAAGCACCTTTTCTCAGAATTATACTATAATAACGCCACCTCTATTATTATTAACTTTATCTATTTTAACATCAGATAGATGTAAGAGACATTTTTCTAATATATTGTTGACAGCTGTTTTAGTAACATTGACATATATCTTCTTTAAATTAAAAAAAATGGATGATAATAAAAAATAAAATGCAAATGTTAACCAGAACTTTTTAACAACAATAATAATGTTGGAAAAAAGTAAAAAGGATAAGTTGAAAGGTGCCCATTAATAGAAATAAGGTAAAAATATTTTTTTCACGTAGCACAAGAAAAATATGTATTATCAAGGTATATATATATATATATATGTAGTAGTTTATAATAATGTAAAAAACACGGCATGGAAACAATTATTAGGACGTTACTTTTAGAAGGTTTTAGAAATTCTCAATATTTAGAAAGTGTACCCTTTTCAGAGAATATTTTCTAGGAGTTTTTTATTAAAGCCGATGTAACATATAATAAATATTGGAAACTTTTACGTAAAATGTTTTTTTGTAATAATTTTCATGTTTTTCATTAAGGAATTTTTACGCAATATGTTAAGACATCATCATTGTTATACATGATGTGCATATACATTTACTTAATTTTTACCACTTATTTATTACTGATAACATTTTATACATTTATATAAATTGCTGGTGTAGTGTTGTTAAACCGAATACGTCCTCTTAATATGTATCGTTTCTTTTTTTTTTTTTTTTTTTTTTTTTTTGGAAAAAGATATATATATGTAAGTATTATTTTATAAATTATAGTTTTTTCTCAAAATTATAAATGGAAAAATAGTTATATTTTATAACATGTAATAAATTACCAGAATTTTTAAAAATTGGGGAATTATATATATATATATATATATATACATGGAGTTAATGTTCATTAATAACTGTTAACTCTATATGCAGACCTTTTAAAACATGAATTAAAAATAAAAATCAATGACCCGTATAGGTGTGAGCCCCCTGTGCATTTTAATATGCAAGACAACATTTTTTATGTATAGTTTAACTAATTCATGCTTATATAATAAATGTATACTTGTTCTACACAAAAAGGATTAAAACAAATGAGTTGCAAAGTTAGACCGTGTAAAAAAAAAAAAAAGTAAATATTAAACGTTTCTATCACATTTAAGATCAAAACAAATAATTTAATTTATTAGTTTTATAAAAAAATATATTGGAATTAAAATGGGAAAAAAAAATATATTAATACTGGTCTTTGTGGAGTGATTGTGCACGTAAATAAATAAATTGATTTGGTTAGAATTTGCCTTTTTTCACATGATTTTTATTATATTAGCCATAAATTATGTAGTGTTTGAACCACGTATCTATTATATGGAATGTGATTATTAATAGTTTTTTTTTATTAGGAAACATAAAAAGAAAGTTTCAAAATATGTAAGACTAATTGTAGCCTAATATAATTTATGAAGATATTGTGAAAGAGAAAAAGAAAGATGAATAATAAAATCGTGAGTTATTCGAAGAATTCGAAAAGAATTCATTTTTTTCTACATTTAATGTGGTTTTATTTTTTGTTATCCTGTAGAATATCCACGCATAAAATATAGATGCTTGCTAAATTGTTACTCACGATTCTATATATATTTATGAAGTAATCGTTTAGATTTCTCTTTGCATAAGTTTACATAATTTAAGGAATTTCTAATAGAAACATTAAAAGGCTATGTTCCCTTTTTATTTATTACCTGTCATGTTACTCTAAGAAAATATACGACGTGTTCTTTTCAAGTCTATATTTAATTTGTTAATACTATATACAACACAATGTTGTAAGCACGGAACATGTGTTTATGTAGAGATGTCTGTTCCTTTTCATTCATACATATATATATGTGTATGTATTTGACTTTTTTTTCCCTCCCCTTTGAATATCCCTTAGCATGTACACAAGTAGCTGTAATTTACAAATACGAATTATAATATATGGAATATATTACCATTTTCATAACCCTTTAAGTTAAAAATTAGAGCAAAATATTTTTATGTTACGCTATTAAGAGTGCACATGTATGTAGGAAGAACAGTTTTGGTTCATTTGTTTAATTTTAATAATTTTTTTTATTTAAATAAAAGGAACGCTGATTTAAAAGAATAGACACAATGTCACATATAAAAACGTATAATGAAAAAATGAATAAAATTCTGATTTAAGAGAATGATTTGTTCATTAAAAAATTTGGACAATGAATATGGGAATTGATGTCATAACATATCTGAAGATTATCGGAAGCATATTTGTTTTAGATTCTCTGTTTCTTTTTTCCTTTTTTTACTTACATGGATATGTTCTAATTTTGTATGATTTACGTTTCATTCGAGCTGCTTGATAAGTGTATAAAATTTATTATGAAAAATATTTTTTAGAGAACGTTGTTTTTACATAGATTTTATTCTTCGTCTACTTATGCATTTACAAAAAGATTACAATGGCAATAACACAACTATGGAAATATAGCTATAAAAGTAATCTCGATTATGAGATTTCTTAAGTTCATAGGTACCCTTTTTTCTTTAAATTTTGATAAATTTCTAAAGGATTTATAGATAGCTATATTTTTGTGGATACTCCCCAATGCACATCCCTTGAAAACGTGTGTTTAAGATGGCATGAAATAAAAATAATACTATGAATAATTCATTTTCTCATAATAAACATAGTTTTTATTTTTACACGGTAATTTTTTCCTGAATATATAAGCACGATGCATAAAGGGACTTGCATTAAATTATGCCAAAAAAAAAGAAAAAAGAGTTTAAGCGTTTTATACACATACATTTGTATTCATTTACATTATGATATTTTACTTGGACATATATATATATACATGTGAATAATATTACACTAGTACTAATCTACGAATAGGAACTATTCTCAAAAGTATATCAACAAATTAACCAGAAGATTGTCAACTTGCATGGAAATGGGAAAAAAATGGTGTGAGAAAAAGAAAATAAGTAGAACATTTACTCTTTCAACTCTGATACATAATTTTTATTAAGATACTTTTTTTCAGTTGTTAGTATATGATGTGCACTTAAAAAAAGTAATGTAGATTTATATATATTTATGCCTCTGCATAATGGTACTAAGGTACTAAGACTTCACTTTTTTTTGATCAAAAAATATGATTTGGCTTCTATACATTTTACCATATAAAAAAAAAAGTTGTGTACCTTGCATATACACGTTCGTTATTATATCAGTATGGTATGTTACATTCTTCATTATAGTTTCACATACAAAAATATATTTAATTATGACTACACTGTTTAAATATTTCACTATAACGAACATATAAAATAATAAAATTATTAAGCTATTTTACGTTTCCGATTTTGACCACATAAATTTTTATTACTTTATTTTATTTTATTTTTTTCTTATCCCATTTTCGGAAACATTACATTTTACCTAGCGTCTTTGAATCTTTAATAACTTCTTCTAAAAACTGTGCAAAAACTGAATAAACATGGGATATTATGAATGCGATATTAACTTCAATGTTATGTGGAGATTCATTCAAATTATTCAACTCCTTTTGTATGGTGTTGTGTATATGTTCTAAATATTTAGCCCATTTGTTATTCCATATTCCTTCACTCCATGATTTTTCTATATGTCCTGTTTGTTCATTATATTCTTGTTCCATACCTTCAATTGAATCTTTCCATATTGTTGATATTTTGGAACACAATTCTTTTAATTCTTCATCATGTTTGTTACTTTCTCCTATGGATGCAGTGTTATATAAACTGTTATGTTTAGTATTTACATTTAGATCGAAACCTTCTCTATATAATTGATTTTCGAATGATTCTGTCATTATTCTTCCAAATTGTTGTTTTGATAAATCTTCAGCCACATTTTCGATGCACATTGTGCTATTCGTAGTTGTACTACAATGGAAAAAAAATGTGTCAAGAATTTGATTTTGTTTTTAGAACTTTTGCTCATTTACATACACAGGACTGCTACCGTGCACAATGCTTGCATGCATTAAAAGATGCACATATATGATAAAAAAGCATGAATGAAGAACGAAATATTAATTCGAGAACAGAAACATATATTCACACATTGGAAAAAAAAAGAAATCTTACTTTACATTGAAAGAGTAATTATATTTCCATATTACGAGAAGGACAAAGATAATGTTGTGAATAAGGGTTTTCATGTTCACTTTTTTGTTTTTAAAATTTGAAATTTGGGTATTGCTTATGGACTTGTTCTTTGAATTTATTTTTGATTTTTCCATTTTGCTCATGCAATTAGAAATAATTTGTTAATTGTTATGAAAGTTTATCTTTCTATATTCAATATTTTCAAAAATCGTATGGTAACAATTTAGGAAAGAAAATTTTCAAAATAGTTGTAGTATATATTTTGTAGTAAAAACAATTCTGCCTCTTATTAGATTAGAACTACTATTTGCATTTACATATAATATATATATATATATACATACTCTTTATTACTTATTAATTTGAAATAATTTGGAAGCAACGTTCATTTAGGAAAAAATAATTTATAGTAACGGAAGTAATATAACATTATGGTTGTTGTAGGCATTTAACGGATATATAATTTTTAATGTGGACCTTTGTTAAAATTTATACATAGGAATACATTATACATGTATATGTAAGCAATGTTTGCTTTAATATTATAATTCATTAAGACGAATAAACTAACATTAATAAAATATATATATATATATATTTCTTTCAAAATTATATATAATTTTTTTTTTTTTTTTTTTTTTTTTTTTTTTTTTTAAATAATAAACTTTCAAGATATGAGAATAAGTGCACCCATTATCTAAAATCATTTTGTTCTTCATTTAGCAACTGTAAGGAATAAAAGATTATTCTCAGTGCATGGAATTAGCTACATTTTATATATATGTATATATATACTTGCAGCTATTTGGGTTTTTAAATATTGATCGACATCTTATTTAGTAAACAAATACACAAAAAAAAAAAAAGTCTTTTCTTTTTTATAAACCACCATCTTTATTGTGCTATTAGTATTTGATTGCAATATTTTTATTTTTTAACTTCACAAAAATAGGCATTGATAAAAAGAAAAAAATAATTTCTTTAAAATATAGTAATTATATAATGTACTAATAATATGAATAAAAGATTGAATCTATGCATAATGATTTAGAACAACTTCCGAACCATTTTTTTTATACAAAATACTTAGAGCCCTTGTTTGAATACAGTTAATGGAACTTCATAAAACCCGCTAGTCATGATGAACTAAAATATAGTTATATATATTTTTTTTTTTTTTTTTTTTTTGGTGAAGCTCATGTGTATTCTAATAAATTAAACAAAACAGCTGCTAAAGAATGCCTTATTTTAATCTGTTTTACATATAAAAAAATAATCATGGATAAAATAATACATTATTTATTTTATTTTGACTGAAGCTTATAAATTGTTTACTAATAACATGAAAATTTAAAGGAAAAACGAAAATTATAATTTTTTTAAAATGTAAACAATAATAAATATTACTTTTTATGTTGTTTCATGCATGCTTAGATACACGTTTAAAAAGTTTTAATAGGATAATAATAAACTTGTTTAGAAAGAAAAAAACAGCAATAAAACCATTTAAGATCATCATGTTGCGTTTTATACATATTATTTGAATATTTATGTAGAATTTACTCGAAAAAAAAGGTTAATAAGGTAAAAATAAAACCCAAAGAACTCTTATAAAAATGAATGATTTGTGAATACACACCAGGGTAAACTATACTAAACTATAGACATTACCATCATTTTTTCTTTGGATTGTACATGATATATTATTCACATATATGTTTAAATAAACAATTGCACTACTGTGAAATGTAGCAACATGTCTGATTTTTACCTTTTTTTGTAGAAAATGTATTTTAGATTTCCTTCGATTTGCAGAAATTTTTTTTCGGAATAAAATTTTTCTATTTATTCTTTTATGTTACTTAATAAAATTTTGTCTACTTCTGTTTTTTTAAGACAATTTCTTTGCGAATTTGGCTAAATTTTACTTTGTCGACTATTCTTGTTTGTATTATAAAGTGGTTATAATATTTTATGTTCTGATTCTGAGCTAACCTCATTTCTGCTTCTTCAATTAAAAGATCTGTTCTGTTTAATTTGTCTACCACTTGCTGATTTAGTTCTTCATGCATTTCCGAATTCTTAAATATATCACTAAATTTTTCTTCAAAAAATTACAATGCTAATAAATATTTAACAATTTTAATTTGATTTAAAACTTATTCCATATTGTTACTTTTAATTGTGAATTTTTAAGGGTAAGACATCGTGCTCCATTATTTCTATATATGTAACTAATTATTTTGTTTAATATCGAAAATTTTAAAAGAAAAATGAATTCCTTTTTAAATTAAAAATTATATTATTTTATTTTTTATACAGAAGCTAAAAAATAAAATTCTACTATTTTAATTTTTTTTTTCCCTTATATGTCGGAGTCCTCACTAAATGCTACATCTATAACTTGTTCTTTATTATCGTACATTGTGTCACTTTCATATTCAAATTCATCTCCACCTTTATAAAAATGAGAATCCTTGTTCTCTTCATTATTTTTATTATAGATGAAATAACTAACGCTAGAAATGGAAAGCAAAGCAGTTGTTATGCCAGTTGCAAAAAAAATTTTCTCATAATATGCTTTTTTGTGTGAATTATGCTTTTCTTTATCTTCAAAATTTGATTCTTCAAAATTATCGTCATCTGATTTCTCATATTCGGTGTTTTCAGGTAAGTTAAGCAAATCTTGAGTTTGTATGGGATTAGAAGTATTTAAGTTATCAATCTTATTAAAGTGTGTATCTTTAAGTGCTCCTTTATGGTGTTCTACCTTTTTTATTTCTTTTAAATTATGAGAAATATTTCCATTTGTAGAAGAAATATCTCTCTGACTGTTTATACTCTTATTTTGTTGTTCTAATGCTTGTGTCTCACTCTGTGGGTTTGTAACTTTTTCATCACCTGATTTGGGTGTATGTATATCTGTATGTCCTACCTTTTGGTGCACTACCTCTTTGATTTCTTTTAAATTATGATTAACATTTCCATCTGCAGAAGAAATATTTCTCTGACTTTTTATACCCTCATTTTGTTGTTCTAATATTTGTGACTCATTCTCTGATTTTGTTACTTCTGCATCATCTGGTTTGGATGTAGGTATAACTTTATGTGTTCCTTCTTCGTGCTCTATCTCTTTGATTTTTTGTAAATCATGAGTAACATTTCCCTCAGCAGAGGAAATATCTGTCTGACTTTTTATACCCTCATTTTGTTGTTCTAATGGTTCTGACTCATTCTCTGATTTTGTATCTTTTTCGTCAACTACATTGGATATAGGGATATCTTTATGTCCTACTTCTTGGTGCACTACCTCTTTGATTTCTTGTAAATCATGAGTAACATTTCCCTCAGCAGAGGAAATATCTGTCTGACTGTTTACATCCTCATTTTGTTGTTCTAATATTTGTGACTCATTCTGTGATTCTGTATCTTTTTCGTCAACTACATTGGAAGTAGGGATATCTTTATTATGACTTACACTTCTTTGCTCTTCTGGAATAGACTCATCAATTACATGTGTCTCTGGAGCATTATCATTAACACTAGTGTAATTTTCGTCTATGGTGCTATGATCAACTGTTGTATTACTTTCTAAATTTTTTGATAACATTTCTAGTTTTTCCTTTTGAGCTTCTAATTCTTTCATTTGGGTTGCATTATGATGTAATAATTCATCAATATTTTTAACTGCGTCCTTTAATTCACTAATTTTTTTTAGTACATCATCGATATCTGATTTTACATGTTCTAGCTTATTCTGAATATTGTCCTTTACCATTCCATCAAATATGCCTTTGATTGTATTTTCCTTTACAGTGACAATATCTAAAACGTTAATTATTTTTATTTTTGTACTGTTTAGCTCTGTATTCTCAGAATTAATTTGTATTATAGCCTTTTCTACGTCTTCAATAGTTTCATAATTTTGTGTATTGTTTTTCCTCGTTTTAATACTTTCAGATATTTTTGTCAAATTTTCTAATACTTTATGTTCTTGTAGATCTTTTTTTATAATGTTATTTATTTCTTTTATTATTTCTCTTATTTTGTTTATCAAATCCATTTCGGATAATTCTTTTAGATATGTTTCATATAGATTAGTTACATTTTCATAATTTTGATTAGCACTTTGTTTGTAATGAGTCATACGAGATATAGCATCATCGTTTTGTTCTAAAGTATCTAATATCTTCTGATATTCTTTTTTTAAATTGTTTAATTTTTGCGTAATATCAGTGAAGAGGGTAGTTTCTTTTTCTGTTTCTTCCACATTTTCCCCTACTAAATTGTAGTAATCATCTTTCTTGAATAATTGCAAATTATTTAGAAAGAAGTTTGTTCTGTCTATTAAATAAGTAACTTGTTCCTTATATTTTTCTGAATTAAAATTCCTATCTACATTTTCACCATCTAATTGGTTGAAGTTTTGTATATCAGATTTAATGTTATTATACAATTCAGATATGACATTTTTGGTTTCATGTGTATGTATATTACTAATTTTATTTATGTCATTTATTTTAGAGGTTATGGAATTTTCGATGTTTTTAAGTTTTCCCTCTCTTTCTAATATTTGTTGGTTTTGGGACGTTATCATATTTTTGTGTAATGCAACTGCATCCTTAAATATGTCAGAGGTTTTATCTATATCACTCAATTTAATATTATTCAGATTTCTGAAAATTTTACCTATCTCTGCTTTTACTGATTGCAGATTCTTATACAGTGTTATTAATTCCTTGGCATCTCTTTCTATATTATTTTCACTTGATTGAGCCTGTAATGAATTTAATTTTATTTTTATATTATCGATGGTTTGCGCTGCCTTTTTTTCTTGCTCTTTAAAATTCTTAAAAGACTGATTATATGCATTAATGCTAATAGACAAATCATTGTTTATGACAGTTTTGTTATAGAATGTATGTAATGCATTTATGTAACCTTTCATAGAATCATAGTTTTCTTTAACATGTAAGTAAACACTTTCAATGTTCTTATTTTGTGCTTCAATTTTCATTAAATGATTTGATATGCCATTATTAACGACATTACTTATTATGGAAATCATTAACTCTTGACAGTTATTTCCCATGATCTGTAATTCATCAAAGGATGCATCAAATTCTTTAGCTTTATTATCTATTGTATTTATATTTCCGAATATAAGTTCAATTTGATTTTTATAATTTTGCCATATGGATATATGGAACTTTTTCCTTGTTAGTTCTTTAACCGATTTAAGTAAACTATTTAATGATTCTTTGTGTTTTTGCATATTTTGCCTCATATGATGTAACTCTGCTTCTTTAGCCATCACACTTTTCTTTTGTTGATAGAAGGTGGCATTATTTTTAAACGTTTCAAAACGCTTATCATTTTGTAAAATATCTTCATAACCTACATAATTGCAAGTGATTTTTTCTATATCTCTTAATTTGCTTTGTAAGCTATCTATTTTTTCTGAAACAGATATTTCTTTTTTTCTCGTTTCTTTTTCTTTTGAATAAAATTCATTTCTCAGTTTTATGGCTGTGTAAATATTTTCAGCTTCCAAAATAAGATTTTCACATTCTTCGTTTTTATCATCTATATTATCTGAAATATCATGAATATTATTAGTAACTTGTTGTGCTTCCTTTATTATATTGTGTATCTCAGCTTGTATTCCTAAATTCGTTTCAAAGTTTAATTCTGAATTTAAGTTTTTTTCTAATTTTACACTATTTTTATCTATTAATAAGTAATTTATAGCATCAATCATGTTTTCATATATTTTTTTTGCTTCATCCCTATGTGATAAATGCTTTGGATTTTTCACATTTATAGATTTTTTTTTTGTTTCAATTAAAGCATCAAAATTTTTTTCCCCTTCTTTTAGTGCTTTTAAGTCTTGAATTAATTTTTTTACACTTTTTAGCTGTTCTATTTCTTTTGATTCCTCTTTTTTAATATTTTCATGTTTTCTGTTCAAATTTTCCTTCATGGAATTCAGAAAATTTATAATTTCCTTTTTCTTAATGTCATTGAGTAATTTTCTTAATTCTTCTGTGCTTTCTTTAAGATTTTTTTCTATGTCTTGTGTTTTAATTCTTAGATCTTTAGCATCTGCATATGTTACGCTATCGTGTGACACATCTGTCTGGTATTTTTCCATTAATTTATAAGATGTATCAAATTTGTTATAAAGTTGATCCCTTTGTATCTTGTAACCGTTTAAATTTGTTATTGGGTCATATTTTTTCGTTTTGTATTTAATAAAAATTGATGTAGCAGGAGTTATTAGTGAATCTATTTCATTTATTATTAAAGGCACTGCATTAACATGTTCACTAACATTTTTTATTATTTGCTTTATAATTCCTTCTTCATAATATTTTTTATGTTTTCCTATTTCTTTTTCTACAGTAGTAATTTCATTTTTTATAAGATCTATTTTTTTTTCTTCATTTTCTATATTTTTTTTTTTCACATCGATATGTCTCTTTTCCCTTGAGACCTTTTCTACATTTCTTTCAAAATCATCATCTACTAGTTTTGATTGATTTATGAAATCTTTTATATCTATGTCTGTTATGCTTGAAATAGATTTTATTGAACTAGAAGCTCTGTCAACATATCTTTGTATGATGTTTTCTATTCTCTTTATTTTGTTTAGAATTTCATCTAATTCATGATTATATTTTTGCATTACGTTGTATGCATTTAAAGACATATCATTTAGTTTTTCATTTTCTATCATTTGTATATTAGATTGTTCCTTTAATTCATGTATTTTTGTTTTGTATCCTTTTAACGTTTTTTCAATTTTAGATGCGATATTGTTTATTTCTGTCATTACACTGTTTGCCCTATTTTTTCTCCTTTCACATTTTAGTGTAACCCTATTAATTAAAGATTCATTTAGGAGTTTCGATACATCAGCTTCTAATTTTGAAATTAATTCATAATTAGTTTTAGTATTTTGTGTGTACTCTAAAGAATCCTTGTAATATCCATTCGCTTTTTCTATACTCTGCTTTACTTGATCTAGTTCATTTTGGAGTATTTTTGTTTTTATATCATTGTCATTATTTTTTAAATACTCTATTATAGCTTGACCCCTATTAGCATTATCATAATGCAATTCTGTTTTTTTTCTATGTAGTTCAGTATCTGTTAAGAGTTGAATTGCATTTTGTTTTTTATTTAAAATTTCAGTTTTTAGTTTCTGAATTTCGATTATTTTATTATCAATTTGAACTCCATTTAATTTTTCATTAATTTCTTCTTTTAATTTTGTTGCTTTTTGAAAGTCTGTTTTAACTACTTCGGCTGCATTATGTGATTTGTTAAATTCCGATTTTATTAGTTCGCTATGTTTATCAGCATCATCAGTATTTTTTGTAATATTATTAACAATGCTTTTATAACCTCTATGTGTTAGTTCACAAATGTTCTTAATTTCACTTATGGCCTTGTCAATATCTGCAACGAGTTTTTTTGATTCGTGCTTATTTTCATTTATTTGCTTTTTTTTTTCTATAATTTCATCTAAACTAGTTGATGCATTTGCCTGTTCTTTTAGCTTTACAGAGGTTTCATACACTTGCTTTAATCCAATCATGTGTTTATTCGCTTCTTCAACCTGTGTCGAATATTTCAAAATAGGTAAAATTTTATCCTCTGGATATTTTGACTTTTCTATTAACTCTTTAAATTGTATCTCAAGAGAATTTATATCTTCCATGCTTTTTTGAGCCTTAGTCATGTCATCACTTAATGCTTTTAACGTTTTATCGATGTTATCCTTCTCTTCATTTAATTGAGCTTCATTTATATTTTTTGAGACTTCATTAAAATAATCCACTGTTATTTTAATATCTTTAGACATCTTTACTAAATCATCATAGATAGATTTCATACCCTTTTTTTGATTATTTAATTCATGGATAGCAATTTTTTCTTCCTGAGATTCACTATAAAGTTCATCTGCCTTATCTTGAAGTTCGGTTAATTCATCCTTATATTTTTCTATTTTGGTATTTTCGTCTTTAATTTTTTGTTTAAAATTTTTTATACTTCCGATATTTTGAATCTTCATAATTTTATTTGTAAGAGGGTTCGTTTGTTCTTCGTTTAATTTTTTTTCCAAATTTATAACAAAGCTTTCAATTGTATCATTTTCATTTTCTAATCTTTTAATTTCCTCTTTTACAATGTTATATGACCATGTTATAATTTGAACGTCAATATTTGCGAATAATTTATAACTATTTTCGTATAAAATTGAATACTTTTCATTCAATGTATTTAGTTCTTGTCTAATTGGAGTCCATTCGTCCGTTCGCTCGAGTTCAGTTTTTGAGGAATATTCATCTTTTGTCTCATGAATTTTATTTTTTAAGTTTAAATAGAATTCTATTAATTCTGACGTCTTTTTTTCTAACTCCTTATTTTTAATTTCAGCGATTAGGTCAACTATGTCTTTCAAAGTTATCTCTAAATTTTTCAATGTTTTCTGTAAATTTTCCAATGCTTCCTCTTTTATACTCTTATTTATGAAATCATTTCCTTCATTTTCACGAATTCTGGTTTCTACATGTCCTTTCAGTTCATTGAGTTTATTATTTAAATTATCAGTTAATGCTTTATTACTTTTAGATTCAGTTATGCTTGAATCCAGAATATTATAAAGATTTATAATTTTATTTAATAATTCAATTTTCTTCAGTGTTTCTTCCATATTATTTGTGCTAGTGTTGTAATTTTTTTCGAATTCCTGTATTTTTTCTTCTACATTTTCGTTATTAATTTCTTGTACTAAAGTTTTAATTTTATTGTATCTTCTTGTATTCTTAATAATATTCAATTTTTTTTCTATTTCCTTGTAAGAATCTAAATGCTTTTTAATATTTACTATATCACTCGTTTTCATATTATCAATACTATTATATATTTCTAATTTTTTTTTTTGGAAAGTATCTTTAGCCTCATTAAATGCTTCTGATTCATTTGATTTACTTTTTGCATTACTACCTGTATATGAAGTAAGAAAGTAATTACTTTCATTTTGTGTTAACTCAGCATAATATTTTTGGATTGTCTCTTCGAAATCTTTATATGATTTCATTTTTTCAACTATATCCTGATGTTTTTGTTCAAAATTTTTAATTTTCGCTTTTAGATTTCTATATAATGCTTTAACATTTCGTAAGAATTCTGCTTTGTCTTTACTTTCTTTGTCATTACTTTCATTTTCATCACTTTTGCTGTCATTATTTTCATTATCATTTTCTTCCGATGATATTTGTAGCAAAGAAATGTTATTTTTTTGTTGTACACTGGTTTTGTTAGCACTATTTTTTAGTGTTACAAGTTCATCATAATATATTTTAAACTTTTTCATTTCATGATATATGTTAACTTTTTTTTCTTCATTAATTTTGGTAATTACGTCCATAAACAACTGTGCTTTTGTTATGTTGTTATTAAGTTTTTCAATTTCATTCAATTCTTCCTCATAATGATTTTTTAATTTATCATAAATTTTTTTGTATATTTCATCTAATAATTGAAATTTTGCTTCTATATCCTTTTTTCTTGCTTTTTGCTTAACAAAGTGTTCCATAAGCTTCTGTTTATTCGAATTATTACTTATATCTGGAAATTGGGAAACTTTTTCTAACTCCTTTTTACTCTCCAAATATTTTTTATTTTCATTATTTATTATTTCCTCTGAATATTTATAATTTTTATAAATTTCTGTTTGGTCGAATGTCTCAGAAAAGACTAAATATGCTTTTTGTTTTATGGTATTTACTAGGTTATGAAATGCGAGATCATGTTTTGTTATCTTGTGTTGGTACATTACATTGATGGATTCATTTAATTTGTTTATATATTTAAAAATGCAATGTTGTTTTACTATATGTGTCCAGTTACTTACGATCTCTTTTTTATTTACATCGTGGGATTCTTGTGTGATTTCTATGCTTCTTAATTTTCGAGCTGCTTCATTGATAAAGTGTCTATTAGTTGATAGCACATATTCAATTTCTTTTATTTGCTCAAGTATCAGTTTTAATGAATATATATCTTCACTTATATCTATATTTTTTTTATTAGAATCTAGTAACAATTGGTCCACATTTTTTTGTTCCACAGTAATTCTTGAAGGGATATCATAGTCCTTCATATTAACTGTGCTAATGTCAAGTATATAATTATCAAGTGTTTTTAGATATGTAGATTTATTTTTATCGCAGATTCCTTCAACACACTCTGTTTTTATCAAATATGTAAATGCTTTATTTTTAATTTGTTCTACTTTATTCTGAATATCATTTTTATATTTTTCTCTGTATTGTTCATACTTTGATAGACATTCATTATATTTTGCTGTATAATGATTAAATTTTTCTGTGGTATATTCCTTGTATAGAACCTTTTTAGAATTATCCAAATTAATTATTCTTGTTTCCAATTCCTTTAAAAAGTGTTCACTGAATAATTTATTTTCTGTTGATGTATTTTTAAGAAATTCCATTTCGTATGTAAAGCTTTTTAGCATACTTTTATGATTTAAGCAATTATTTATAAGTTCTTCCAATTCATCAGAAAATTTTTTAATCTCGAGAACAATTGTGTCATCTGTTTTTTCATGGTGTAATTTATCCTTTGGGATGAGAATTTCAATTTCGTGTAAAGCATGCAAGTTTGTGTAATCTAATTCCATAGTAAAAATTGGGTTAGATTGGTCATATTTGATATTACCATCATTTAAAAAGTTTTCATATTTTGATGTAATTTCACCGTTTTCAATAATTTTTTTTCCAGATTTATTTAATTCTCCATATGCTTTTTTTTTTTCTTTATAACGTCTAATAAAATAATATGGGTTTCGTCTTTTTTTATAAATACCGTTTTTGTTATTTTCTGTAATGTTGGGACCATTCAAGTTTATAAATGACATAGCTTCCAATGAATGTATTATATTATCATTTTGATTATATATTTTTTCAAATTGTTTATCATTTATTTTATCATTTAAATATTTGGAACTCTTAACATTTTTATTTTCACTAATATTAGAAAACTCAAATAAATTGTTTAATTCTGTGTTATGTTTTTTGATTTCTTCCAAATAATTTTTATTTTGGCTTGAAACTGTATTCATGTGTACTAAGAAAAAATTAAAAAAGTTTATAACAAGATTGGAAAAAATGTAAACTCTTACAAAAAAATATAAATAAATAGGAAAATTACAATTATTTGTTCATAAAATGTATTACCAAAAGATGCTAGTAGAAGATTAAGCAGTGATAAGAAATATACATATTTTTTCATGATTTAAAATATAATTTATAGTTTTTGTAATTTAAATATATTTATTTATTTTTTCCTAAATTCACAATTATGAAATAACTTTATCCTTTTTTTAATTCATAGCGTTCCTTATTGAAATTAGTCCTTTGAACATCTGCACTCGTTTGGTTCTGAGTTTCTGAACAGGTAATTATACAACGTTTTTTCTGTTTATAATGCTTCATCAAAGTATTATAATTCAGAAAATGGCATGTTTAATTGTAAAAAGATGAAAAAAAATAAAAGGGTTCATGTACTTTTTCCTGGTTTAGAACAAGCATCAAAAATGTGCATTGCTTTTATACTAAAAATGTATATTGAAAAGATTAAGTCTGGTCAATGATATTTGTTCCATGTTGAAAATGTGTTAATTGAAGGATAAATTGAACATATTTATTTACTTTTTTTACATAACATATAGGAAGTTCATGCAATAAAATTCAAATTATTTTGATTGAACACATAAAAGTGTAATAAAATATATATTTAGAGGGTGTTGTTTATATTAGTGGAAAACTGGACGCACAAAAAAAAAAAAAAAAATGATTATTGAATATAACTTGTAAAATTAATAAAATGTAAATTTATGAATTTATTCTTACTGAAGAAAAAGGGATAAATTAGAAAAATGAAAAACAAAAAAAAATAAAAAAAAAAAAAGGAAGGAAAGGAAAGAAAAGAAAATAAACACTACATGGTTTTATCATTTAAAGTCACAATTAAAAAATAATAAATTGAATTTTGTAATAAGCTTAATTTTCGTTATATTAATGTTTTAAGGTTCCCTTTTTTTTTTTTTTTATGGCTGTAGTTCTAGATTAATAATGTGCCCAATTTAAATTATTAACAAATTTATATATACAAAAAAAGAAAAAATAATAACGATAGTGTTACTGAATAAAAGGGGTGTTGTTTCGATGAATTCTAAAAGAAAACGTTCATTTTGAAGAAGATATCTTCTATGTTCACAGTAATTTTCTTGGGAATGTTGAAAAAAAAATTTTATTTTTCACGATAATAAAATTGTGTGTCATTAAAATATTAAACATGAAAAAATAAAATTAATTTAAATTCTAAGAAAAGTAAGAATTTCTAAAAGGAAAAAATGGGTTGATGAATATATTGCACTATTGAAAATAGCTTCAAAATTTTTTTTTTGTACGTTAATGGGAAAAGGGAAAGAAAAAATATAAGTAGATCAACATTGGAATTTTATTTATGTGGAAATTTTTGACAATTTTAAGCGTTCCAACTCATGGTAATTTTGTTAAATAATTTACTATCTTTTTTTTTTTTTTTTTTTTTTTTTTACAGATATCTAAAAAATAATTATAAAGTTTTTTTATTACAAAATATATTAACTTAAATTTAAAGATGGTGCAACAACATTCTTGTAATTTTAAATTTTCCTAAAAACCATTATTATAAAATTTTTAAATTAAGTTCACAAAATATAGATTTTAGTACTTAGTTATACTTTTTTTCCTTTTTCTTTTTTCTTTTTTTATATTTTTCTATAAATTTTAATAATTCAGTAATATTTATATTTTAGCAAAAAAATTCACGCTCTACGATGTTTTTAATTTGGCAGATTTAATCTGATAAGATTGTTTCCGCGAGTGCCAAGAGCATAGAGTCATGGAGAAATAAAAAGGTTTAAAAATATATATAACATAAAGATGTGTACATTATTTCATATCAATAAGACATGGATTTTCCAGATTACATGCATACTTATATATGTACTACATCCTAAATTTATTTATTTTAGTGTTACAAGCTAGTATTTTAACATAAAAAAAGCTATGATAGCCCTGTGTATATTTTTATATATAAGCGTTCAATATTGTATATTAGTTAAATTATTTAGTACTTTTCATTTGCGTCATATTTTAATTATATTTATTATTTTCCTTTGTACATTTTCACGTTTCTTTACTCACTTTCAATTTTCCAATTTTTTTCCGTTTTATCTATTTTTAACTATGACATTGATTAACCATTCTTTATCTTACTCACCACTTTGCTTTTTATAACTTTTTTTATATCCATGTATAATTTTTTAACGTAAAAAAATTTAGGCTTATCGTAACTATTATTTACAAATCGTGTTTTGCGAAGCCATGCGTTGTTTTGATTTCCTCTTTATATATGAGAACTGAAAACTTTTATTTGCCACGAAATAAAACCAAAGTTTTTTCAGCATAAATACAAGGGTTCACGTATTACATAGATTTGTTAATCACATAATAATTTAAAGATGATTAATTTTTACAACGAGCAAATGATTACATTATTTGTAACACTTTTTTTCAAAATGATATTTATTTAGTTATTATTTTTTTTTGAAATAATCTTATTTTTGTAAGTATTACTTTGTTTTTTGTGTAAATAATTTTCCACTTTTTTTAATTTTAGAAGAACATTAACTATATTTACCATTTTATAATTTCTATGCTTAATACAATACACTTTACATGTTTGATATAACAACTGTATAATTTTCCTTTTATTATATGCTGATGATCATTCAAATGAATAATGATTGTTGTAAGAACTCGGTACGCACGTAAAAAAAAAAAAAAAAAAAAAAACAATGAGGTGAATGCAAACTAGTATTAGGAAATTATAAAAATATTACATTGAGAGAAGTTTTTTTTTTATGAAGAGCGAACTGAAATGATGGAAATTATGAAACACCTACAAAACGGTTTTTCTTGAATATTTAATTAAAGTAAAATTTATATTTCTACCAAAATATACATCTAAATATATATAAATATATATGTATAATCGTATATTTACACCCATTAGGCAAAATTCCTGCAGTAGCTACTTACAGAGGTAACAAATGACTAGTGAAATTAACATGCTATTTTAACAAGGATACACTTATTAATGTATAATATAAAAAGAACTAGCATTTTTTTTCTTACTAAAAAATGGATAAGAAGTATTCATATCTATTATAACTAAAGTTAAATAACAAATTTTTGTTTAATTTTTGAGTAACTACTAAAAAAAAAATAAAAAAAAAACCTAAATATAGCAAAATTATTTTGCACTTCAAGAGACAAATATAGTGATAAACGAAACATTATAACATTGTCTGTTAATCAAATAAAGTACTATAATGCACTCATAGTGAATGTATACATAAACATATATATAATTTGTCTGGAAATTTCATTTAAACTAAAATTTTATATACAATGATATAATGCCTTTTTTTTTTTTTTTATAAAAAATGTATTATTTCGCGTTAATTCATAAAATATTAAAAAATAAGAAGTAAAACCCTTTTCATATTTAATGGTTGGTTGGTTTTAAAGAACAGTAATCTTTGATGGGATCAAAAATGGATCATAGACAAATGTCATATGTCTATGCACATATATATTTGTAATAGATTATTTGCTTTAAATTTTGTATGTAGATAGGCGTCAAATTGTTTTATAAACAACTGATAGAGATATATAAGGGGACAAGAAATGCTAGTACATATAAGGGCGATATTTCCTAAATGTCAAATATTTCAACAAAAAATGTATGATAATATACATAATTTTTTTTAATTTTAGCCTAAGGGTTACAATAAATTTCCAAAAGTAATTATTATTCTGTCTATATTTCCTAGCAAAACATTCCGTTTCATGCATAAATCTATGAATATTTGTTACATGTATTTCATCTTCTAAGCAGGAATGTAAATATTCTTTAAAATTTTGATCCTCTTCATCGAATCCTTCATGTTCTGTTACTGTGTCGAGGTCTTCTTCTAATACCGCATCAGGCTCTTCTATCACTACATCAGGTTCTTCTATCATTACATGAGGATCTTCTATCATTACATGAGGATCTTGTACAACTTGATCTTGGTCTCCTATCACTACATCAGGATCATTTATCTCTAAATTAGAATCTATTATTGTTTCGTTAGAGTATTTTATCAATGAGTTATCGTCTTCTCTTATGTCATTGTTTTCCACCTGTTCTTTAAAAGGATAATAATTTTTATGTAAAATTTTGGTTTGGGCTCCTTTAACCTTTGATGTTAGATCATAAAATGATTTTAATGGTGCTTTTCTACACCCTTTTAATTTAAGCGCTTCTATAGTAACTCCAAGCTCCTTCCCCACATTATATTTTGGATAATTGTCATATATATTATATAATGGTGTATATTTTTGCATTTTAGAGCTTTTATCAATATAGGCCAAATCTCGCCCTACTAATGTGCAAAACTTGTAATTGAATTTGTTCCCTTATTTGTGTTGCTTCTTCCGGGGTTTGGAAAAATTTCCCTAAGAGAATATTTAGATAAAACATTTATTTTTGTGTAATTAAAGAATTATTTATGCATTTATATACATTTATTTATACAGAATTAATTATAGGAATTTTCATAATAAGAAGAACATATAAATAAACATTAGATATAGTATTTTTATTATGTTACATTATTAAAATAATACCGCGTGAAAATCATAAATTCATGGATACTAATTTTAATAATAATGATGAATATACTTATTTGAATTTTCTTTGGGCAATTATTCACAGTTCCCCTAAGTTCAGGAAACAAAAATTTGTATATCTCTACTTACACTTGCCCCCCACCTAGTTTTCTTGGTTGTTTTTATATATTAATTTTTATTCACAGTCGTATGAAGTCCATTTTGTTAAGATATAAATGTTCTTGTATAATATTTTTATATATAGAAAAAAAAAAAAAAATGTATTAAAAATATAAATAAGATCAATCGAAAAAAATTTCTTAGTTAAAACATTATAGCACCATTAGATATTATTAACTTACAAAAAAAAAAAATAAAATAGAATATTGCTATAATCGGGCTTAAGATATATTAAATTAAGTGTGAATAAAAATTCAGAACAAGAAAAACATTAAATAAAATAAAATGAAAAATGGAATAGAACAAATCTAAAAAAATATATAAACATGTGAATAACAACAGAAGAAATTAAAAACCTAACTATTACTATTTTATGAAAAATATTATTATAGGAAGAGTCAAAAAAAATTTTTTTAAATGAATTTAACAACTTGGTAATATTTATAATTATTTTTAGTGACATGGGGTCGTGTTTAAAAAAACATTATTGCATGTAAATACTTAAATACGATAAAAAAAAAAAAAAAAAAAACTAAAGAATATATATTTTTGTTGTATTCGTTTCTTTATAGGTATATATTTAAAGGTCGTTACAAATAAAAAAATGTTGAACCTAACGCACTATCCTTAAGTATATATTTTTTGTAATACAAAAGGGTATATTTATATAATTTTTCACAGTTTTTTTTTAGTAATTTTTTAAAACGAAAGATTTAACTTTGTTTTAATAATAACTCATTCAATCGATTTTACATACCCTATAGAACCATTTAAATGAAAGAAATGTACTAAGAAAAAATATTTATCTTAGCAACTGTTTTCTTTTTTTTTTTTTTTTTAAATATAAAAACATTTATTTCGAAGAAATTATGAATTTTTGTTCAGGGAGGAAAAAGGTATATTTATTTTAAAAGCTTGTAATGGTTAGTAGCTGTTGTTACATGCTTACATTTGAAATAAACACATTTCTTACTATTACAATGTCATTTGAAAACTGTTATTATAAAAAATGTAGTATATATTTGCTGTATATGAAATAATCGTAGAAAATGTAAATATAAGTCATTGTTTATTAAATTTACATTATATATACAAATGCAATGAATTGGCAACACTTTTATTTGCTTTTATTAATTATCATATTCCTAAAATATATAAACAAATTTATAAAATGCTTTAAACAAAAATAAATTATTACAAAGGAACTTCCTACATAAACAGGAATTAAAAATAATATATTAGATTAAATATAATAATTTTAAATTAAATGTGTACGAAATTAAATAAGGGTAGAAAGACAAAAATTAAGGGGTAGAAGGTGCTTGTTATTTCCAGACTTTTTCATGTATAGAACTCTGAATATTTTGAAATCTGATTATATATGCGGTGTGTGTATTTGAATAAAGGATGTATGATGTCATTCTTTTGTACTGATGCATATTAAAGGAAAGGGAAAAAGCCGTACTTTGAATCAAGATTAATAGGAATTTTCATATTGTGGTTATATCTACCATGCTTATAAGGAAGAGGGATGTACAACATAAATAATTATTATTAATTTATAAAAGAATCATAGTTCCTAATTTCGACTAAAACCCTGTATTTGCTAAAGATAGATAATAATAACTTGCTTATTGGAACAAATGAATAAATATTTAAATTTTATATATCACATTTTTAAAGAATACTGCTATTTTGAATTTATTTATGTTATACTAGTACTACAGCATAAATTTTGTTTTTTAATACACAGTTATTTTATTTTATTTTAGTTAGTTTTTTTTTTTTTTTTTTTTTATCTTCTTTAGATATATATATGGGAATACTACATTTTTACGTAAGTACTTTACAAGGGCTAAAATAGTTGTAATGTTAGTTACGTATTAAAAGGTTTTGTTGTTATGATAAGTATAGTGACACCTTAATGTTTACGCTGTTTAAAAAAAATTCTGGTATTATCTACATATTTAATTAACTACTTCATGAATTAAGAGGTTAATAGCGAGCTTTAACACTGTGCAAATCTATAATGAACATAATTGTAAATTTTTCCTTTCCTACATGAGTATATATAGATGGTAGAATTATTTTATATTTAAAATGATAAAAATGATAAAAATGTTAAAAACAAACAAAGTAGTAAATAGAGACAAGTTAGTTCAATTCAGAATCATGAAAATATTTTATGATACATTGGTAATATATTTTTTCTTTTTTATGCTTTTTTTTATTTTAATTCAGAGAACTTCACTAGATTCAGATGGCGTTCTTATTATGTCAAGAGTATCTTATACATAAGGACGACTTCTTAACGTTCCTAAATTGGATATAAATAACAAAATGTTATTTAAATATAAAAAAAATGGGATAAAAAGGAGGAGCAAAAAATATCCTAATAAAGCATGCCATTAGTTTCCATCTATAGGCAGAGTTAATTAGCAAACCTGTTTTTAATGACTAATAAGTGTGTATAATAATTACTAATTAAATAATTATGTAAAAATTTTAATTAGTAAATATAGTATATTAAAGTAATAAAACTCTAATAATGACAGTAATAATAACCATAGAAAAAGCCATTATATTATTATTATTATTTGAGTTAAGCTACGTAAAACATAATTTAACAAAACAAAATTTTATAGCTAGTTTAAAACACAAACTATTTACAAAAGTTAAGGTTAAATTCTCGTAAAAAAGTGTACTTTATATAAATAATAGTAAAACAAAAAATTTAATGATTCTGATTATATGAAAAAAACGATATTACAACCATTTTACATGTTAACAACACATATTTATTGCAAAAATATAAAGTGTGTAAGGAGCATGGTGTGACACATCACATTAATTGAAAAGCTTCTAATAAAAAATGGGGTATGAATATTTAAAATAAAAAAAAATAAAAAATAAATTATGAGGATTATTTATTTCCTTGTGTTATTTTATTAAAAAACAGTAGGTAATTCTAAATACATTCTACAATTTATAAGTACTCAACAAGTTAAAATTTTAATTCATTTTAACTTGAATGTCCTCTCGTTCTACATCCATAATAAAATATCTAAAAGTACAATTTTTAAATAGACATATAAAACTGATATGGAAAGAAAAAAAGGCTGAAAATTAATACAGAAACTATCTATACAAAAATCTGGGTAATGCTTTAATCAGTACATCATACATGCAAATATAATATATAAATGAATTTGTTGTGAAATGCAAAATTTTAATGGTTCACTATAATATATTTATGTAAATATGTGGATATATAAATATTTAGAGAAGAACATTATATTAATAAGAAGGCAATTCCTTTATTTAGGGTATTTAAATTTTTTTTTACTTAATTTTGGTATTAAATAGTTTTTTTACATTATCCACTCTTCCCCTTCATTTTCAGGAAGCTCCCTTTTTATTTTGTTTTTTTTTGCTTTTTTTTTTTTTTTTTTTACAAACCGTTAAAAATTGTTTGCTTCCATTTTACCTTATTCATACATGTATTTATAACTGCAACATCAATCACTGTTCAATTACACATTTTAATTATAGAACTTCTTTTTATTTTAAATAGCAGCAGAAAAAATATATACATTTTTTCTTTTTATTATTCGTTTTATTAGATGATTTTTTAACAACAACACCAGAATCTTCTTTTTTTCTTTTTCTCTTTCTCTTTCTCTGGTTTATCTTCTTCTACTATTACTTGTGCCTCTTTTTTTTCAGTTGGTTTTACTATAACTGGGGGGTCTGGATACACGTATCCATAATTTCTTTCTAAGTATGGTTGTCCTTTAATTATTTCATTATTTTTTTCATCATCAATATATGGAAAACTGGCAAAATCATCTTTTAATAGATTTGTATAAGCTTGTTGTTTTCGAATTTCTTCTTCAATTGTTTTTTTTAATGAAAAATATGGGTCCCAATAACCCTCTGGATACAATTCAACAGCTGAAGGATCTCCGTCCATGGCACGTTTTCGTATATTGAAGTGATCATTATTTGCTATTATATATTCAACTCTTCCTGTTATTGTTGGAATAAAGATACGAGTTTTTCGTTTTCTTTTTTTGGGTCCTTTTCCGTCCTGTTCGTCTTTACTTTCCTCTTCTTCATTATCTTCCTCTTCTGCATTATCTTCGTCTGCAACCTTAACTTCGTCTGCAACCTTAACTTCGGTTGCTGCATTAACTTCTTCTACTGCATTAACTTCGGGTGCTGCATTAACTTCTTCTACTGCATTAACTTCTTCTGCTGCATTAGCTCCTTCTTCTCCTTCAACAACTTCTTCATCTTCAACAACTTCTTCATCTTCAACAGCTTCTTCCTCCTCTTCAACAACCTCATCTCCTTCAACAGTTTCTTCTTCTTCTTCAAAGTCCTTTACGCTAGATTCAGTACGCAAATCTTTAAATGATTCAGGTAATGAGTTAGTATCATCTTCAACTTCTGCGTCAGCTTCTTGTGCATCTTCCCCTCTAAGTGATGAAGGTTTTCCTAGTAATGTTCTCATAATTCTTGAATTTGCATTTTTTCCAAAGTTATAATTCTTCATATCGTGTGAAGTTCCATATTGAAACTAAAAATGAGTGATAAAATTTTTTTTTGTAAAATTTAAAGAAGAAAAAAAAAGTTAACCAATTTTTATATATATTAAAGAAAACACAATGAAAAAAAAAAAAAAAAAAAGCAGGAGAAGTATTTTAGTTATATTGAAGAAAAATCAACTGATGGAATAGAAAATATGTACTGATATATATGATACAATATCTAGTGTGTGTTATTTATTGCGTTCAGACGATTTTGTTTTATTTTTCCCTTTTTATTATTATTCTTACAGAATCAGAGTAATTTATAATCCAGAATAAAAGAGTAACCAAGGAGACTTTTGTAGAAAAGAGAAAAACGTTTTTATTCTCTTTCCTCTTACTATATTTCGTTGTAACAGCCATTATTGATATTTATATATTACACGGAAGAGTTGTTTAGTTATTTATATGTTTGTAGAGAAATTTTTGTTCTGATTGATATTGAATAAGAAATGTATTTTTAACTATTATAAAGATATATACTAAGCTTTATGTATTTTCTACTAAAATTGAAAAGATATAACAAAATCTTGGCTAATTATATATTTAACAAGAACAACCAATATCTAGTATTTAAAAGTATTAAAATAATCACTCTAATTTGTTAAAGTTTGTGAATTACAAAAGCACAAGTTGCAAAAATTAAAACAAAATATGATAAAATATAAAATTAAAAATGTTTAAAAAAAAAATAAAATAATATAATTTGTATTTTATAAAAACAAAATTTTTTCAAAAAAAAAAAAAAAAAAATAATATAGTTTATATTTTATAAAAACAAATTTTTTTCAAAAAAAAAAAAAAAAAAAATTTTAAAAATAAGGTGTTGGCCTTCATATATGACGACTACCCTTTATTAGATTGAGCAAATGTTGACGGTGTTTTAAAGCGCGCTTAACAAAATTTAGATGTAGTTTTTTGTTTTTTTTGCTTTTTTTTTTCTTTAAATGCATTATAATAAAGAATATTCATAAGAGAAAAAGATATACAGTTACCTATGTTTAGACATTTTTTTTTTCATAAACCCGTTTTATAATAGCATTGCATGTAATTAAATAACAAAATTGTCCTATAAAAAAAGGTTCATATATAATTTTAATTAAATAGCTAAAACAACAAAAAAAAATTCTTACATGTAATTTAAATTAGTTGCATTTAAATATAAAAACAGCAAAGAACTATGAGATTATGATTTAGAATGATGAAATATACATTAAATGAAATAACCAATTAGTTATTTTTTTTATTTTGAACAAAAAAGCATATATCGCAGCACAAAAAAAAATTATTTAGCACAGAACAAAAAAATGTCGCAGAAATTCATTATTTTATTATCATAAGGGAATATGCAGAAATTTATTATTTCAATATAAAACAATTTAATTATTATTGATAAAATAATACTCATGCAATTTATACAAAATACTACAATTTTTAATAGTTCTATTGATTGTATTTATTTTTTCTACAACCTGTTCTATCTGTTTGTTAGCAAGAATAACTTCATTTTAAAAAAATGTATTTAGGGTTGTAAAAAAAAAATATATATGGAAAAAGGCAATAATAAATAAATTAAATAATTTTTCTGCAACTTTATTCCAACTAATTTGTTCTTTTTTTTTTTTTCAGAATTATGTCGCTTAAATAGTGAATGAATATGTTGTTGAATGGGAAGCCTATGCATCTATAAAATAGGAGGAACCAGTAACAATAGATGTATTGTATTCATTTTTCTTTCATTTCTTAAACAAAACTATATTTTTTATTTGGGATTATTTTTGATTTAAGTATAAATTTTAAAAAATTTTATTAAAATACAAATTCAATTATTTTTATAGATAAATAATACTATTGTGACAAAAGAATATTTTTAATATGTTTAAAATACACAACAATTGAAGTTGTAATTTGTTTTAATAGACTGGCTATATTGTAAAAAAAAAATTTTTTTTTTTTGCTCTTTTTCAACGCAAATAATGTATTATTGTACTGTATGTTTTTTTAAATAGGAAAGGGAAAAATTCAATAAAATTTTTAGAAACATAAAACATATAAATTATTAGACATATTTAATAAATACGTGTAAAAATCATTAAAATTGTAGAGTGAAAAAAGTGCTATATACTTAATCGATTTTTAACAAGTTATGATTACGATAAAAAATTCCTTATAATAAACGATTATATTTCAATATAATTAAATTAGAAAAAAAAAAAAAAAAATGAATATACCCAGTTTCTTTATTAATATATTTACAGTTATTCTTGTAAATAGTTCAAGGAATTTTTCTAATAACGTAGTAGGGGTATAACAATTAAAATGCCCTTGTAGAATTTATTTATATTTTGGTTTTTCCGTATACACATATTTTCATTTTAGTTCTCAAATGAATATTTTTAATATATCGAAATAGAAATTTTTTTTAAAATATTAAAATTTGTTTCATTTTTCAGTCAACACTCTCATTTGTGGAATCTTGGGGAAAGAACAACCAAGATAACATTTTAGACATTAAGGTTATTAGATCTCTAGGTGAAAATGAATTCAATAAAAACAGTGATTCTGGAGAAACCACGAGGGATAATGTAAATGAAGACAATTATGATCAAAATGGTAATGATGAAGGTTATGATAAAAATCGATATGATGCATTGACGCAAGATTACTTTGATATGATGGAAAGTGACATCAATAAAGGATCTTCACGAAAAATAAATGAAAAATTTAGCAATACATATCATAAAACGAAATCAAATCATCACTTTAATAATATGTCAAATGAAAATATTCCTAGGGGTTTTAAATGTGAATATTCTGAAAAAACTTTTTACAAAAAACTGAAAAATTTTTTTAAGACTATAGACAATTTAACTGAAAGAGAAATATACAATTTATTAAAATTGAAAAATCGTCATAATTCTGAAGTTTATATAGGAGGTAGAAATATGACAAACAGAATTAAAATGATTTTATATCACTATAAAATATTTTCCGTTCCTTTCGTACTTATATTTTTATGCTTCATATGCTCGAAGATCTTTTCTGCACCAGGATGGGCCCCCTTCTTTGGAATTTCATTTATTGTTATTTTAATTTACCTTGTTGTTAAATTCATAAAGTGCTCCTCAAAATTTAACAAGTTAGCCCAAAGTAAATTCCCAGGATATATAAATCATGAAGATGGTACTGAAGAGGACCTTTTTTCAGAGTCTGTTAGCGACATTAATGAACAAACAGAAATATTTTAAACACTTATTGTTAAAACAAGCCATTATTATTAATGTAGTGTTACCATATCATAGTTTGTCTTTAGTTCATATGTATTGCTGGAAAAAAAAAAAACACATACATGTTTCATATCATTCTATGCATATTATTACGTTATTTTTTTGATTAAAAAATTTTTTTTTTAATATAATATTATTTGTTTATTCTGACACATGAATGTTTCTCTAAGACAGTTGCACTGTTTTTTATTATTATTACTTGTTTTTTCTCCCACTTGATAAACACAGCATATATATATATATATCATGAAGGGGAATGTAACACATCTCCTGTGTTAAACATACTTGCAATATTTTTATCTTGTCTCAATCACATTTTAGTAATGTGGGATGTATGTTGTTTGTAACTAAAAGGGTTTCTTTTTGTCCTAAAAAATAGGTGAATTCAGTGGCCTTCCTATGTTAATGGTGGTACATAATAATGGTGTTCTACGTAGTTTTTTTTTTTGTTTTTATCATATATATAGCATTACATTATCCAAGGATTTTTAGTGATTTAAGATATTTGCATTCTTAGTTGTCTGGAAGAAAAAATTCTTTTAAGGTACCACTATTTATCCTCTGATCATAAGAGTGTTCACAACAGGTAGAAAAAAAAAAAAAAAAAAAAAAGAAGGAAAGAAGGAAAAGAAAATACAGGGGATGTGTAAAAAACATTTAATTTATTTGTATAAACGTTTTGATGTTAATAAATAATTTTTTGTGACATATTATATATAATATTCATAATATATGGTTAAATATACATTTGGAGTTTAAAAAAAATTATAGAAAAAGATCTGTGTATTTTAATATGAATGTGTGTAAAAAACGTAAGAATATGATAAAAGTGCAATTGTTTTTAATATGTGATTTTCTGTTGTAATTTCTCATTATTACGTGCGTACGAAAGCATGTAAGAAAAATAGTACTTATGATGAAATACTCTTGCACTTTTATGATTTCATCTTTATTATGTTTCAGGTTGGAGACTCATTCACCAATGGTTTCTTTCGTTTATTTTTCCTATACTGTTTATTTATAATAAACAATCGCACAATTATCTTTTAAGCAACTAACAAGTATAAATTAGTTATTACGAATTTACAAAATTTATAAAGAAAAATTTTTTTTTCCAAATAAAAATATTAATTTGTTGATCGTTTCATGATACTTTTTTATGTTTTCTTTCGTAAAAAAAACGATACTCTAAATTAAAACTTAAGTTAATTGTGATATGAATAACGGTGTGTACATTTTTAAAAAAATATGATATTATTATGTTTTAAGCTTTAAATTATTTAATTATAATATTTGCAAATTAAAAGAAGATTTCTTAATAAATAATATTCTTCTAATAGCGAAATATAGTAGTAGAAAAATAGAGTGAAAAACGACATAAACAAGTTGAATATGATTGCATTTACAATAATACAAGGTTATAATTTAAAAATACATATATAAAAATTTTATATAGACAACAAGCTTATATATTCAGTAATTATTTTCCCATCTTATTCTATATTTAATAAGTAAAACTTGGCACTTTTTTTTTTTTTTTTTTTCTATTTAAAAATATTTTCTCCAACTGTTTATAATGATGTAAAATTCAACATTATAAATAATGTAAAAATTAATTATTATCTATAAAGCTTCTCCCCCTTCTGTTTTATAACACATAGCAACATTCCTACTATTAATTTATACTCGTTGTTAATAAGATGCTTCATTCAAAATATAGATTTTTGTAATTTTCGCTCTTCTATTATTCTAACACTGTGCCATATCCAAATCTTTTTGATTCCATGGGGTTATATAGTGCATCTTTCTTTTCATTTACCTTTTCTTTTGTAAAATTTATGGTCTCATTTTTTATCAATGCACATAGTGAATGAACTTAGAAAGTTATTCAATTTTGCATCCATACGTCATGTGTCATTTCTTCCTTTTCCATATCAGTTTGTTTTGCTTTTTCTTGATTAATTTTTTCCTTTTTAAGTTTTTCTTTTTCAAGTATTTCTTTTTGTTTCTGAAACAATTAAAAATGAAATATATTGAGTATATAACGGGAACAGTTTTTATATAGTTAATGTAGATATTTATGCGTCAATAAATTACGATATTGTGAAAACGTGTAAGAATGTTTAATACATATTTGTGTATAATATTTATATTACCAAATAATCATTGTCGAAATAATAATTTGTGCAAATTATTGAAAATACGATCAAGCATATTGCTAAAGTAAGGGAGAAGCTATTGGCCTTTGAAAATGAGGTACAACCACATGTACCACGCTTCGGAAGGAATTTTTTGAAAAAGTCTAAATTAAGATTACCAATTAATTCCTTTATTTGATTCATATTTTGTATTTTTATAGAAAAAGGAAAAAAATAATATTATCAAATATGCAACATTACTAAATGAATGAAACAAAATTTGTATACATATACACTAAAATATTTTAGAAAAAAAAAGCAACGGTAACAATATTTTCTAATATACTTTATTAACGAAATATATAAACAAATTAATTAAAAATTCAGTAAAATACAACAAAAAAAATGTTAAATTAAGAAATGATTAAAGAAAAAATTTTAGCTGTTGTATTATTATTAAGGGATAATTAATATTATTATTTTACAATTTAATTAAAATGTATATATATTAAAAAAAAAAGCAACAAACGTTTTATAATTAGCGAGTCATAAGAAATTGCGTTTTGTAAGGCAGCACTGGAGCTATATTCAATTATTGAAAAATTGTTCATAAATATAACTACTAATGCATATTTTTATATAAAAATGACAATAAAGAACATTGCAATTTTGTAAGCCTAAAGTACAATGGTTACATTTTTTAACATAATTTCTTATTTATATTTAAATCAATGCTAATTTTTTCTTAAAAAAAAAAGAAAAAAGGAAAATACATGCCATGAATGCATTCACTGATGTTGTTTATAATGTAAATGATGAATACATGGAAGACATATATTATAGATAACTAAAATTTTTATGTATGATGATAATAAGTTACATGTGCACTAAAGGCAAAAGCGGTGCTTTATTTTTATTAATATGAAGTATTTAAAACAATTGAACAGTAATTTTTAGCATCTCTAGAACTTAATTTTGAAGAAATTTAAATAAATTTATTATTCTGCTATTATAAGCTATTGGTTACAAATATTATTTGAATATGGAAAAATTAAAATTTGCAAGAAAAAAGAATAAATTGTCCATTTTTCATTAGAATAGAAAAAAAAAGTTTATGTTTGTTATTTTTATTCTGGAATTTAACCATCCACAAATGTGCTCAACAAAGTTAAAAAGGATATTTCATTGCACTGTGATATTTTTGTATGCATCATTTAAACAACATATATGTACTTGTCATGTTAGATCAATTGCAGTATACTTGAATGTGGATTTAATTTGCAGTTGCTAGAAGATTTTTAAGAGAGTATATATGTTATCTTAATATATGTACACATAATAATTCTCATAAAATGATTATAATTTAAGGTTTTTAAAAAAGTGCATGTCACTGAAACGTTAAACTCTTGGTATAGAATTATTTATATGATACACTTAATATTTTAACACGTCATGTTATATGCCTCTTTTTGTTTAAATGTAAGAGGAATCATTTACCCTTGTATTTAGAAACAAAAAATGAAAAGCAGAAAACGTATAATTAAAAAAAAAAAAAAAAAAAAAAATAGCTATACATGCTAGTATGTAACAACATTAGGAAAAATATAAATATAGTTTATAACTGAAGAGAAATTTAAGTTATGGAGTAAAAAATGAGGATTCAAATTCTTCTCAAAAAGAATACTAAATTGGAATGGACAAATTAGCTCATGAATTTTATTATAAATAATTAGTCACATATTGAAACTACAAAAAATGTACATTGATTGGGTTTTTTTAATAATTTAAGTAATAGAAAAGTACGTGAACATGCAATTAATAAATTAAGACTTTGTCTACTTTACTATATATATTTTTTGTGAATGATTGTATTAAAATATAAATTTTAAATTGTAACAATAAAAAAAGTTTTTAAATTATATTTACTATATTTTGTTTTATGCAATTTGCAATAAAATGGAATGTGGTATTAAAATAAAACCTATTACAAGTTCGTATTTAATAAACATCATATATATGTGCAAACGCATGCTGAACATTGAATTATTAAAAAATATATATATATATATATATATATATAATTCTGAATTGTTTCTTATATTGCAAAGTGAGATAAAAATTAAGATTAAATTTTTTTTCTTTTTTTAAATGAAATAAAACAAATAAAATCACACAAAAAAAGGTGTTTATGGAAAGATTGAAGGCAAGTACATTACAATAAATAGGAAAACCCAGTGTGTATCGAACTTATATAAGAATTAAAATCATGTTAAAATAAATTGGTTAGTGAATAACATTTGAACTTTTTAAATTGATACAAATGTTCGTATTGATATATGTGTTTTTAAAAAAGCAGATAAATTCATTATATGTACTTTGCTTAAATAGAACTATTCGAGGAACATAAATATAAGCTGTATTTAATGAAACACAAATGTGGATGGACGCCCTCTAGCATTTTTATTTTTGTTTTTACATTAAAATATATTATTACAAAGACAGAAAAAAGATAATAGCATTAAGCATAGTAAAAATATAAAATATTCTTATGATTATTACAATATTTAATGTGCACTAATTTTTTAGTTCAAGTCATACATACAAAGACTTATTCATTTTTAAGAATTATTTGTTTCGCTATTTAAAAGAACATACTGTTAGCTCATTTATTGCTGCCTTAATGTTTCTATTCATTGATTATATTATCATTATTATTATTCCTTATTTTATCTTAAATGCATATTTATCTATTTTATACCCATTCTTATTTATCATGCAATGTAGTATTAATATTATAACTTTTCAAATATAAAAATCTCTTTAAGAGAAGAGCTTATTGATGTATATGCAGTTACTTTTCCTACTTATCAAAAAAAAACTTACAAAACTTCATTATAGAATTATTTTTAAGTTTCTTTTAAAAAGAAAAAAGAAGGAAGATTCCTTTTCCATTTTTAGACAATCGCTCTTGAAAACAGAGGCAAAACATTTATTATAGTTAAAAAAAAAAAAAAAAGGTATAATAAAAGGAATAATTAAAACAAAACTTAATTTTGTACCCATTTTATTTTTGGGGGGAATGAAATTTTTAGTACAAATTAAAAATTTTATGCATGTGTAAAACCCAGGAAATGCACTAAGTTTCATTTATTGAAAATTGTTATCATTTTTGTTATGCTTTAAATAAATTGAAAAAAAAAAAAACCAATAATTTTAAAAACGTTCAACTAATAAATCAAAGTAGAATTTAACAAATAAAAATTTGATATAAGTTATACATTTTTTTTTTTTTTTAAATTTCTTAAATGCAAGGAACAGTTTTTCAGTTTTATATTACATGTGGAGAATAATTCACGTGTGCACATATTTATATATATATATGTATTTTATTTGAACGGTTGACCTATCTTACTCTTATGAAGGATACGGAAAACTTTAGTTGTTGTAATGCAAATATTCTGTTAATAAATATTTTAAATTGAGATATAATTTATCTCGTTTCGATTTTCATAAACAGATAAACTTTTGGAGAAACAACATAACCACGCGCGACTAAGCAAATGAACCAAAAAGCAGTAGGAAAAGCGGCCTCTTTTTTAATAATCCCAATATTTATGGGAAGAGATATATATACATTTTTACTTGTTAATTTTTCTTTTAAATTAATAGAAGCAAAAAACAATATTATTTATTAAGAATAGAGAAATAAAAGTTTTAAGAGTAAATTAGAATAAGTATTAACCTAACAAATATAATTTTTTTTACTATTATTTAAAAATATAATAGGGATAAAAATACAAAGTACGTTTCTTCACATATTTGTACAAAAATTAGAGAAATAAGAAAAAAAAAAAAAAAAGTTCATACAATTTTAATTATGTGTTCGATTAAAACACAAAATGGTACATATTGTAGAATATGTGATTCAATGATTCTTATACAGGTTTTCATTTTAATAATTGTTGTCAACCATCCAAATATAGAATTAAATTTAAGGTTTTCATATTTTATATATATAATTTGTCGACCAAGTATATATGTCATGTCATTTGTCTATTTTGTTTACAGTGACGATTACACAATAATAATATTTTTATTGTGAACATCTAATATGGAATACGGTTTAGTGAATAAAAACAGTTAAGTACATGTGGCATTATTAAAGGTACATTTATATTCCTTTATTTTTTTTATTAAACTTGATACAGAGGTAAAATATAAGTGGTTTTGTTGACAACAGGTCTATTAGTTGTATGATATAGTATTAAAACCCTTATTATAAATTTAAGAAATTTGTGAAAACAAATGTAATATAGTGCTTTTGTTATGAAACAAAAAAAGAAATCATCAAATGAAAAATTTAAACTATAATAAATATATTTTTTTATTTATATTACATTGTTTATGCCCTAAAAAAAGAAAAAAAATATATAGATATTCTTTTTTCTATGTTTTGCACAAAAATTATTTATTATCGCAAAATTAAATTTTAGTATAATAAAAGCAAATGTAAATTAACTCCCCCCCAAAAAGGGTTTTTATTTATTTACTAAAGCCAAAAAGGCATAAGCAAAAAATAATAAAATAAATTCTTTCTTTAAATTATTAATTTTTGAAATAGGTATCTTTACAATTTTGTGCTAGAAGAAAAATTCTGCATAATTTTTTATATATAATTAAAAGGCAAGACGACCACGAGAATGTCACTTTTTTTTTTTTTTGTGTTCTTAGATACCTTTTGCTTATATATATATATATATGTATCTATTCAGTTTAGCTATGTTTTATCGCTTTATATACTTATTTACGAATTTTAAATAAACATTTATCATTTTATATATTTCTATATATTCTTAAATTCATGATTGTAATTTTATTTATATCGCTGGAAGCGGAATTATATTTTACGTAAAATTATCTTTTTATTTTCGGTAAAGTATAGCATAATTTTTCTTATGGGGGAGAAGGAGTTGTATCAATTTTTTACATTTTAAATATATATTAAAGAAATTAAAGGGGATAAAAATAAAATGAGTATTTTTTTTTTTTTTTTGAGTAATTGAAAGTTATTGTTTCATATAAAAAATAGTGCAATATTAGTAGTATATATATTTTTCTTTTAAATTTTGATGTTATGAAATATTTTTCTTTTTATTTTTATAAAAAGAATGGCTAGAAGTAATTACTATGATGAAACCATTTTATCTACAACCACGAAACTAGAGGGGCAACCCAAACATGGCTGTTTCTTCAATAAGGATAGTTTATTATTGAGAACATATGGATGGTTAGTTCAAAATGCCATTGGTATTATAATATTAATACATGGGCTAAATTCACACGCAAGACTAACATTTTTAAGACATAATGTTGAAATAGTGAATAATGATAAGGCTATATTAAAAGATGAAAACAATTATTATATTTACGAAAATAGTTGGATAGAGCATTTTAATAATAATGGTTATTCGGTATACGCTTTAGATTTGCAGGGGCATGGACTGTCGGATGGATGGGAAAACTTAAGTCTTAACATTAACGATTTTGATGATTTAGTGTATGATGTAATACAATATATTAAGCAAATTAATGATGAAATGAACTTAGAAGATGAAGAAGATCATTCTATAGCAACGTTTGATGGCAGTGATTATGACGAAAGTAAAGTTGATGATGAGATTGGATGTAAGAATGGTGAGTGCAACCATGATGCGTGTAGTAATGATGCGTGTAGTAATGATGCGTGTAGTAATGATGTGTGTAGTAATGATGAGTGCAGTAATGACAAGTGCAGTAATGACGAGCGCAGTAATGACAAGTGCAGTAATGACGAGCGCAATAATGATAAATACAATGAGAGTAATTCAGGGAACAATACTGAATGTATTTATGGCAATAAGTGTAACAACGATATCAAATGTAATAATAATAATGAACATGACAGTAGTGAATATACCAACAATGAACATAATATAAATGGTGAGTGTAAAAATAAGAAGAGAGATCCACTTCCAATATACCTACTTGGTCAATCAATGGGAGGAAATATTGTTTTAAGAACATTAGAGATATTAGGAAAGTCACAAAAAGATGGGAAAGAAAAATTAAATATTAAAGGGTGTATCTCATTATCTAGTATGATTTGTTTTCAGAAAATAGCTTCACCGCGTTCATATAAGTATAAATATTTTTATTTGCCTTTTACAAGATTAATTAGTGGTTTTTTTCCAACGTCAAGACTGGTTACAAAAATGGGTTTTAAGAAATATCCTTATCTTAATGATCTTGCTAATTATGATAAAATTCGGTGCAAAAATGGGATAACTTTAAGATATTGGCATGAACTATTAAAAGCAACCAGTAACTTAGAGCATGATATGGAACTTATTCCAAAAGATATTCCTATATTACTAATTCATTCAAAAGATGATATTTTTTGCTATTACAAAGGAGTATTATCGTTTTTTAATAGATTAATTAATGATAATAAAGAACTTCTTACATTAGAAGACATGGAGCACGGATTGACGATAGAGCCTGGGAACGAAAAGGTTTTAGAAAAAGTGATGGATTGGATTACCAATTTAAGCGCAAAAGAAGAAAAAGAAGAAACTCACAGAATATAAGTTAAAGAAGAAAACCTTATTATTTTAATTAAAAAAGTGTTTTCAAAGTTATATATATTTTTACAAAAAAAAAAAAAGAAGAAAAAAAAGTTATCATCAAATTAATAATTTTCACATTGTTTCTATATGTGTCTACAAATGCATATAGTATTTTGTTTGTTTCTATTTATTTGAATTTTATTATTTTCTTTTTTTTTCTTTTTTGTTCCTCGAGCATTTGTGTATTTTAAGCTATCTGCATAGATTAAGTTTTAGCACAAATCCTAATTTTTTGAAATACATTTTGCATTTTACCCTTTCAACATAGTTAATTATTTTTTTCGTTTTATCAATTCTAATTAAATATTTGAAATCTATTAACGCATAAATATTAATAACTAAAAATTAAAAACAAAATATAAGACAATACTTTGATTTTTTTTTTTGTTATACTTAAGCTGCTCCTTATTAATACGAGTTGTAAAAGCGGAGGGGGGTAAAGGGGAATTCGAAAAGATTGCAGAAGCAAAGTTATTTATCATATTCACTTTTTCATCCATGTATTATCATTATGAATCATTTTTAAAATGATATAGAGATACACGTAATGTAATATGTTCTGTTCCAAGTGAAATGGAAATCGAAAACTCAAAGAATTGAACTTTTGCATGTAATTCTTATGTGCAAATAGGAAGCAATGCAAATACATAGAAGGAAAACGTTGAGAAATATGCTTTTCTTAATCTCATAGATATATAAGAAATGCCATAAAAGTATTATAATGTCAAAAATAAAAGTAAAATTATAGTTTATCCTCGTTGCATTTTATGGTTACTTATTCATTACATTTTAGAAGATGCATTGTATAAAAAACTACGACTCAAATCGAAAGTAATTTTTATATTTTAAAATGAAAAAAGAAAAAAAATTAATAATATGTAGGACATAGCACTTTCTATTCTACGTATAAGCAAAAAGCTTTTTATATGCAATGTTTTTTAAAGAAAAAACAACACATATTTATTTGTGGAAAAATTTATATTAAAATTTCCAAAAGTAATAGTTTTTTAATTAGCTATGAAATCACAGTGGAGGTACATCTGCTTTGCTTTACATGGTTATGCATCAAACATCTAAAGTTATCCCAAGAGAGAACATTTAATGTTCCTTATCAAACAATGTATCCTATTTTTTAACAAAAATTTTTTTTTTCAGGTGTTCAATAAGGCATAATTGCCAATTTTTTATTGTTTTAACATGATTTTTCTTTGCACATTTAGTAAATATATTCGTTATTTTGAATTCAATCTGTCTATTCTTTATTTTCGTTAAAATTCCTTTGGACCCATTTTACCAAATGTTCTTTATTTCCATTTGTGTGTGAATGCAAGAATGAGGTTTTACTTTTCTGAAAATATCAATAGAAGAAATTCTCCCTGCCCCTTTAGAGCAACCAGTTAAGCGCGATCCCAATTCCCATTTTTGTCATTGATACTAATTTTAAGTAATTTGTTTAATTTTTGTTCTGCATTAGTAAAATATATTTGGAAATCGTTAAATATAGGATAACACTTCATTTGCGTGTTTGCCTATTTTTTCCATTCACTTTTTATATGTTTTAATGATTTCTTGCATATATGTTTATTTCTATAACTGTTTTGTGGAAGTTATTGTTAATGTCTACTTCTGACACCTATCTGTACCATTATTATCTTTAATCTTTAGAATGCCATATTTATTTTATTTTTTTTATCAAGTTGCGAACTTTTATTAAACATTATAGATACTTTAATTTATTTTTCCCACGTTTATATAAATAAAGAAGCATTTATAATTTGGAATAAAAAAAAATAAATAAAATAATAAAGAATTATTAAATGTATGTATGAAAAATCAGCAGAAAAACCATCGGTACAAAAAGATAGTTGATATTTACATTATATATTTTTGTTCCTTCTGCAATGTGTTCATGTTGGCATTTTTATTTGAATAATGATATTAAAGAAAAAGCGTTTTAAAAATAAAAAAAAATTGGAATATAATATATATTATTCGTGGAAGAACAGCTATTTAAACAGTTTTTCTTTTTAATTATATTTACAACAGCGGCAACTTCATTTTATACACTTCTATTAATAATAAATATGTAAGTTGAATGAAATGGTACTGTAAAGAGTAGAAGAGTTATAACAACGTGATTTAATGAATGTTAAGTAGGTTTTACACATTTTTTCTTATGTAAAATAAGAAAACACTGCTAAAAGAAAATTATTTAAAAACCCATAAGAAAAAGAAATAAGGAAAATGTTTTGAACATAAATGTACTGAAATTTAAAAACCAATTTTTGTGAATATCTTTTGAATGAGGTTAAAAAAAAAAAAAAAAATTGGTTACCTTTAGGAGCAATTAACACGATGGAAAAGGTATTATTACTATTAAATAATTGTTTTATTACTTAGAACTTTAAGTGTGATTTATGGATGATAAATAGTTCACACATTTTTTGAATAAAATTTAACAAAGCAATTAATAAATTGTTTATGTGCATTCTAGTTATTTATAATTAAAGTTGAATAAGTCTATATATGTGTCAGAAAAATGAAGTTTTATATATTGATAATTTTTCTCATTCTTAATCGTTGTATGTCAACAACAACAACAAAAATGTACAGTAGTCTTCGTATCGTTGTATTAAGTAAAAAAGAAAATGAAATAAACAGGATTTTAAAGACAAGACATGTTATTTATAGATGTAGACAGTTCTTTTTTTTTTTTTTTTGATATATTTATTCAATTGTGCCCATTTTATTTTTATGCTTAGAAGACGCGATTTTTAAATAGTACTAAAATTATTTCTTTTAGGGGAAACTTTAAGAATTCAATACAGTTACACTTGGAAGCCCCAATTTGGTAAATTTAAGTACTTTCCTAGTGAAACGTGTATATGATATGTCCAAAATGAATTGCAACTTTATTAATTTGAATTTCTGGAAGTTTACATATGTAGAATAAAGTTTTGAGTTATATTATTACTTTGCTATAAGACATAAGCTTATCATAGTGAAATAAGCAGAAATATGAGCAAAGCGCAAAATTCATATTACTACAGTAAAGGTACCCTTAAATAGAAATGTAATAAAATCAAAGTGTTAAGTTATAACAGGTATTATAAGCAATAAATGAAAACGCTATTTTCATAGCATTTTTTTGACATTTAATGTGTCTTAGTTTCACTATATGAAAAAGTTGCTATGATATGTAATTTTCTTTTTTTGTGTATATCAAATGAAAAAGGAATAATATGAACACATATAACGAGAGTTTAAAAAAATAATAAAATGCGGGGTTACATTATTAAAAACAAAAAAGTGTCTTTGGTCAGAAGAATTGCAACAAAGTCATGAAATGTAATTGCCTCCCAAAGATAATGAAAACAATTTTCGTAGTTTGCGTATTGAAAAATGGTATACATGAATATTTAACCCATTATTCCAATCTATTCAATCTCTCATACGTCAATAAAATTCGGGATCAACCAACTGATTATTTATTAGGTATTCATTTATGGAAACATACAAAAATGGACTACTTGTATTTGGGCACAAGAATCTTTCTTAAAAATGAAAGTGTTGTGGATATAAGTGTTACCAGGCGTTTTCATAATAATAAATGCGGCAGACTTGTCTACGTTAAAAATGGATAATCATTTAATAAATAAGTGAATAAGTAAATAAATGAATTAATATATATATATATATATATGTATATGTATAATTGCCTACCGTTCGCGCATAGCTCTTGGTAAAACTAAAACACAAATGAACAATATTTCTATTAGATTATTTCTTTTTCCAGTTACAATAAGTAATATTGGTTAAATTATGAGTTCCCTAATTACAGAATGGTTAATGGACAAATGTATGCAATAGTGTTTTGCTGTTTAAATGTAGATTATTATTATTTCTTTTTAGAAGCCTAATTCCAATTTGCTTATTTAGGAAATTTTATATTAAAAAACTAATTTCTTTACATGTAATAAATAAAATTTCAAAATATTTAATTTGTGGTTGCTATCATTATAAAGCACTTACAACTTTATATGGAGCAATTATTTACTATTATTTTGTAATTATATTCCAAAACATTTTATATAATATGTACCACAACCCCGTAAATTTATTTTTTTGTTTATACTATAGTAGGAATCAAATTTTACTTTTAGAAGGTTTCAAAACTGTTTTTATAGATATAATTTATATAAATTAGCCATTTCATTGATATCTCATTCCTTATTAAAAATATATAACAATGAATGGATGATAGCAATACATGTTTACTTCTATCAATTTTCTTCTATAAAAATGTGATGAATTCCTAAATGATACTTTTCAGGGTAATGCATCTTTTTAAGATTATTTTGTAAAAGATGGGTAGTCGAAAGGGATTGAAAGGTTTTTATTAAATTGGGGTTTTTTTCTTCTGCTGTCCCCCCTCTCTTCCCATGAGATTCGACCCATTTAAAACATTCAATAGGTTTGTAAAATATTTATAAATTCCTAAAATTACTTTTAAAAAAATCGGAAAAAAAACTAGTGAAAATGCCTAATTTATAAAAATTTTGAATTATTGTAAATTTCACAACACAACAATTATTTTAGAATGTACAAAAAGAAAAAAAATTATTTGTAATGAAAAATGTATTATGTGCGTCACTTCCATAAATTCATTTTTATACACTTAATTATGCACAAAAAAAAAAAAAAATAAATAAAACTTTTGCCTATTTACCGTTACTATAGGGTTGAATAAATTTATTTTGTTTTATATTTATAAAAATAACTTTGTTCCAAAATTAGAAAGTATATTACGTATTTTGAAAGGATTTAATGACGTCTGCGATGTAATAAAAACAAATTGTTTTTATTGTGTTTCATAAGTTAATAATTTAATAAACAACTTTTTTATTATTGTCTTGAATTCAGCAAAAATATTTTTTATGCAAATATTATTCATATTTTATTCATTTTATTTATTTGTTTTTTTATTTTATAACATTTTTCCCACTTGTTGGGCATAAGAAAAATTGGTAGAAATTTAAAATTTAAGAAAAAAAAAAAAATATAATTTTGTTATAATGAAAAACAATTAAAACTGTAACTGAATTTTTTACTAAAGAAAAATATATTAATTGACTCCATTTTAAATTCTCTAAAAAGAATCACCAGATTCTATATGTATTTTTTTTCAAAAATAATAAACATAGCATACTTTTTTAAACTATCTTTGAATATTGATTATATTACATTTTATTGTGTGAATTGCAGTTCCTACAATACTTTTTAAATTGAAGTAAATTTAAAATAACAATTTTCAAAAATGTCGAATTATAACAATTATATGAATAAGCAATGCAAAGATAAAAGCGTCAGCGCGACAAGAACTTTGTCAAGCACAAATAATTGCCAAAAGAAAGAAAAACAACCATCATTATGTTCCCTTACAAAAGTTTTTGCTTTAACTATTGTAATTTTGGTCCTTCAGTGCTTCAATAAAAATGTAATATATCCATGATTTTGTTTTAGTGTTTTTTTTTTTTTTTTTTCAATTCTAAATGATTATTTCATTAATACGTTGGTGAGAATATGTCTACTATTACATACAATTTATGCATATTTTTATATCATCATATTAAGGGCTGCTATGTTAATGGAATAAGTGCAGTGAATAAATTAGAATCAAGCCATGGCAGGAGTTTATCCGAAATGAACCCAAATTATACAGGACAAGGAGAAAATATGAACTATTCTGATGAAAACGTTAATGAAATGAGAAACTACAATAATAATGTAAATGGTGCATGGGTAAATAATGAACATGCAGGACCATCAATGTGCTCGGGTCCTTATTGTAACGCGAATCCACAGAGTTATGGACAAAACATGAACGAAGTTAATTTAAATGTATTTCATACAGGATTAGGTGAACATTTGAAGAAAAACATTATTTACATTTTACCAGGTATGATAGCAGCATATTATGCATGGAACTCTTTAGGAACACAACCATTTTTATTGATAGCTGCTATTATAGGTGTTTTCTTATTTGCAAATCAGCACGGACATTAAAATTAATATATATTTTATAAGGAAAAAAATAGAAACCTCCATTTTTAAAAGGATAATTTTATTATGTGTGCAGAAATGACCTCTTCAATTTTATGGCAATTAAAAGTCATGGGCAAGAAAACAATCTTCCACTAACAAACTTTTTAAAATGCATAAAAATGTTAACTTTGAAAGGTTGATATATATATATGGAATATTTTATACTTTATATAAATAAGCACTTTTTTTATTTTTTTTAATAAGAGTCTAATATAAAATATTTAATCCATAGATGTATTATTTGTCCTAATATATGCACCATCTCTATGCTTTGTTATTTACTCATGTTAATATGACATATATAGAGAATGCTAGTGTTATTTTTTATGATAATTTTAATTTTATTTATTGAAAAAGTAAAAAAAGAAAAAAAAATTCAACATATATTTACAGGTACAATTGTTTCTGGTATTTAATATAGGAAACGCTGCGATAAAATACATGTAACTATTTATTCTTAAATACATTTACACATTTTAAAGGATGTTTAAACTTTGTTGTTTTATTTTAAATATACCCATTAAGTTTTAGTGCTGTATTATTTTTTTTAAATTACATTTATGTTAATGCTAAGAAACTTAAGAAAAAAGAAAACTTTTAATGTATTTTTATAGTTAAAACATTTTTGAGTATAGATGTTTCTCACTATAAAGGAATATTTTTTTTACCCAAATTACTTTTTCAAGGGATATTAGGAAATGCCCAATATCAATTTTTTTAGAACAGTACATAAGTTACAAAAAATGTAGGATTGCAATGGAATGACACTTCTACTAAAAATATAACTTTAACCTTGGACATCACTTTGTTTTCAAACTTTATGAAATATCTGAAATAAGTGATATACATATATATATATATTAATAGTTATTGGCACCATTAATAATGACATATATATAGCTTAACAAATGAACTCTGTGAAAAAATATGTAGAAACATATGATTTGGAAGATTCTATCCAATGGATACAACACTCTATTTGAGAACATGAAATGTTTCCTTCAATTATGCAGTGGAATATAATGAAAAAGTTCATCGCGAAAAAAAGTTATAGAATAAAAATTTGTTCATTCTTGTATTATGAAACAATAATATTACGTGGAATTCCAAATGCATTAATTAAATGTAATATATATATATATATATATATATGTTTGCGATTGTTATGATCGCCATTTTATGTAAGGGAAGAAAATGAAGTTGTAATAAAAACTAAATTATGTGGAAATTTATACACAAAAAAATACTTAATAATTTCGGTAATCATAATATGGGTACAAAGTTGTGATGACACCATGGGACTATTTGTTCAATGGTAAATCCTTTTCCATGTTGTCGTGAATTAAATGTATTACAGACAAAGTGGGAAAAATGAGGGGAGAATTTTGAGTTTCATTTTTTATAAAATTCATATAAAGTCAACATTGATAAATGGAATTACATTGATAAAATCGATATGTATTATATTGAATGGGTTAGATGCTCAAAGAATGTGCAAAATTATTCTATGATTTGTAAACTTGCTAATAAAAATTGTACCCTTAGCACTAATTAGACGTTTATATTATTTTAGACATTTTAATATGCTTTATACATTTGAATTTTTTTTTTTTTTTTTTTTTAATTATCATTAATTAAATTGTATGGTAATGTAATAAATGGACATTTGTTATAGAAACGGAAATAGTGACAAGCTTCATAGTTGAAAAAGGTATAATGAAGGGATAAAAAAAGCGAATGCTAGAAGGATAAAGTGTAAATTATTGTGTTGTCTGTTGCGAGTTTAAACCATTAGATTCGGAGTCATTCTATTCAAGTAAGACAGCTATAATGCATTATTTTTTATATACCATTAGTGAGATAACTCTGAATGTTTCCTCAATTTAACTTGAGAAAATAATTTAGTTAATTAAAAGGAAGCAATTTTTCTCATTATTTATGGCAAATCATATTTAGCTTGTATTCTTTTTTTTTTATCCACTTTGCAGATTGGAGAATAATATGTTCTACTAATAAAAGGATAAGATACAGATTATTATATTGTAGTTTACTTTTCCACGTAGAGAATTATTTAAAAAAAAAAAAAAATCTATTTTATGCTAAAAATGTATAAAAAATGATAATTATATTGGGTGGTAAGGGTTCTTATAAATATGCATGCAAATAGAGAGGTATCGACTTTTTTATTTTTGTTATTAAGAAGGATAAGTGCATAGTTTAGTGAGCTTCACATAAATTTCCGTGGAATTTTCATGAATTCAAATAGGTTTTATCTGCTATAAAATATGATATACTACTTATATTGTATATTTTTAATGTTCTTAGTTTTCAAGAAAATGTAGATAAAGTAATGAAGAAAAAAAAAACTAAATTATAATTTTTATAATTATTTCACGGTAACAACAATTATGAAGATATGAAAATGATGCTGTAAAACCCTAACTTCATCGACACTGGGGAATTGCATCCACTTGAATTTATTTAAGAGTTAATAACAGACTTTTATAATTTTTTTAAAAATCGAATGTATAAAAGAATTTTGTGGCAGACATAAAAACAGATACATCTGTTGTAAATTTTTAATAATAAAAAAAAAAATATAATCTATTTAATTATCATAGTTCTTATTTTGTTACATACGCATGATAAATTCTTAATATGAAGATAGTTTTACATACAGGCAAAAATAGAGACAATTAATGGTAGGAAAAATTATATGTTATAATAAATACAACGGGATAAAAACTCAAATGAACACGATTAAAAACATGTATATATGGAATGAAATTATAAAATATAGTATATTATTTAAGAGGACAAATATGTTTTTAAATTAATAAAAATTAAAAGAAAATTAAATAATAATATTTTTTACATTTATTGTTATTATGATTAAATAAAAAAACATTTAACACATTTAGATTCCATTAATTTAAGGATTCTTAAAACATTTATTTGGGATGTAATTTTTTCTATATTTTTTTTATTGTGCTGAAATACATTTGAATATTTTTGCTAAAAAAAGAATGAAAAATTAGTTGGATACTTCATTATCATTCGTCGTCACCTCGTAAACATTGCCCTTAAATTTTTTATTTATTTTTACCTTTTTTCCGGCAATAGTCAGTGCAATGATAACAGGCAAACATATTAGTATAATAAAGTTCGCAATGCCTCCAGGAGCGGGTATAGGACTATATAATCCAATGGGCATAGCTAGAAGTACAAGTAACATAAGCATACCAAAGTACTTATTATCATATGAAAACCTTATTAAATATCCTGCAAATGTTCTAGGTTTTTTGGCGGATTTAGGAGTTGCATATAACATTTGTCGAATTAAAAAGTTATCTACATCTGTATTTACCTTATTTTTTAAATTGATAATATTTTCACCAAAAGATTTATCACCATCATAAAGTTTTTTCAATCTTTCTGATGAAAAGGGGTTTTCATTAGAATATATGTCTTTCCATATCTCTAGTGCATCTCCGTAATTTGCTTTCACTGAATTTGAAGCTTCATTATAACTATTTTGAATTCCTGGAACATAATGATTTTTAACATCTTTGTAATTTTCTTTCAATAAATTTGAAGCATCTTTATAATTTTTTACAGCAGTTGTAACACACTGTTTTTTAACATCTTTGTAATTTTCTTTCAATAAATTTGATGCTTCTTTATAATTTTTTACAAGTTCCGGAACATATTGATTTTTAACATCTTTGTAATTTTCTTTCAATAAATTTGACGCTTCCTTATAATTTTTTACAGCAGTTGTAACACACTGTTTTTTAACATCTTTGTAATTTTCTTTCAATAAATTTGATGCTTCTTTATAATTTTTTACAAGTTCCGGAACATATTGATTTTTAACATCTTTGTAATTTTCTTTCAATAAATTTGAAGCATCTTTATAATTTTTTACAGCAGTTGTAACACACTGTTTTTTAACATCTTTGTAATTTTCTTTCAATAAATTTGATGCTTCTTTATAATTTTTTACAAGTTCCGGAACATATTGATTTTTAACATCTTTATAATTTTCTTTCAATAAATTTGAAGCATCTTTATAATTTTTTACAGCCGTTGTAACACACTGTTTTTTAACATCTTTGTAATTTTCTTTCAACAAATTTGCAGCTTCTTTATAATTTTTTACAAGGCCTGAAACATTCGTTTTTTTTTCATCCTGAAAATATGGCACATTTGTAAGTTATACACTCATTATTTTATGATTCGAATAAAACATACAAAATATTGTTTATTTTTTAAGTGTACTACTTAAAACATAAAATCTAAAAAAATGGAGAAAGTAATTTTAACAACGTTACTACTGCGATACCTCTGGAGTACAAGATAACAGCCAAGTTAAATTCACACAAATCAATACAATCACAATAGGACGCAACATATTTACATATTTTCCATATCTCATAATTCTATTAAGTTATATACTACTTAAAACTGTGGAAAAAAATGTTAATAGGGGATATTTATTATTCACTCCACAAATAATTCAGAAATATATAACATATATTATATAACAATTTGTTTTAATCGTAGTTCTCAGTACTTTTATATTATTATTTGTAATTCTTTTTAGTACGTTTTATTAGATTGATGTATTTTTCATTGAATATATAAATTTTTTTTTTTTTTTTTTTTTCTTTATAATTATAATTAATTTTCCTCCTAATTTACATAATGAAAAATTATAAACAACTACAAATAAATTTACATATCTTAAAAAATAGAGAAAATCGTGTAAAGAAAGTGCAAAAAAAAAAAAAAAAAAAAAAAGTAAAAATGAAAATGAAATAATAAAATTATTCATGTACAATAAATAATGAAAGTGCCTCTAACACTAATATTTGTGATATAAGGGGAAAATAAGTGCATGTATAGTATTCCATGTATACTATATATATATAATAAGAATGAAATTATAAAAATATATATGCTCATTAGTGAAATATATAAACGTCTTTGTTAATTTTTAAACGTGTTGAAAAATAATATAATAATTTTGCTCTATTTTACCTTTTTTTGGACTTAATTTTACATTTAAATTTCATAGTCTCTATTTTAATGCACATTGTTATAATACGGCAATGAAAAAAGAATAGTTAACATACTTGGAAGTAGGTAAATTATATAATTCAAATTTTTTTTAAAATATTCATCTATTTCTATGTTCTATAACTAAAAGGAATTATTAAAATAAATATTTAAATGACTGGAAATGAAAAATGATAATTCACTCAAATTATTTTTTTTGCTTCACCGTGCAATTGTAGAGAATGTAACTGTGATATTGTAAGATTTTATTTGTACTTGTTTATTTGTAATAAAATATATGCTTGAATGGAATAAGCTTGAAAACACAATGTAACGTATACATCAGTTATAAAACTAATCGACATGTTTAAAAAAAAAAATCTGTAATAAATAATTGGCTCATATAATTTGATCTACTTCTTTGGTATTGAATAAAATGTTATATAAATGGAAAGTATCACAATATATGCTTATTTAATTGTTAACAAGGAATTATTTTAAGGTTATTATTATATATAAATCAATATGCTTGTATATACAAGCAACTGTGCCGATAATACGTAATACTATACTATACTATAGTGATTTAACAAAGAATGTAAAATCAAATTAGCAAATGTATTTTTTAAATATAAATAAGTTCTGAAAAAGGTTGTATGAATAAGGTTTTTAATTATATATACAACTACTTTTAATTAAAATAAGATAAAAAGATTGTGCCTAATAGAAATATTTTAATAAATTGCTTAGAACTTTTAATTTTGATGTTTGGGAATTAGGGATATAATTTTTTAAATGGCACAGGCCATGCCTTTTTGTTTTTGTGCATTTTTTTTTATATTACTAGATAATTCATGAAAGACGATCTATTTTGAACCTATGATTCATTTTTATGTTACGATGAATAATGCTGTAATATAAATTACCATCGGACAAATTGTTTATTGATAGATAAACAATATTTGTTGAGACCTAGAAGAAAGTCATAAGAACCCCTATAAATTATGTTCAATTTTTCCTGAAAAAACAGCATATATATATATATACCCTATTTTCCACATACATTTTCTTGTTGTAAAAAAGGGGTTATTTGAGATGGTCTCTTCCAAAAATTTATACATGTAATAAAAGGGAAATTTTTTTATGTTTTATGATTACTCTTGTAGTAAATGCACCAAAAGGTACAATAAATATGGACCTTTCGTATATATTAAGAGTTGAATGAAAACGTATACAACTAAAAAGAAAAAAAAAAAAAGTAGAAATAATAAACGATTTAGATTATGATAAATGTGAAAGTGCATGTGAATTATGAGAGACATAGGAATTAATCCTTCACTGCGTACGCTTTCCGTAGATAAATCAAGTAAACTTCAATATAAGCTCTACTTTAACCTCCTGTAATTATCATGATACCATTAAAAGGCGCAAATTTTATTCAAAATATAGATTCTGGTAGAAGCAAAAACAGATTTCTACTAATGCTTGAGTGCGCAGAAAAGATATTTGAAAAAGTGCAAATCAAAAAAAAAAAAAAAGATAAATAATCAGACAACGGGGAGAAAATTTATGAGAAATTGGGTTATAACTATATGTATATATATAAAATGATGCATGCTTGAAAATGGAAATCATAAGAAAGGGGTTATAATTTGTAAGATTCTTTAATTAAAAGTACGTAGCATTCAATTTAGAGTATATTTATTATTTTATGTAAATTGTTCCGCAAAATAAAAAGTTTCTAAAAAAAAATTCTACACAGGGGTAGTACTAAATGCATGAATAGTCAAAACATATGTTGGATCAATCATGGCATTGGGTATATTAGGAGTAACCTGACGATTTTGCGTCCTGTTCTATGCCTGCATAATAACATACACTTGAAAGTGGGAATAAATATATGAGGAAAGAAAGGATGAAGAAAAAGTTCCCAAAATGAAGTGTTCCCAAAATATATATGTTAATAAAGCGCAGCATAATGGTAAGATTTACAAGGGGAATTAGGGAAAATTCTTCTTGTACATAATGATGATTATTCTAATCATTGTATTAATCATGAAAAGACAACGCTTGTACAAGTAGATAATAAGGAAGTCAATTGAAATTTTAAGGAGCACCCTTTCCCATACACTTATGCTTACAATAATATTCATGTAGTATACAGGTCTCAAAAGAGCTATAAAAATTAATAAAAAAGTAAGATGAAAGATAAAAAAAAAAAAAAAAATAAAATTGATAAAAATATAAATCATAGAAACAATTTGTACAGCAATATAATGGATTATATTATATAAGCATAAGGATTAATGAATATAACAGAATAAAAGGAGTAAATAAATGTAACACAACAGTGAATAAATAATTAAAAGAATGAAACATTTGAATGCATAATGTGGCAGATTAAGGTAAAATGTGAAGATGTTAATAAAAAAACGGAAACATGATTTTTCATTTAATAAATTGTCTAAAACATCATCTTAAGAAATTCTTTGAATATGTACAAGAATCATTTTTTAAAAATGAATAACCAAGTATAGTTATGTTTAAATTCATTTATATTATTTTTTCCTGAGTTGTATACCACGAATTTGCATTTGCTGCTAAAATTTATAGATAATGCAGGGAAATCAATGAATTTCTTTTTAATTCTTATTATTCAAAATTCGTTGTATTAACTAGCCACCATTTTAATTTCAAATTTTTTTTTGTTGGCGATCAATGTCAAGGCAACGAAACGCATTATATACAATATACATATAAATTTGTTTTCCTTCTTTATTTATTTGCAAGAAAAATATATATAAAATACATTTTTAAATGGCATTATTTAATTAAAAGTGAGCTGTAAAAGCGAACTGTCTTGTTTCAGTAAAAACAAAATGTGTATAAGGATAAAAGTAATTATTTTTGAATTTATTCTAATGGAAAAAAAAAAAAAGAAAAAAAAAAAAAGAAAAAAAAAAAAGTGGCAAGCATGAATGCATCACACTTTTAATGAAATGTGTCATCATTATATTAAATGATTTACAAAAGATGCCATATACCTTGAAGTGTGTATGAACTGTATTTTTATTTACTTCATTCTTACAAATTAAAAATATAATAAATTTGCTTTGCGTCATTATAAACATATTTTTATTTTATTTTATTTTTTGCCCCGAGAATTAAAATTATTTTTTTGTTACAAATATTTAGATTAAATAAACAAAAACTAGTATAACACTTTAAATTATGTCTGGAATTAAAATGGCTTAAGAATATTCAAAATAAAAAAAAATTGCGCACATTTGCGCAATTCTAAGAATATAATAAATAGTATATAAAGTGCAAAATAATTTTATACTTTAACAAAAATTGTACATCTTTTTGATGATTTTGTTCAATTTGGAAATGTGTTACACACTTGAAAAATATTATTTTTTTAGTACGTAAAAAAAGGTAAAAATATTTCCAAATATATATTATTTTTTAATGTGCGCATAATATTACAATACAAATATATTTTCATGTATTTTCGGTTCTCGTTCGTTTTTTACAACACTTTTTTAGTTAATATAAAATTAATATGAGCTGATAATATATAAACAAACCTTTCTCCCCCCCCCCCCCCCCCCCCCCCCCCCCCCCCCCCCCCCCAAAAAAAAAAAAAAACAAAAAAAAAAAAAAAAAAAATATTTTTAAATAAACAAATTTTTTTTTTTTTTTTTTNNCACACGCCCTCCACCCTCTCTACTCCCCCGACAAAAAAAAGAAGAAAAAAAAATTATAAAAAATGACTTTATTGCTTAATACACGAATTTTTTTTTTGTTTTTACTTCTATTTCTAAGTGAAAATGTAATAGGCTATGTAAATGAAAATGAAAGTATTGAGCAGCTAAAATATGTTATTGATAATAAGGAAATGTTCGATAATTTAACAGGATTAGAAAGGCTAATAATACAGACATTGAAATTTGATGAGTTACAACTACCTGTATTAAAACCAAATGTTCAGGAATACCTGAACATGTCTAATTTTATGATAGTTAAGGTGAATACTAACAGTGAAAATGAAATTGACATAGTTGTGCCGAATACCACGGCTGACATTCATGATATAGTAAAATATGAACACATTACAAGACAGCAAATAATACAAACGTATGATTCAGAAAATTCTGATTTAGTTAAGAAGAAATTTTTGCTTTTAAAGGCATTAAAAACAACGAAACTCATGTTAATGCCTATGTATACTTATAAGGAGACAAAAGATTTTAAAAAGTCATTAGAGGCATTAAATGCCTTTTTTTTTCAACCAGAAGAAGTAGATAAGAACAAACCTTATTTATATTCTAAAACGTATTTTGATAATGTTATAAACTATGTTAACGAAATAAAGAAGAGAGAACCAAAAGAAAATGCATATTCAACTATGATAATTGGTGAAGAACAGTCATGTATACAGAATTCCAGCGATTTTTTTTTTACAACAAATGATGACATTGAATTTATGAAAATATTAGATAAGGTATCTAATCATTTTGGAATAGCTATGTTCAACTCAGTTGGTTCTAATCTTGTAGGTAAAGTACTCATTTTGCATTTTGTGATTATTGAAGAATTTATTTTTTTATACATTTTATGTTTTATTACTTTTTATTCGTATAAACTTATTTTCTCCATACTTTTGCAGCACTAGGGCATTTCGTTGTTCTACAATTAGCTCTTAAGAAATATGATCAATTTTTTAAACATGGAAAAATGAGATTTTTTAATTGGCAAACAATTTTAAGTTTCAATGCATTAGATAGGTTTAGGATATTAGACACTATGTGCAATGTACAAGGTTTTCATGATGTTCAAACTAAAAGAAGAATCGTTTATTTGAAGGATGATAGGTCATCATCGTACGATGAATGTAGTATACTAGAATTTCTAGTTCATTACTTTAATAAATACCAAATTTCATTAATTTCGAATTTATATCAAGATGATTTTAAAACTCATTACCTATCAGAGCACGTAGATATAAAGAATGAATTTTTCAAATTTATGTGTAATGATATAAAACAATGTAATATATATAATAGTAAAATATTTCTAAGTGAAGATGACACTATAAAATCGTTGAACAGTGATGCCCCTTCCGATATGCCATTAAGCCCTTACAATTTATACACAAATTATTTCTATTTTACAAGAAGTTATAGTCAATTTACACCAAATCACATTTTGTATGTCCACTTTTTAAATTTAACAGGAATCTTAAGTAACCCTCATAAAGACATTTTTATTATATGTGGACATGTTTTCTTTGTGTAATCCTTTCTATTTATTAACATTTTTTCTGTTTTTATATTATATATTTATATACATTAATTAAATTTCTACAGATAATGATAATATGGCTTTTGTAACTTCCATTTACTTACCCGGATATTACAATGGTAAAGATAAAGAGAGAGAAAGAAAAAAAAAAAAAAAAATGTTTATTTTTACACATTCTTAACACTTTTGCATAACAAATTTTTGTAATAGAAATCCTTTTTTATCGATGTATGAGAGTAGGACTACTTAAATGTTTACATATTCTAATTCCTTTACAGCCATTGAATTATCCTTTGATCAAGAATCATTACTTACGGACTTGATTGAGAATTTATTACAATGTAATTTTTTAAGACACAGAAAGCTTATATTCTTGATATATATATATTTAACATAAAAATAAATGGAAAAGCTAATATTTTTTAATATTTCTTACATAATTTTCTATGTGGCATAATTATTTGTAATAACATTTGTTATTTTGCAGGTGTTGAAAAGTGTAATTTAATGGAGGTTTTAAAAAAAGCATCAATAAAAAACAATAGCTCAGAACAAGACTATGGTCAAAGTATATCCACGAAATGTAACCTTTGCAAGGGAGTATTCACATATATAAACTCTAAATATGGAGAAACGTCATCCATGTTGCAAAAATTTTTCACTTTTGTTACAAAAAGTATTAATATAAATAGTGTAAGCACATTAATTAGAAATTTGAGTGTTTATGAAGAATATAACAATTTTTTAACAAATGACGTCAATTGGTATACATTTTTATTGCTACTTAGGCTTACCTCCTTCAAGAGTAATTAATGAATAATACTAAAAAAAAAGAAAAAAAAAAAAAAAAATTAAATTATATAAAATAGAGAACATAAACTATTATATATTCGTTCAAAATAAATAAAAACAAGTATTATTGTAAGAATTAATAATTTTTGTTCTATGTTGTAAGACATGTTATTAATCAAAGTAAACATATAATTCCTTTTTTTACAGAAATTGCAGAAAAGAATGTGGCTGAAGCTATGTATTTAGATTTGAAGAATGAAGATAAGTTTAACAAAACTGTAACAACAAATTATTGGTATCCCTCATATTTAAAAAAGGCTTATACTTTGTATGTAAAAAATAAATTGGCTATCAACCTAGTAGAAAGTAAGATACAATATAAGAATAATATATTTTTTTTTTTTTTCTGCTTATTTCGAATTTCTTGTTTAATGGATTTTCTTTGATATTCAAAATATATTTGCAATATATATTTATAACGTTTTAAATTTTATTTCAAATTTTTCCTTCTTTTAGAGTTAGAGAATTTATTAAACAAAGGGACAATAGAGAAAATGAAAAAAAGTGTGAGATTTTTGGTTCATGTAAATTCTTTTTTGCAGTTAGATTTTTTTCATAATTTGAATGAACCAAGGCCTAAGGAAGATCGTATGAATCCATTGTCTATGGTTCTTGAAAATAAATTTACTAATTGGCTTTTTAATTCTAATTTGGGTTACTTTTTTTTAAATTATTATGATCCAACAATAAGAAATCAAATGCATGAAAAGCTCAGATCAGATAGGTTTTTAGTACCTAGGTTTCAAAAGGTGTCTGTTGTGTTGAAAAATTATTTTATGAAAGCGTATGAATTTTATTTTAATCAAAGGCACGTAAATAATTTATACAAAAATTATGATCATTTCAATATAAGTAATAAAATTATGGTAATGAGAGATTCCTATGAATCCTATTTAGAGAATTACAAGGATGTGATTTTTTTGGCAGATATATTTAATATAAGAAAATATTTATCAGCTACTCCTAAGGCAAAAAGAGTTACAGACAGAATATACTATTACATTCATAATATTTTGGGTAACTCTGTAAACTTTTATAAATATGGTATGATATATGGGTTCATAATTAATAAGAAATATTTGAAAGAAGTGAGCGATGAATTGTTTTCAATTTATAAATTGAATAAGCATATCTTCACAGATACTTCTTTTATGGAAACAGTTTATTTACTCTTTAGAAAAATTGAAAGTAGTTTTAATGTGCATAGGAGAAATGATAAAATAGTAAGATACATTTATTGGAACATGTGTGAATATATATATAAAGTTGCAATTTTTACTTATGCATCTTTTTTTTTTTGATACTTTATTTTTATATATCTTTTTATGTAGTTTTTCACGTTGCTCGCGTGTGTCTACTTTTTTTTATTTATTAGGATAAATATATTATATTATTACTTGTTATTTTTTCTTCTCTTTTTTAGAGTATAAACAATTTGTTCTTTTTAAATGTTTCACATAATTATTCAAAAATGAATAAAGAAGATAGATTAGAAGAATTAAACAACTCCATGGCATCAAGATTTTTTTCAAAAACGTTATTTTCCACATTTCAAACTATGTTTTCCACAATGTTAAGTAATAGAGCAGAAAAGCTTGATAGAATGTACGGAACTGCTAACATGCTTGGTTTAACAATGAATGATCAGGCATTTTTAAATTTTTCATATGCCTTCTATGGAAGTATAATGGATAATATAACAAATAGTCTCTTACCACCATATGCCAAGAAACCAATAGAACAATTAAAATATGGAAAAACATTTATCTTATCAAACTATTTTATGCTAGCTTCACAAACGCTTTCATTATTAAATTTAAATAATTTAAGTCTATTATGCGAATATCAAGCTATATCAAGTGCTAACTATCACTCTAGCAAGAAACTTGGTAGATTTGTTGACAAAAAAATGATAGGTATTATTGTGTACTATTTAAATGTGAGAATTCAGAGTGTTATAAGTCATCCTAACGAGTTTAAAGCTATGTTGGGTCCTCTAACTAAAGCCAGTGCTATGCATCCTGCTGTTTGTCTTACTGTGCATATGGCTAGTAATTTATACTTTGACACGCCAATTGCTTTCCCGAACACAATGGCTTCTAAATTAGGGGAGCAAGCTAATCATGTCACACTTCCAAAACCAAGTGGAAAACTACCTGTTAGTGGTTTTACAAAAGATTTTATTTTGGAATTTATTAATGGAATGTCTCTTGCTTTTACTATATTTCCTTTTTTGCGTACCTATGCTTTTGAGCAAAATGTTGTATATTTTTTCATAAATCCAGTTCGACTTTTCGATAGATTTCATACACCTGTTGATAGTTATATTAAAAGTATTGTTCGAAAAAATTTTAAAAAATATACAACAGATGAATTCCTAAGATTTTTAGAAAGATCTTTATTAAATCTTAAAAGAAGGGGTAAAATGGAAGAGGCAGTTAAAGCTAGATTGGATATTAAAATGTTTAATGAGAATTCTATTATACAAGGCTTAAAAGAGGATTTGCCTAGGATAGCACCACAAGAATATGAGCGCTTGCAAAAAATGGATTCTGAACTGTATGAAGACGATAATCTTCTTTTTGATTCATTAGATGATGAAGAAAAATTTTTAAATGACAAATATGTAATTTCCAATATTTCTGAAGATGAAGTGGAATTGTCGAGTAAGAGGAGTACACATTCTACAAAAGACAACAAAAGTAATAATAAAGTAAATGAAAGTGAAGAAATTAAAACAGATATAAAAGAACCTGAAGAAGAAATTTCTGACGAAAATAGTGAAAAAGAAGTACATGAACCAGGTAATGAAAATGAAGAAAATGATGATGAGGATATGCTCGATGAAAAATTAATGATTAAGAGAACACCGCCTGAAGAAGAATGACAGACACATGATCGTTAAATTATCTTAATGTTATGTTTATTTCTGTAGGAAACATTAAAAAGCCCTTTTTGCATATTATTATTACACAATTATCACTGTGTAAGTGAATGTGAATATGCAAATTAGAATTTCATCTTTATAATGAATAGTAACATGTATTTACTATTCCTACAATGTTATTTAGAATTTTTTCTTTTTCCCTACTTTTTTAGTATTTTTTGTGCTAAAATATTAAGATATTTGTTCCTTGTTTGTTTAAATAGCTTTAAGCATATTTTTGTTTTACCATGTTTTAGTTTTAGTTTTTGCTTTCTACTTTTTACATTTTGTTGTTTTTATAGCTTTAAAAGAAGATATAATTTTCCCAATATTTAATAAACATTTTAAAAAATTTTATGAATATATTTAGATTTTAGAACACCATTTTTGCGTTTTTGTTTGTGACAAAAAAAAATTAATTTGTTTACATTTTAATGTAGACACAATCATTATTTCAAGGTAGTAAATTTATTTAGGTTTATAATACATCATTAATGAGATCGTAACTCCCCAATCAAAAATAATAGACAAGGGAATGACATAAGTAGTTAAGGGAAAATTCATGTTTAGAAAACAGGGAAAATTTTTATAACTATTATGGATAAAATACCAAATTATAAAACTGTGGATTTTTTTTTAATCTCATCGTTAATTTATTATAATTACCCTTTCAGACATGAATCTATCAGAAGTTTTAATACATAAGGAATCGAAATAATTTAGAGTCAAAAGGAAATTATATGAAAAATATAACACCTGAAAAATGAATTTAATATAAAAAGACTAATGTTTCATGTTTAAATTCTGTATAAGTACAATTTAAGTGTTCATGTACACTATATCATTTGAGTTGCTTTACGGTCTTGGTTCTTATGGAACATAAATTTGAATAAATATAAAGAATTTGAATTTCTTAATTAATGAGATTCAATATGCGTAAAGGGGAAATAGAGCACGTTCACACATGTATACATTTATTATAGCTATTCTTCTTCTTAGCACTATGAAATATAGAGTGACATAGAGATTAGACTTAAGGAGAAACTATTAGACTTATAAAAACATTGGAACTCAATAACGATTATCAATATATCGAACGCATAGAATGAATGGTAAAAAAAAGGAAGTTTTTCATTTATGGTATATATTTAAAACATGTTTAAGAATTAGTGAGGCTGCCACAACATAACAAAAATAAGCTACAGAATATATTAACTCATCTGTTGTAGGAACTGTCCCAGATATGACTAACTAAAAATTTACGCGTTTCATACATAACGCAACAATATTCCCATATTAACAAGACAAAGATTATGAAGTTATATTTACACCACAACTTTCTTTTTTTTCATTTGATCATATTATTCTAAATGAATGTGTGCTTTAAATGCTTAGTCTTTTTAATGTATATGCTTACATAAAAAGGTAAGGATATCTTTTTTTTTTTTTTTTTTTTTTTTTTTAATAATTTTTGTTTTGTTCAAATCTTATATTACATAAAGTTAAATAACATTGGTATAATTACATAAAAATGTAAAAATTAGCAAAGGTTCAATGAAATATATAGTTAAATGAGGGCAGAATAAAATAAATAAACTGTTTAAAAGCTGCTTATAATTTTTCATTAATAAATATATAAAAAAGGTAATAAAACGTTTAAAAGTACACGTTCTTTGTATTATGCTTAAACGAAAACTGCTTATTTAAATAAATGAATAAAACATTCAGCATATTAATTAAAACACTTGAACATTCACGTAGTATACATGCACAAATATATTTGTAAGAAAAAAAAAAAAAAAAAAAAAAAAAAACCTATATAATCGCATTTTTTCGTAAAACTACCACAAAAATGTTTATGTAAACAAATAACATATAAGGGGTGTGGTGTGTGCGTGGGTTTATATAAATTATTCTGAGTATATGTAGACCATAAGAGATAATGTTTCTGATTAAATGGAAAAATTTAAAAAACTAAAATATTATCACGAATATATATATAAAATTAGTCATTCGTAAATTTTTACCATTTTTTGTAAAACTTTAAAGAGTGGTCTCACCAACATTACATTTTGTTTTTAAAAAATACCAAGTAATTTTTTTTTTTTTTATATTCTATTCAGATTTTGTTGACTTTTGTGCTTTTTTCTTATTTATTTTTTCTACTTTTTTCTTGTAACGACATTTTTTTACTTTAAAACCAGTATACCCTATTGCTGATAGAGTTAACAAGGATGCGAAAATATAATATGTAACTGTTCCAAACGAGCTAAGAATAGCTATTAATATTACAGCTACGGCAATTGGTAAAAGAATTTTAGAATATTGGATATAATTAAGTATTTTTTTCTTTTCACTAATATCTTTCATTTCCTCATCATCTAAATCAGAACTGAATATGGATAATAATTGATCTTCATACATTTTATCAAATTTAATTAACATTTTCATCAACCACATTATTGTTTTTTTTTTTTTAGCGCTAAGTGATGATAATTTACTGCTTATATTGGAATTATCTTTCGACACTTCCTTTTTATGGGATATAGAATTATTTTCAAAATAATTAAATACATAAACTAGTTTTTCGATGTTGTCACTTTTTTTTAATTCTGATAGTATTTCTTCAGAATCATCAGAATATTTCAATATATATAATAATTTTTCCATTCCGTTATTTTGTTGTAATTCTTCAAGTATTTTTTTAAATCTATCATCATTTTTTAATGCATCAATGGCTGTTTCAACATTATTATAATACTTTAATTTATTAAGTAATTTATGCATGTTTTGAGCATATGACAATGCATTCTTTCTATTTTCAGTGTAAGGATTATTTCCTACGACATTTGTTTTTTTTTCAGAACTGGTTGTTCGTGTATTTTCTGCAATATCAATGAGTGGTTTTTCTACTTCATCTTTTGGATAATCATCTACAAGTTTTAGAACTCTCTTTTCAGCCTCAAAAGTTGTGTTCTTTAGCAAACCACTATACATTTTATCAAACTGTGTATTAGTTCTTTCATTTTTCTTTAAGTCATCAAAGTCATTTTTAGAAATTTTATGCATTATTTTTTTTCCATCAAATGTATTAAAATGTTGAGTTTTTTCTTTAAGATCATTGTTCTCATTTTTATATGCGCCATTAAATAGTTTATCAGAATAATAGTCGTCTTTTAATGCATTATATCGTTTTTCAAAATCATCATTAGTATTCTGTGAATTCGATGGCTCTGCACTTGATTTCTTTAAATTAATAAAATTCTGTTGCTTTTCAAAATTGCTAGTAGTAACAAATGGATTGGTCTCTTTTGTAGGTTGTTTCTTAAAATTAAAAGAATTGTGTAGTTTCTCAAAATCCCTTGTAGTAGAAAATGGATTTGGCTCTACTGTAGATTGTTTCTTAAAATTAAAAGAATTGTGTAGTTTCTCGAAATCGCTTGTATTAGCATGTAAATTGGGCTCTTTTGTAGGATGCTTATTAATATTTTTGTTATTTTGTACTTTTTGATAATCTTCAAGATCTATTAAATTTATATTTTTATTATCATTCTTATTTCCATTAAAAATGAATGAATTATGAAATTTTACAAAATCATCATCATATTCATATGGGTTCATTTGCTTTTTTTTATTTTCCTGCTTGATCAATGAATTTAATCCTTTTTGGAATTTTTCTTCTTGTATTAATGAATTAAATCGTTTTGCAAAATTTACATTATCATCTGCATCGTCTTCTTCTACGTCTTCTATAATACTGATCAATTTTTCTTTAAGGTAAGCATTTCTCTGTTCTGTTAGCATTTCTTCATCTTCTCTCAACCCCCTAGCAACTCTTACACACAATGTGCTATTATTGTTGCTTTCCTTATTCCATGTTTTTCCACAAGAAAATGTCTAAATAAAGGGGGAAAAAAACATTTTATATATAACCAAGCACGTATAATCATGCATTATAAGAATTTTCACCTTTGAAGGAAAATATTTACTAATGGAAACATATACATGCACATCTAATGATAGAAGAAAAAAAGAATGTGCATAAAATATTATATATAAATCTTTACTATACCTCATTAGAACACTGGTATATCCATACCAGAAGGGTAAGCGTAAAAATTTTTGTTAAAGATGATTCTTTTATTTTTCCTATCATGTGACCTTTTTTAATGCTTCCAAAACATTCGTAATATTAAAGATTTTTTATACATATATATTATGAAAAATTTCGCAATTACTAACAGTTGAGTTTTCTAAATTTTATACATTATAATTTTTTTTATTAATATAATAAAAATAAAATAAACATTTCAGCTTTTCCAAATTATATACATAAAAAAATATATTAAAATATGCATAAAAAGAAAAATCTAAATTAAAAATATTTTAACAAAATATTTATTATACATAAATATCAGTAAATAATAAATATAAAATAAAAATTAGTATAAAATGCAAAAAATATACATAATAATATTTTGCCTAATGCAATGGTAGAAAAAAGTAATAATATCTAAATTTAATTAAAAAAATTAATTTTTATTCTTAAAATTTATTTGAAAAAAAAATGGGGAAAATATAAAAAAAAGTGAAAACGTCATAATTATATTTTTTTGTATTTTATTTAGTATAAATTGGATAATGAAATAATAGGAAAAAAAACATTCCAGTTTTTGCGCATATAAATTTAAGGTGGAGATAAATATACTATTTTTCATTGTATTTTATATAAATAGAGTTAAAATAAACTATAAACATTTTTAAAATTGTAATATAAACCACGTCTCCATAATATATAATAATTTAATAATTTGTTTTAATATTAGAATAACAAAAATACTAAAATACGAAAATAATAAAAAAAAAAGCCGTATAGGGGATGATAAATAATTATAAATTCATGTGCCCATGAATTTATGTATACAAATTAGTATAGTTATTTCATAAAATATCCTTAAAATAGAAAAAATAATGTTTATTTAGAAAATAATCACAAACACTGCAAAAAAAATAAGAAATCTATGTAAAAAATTTAAATATGTAAAAAAATAATAAATTTAAAACTTTACAGTAAATATTTAATTACTATATATTATAATAATAAAATAATGAATTTTTACTAAAAACATCGAAAAGTAGTATTTCAAATGATGTTAATTAAACATAATTGCAATTGTGTAAAAATCGTAGAGCTCTTTTGTAACGTCATACGGAAAAAAATTACTCAAACCCCTAAAAATTTGACGAAAAGAAAACAAGTTTACATTCTTTTTGTTAACTCACGTTTTATCTTCTATTCATGAAAGGATGATCGGGGGTATATGTAGTTGTAAAATTAATGAAAAAAAAAAAAAAATATGATAAAATGCCTTATATATTTTATGCAAAAAATGAAAATTACACATGGTTCGTAAAAGAAGGAACACAAAAAGTGTAGTTTAAAAAAAAAAAAAAAGTAGAAATTATAATCAAAAAAAAAAAGAAAAACAATAGAACAAAAGTAAAAAGTCGGAAAACTTGGAATTATAAAATATTTTTAATAAAAAAGTTCTTTGAGTAAAACGTTGCTTAAGTTTCTTCTTATTGGTGGTGAGGGAGTCGCATACATTAATTCTGTTGTTTTATTTATATGAAAAATGATAGAAACTTTGTTAGATAATTAGTTTTTCTTATGTGACAACAATTGCATATAAATCTTACACTTATATAATATACATGAATTAATAATTTAATTATAATTATGGAACCTCGTAGTGTAATCTAATTTAATATTGTAATTTATACCTATATATATATTTTTATTTAACTTCTAAACATATATACACCTTAAATATAAATTTATTGTGCCATAAAAAAAGCCTAATTTGGAAAATTGAGATTAGATAATCTCCATGTCGATATAAAATTAATATAAAAACTAGTATTCCCCTAGCATCATGTAGGTATTGTGAATATGCCTTTTATGTACATGTTTTATCATATATTTTCTGCCATATAAAATCATAATAAAACAATAAACATCAAAACAGCATATGCCAATATATATCACAAATTTTAGAATATAAGGAACTGATTTATTTTTATTCTTGTTTGTCATTTAAAAATTAATTAACTTCAGCATTTGACATACTCTTCTTTTCTCCTTTTTGCTTTTTTTTTTAAACAACGTTTTTTTTTTTAAAAAAAAGAAAAGAAATATTAAATTGATTATTATATAAATTGTACAAGAATTATTTTGGGATACCAAATCGTTTATATATAATGAAATCTGTAACACAGTATACATTGTATATTTTTTGGTGTTGAAATACATTTAAGAAAAAATTACTGAAAGATATATATAAAAATCATCATTCACACAATGAAAATTATTAAAGATAAAATAAAGTCCATTTTGAATCCCCTCACAAAAAAAAAAAAAAAAAAAAAAAAAAAAAAATTAAGAGAAAGCATTTGAAACGTTAAAATGAAGTAATAAAATATTATTACAACTATAGTGTATGATAATACAAATTAATGTAAAAGATAACAAAAAATTAGTATAACATAGATAAAAATATCAATAGGTTTTTATAATGTTGAGCAAAATCGTTTAAAAGGAAGAATGTTTTTCAACACGTTCAAATAGTTAATCATTTTTTAATTTTATCTTTGCATTTTTATTATTATACTTTCATGTGTGTTTAGATATTACATCTTTTAATTTTTAAATTACAAAAAATGCTTAATATCTTCGAGTGCATAATAAGTACTCTTTTAGTTCTTCTAAAAAAGTGTAAACCATGCTTGTATATTTATATATTTCTAATGTATTTTTATGTCTGTCTATCTGAGTCGAAAATTTAGCCATTTTTATTATACATGTAAAATGGGGAAATTTCCTATATACACAGCACGACAGAATAAAATTAGTAAGTATTCTACAGTATATGCATTTTCACTATAATATTATATATATAATTGCAATTTGTTTTTTGTTTTTTTTTTTCATGTGTTACCTTTTTTTTAATTATATTTGTATGTATCACCAAAAAATTGTGAATGTACAATATTTATTTAGATTCGTTATACTACCGAGTTTTGTATTTGTGCTATGCTTTGAATTATGAAATGGTGCTATATATATAATTAAATTTAAATGGATCATAACAATGATATTCCAAATAAGTCGATGCTTTTAGAATTTTATTATTTATGAATATTATGTTGGTTGATAAGATATATATATTTTTCAGTTAAGGCAATATACATTAACTCATTCTGAATTATGAGTTCGCAATTGTTCTGTGTATGCTTTCATCGTATTGATAGGTGATCCAACTTTTAAGACGAATTTTTATGGCTAACTAGTATTAGGTCAAGGAAAACTAGCGTACATAGAAAAAAGTGTAAAAAGGATGTTATTAATTTACAATGAATTATTTTTAAACATAGTACATTATTAATAGTAATATAAAATGTTAGTATTCATAAGAGAACTTTTTTGATTTGTACTGTGTAATATAGTGAAGATTTATCAGATATTCTAAGGAATATGAAAGGGATATGTGACAATGTGGTAAAGTGGTAACGCTGGTGGTGAAACATGGGAATAACTAGTCATGTTTCCATAGATATCATCTGTATGAAATGGGGTATCTCAACCTAAATATATTTCTTTTTACATAGTATCGTATATATCCTTCATTATTTCATCATTCTAAAACATTATTTATGTGTATCATGATTAATTTGTTATCTTTTCATTTTAATTTAGATAAGAATATATGTGGAATTTTTTTCTATACCAATTTGGACTAAATCTTGAACGTTTGTTGTTCATTCTTTTTTAAGATGCCCCTCAAAATTAGGTGTTACCAATATGTTATATTCAATGTAATTTGAATACCATTAACAAATGGTTTAATAAGGTTTAGTTACCTTAAAAATTGTTGAGTAATCTACAGGGTATTGATAATTTTTTTTTTTTTTTTTATTTCACTTAGAGTTGGACAAAAAAGTATGGAACAATATCACATATATTATTAAGCAAGTTGAATCGTTCACTAATAAAGTAACATCGTATGAGTATAAACTTCCCAGAATGAATATCTATTGTATTATCCTTTTCATAACAACGAATGTCTGAAAACACATAAAATATGATATAACTGAAATGTTAAAAGCGATTATGTCTCATATATTTACTATTAATTTGTGATCTATATATTAAATTTTTTTTAAGTGCTTAGAACAAGGATTTGTATTTTTGGGATCCTTGTAAATGGGACTTATAGAATTGCAATACTTGCATTGTCTTACTGATAAGGAGGAATCATTATTATAAAAATAAACAAATCATTTGAAGATAATTTTTTAAAATAGTCGTTATGAAAATTAGGAATAAAAGGTATAATATATAAATGAATACATATTTTGGAAAATAAAATTCACTGTGTTTTATGAAATATATACTATTTAAACAAAGAGTACTTTAGTTTTGTTATTTGTATTAAATGGAAATGGAGCTTTATCTTCATTTTGATACATTTACCTGCATTGGGGATTATTTGAAATAGATGGAATTGCAATGACCTTTGGGATTTATCAGGATAATGTGCTAAGCTCAAGAGGGAAAATAATTTTCTATGATAAACAATTGAAGAGCTATTTAAATGTATATATACCAATTTTTGCATAGTATGTGAAAAATACATAACGAGTATGATGCAAATATATACTTAGATTTTTATGCGAAATTCTACTACTATAAAAAATATAGATATGTGCAATAAAATATGTGGGATATAAAGAACAAAAAATACATTTTATGTGAAATCTACAGAGATAAAATGAAGACAAAAACTGAGTCAAAACATAGAATAAAATTTCTTTTGAAGTATTCTATTTTAATGGTTTGCAAAGTATTATTAAAAAATGAATAAGACAAATAACAAAGACATACAGTAAAAAGAAAATTTATGTTATATTTTAAAAGTATGGAGTCAAAATAGTACTAAAATATTTTAGTGTATTAAGCACTTGTAAATGTAAGCGCAAAATAGGTTAAATTTTAAGAGTATAATTAGTTGGTTTAAAGAAATGTCTTTTATGCTATATATTTAATAATAACATACAGAAAAAAAAAAAAAAAAAAGCCTATGCAAAAAATATCAC